CAAGCAATTTCTTTCGGACTCAAATTAAGGGGAGTTAGGCAAGCCTGTCCCCTTTCCCCATATTTGTTTATTCTTGCTGCGGAGATCTTGGCCAAGACCGTCCGAAACAACAAGGGCATAACAGGTTTTTCTCTGGGTAATGACGAAGTTAAGATAAGCCAACACGCTGATGATACCACTCTTGTCTTAGACGGTTGAGAGAAATCCCTTATACCAGCAATACAAAGTTTAGATGATTTTTGTCAGATCTCCGGCCTCAAGTTAAACGATAGCACAACGGAAGCCCTTTGGATCGGTTCTAAGACAGCACATGAACAAATCCTTGTTTCAGGAAAGAAGTTTAAATGGCCAAAATATAAAGTCAAACACTTGGTCTGTGGCTGTCAACTGATCCGGACATGGCTTTGACGTTGAATTACAACGAAAAAACTGAAAACATTAGGAAACTTTTGAGTTGCTGGAAATATTGCAGGCTCACGTTTTTAGGGAAAATTACAGTCCTTAACTCACTGACCGCATCACAACTCGTATACTTGCTCTTCCCTTTTACGCTCAAATCATTACGCTACAAAGGAAATAAATGACATGTTTTACCATTTTCTATGGAATGGTGAAGGTGACAAAATCAAGAGAAAAGTTATGATCAATGAACCTGAGTATGGAAGTCTGAAGATGATTGACCTTTACTCTTTCAACAAATCTCTCAAAACAACATGGGTTAAAAAGTACTTGGACACTACTTAAAATGGAAAATGGAACGTTATCTTTGATCTATAACTGGAGAACTACGGCCGCGATCTCATTTTCCGTGGTAATCTCAACCGTTGAGACTCAACGTCTCTGACACTATGAAAGAGATTAGGGAAACGGACCCCGTAACTAAAGAAAAATTGGAATATTGGAAAGAAATAAACTTTGTGGATAAAGTAAGTTCTGATATCGCTTTTCAAGAACAGGTTCTGTGGTTCAACTCTTTGATAAGGATAGATAATGAAAAATTTTTTTTTTAAAAAGAGTGGTTTGAAATAAGTATCTCCAAAGTTAAACACGTCCAAACGGGAAACGATAATTTTCTGACTCTCAAAGATTTTGCCTCCAAACATGATTTAAGAGTACGCCCGCTCAGTTTTTACGGTTTACTATCAGCTGTTCAACGAATGTACCGATACTGCTGAGACAAAAGACTATAACTTTGAAACACCGAGTGAAAACTGAATTGTTAAAAGAGAAAAGCTAGGTCCATTAATTTACCAAAAGCTGACCAGAGCCAATAGTTTAACCGCACGTAAAAGCCAACTAAAATGACTTCAAGACTGTAACTACTCAGGCGAAGAAGGAACATTTAACTAAGAACTTGCCTATTTTATGGCGCAAAGTACGGTGCACAAAAAGCACCAAACTGAGTTCCAATTTATACTATCACATAGGCGCATACCAACCAATGATTTCTGACTTAAAATAGGACGAAAAGAAAATGACATATATGCCTTTTGCAACAATTCCTCAGAGACGCTAATTCATCTTTTTGGTCTTGCCATGTTACATCCTTTTAGAAAAACGCTCTTCCGTTCGTTGGCAAATACGACTTATTGAACATTACTGCACTGGACTTGAGCCTCATTCTACAGAATACTCGTGTCAACTAAACTACTGTCTCCTGTTAGTACGGTTTCATATTTGGCAAGCCAAAATGGATGAAATATCGCCTAGTTTGGCAAATTTTCTACCCCTGATTAATTCAAGATCTATTATCTATTTGTAATGTCTTGCACGAACTAATTAGTGGAATTAGTTCTTAAATTTAGACTAATAGCTTTTGCAATACTGTAATTCCTTTATGGTCATGCAAATAAAGCATTTGTTGTTGTTGTTGTTATTATAGAGAAAAAAGCGGGGGACACTAAACAATGGAGCTTTCTTACAGATAGCTAAAAATATACCTCTTGATATTGATTATTTCCTTTCCCCTGACGGTCAAATACTAAAAATATGTCAAAAGAATTGTAAACCTTGTATTTAATAACTAGATATAACTGACTGATAGTATACAATGCTATACAGGGTATACAGTGTGCACATGACTATACAGGGTACACAGAGAGTACCTCGGTATACAGGGTATGTATGGGTATACATGGGTATACAGGGTATACATGGAGTACAGGGTGTACAGGGTATACATGGGTATCCAGGGGTATACAAGGTATACAAGGTATACATGGGTATACAGGGTATACAGGGTATACAGGGTATACATGGGTATACAGGGTATACATGCGTATACAAGGTATACATGGGTATACAGGGTATACATAGGTATACAGGGTATACATGGGTATACGGGGTATACAGGGTATACAGGGTATACAAGGTATACATGGGTATACAGGGTATACATGAGTATACAAGGTATACATGGGTATACAGGGTATACATGGGTATACAGGGTATACAGGGTATACAGGGTATACATGGGTATACAGGGTATACATGAGTATACAAGGTATACATGGGTATACAGGGTATACATAGGTATACAGGGTATACATGGGTATACAGGGTATACAGGGTATACAAGGTATACATGGGTATAGAGGGTATACATGAGTATACAAGGTATACATGGGTATACAGGGTATACGTGGGTATACAGGGTATACAGGGTATGCAGGGTATACAGGGTATACAGGGTATACAGGGTATACAAGGTATACATGGGTATACAGGGTGTACAGGGTATACAAGGTATACATGGGTATACAGGGTATACATGAGTATACAAGGTATACATGGGTATACAGGGTATACATGGGTATACAGGGTATACAGGGTATACAGGGTATACAAGGTATACATGGGTATACAGGGTAAACATGAGTATACAAGGTATACATGGGTATACAGGGTATACATGGGTATACAGGGTATACAGGGTATACAGGGTATACAGGGGTATACAGGGTATACAGGGTATACAGGGTATACAAGGTATACAAGGTATACATGGGTATACAGGGTATACAGGGTATACAGGGTATACTGGGAGTGCATGGGTATACATGGGTATACAGGGTATACAGGGTATACAAGGTATACATGGGTATACAGGGTATACTGGGAGTACATAGGTATACAGGGTTATACAGGGTATACAGGGTATACAAGGTATACATGGGTATACAGGGTATACTGGGAGTACATAGGTATACAGGGTTATACAGGGTATACGGGGTATACAAGGTATACATGGGTATACAGGGTATACTGGGAGTACATGGGTATACAGGGGTATACAGGGTATACAGGTATACAAGGTATACAAGGTATACAAGGTATACATGGTATACAGGGTATACATGTGTATACAGGGTATACAGGGTATACAGGGAGTATACATGGGTATACATGGGTATACAGGGTATACAGGGTATACATGGGTATACACAAGGTATACATGGGTATACAGGGTATACAAGGTATACAAGGTATACATGGGTATACAGGGTATACATGGGGGGGCACAGGGTATACTGGGAGTACATGGGTATACATGGGTATACAGGGTATACAAAGGTATACAAGGTATACAAGGTATACATGGGTATACAGGGTATACAAGGTATACATGGGTATACAGGGTATACAGGGTATACATGGGGTATACAGGGCATACATGGACATACAGGGTATACAGGGTATACATGGTATACAAGGTATACATGGGGGTATACATGTGTATACAGGATATACATGAGTATACTGGGTATACAGGGTATACAGGGTATACAAGGTATACAAGGGTATACAGGGTATACTAGGAGTACATGGGTATACAGGGGTATACAGGGTATACAGGGTATACAAGGTATACAAGGTATACATGGGTATATAGGGTATACAGGGTATACAGGGTATACTGGGAGTGCATGAGTATACATGGGTATACAGGGTATACAGGGTATACATGTGTATACAGGGTATACATGAGTATACAGGGTATACAGGGTATACAAGGTATACATGGGTATACAGGGTATACTGGGAGTACATGGGTATACAGGGTATACAGGGTATACGGGGTATACTGGGAGTGCATGGGTATACAGGGTATACAAGGTATACATGGGTATACAGGGTATACTGGGAGTACATGGGTATACAGGGTTATACAGGGTATACAGGGTATACAAGGTATACAAGGTTTACATGGGTATACAGGGTATACATGGATATACAGGGTATACAGGGTATACATGGTATACAAGGTATACATGGGTATACAGGGTATACATGGGTATACAGGGTATACAGGGTATACATGTGTATACAGGGTATACATGTGTATACAGGGTATACATGAGTATACAGGGTATATAGGGTATACAGGGTATACAAGGTATACATGGGTATACAGGGTATACTGGGAGTACATGGGTATACAGGGGTATACAGGGTATACAGGGTATACAAGGTATACAAGGTATACGTGGGTATACAGGGTATACATGTGTATACAGGGTATACAGGGTATACAGGGTATACAGGGTATACTGGGAGTGCATGGGTATACAGGGTATACAGGGTATACAAGGTATACAAGGTATACATGGGTATACAGGGTATACATGGGTATACAGGGTATACAGGGTATGCTGGGAGTACATGGGTATACATGGGTATACAGGGTATACAGGGTATACAGGGTATACAAGGTATACATGGGTATACAGGGTATACATGGGTATACAGGGTATACAGGGTATACTGGGAGTACATGGGTATACATGGGTATACAGGGTATACAGGGTATACAAGGTATACATGGGTATACAGGGTATACATGGGTATACAGGGTATACAGGGTATACATGGGTATACAGGAGAATGGACATTCTGTTACTGTTATATGAAACACTAGGTCTATTTGGCGTAAGCGTAACATGAAAGAATAACCGAATTCTGGGAGAACGCCTGGTTGATTTTGTCTCCTGCGCCAAAAAATGGCGGGCAACAGGACAGCAGAACAGAAGTTTCTTGCTCCAGCTTATTTTCAGGTCTTGCGTCCTAAAATCTCTCCAAAGAAAGATGAATCAGCTTCTAAAAAGCTTCTTCCCCCGACTGAATATAACCTGGTGAGAGAAAAAGATGCATTGAGTGCGGGAACTGTAGCTGAAATAAACAAATTACAGAATGAAAACGATCAACTGAAATTGCAACTTGACAAGTCAAAAGAAAGGGAATTACGCCTTGAGGCGGAGATTCGACAGAAAGGACTCTTGTTACAGAAGGAACGAGTCGATGACGCTCTGGATTTTAAAAGAATGGCTGAGCTGCAAGAGGAAAATCTGTCAGTGCAATCGGAGGTAAGAAAGCTCGGTAATTTAAATGCAAAGCTGAAAACAGATCTCAAGGAGATGAAATCTAACTTTGAAACAGACTTGGAAAGGAACGAAACAGAGCTTGATAAAGCAAATTCGTTGATCAAGGAGCTCAAATCTGAATTGAGGCAAAAAGAGGAAATATTCGAGCACGAACTGGAAAGTTTAGAGAAACGCTCCAGAAAGCAAGTGGCAGTGATAAAACATTTAAAAGCTGAAGTCAAAAATGCTGAAGAGCAAGTCAAGATAGATAGAAAGGGATTCGAAGACGTGATAAGTAAAAATGAGTTTGACAAGTATGAGCAAGTTAAAGCATTGGAGAAAAGACTCAGTACATGTGAACTAAAGCACTCCCAAGAATTACAGGAACTGAGAGATGAAATTTCAAGAAGACAACAGATTCACCTTGAGGTGTCAAATGAATTGACTGTAACAGGCAATGAACTGAAGACCGTGAAAGATGAATTGAAAGCAAAAGAACAAGAACATACAACAGTGATCAGTGAATATCAAGAAAAGCTTCAAAACAGTAAGCTGGAATTTGATAAAACTCTTGAAGAACTTAACTGTAAAATTGAAGAACTGAGGATTTTAAATATCAAAGAAGTTGAAAATGTAACAGGTAAGACGGTTAGACAGTTACAGTTGTAATCATTATTTATTTTGGTCTCACCCTGGAGTGAGTTTGGCACCCTTCAAATAATTTTATGAACATTACTCTACTCCTCAAATTTCAAAATATGCAATCTGTGTATACAGTGTATTAGACCCACCAACAAATGGCAATGAAGAACAAGAGAAAAGTTGTGTGTTAGATCTTAGTCTTAGTCCTGTGGGACGGAGGGTGGGGGGGGAGGGGGTGCTTAGTGGGACTACAGGCTTCTATATGCAAAAATGAAGATCATGAATTCTCTCTTTACTTGTTTATGAACAAAGTGAGAAAAATTTTAAAAACCACTTTATTGTACATGTAAATATAAGTTTTCTAATTGTTGTGTTCTACAATGTAATGTTTTCAGAATATTAAAAAAATTGTTATCTTCCTAACCCTGTAAGAGAAATTTTAATAATGTATATGTCACAGGTCAAATTTAAATTCAGGTTAAAATTTTTTAACCTAGGTTGATTCTCAATTTTCTTTGTCTCCTAGCCATAATTATGTATGAATCCCCTTGCTAGAAGACAAAGGAAATTGAAAATCAACCTGGGTTAAAAAATTTTAATTTGGGCCCAGTTGTTTGAAGGCTGATTAGTGCTTAACTCAAGGTCAAATTAAACCTGGGTTTCTTTTTCTTGTGTTCAAAAGCATTTTCTTGGATAATTTTCTGTGCTATTTTTAGAGCTTCCAATCATCAACTTGTAGACAAAAAGAATTAAAACTGAAATGCTTTTTAAGCCTTCAAATCTGAATTCAAGTCTCGTACTAACCCTGGGTTATTTTAACCCAGCTTTTAACAACTCGGCCCTCCTAAAAGAAAATTTTAAATCAAGAAATAGCTGCTTAAGTCTTCAAAACATGGACTGGGGAAGGAAACTGTATATTGTCTTGGTTGAATGTATTTCTTAATATGTCTTTAAAGCAAAGCTTGTAAAGAAAGATGAAGAATTGAAATCTCAGACATCCACAGTAGATCAGCTGAGGGCATACATAGGAGAGAACCTTCCAAATGTACAGATTGAAAATCTACAAAAAGAGATTGAAGAGGCAAGAGAACACATGGCAAACCTACTCCAGGAAAATGAACGTCTAAGGTCCACTGTTGAACTTCTGAATGTGAGGCTCTCATCAATGAATGAAATCCTGTTGATTCAGGAGTCTGAACTGTTAAAATTTCAAAGTAAATTTGTGAGAGATCCTGGAGATCAAGAAGATAGCTTGCTCACAAAATGGCGAGAGAAGGTGTTTGCATTATTGGTTCAGTTGAAATCTCAGCAGATTTTGCATGAGAAAGAAGAAAGAAGTGGACATGCACAGGTAGGCATCTCTGGGTTTTTAAATAGAATTTATTCTGAAGGTTTTGTAGAATCCATGGTTTGTAGACAGTAGGATCATGGAATGTGAAGGATGTTTGTGTTCTATAGAATTATCTAAGCAATGTGATGTGGTATTGATAGCTGGACATTGGCCAAGTTGTCAAGTTCTTTTTTGCATTTTGGTTGAAAGAGATGGAGTCAAAGTCGATAGAAATGTGCACAAAAGTAAAGCAAGGCCCATTTCCAGCTATCTTGGTCAATAAATGATTTGTTATGATATTATTGGCCAAGAGAAAAAAGGTTTTCTTCTTAAAAGAAAGTGAATACCCGAGAGGTGCCGTGCTCTAGAACTTTTTTTCCGATCATTTTATTAACTCTTGTAATTTTAAACAGTTTTCCTGTAAAGTGAAAAGGGATCCGATATTTAAGGAGCTCAATTTCAACAGTCTATGGGTCCAGTCGGTACCCAAGAGATTATATAATTTTTAAATTTAAACTTTTTAATCAGTGAATTTTCATGTAATTACAAAATCTTAAATTTTAATCGTTATTTTTAATGTTTAAAGTACATTTTTTAGCTTTTTAATTTTTATATAAACAGTAGTTAGATAAGAATGATTATATATATAATTTTTTTTAGTATACATGACCTCTCAAGCAATTTACTGCTTTTATTCTGATCGTGTTTAAATAAAGGATATTCATTCATTCATTCATTCAATCATTCAATCATTCAGGCACCCTTTCAGGTAGCTAATCTGAACACAGGATTTGCTTCCTCTTGATAGCATAATAAAAGGGGTTATACCGCCATTTATGGCTTCTACAAGATCTACAATGTACAGGAGGCTGCTGTGAGCCTTTTCTGATTAATTTTTATACCCTTTGCAGCTTGATCACAATAAGATATAAATCTCCTAGACAAACTGCCACGCAATTGTCTCAAGACTCTCACATGTTGTTGAAAACCAAAAATTTTCTATTGTCATATACATGCACTGCTTAGAAAAGATCTGTAAAAAATTACAATGTAATTATTGTTAATCCCAGTGGTAATCTTGTACAAGCTCACAAGAAATTGCAAAAGAGAATAATTAAATATGATTTTCCCTACACTACCCAGAAAGATGCAGACAAAAGTAGATACAGGGACCTGTAGGTCAGCAAGGACCTTAAAGCCAGTTTATTGCAAAATGACCACAAGATTATTACGGACCACACCTAACAAACCCCCTATGATGAAAAACAAACTTCTAAAGGAAAAGAAACTAAGTATGGCACCACCACAATTCTTCCTAGCCGACCCAGTCCTCTGGTCCAGGCCGGCAAAATAGCTATTTCTGTCCATTCCATTATTTTGCACTGTCAGAAATACCATCTTTTGTTGTAATGCTCTTCTGATTGCTATTTACAGGTAAAGCATTTGATGAGAGAGCTCGAGGAATGCGAGAAAGAGGCAGCCATGTTAACTCATGCTTTGACTGACAAGAAAGCTGAACATCAGATTGAAGTAAACAGAAACCTTGCTTTGGAAGAACAACTTGAGAAAAGTCAACAAAATGAGAAAAAGTTGGAGTCTTTGGTTGTAGACTTTCAATCATCAATTGCTGGACTAAATGTAGTTGCTCAAAGAATGGAATCCTTTGTGGGACATGTTGGCACTCAGATGGAGAATGCTTTCAGAAAACTTGCAGTGCTCTCTCAGCGCATTAATTTTGCATCTGGGCGAGTACAGTTTCTTCAAGGTTTGTGTACAGTGGAAAAATTGAAATCAATTTGTTACTCCTGTACTTCAGACTGGACTCTGAACCTTTTTTGTCACATCAGAAGTACAATTATGATTATGAACTTATTTTCTTACATACGCTGTTAATTAACCTTGTTTGTTAGGTTTACTAACACACCGAGAGGCACAACTGAGAAATGAACTGTCTGAGGCATTACTGATTAGTAAAGATGATAACAGTCCACAGTCTGTGCTTGCTGGTAAGTAAAATAACATAGAAACTGTTGCAGATCACTGATTCAGTTTTAAGAAATGTTAATGGTGATCTGGGTTACATACCATTTATTTTAATACACAGGGAAACTGGAATTTCCAGTAAGATAATAAAAAGTTTGCATTGACCATTCTGTGTGGAGGGCTTCAGAACATATGAGCTGTCATGTGAGGCAATGCAATATTTCAATACTCTCTTAAGTCTGTGCGGCTGATTTGGATAATACTTTCTTGTGGGTCACTCTCCTGCAGTAAGGGCAATTTTGTTGCCTTTAAGAATCTTCAATGGGTGTCTTGTGCTAAGTGATTTTCTTTTGTTTACCCACTTCTTCAGCACTGTCGGAAATTTTACACAAACGTGACAGCTGAAAGAAGGTTGTGTCATTGGTACAGCAAAACCTCGATTTAACAAACCTTAATGAAGTCCTTGGTATACAAACAATATTCCTAGCTGCTGTAATGGTAAAATAATGTGAGAAAAGAACCATGATATAATGAGCCTGCTTAATTATAGTGAACATATTTTGTCAGTGAGTCCCTTGGCCCTTTGTAATATTGAGATTCCACTGTAAATAAAATGGCCTTACATTTTAAAATTTACCTACTCACTTTAATGGCAAAACTGAACAACACATGATCTGGTTGCCAACCAAAATAAACTCTAACCACCAACACTCTCAATAAACTTTGATTACTACTAGCTGTTGATTATAGCATTTATGTATGCACTCATTCCAACTTTACATTTTACTTGTCTTTAATTTTCCGCAGAAAATGATGTGATTGAACCAGAACAAGAACTCTCAGATTATCAACAGCTTGCTTCAGAAGTCAAACAACTTACAGCAGAAAGAGACTACCTGTTAGCACAAGCAAGGAAAGAATCTGAGAGTTTAGAAAGAAAAGAGACAGTAATTAAAGCACAGTTTGAGGAGCAACTTCAAGAACTCGCTAATAAAATATCACAGGTAATACTAGTCTTGTTTCAAGTCAGAGACATAATATTAAACCCTATTACATTACATTATGCAACTCATGTATATCTGTTGTGCATTGAATAATTTTTCCTTGGTTCAAATTTTTTCCTTTGTTTTGGGGTGTGGTAATTAAATGAATTATGATAATCGGTTTTTCACCAAAGGAAAATAAAGTTGAACAAAGGATAAAACTGAATCAAACATTAATTTTATTATCCACCAAGCAATATTTTTCTTATGTATTAAGGCTTGTAATCTTATGATAAAATATCTCATGTTTTTCTTGGACAAAGAGGCGAAGTATCGGTGTTGCGCTTCATAACAGGATTGATTGATCTTATTCCAATATTAATAATTTCCCAGAAAAAAGATTATTGAAAGATTGAATTAAGTGTTTGGTTCATGGATCTGAGCTGCAGTGATTTTGCTAAGTCGGTTCCTCTGTTATTGGTTTTGTCCTGGGACTGGTCACTTTTGGGAAATTTTCTTGGCTCAACACAGTTTAGAGGAAAGTTTCTTGCCTAAGAGGGCTAAGATAATGATGTTGTGGAAAAGTCGTAGAACATGAAATAAATAAACATTATGACAGCGGTCAGTACAAAATTCAGACTGGGTAGAATATGCAGACTAGGTACAAAATGCAGAAAGTAGACTGCAGACTAAGAAAAAAACGCAGACTGAGAAGAAAAATAGTTTTCTTTTTTTCTCACCAATATAATAACTTACATATTGTCACGCAATTGCTGTTCCATGGTCATCTTCCATGGAAATTCAGGAAACATGTTTTTGTTCTTGAAATGGGCCAAAAACATTATATAATTATGTACAAAAGTGGCAGGTTGAAATCCCAATATTGTTGCAAGTTTTGAAGTGGTTACGGCTGTGTTTTCATCTGAGCGCATGATGTTACGATGGCTAAAAATAGGCGACGGGAAACACATGACGCCTGCACTTAGTTGTATTGGAGGTTTTATGTCCTTCAGAGCTTCGCCCTAAGAGGTCCTTTAAGGGATTTTCCCTTGCAATATATGAGGGGAGGCTCCTTAAAGATTGTTAATTTGCAGTCATTGCCTCGATTGCATTACTTGCAATGACATCAGGATTTCAACCTGCTACTTTTGAATATATAAAATAGTTATGGCCCATTTCAAAAACAAAAAATGTTTCCAGAATTTCCGTGGAAGATGACCATGGGACAGTGATTGTGTGACAATACAAAAGTTATTAAATTGGCGAGAAAAAAAAGAAAACTGTTTTCTTAGTCTGCAGTCTGCTTTTTGTACTGACTGATTATGATAGATGTATTAATGTTTCATATAATACTATGTCGACAACTTTCTTGCAGTTGGATTTATTGTTGAAAGATGAGAGAGAAAGAAGTGCAATCCTCAACGAAAAGCTACAAACTGCTGAAGCTGAGTTGTCAGAGAGACTGGAGTCTATAGAGGCACTTAAATTAGAAATGGCAAAACACAAAGATGTGGCTGATAAAAGTAAGACCTTACATGTTTCCATTACATTTTCAACATAGAAAGTTTTTGGAAAATTATTCCTTTTTAATTCTGAGTGCTCAATAAAGTATGGTTAATTCAGTATGATCACTTCCATCACTACTGACAATTGCTGAAAAAAAGTATAGCTTGTTAGGATTGTTACAGTGCAGCTACTACATGACTTAAGGTTGGATGGTAGTGACAAACACCGCAATGTAAGCCAAGACATCACAGCATCATTATTCAGCAATTAGTTTTGTTGTTGTCCTTATTTAATGCTCACAGGGAGTCATGGGAAATCTGCTCAAATTCTGCCTCCATGCTGTCAGTAGTCTATACATCGTCTAACATTGGTTAATTCGCTATTTGCACACCTCCATAATACCCCTTATTTGCCCCCAAAATCTTGCATATTAACCTTTTTTTTTCATTTCTCCTGGGTATTACAGCCATCCCAAGAGAAACTGAAGACAATGCTTATGCAAAATTTTGGGAGGCAAACAAGGTTTATTTTGGGACATGTGTAACTGGTGAATGATAAATATTTTGCTCCATTCGAAACTTTTGCGATCAAAATATTATTTAAACTTTTGTGTTTTGTGTTGCACATTGGCTCACAAACTACTCTGTACTTTCTCAGAATGTATTGTTAATTTCTTGAAAATATCCAGAATTATCCTATCAATACATGTAGTTGTGTGTTGGACATGTTTGGTCATGTAAAGAAGGAGACGTACAGCAAATGAAATCATTAGTGGGGGTATTTTTGATGGAGGCTAATGGAGAATGGATCTTATTCACCATACATTTTTGCAAACTTTTGCTCGGAAGTTCTTCAACAATTATTGTTCATTAAAGTATACCTGGGAATGAGTCTGATAACTTGCCCTTGCCTTTTTTTTTCAGCCCCTTTTTTGGCTTATGGAAATCGCTTCAATGTACATCTTGTGTTTAACATAATGAAAACTGTCCTTTTGTTGCTTATTAGATTTGGATAAAGCCTTGCAAGCTGAACAGGCAAGGTTTACAGAAGAATTTGCCAAACTAGAAAAGCAGTTCAATGATGTTCGCCGTGAACACACCAAAACAGTTGTAACCCTTAGACAAGCAGAGAGGCAGGTTGAACGAGAAAGGGAAAAACATTCTGAACAACTGTCTCTACAGAGAAAGGAATATGAAATGAAATTAGAGAAAAGTCAGTTACAAGTGCGTCACTTGGAAAAAGAGAGAAACATGCTTATGGCCACAGTAAGACAGGAGGGCTTCAAAGTTCCAAGGCTTCGACCCAAGGAATATTCAGGTGTGTCTCGTAAGTCCCTCACACATGATTATAAAAATATATAGTTATGTAAAAACATAACAGTTACATTTCAGTCAGTCGGATGTATGATTGCTTTTAATGCTTTGAATGACAAAAATAATATTAAAATTAATAACTTGAGAAAAATTATCATTTTGGAAGTCTACCAGTAATCATAATTTGGGACTTTTCTGAAACACATCAAGTAGAAACAAAAAGAATTATTGGCAGCAGTCAAGACAGGACTTGTACTTGGTGCCAACAGATTGCAAGGCTAGCCTATCTTATACTGTGCTGTTCTTGCAACATGAATCAAATTATCTCATATTTTGTTGTAGAAGCAGAAAAGGATGACGAGAAAGAAAACAGACAAACTGATGTTCATGGGAAAAGGCCAATAAAGACCAGCAGAAGAAAAGGTAAACAACTTATTTCAGGAAAATCTGATACAAGAACTACAACTTCTTCAGATCAAAATCAAGCAAGACAGTCATGTCAAGGTAGTGTGAGTGAAGAAATGAACCTCATGGAGATGACATCTATGCTGAAAGATTTACATTCATTATCTACAGCTCTTTTGACCGTGGACAAAGAAAATGGTGATGATTCTCAACAGTCATTGTAAACTATTGTCATGGTGAAAACATCAAGTGGGAAAGAACAGAGAGGATGACAGGGATATTATCTTTTAACCAGATAGTTGACCAGTGGCAGGTCTAGTTAAGGGGGTCTCTCCGCGCCTTTAAGGGAAACCAAAACTGAGGCCTGCAAGGTCATTGGCACCATGATACCTTGTTTTCCTTCTCCCTCCTTTAGCATGTTTCAGTCTGCTACTGACAATACTGTATTTCGCTGAACAGGTTCTCTCCTCCCATCGAAAAGAACAGATTAACAAGAAAAAAAAAAGGGTATGGGCAGTGGTCAATAGAAGACCAATTTACCAAACAAAATGATAATAGTGCTTGCAGATACTGTAAACACTGTTTTCTTTGGTTGTGTTCTTTTAAAATAAACTTCACCATACTGGTATTTTTTGAACATGTGTTAAGTAGCGTCAGAAAGGAAGGGTGCTTAATTACACTTTTTTCAGAAGAACCGACACTATCATGGTAGATAGTGCTTGCAGGGTTTTCATTAAGAATTCTTGTAGCGGGAGAAAGTTGTAACATTACAGGAGAATTTTTTGAAAGAGGCTCCATGTCTGATTCAAAAATAGTCATAGGCTACCAAACATTTGCGGGAGAATTCTGTGTAGTAAACAGAGAATTCTCCAATCTTGGGTGCCTAATGAACACCCTTTATTAGAAGACGCTGCTCATATGGAGGGAGTGATAATTAGTTGTTGATGCCAGACAAATTCCTTGTGATTTCTTAAGGTGATTCCCTAGTAAAAGAACCTAACATAGATTATAGATGAAACTTGGTACACCGATGTAACAAGTCAAGAAGATGATAAAAAAGTAATAAAAAGTGGGGGTCACCAAGCTCATTTTGACGTCACAATGCTGAGAAATACGGCTATTTTGGACCCTTTGTCAAAAACCATGCGCAGCCCAAAACTAGACAAAAACGAGAGATTTTTTCGATGATGCATGTGGTATCGCACAGAATTTGACTTTATTGTATTGTTTATCCACTTACATACCAGAAAAATGCCTTTTAATGTTCCTGTTTTTATTCTACGCTCCAAAGTAGAATTGAATTGGACACGCGCTATTCAACCCGTGATAGCTCAATCCGTATAATTTAGTAAAATTGCCAAAAAACTGAACATAGATTTGTGCCAATTTTTTTCTCATCGAAAGGAAGCACTGTCCTTATTAAAATCATGAAATAAAAAATGGGGGTCACCGTACTCGTTTTTGCGGTAGAGCTGCAGAAAGTGCGCACCAAATGCATTTTCTCCGAGTTTTGAGAGAGGACTGGGGCGAGTTTCAAAATAGAATGTATGTGAAAGGGGGAAGAAAGTATTAAAAAATCTGTTTTTACAGAATTTACATCGAGATATCACATTTAGGATACAATGTGATAAAGAAAGCGTTTAAATAAAAATCAAAGTGAGTAAGCACAAGTTAAACATCCACTATCAAGGTTCTCAGTGAGGAAGTCGAACTCAGCAACACGCATACTGCCTACGTTATGCACATTCCCAACACATTGAGTCTCACCTCGGCAAGAAACAACTGCAAGCAAAAATTCCAATAGCGTTTCTCTTCAGTCAACTTCATTTTAATAATGTTACTTGACATGCTCTTTTTTACGGCGGCCATCTTGTTATGCGCAGTAAGAGATGCGCAGTGCAAAACCAGGGAATCACCTTAACTATTTACAACCCTCAAAAAGAAAATAAAATAGACTCATTTCCACTTTAGGAACGATTTTTACTTTATTTTTCTAACAAGCTACACTTAGTAACAGTGATGAAAAATGCATAAATAAATGTGCTTGGTCCATTTTTCTCTACAACATTTCTACTACATCATTTGCATGAAAATAGAAAAGGCTGTATTCTGGCTGAATCAAACTTGCATCTATTTTTGCTTCAAAAGCTCCACTATTTTTTCTGCCATGGGGGTGGCAGAGGCTGGATTTTGACCAGTCACCACTCTATCTGATGCACAGACACAAGCCTCAAACATATTAGGTGCTTTTTCAAATTGTGCCCCATTTTCCTTTAGCTTGGTCTCCAACAGGAAAGGCATTGCTTCAACTAACTTGACAGCTTCCTCTTCTGCATTAGTAAAGCCTGTCACTTTTTTCCCTTTTATAAGGTAATCGCCATTTGATAACTTTGTATTTACAATCCCTGTTAGCAGAGAATTAGGGAACAAAGCTTCAGTTTTACAGAAGGTTTCTATGTCGCTGCATGACACAAACCGGCTTGCTGATTATTTGCAGCTCTAGCAAAAGGCCCTGTGACTCCTGATCTAAAATTAAATTCTCTGTTTGATTGATAAGCATGTAGGAGAAGAAAAAGAAACTAAATTTAACAAGGGTGGAAACATTACTACTAGTTACACATAGTTTCGGTAATAAAAACAAGAACTACATGTACATATCACAAAGTCCACCCTCTCTAATAAGCCCTCCCTTTTCAGGGAAGAAAGTTAATGAGCCCCCCCTCCCCCCCCCTCTCCTCTTCCCCTCAGTATTATTCACTGATAATGACAGACTGTATTAATCAATCATGACTGTCAGCAGTCTATTACAACTGTAAAACTTTTGTGAGGACTGATCCAGGATGTTTTATTGACCAGCTGGACGTTTTTCATCCTGAGATGCACGACCTCCAACTTCCTGTACTTAAGCTTTTCCACTTTGCAGTCTAGTTCTTTATGGAGAACTGATACCATGTTCTTTGAGTAAGCCCCCTCAAATGTGGTTGAAATAAATAAGCTCCACACGGGTCTTAATAGAGGATTTACAGTATTTAAAATCAAATCCATTGGTTACACAGAAGTCACTTGGGGCTTTATTCAGGCACCCTTTCAGTTATTTTGCCTAATCAAAGAAGAGACATTCACTTGATGAGGAGGTGGGGAAGGACTACTCCCCATCCCCCCTGTCTTTCCCACTCCACACATTTGACTCATTCTTCAGAGTGTTAGTGAAATTAGCCATGATAACTTTATCTTTGAATCTTGTCACCTACCAGCAGGTCCATGGCAAACTGCTGCGGCAATACCTCCTTTTTCATATATTGCTGCTATTGCCTTGTTAACATCATCATTGTTTGGAAGATCAAACATGGGGCCATGCCCTCCAACACAGAAGACAACATCATAGTCAGCAGCTTTGATGGATGTAATAGCATTAGTGTTGTCAACAAGGTTCATTGCCTCCTTATCAGCTAAGAATTCTTGGCAGATTGTATCATCCTTAAAAGCTTCAAGACTACTAGGATCCTAAGGATTAAAGAACAAGAACTGTGAGAATCTTTCCCCACCGGTTTTAAATATTGGGTGTTTTTTGTTTTGACTACAATGATGAGATACAGTCAAATGTTTTATTTAATGTACAGTAAGATAAAATGGAGACCAAAATAATGCCCTTAGGAAAGCTGCCAGTTACTGGTACAGTAATGCAAGACTGGCTACTCTGCAAGTCTTAAGATGTTGTCATAGTTGTGTGCATGCCTCTCTCTATTGGAGTCCTGTTTAGAGAAACTTAAGACATGTGTTTGCTGTTCTGCTTTACATGTTAGTAGATCAAACTAAGTTTTGTTACGTTTCATTGAGTATTTCAAGCCTAACTGTTTCATCTACAGTGACTAAAAAGCTGTTTAACCTTTCCTAATATCAAGGTTTTAAAATAAGTTGAAGATGACAGGCTTGAAGACTTGTAGCATAGGACCAGTTACTTCATCCTATGATTTCTTTTTGAAAGTGGTTACATCCCAGTCTCGTTTCACATCCATTTTCTTGTTGGCAAGGACAGTCATTCCTCAGTGGACATATCTCTCGGTTTTCATTATGCATGATGGGTCCTTAATTATCAGCATGATGCATGATTAGGACCAAATTAGCCATGTGAGGCGTGATTGGGTTTAGCAGGGTGGTGCGTGATTTACTGTTTCATAACACATGATGAGTCATAGTGAATATCATTTGAAACTAGAAACACAGAAATTAAAAACAGATAATCATGTCATCATTTTCAGGTCCTTTTTCTCAGTCCTCAAGCTCGCCTAATCTCCCGTCAAAATCGTACTATGACAGCTATTCACTACATATTCTTAGCCTGTTCCAGGCATTCAGATAGTAGAAGGCAGGCAAAAAATTGGTGATGAAAAAATAAACGAGGGGAGGGAACCCTCGCTCTCACCCTAATCTCCCCACCATCTAAATTGCACACTCTACTATCTGAATGCGCGGAATCATACTGGCTAATATCGTTAATATTTGAAACAACACCAGAAAAACATGACGCTGAAAACTTTTTACTAGACCTGATTCATTCAGTGGGTGAGATATTGCCATGTTAACTCAGTGCAATTGCACCTTATTTATGTGAAGAGTGATGGCCTAAAATAGGTCAGCGTGATAGGTATCCCTCCTTGGCCACCCTGATATTGAAACCATGTAGCCATGTGGTCAACAAAATTTTCCCGTAATTCTGGGTGCGCCTTATAACAGGGTATTTAGGTGAAATTTTGATTTTGCTTACTTGTCACAATCGTCTTCGAAAGTTTAGGGTGCGTCTTATAACCGAGTGCGCCTTATAAGTGAATAAATACAGTACCCACTGAAGTAGCTAAAAGGCATAATACTTACCAAAGGAGCCTTTCCTCCCTTAGGGCTGACAAATGTCATATTATACCCCGCCGTTTTAAAAACATGATGTGGATGTGCCAGTTCTGGGAGATACCATCCTGTCTTTTTGCCAGTGTTACCCATGTCTTCATGGCTAGTGAGGACCATCAACACAGCAACCATTTTTGCTTAAATTACTAGTCTGAAAGATTAGAGAAAAGTCATGTTGGAGATTCTGGTAGATGAGTCTCAAAGACATGGGATTTCTACTGCTGGTACAGTCAAATTTGCATTACTATTAAGTGGTCACCCTTGGGAAGTGGCCAATTGAGTTTAATAAAACAGGTTTGGCAAACGCAAGAGTTAATCAACAAAATAAAGATGGTGACAAAGTGAAATATCCTAATAACATGACAAGTTGACCTCTTCTTCTGCATTAAGCAAGGTCAAGTAAAAGATCACTGAATGCCATGCTCAGTGTATCTACTGCACTTGTATCACGACAAAGTGGCCATTTAATAGAGGTGAAGACAATATTAAAAATAACTCACCGGGATCACGGAAAAGGTGCTACCCCTTAATAAAGGTTGCCTGCTTAATGCAGGTCAGTTTTACAGTCATTAAGGGAAATAATTTTCAGGACTTAAGAAAATGACCGCTTTATAAAGGGTGAACACTTAATGCAGTTCCACATAATGTAGGTTTAAATGTATATAGTAAAGTACGGTAAGACATGTTGGAAGGAGTACTACCTTAAAACCATGATGGTTTTTCAGTACTAAAATTGGTAACTGCAGCATGATCTATGAAAACCTACAGGTTGGCAGGTCTGCATGAGACAAGGATGCTAAATGCAAATCTGTGCAGAACATTCTTATCTAATAACCTAAACAGTATAAAATTTTTAAACCTGGTCTGGCTTATACATTGGTTTGGGCAGCTGTCAGATGATCAATATTATTTTAAGACCTTTTTTGCAATGGTGCCATATATGTAATCTGACCTTTCTGAAATCATAGACTTTGTTTAGCTTGAACAAATGGAAGTCATAGGACCAAATGCAGGGCCCAATAGAATTGTATAACGGCGGTAAAACTACTAGCTAGGTCTTGCTCAGTACAATGTCTAGTAAAACCACTGCATGCAAGCGATACTCAAGCTAGGTTCTTAGTACTTATTTCACATAGCATTTTTACAGCAAGCAGCACACATTACTGTTAGCTTTACATCAGTTTTCAGTTAGCTTCTTCACCACTAAGATAATGCAATGCGCTTTCAGTGGCATCAAAATACTCGGACCCCTTCTAGGAACGGAGACCCTGTGGTTCGATTCTTTGAAAAGACCACCTCCCGTAAGTCTTGATCTTCACATTTTGGCTGGTTGTTTTAATACAGGAAAAATTATAATTTTCATGCTCTTGTTTCTCACTTTTGCATTGTGTTCTCATAAGCGTTAAAAATGGTTTAGTGTCTTATGGTCATAACTCAAATTTTTGAGCTAGTGTAAGAAATATACTTTTGAGCTCGTTTGTCAACTTTCGGTATTATCTGAAGATTGATTCCGTGGGGCGTATTTCAATAACACGCTCAGCAGGGTGTATAGCGTAACATAAGATGCCCCCAGCAAGCAGGCCAGGGGAAATCAGTGCATACGCCACTTTTTGACCGATTTGGAAGCACCGAACGGTCACTCGCTGACAACCTCGTTAAATTTGTAGAATTTAATTATATTCTACGTTCGATACCCTAGCTCAAGTGCAAATATTGACAAACCTCCAATCAATAAAAGTACCTTGGCCAAGAATTGTGTACATGCAGATTGTAGAATTATTTTTCGAATACTCTTGAGCGGTTTGAGTGGTCGACATACTGGGGATCGTGGATCTTCGTTTGCATTTCAGAGAACAAATTTTTGCATAGTCATTCCAGGTTACGCAAACTTCACTTTGGATACGTTTAAAAATCCACAAAAAGTTAGAAATTTGGATGTATTAACTGATAAGTTACCATAAAAGGGTGTTACTTTTAAAATAATTCTGCAGAAAGTGATTCTGTGCGTGCCACTTGTAAGCTAGGACCTCAAAGGTTCGACTCGCAATATTTCATTAGGGTGAAAACGTTGCAAAAACATGTCTGAAATTGCTGCATTTAATACTACCGTATGGCCCTTTCACCTTTGAAAACGAAATTATATTCTAAGCAACAAAAAGCAGTGCATTTACCTTTTATCCTTCCTGTCAAACACAGAACAGTTGAGTTTGTGTCAAGGAGTGTAGTTTGGCGGCGAGTGTGGCGTGACAAGGAGAGTAACGCAATGAACAAACGGGAACGGTTTTTTTTTTTCAAGAAAGAATACAAATGTTGAATTTGAAAAAAAATACTTAAAGTAACCATTTATTTTTAATATTATTAATGGTAAATTAAACAGTCTTTAAGGACAAGAAAGTAAACCTAATCTGGGGTGAAAATTTAAATCCTGGCCAGTAAGGGAAAGTTCATTTAATATGACAAGGGGGATGAAGATATTGAGGGGGGGCTCCGAAAATTTTTAGACACCCGAAGGGGCGGCTCTGAAAAAATTGTTGCGCTAGGAGGGGGGGCTCCGAAAATTTGTATACTTCAAAACCAACACATGACATCATCATACAGATCGGATGGTTTTTAACTCAACAATTTAATGACCTGTGCAACTCAGCTATATCACGTGGTTTACAGATATAACAAATGTAGTCTCAGTAATTATTACACTCTTGTTCATCCCAAAAATGCTTTAGAAAATTGTATCACAACTGTATCTCAAGTTTGTCATAGTATAAAATTAATCATTGAAGACAATAACGGTAAATATATTTAATACAGTCTAGCGATCTTTTTTCAGGGGAGCAAAGGAATTGAAGGAGGAGGGGGGGGCTCTGAAATTTTTTCGACTACCAAGGAGGGGGCTCCTAAAAAATTGAACCGCTAGCGAGGGGGGCTGCTAAAATGTCAAGCTTCGAGTTTCAATATCTTCATCCCCCCACCTTGTCATATTAAATGAACTTTCCCTAAGTGTAGTAAATCGGCCTTTGAGCAATCGGAAGGCACCTGTTGTACAAAGAAAATCAGTGCCAGATTTAAAAAGAATTGACAAAGAGATTTATCGCAGAGGAGTAGCCTTTACACATGACACACTGTTTTCTAAACAAAAGAGATCATGCTATGACTAGTAAAATATTCAGGCACATTTGTCAACTGAAATATTAGTGCTTTTTTACTCTAAAACTAAAATTGGGTAAGAAACTTGGCCATAGAATGTTAAGTTTAAAGTTAGATCTTTGAACACTAAACACTAAATATATACAGATTGGAATGTCAGCATCAAAATAAGTAACTTGTTAATCCAAATGACAAAATACCGTAAATACTTTGATTAGAAGTAACTAAAAATATTTTATGTACTAAGCTAATTTTAAGCACAGTCTTGAGTGAAGGCTTTAGAAAATGCCAGATGAAGGTACAATTCTCTGAAGAATTTTTTCTTAGCATGGAATATTCTCCATGACACAGAAGTCTTCCTTCCTGGAAAGAGATAAAAATCTGATTAGAATACTATCAAGTCAAGTAATATGGTTTTACTTTTTCCTTTAACCCAGGTTTTTATGACAGATTACATTTTCTATGCAAAGGCTAGGCCACAGGTGGCCAGCTAAGACCCCCCTCCTGAGTCAGTCCTCAGCTATGTCCCTGTATCTTACCCTCATGTAGGTATTCCACACTGGATGGAAGCCTCTTTGTCGGACTGTCATAATTCAGCTTTACAACAACGTCTTCATTCTGACCTTCAGTCAACTAAAATATGTCAAGAAGAACACACTTTATCTCTTGATTCTATTTTTTTTCACTGGTGGCTAAACTCCAGAATACTCTGCCACTTGTTTGCACCTCGTTAAATAACAAGAGGGCAATTGTGTTACGCTCTCTCTCCTCCGCAGAGGCTCCCGCTGGGTATACCCATCAAAATATCAATAATCGACAAAAATAGAAAGCCCGTGGGGGACGACGTGCCCCGCACGCTCTCTTTTTCTTTCTCCCCAGCCTCCCCACAATACAAAGAGGCCTCTGCAGAGGAGAGAGTGTTACGCTACAAGAGTGAATTGTGTTACAATAGAACCTGGGATGGGGTTTGTTAATAATTAACCAACAAATAAAACATTTTCCTTTTATTTTGCCTTGGAAACTAGCCTGCTGCAGTCATTACTTCGTGCAGCTTAGATAATGCATAAAAAAATATTGATTAACTTATCTCTGCGATGTTGCAGTGACATGCATCGATTTAAGTGAGACAGTTCATGTTTTGAATGTTATTGCCATTGTGACCAGTGAACACTAGAACTTATCAACGATTTTTGCGGTCAGTCATATTTCAAGGGCTATAAAAAGGTGTTCCCTGATGGAGGTTAAACCCTGGTTTTCAGGACCCAGAAAAAGTATCCCTTTCCCCTGATTAGAGATGTCCCTTCAACACGGGTAACAAATACAAAGATTATGTGAACGTTTTTCCAGGACAAAATTTTATGTCTCCTGAACATAGGTGTCCCAAAGGAGAAGTTCCATTGTATACGATGTTTTTCAAAGTATTACAACAAGTGATGGGGGTATTCTGAAGTGGCTCTGCACTGGCCTCCCCAGTTATGGTGGCAACACCAGATCAGCTTGTGCCAGTTACTATGGGCTCACAATGGTACCTTCTCTAACCATGAAATGAGCGTCAATGGGTTTCTTCACAAGAACAGATGCAATTTTCCCTCCTTATAAACGGCAAAAAATTCTGTGAGCTCCATGATGTACAGCTGAATTGTGACATTAACTGAGCTCCTTCATAAAAAAATACTGTTTTCACCAATCGAAAATAAAATTCATATCTTCATGCCGCTGTGTGATATCCTCTATTATAATTAATAACATTAAGTTCTGTCTCTTCGAAAAAGGAATACAAATTTGACAATGGAGCAATGTATGGGAAGGCAACAACCCCTAAATGATAAAGTAAAGAAGAGAAAGGTAAATGCATGGCATGGTTTATGTTTACCCTTGCTTCAAATTTTATTTTCTGCTGTTAAAAGCTGTTTACCATCATAAATTTCCAACAAAATATTTTTGGAATGAAGACAGTTGACCCAAAACAGCACATAAATACGTATTACTCCAATCCTCCATATGTTTTCTCACATTATTACATGGTCTCAGTTGGATTGTCTATTAAAATTTGAGGATTCTTTCTAGATGTCATAGTTACCCTAACTTTCAGAATTCAGAACTCCATGAAAACAACCTAACATATGCATAGTGTGACCTAATCTACTTATATCATCAACCCTGCTTTACCAACACTGGGTATCTGTATACTGTGTATTTTTATCGTGCGTTAATTGTAAACATAGTGTCCTATTCAAATGATGAAAGATTTCTACAGGTTAATTTCACGATGAAATAGTGTGATATGATTGCTTTTGATCATTCTGTTCATCCCTCACACTGTCATCATTTAATGAAGTTCTTTGCCTTCTATTATGCAAGTTTCACTTCCTTGCCTTTTTGCTTTCAGTCATTGCTCCTTTGTATCAATAAAACATTTGTCCATAACATTTTTTTTCTAAGAGCCCACTTAATAAGGACACCTGGATAATATGGGTATGTCCCCCTGTTGCCTGTATTAACCAGGTTCCACTGTACTGCTAAAAAGCCTACGAATCAGGGATAATGTAGTGATTGATAAATTTTAGTCAAAAAAAGATGAAATCGCTGTCACTGGACATTCTTATTTCAGTATTGAGGTGGTGATTCAGCTGAAAAATTGAGATTTTGGAAGGCTTGAGAATATAAGACAATGGATAACAAAGGCAGCTGTTTTATGGTAAACCTCCTTTACTGCTAAATGAGTATAGTTCCTTAATCACTGACTGATAATTTTATCAAGTTGATCAGAGTACATGTTACATTGTGCTCCAGACCAGAAATGATCCAGATGCTCATAAACCTTGCTTTTAACACTTGCATTGTTAGCAAATGCACACAGATCACATGTCCAGTGGTAGTGGCGAGAGAGATCATTTCCATGTAAACAACCCCGTTGCTTGTACTCTGTCTTCCAGCTAAAGTACTCATTATATGCAGTGTTGTTCTTATCCAGGTAGAGTAAATAGTCAGCAAGTGCTTTGACAGAAGGGAAATCCAATACATTGATAAAAGACCCTGGAATAGCAATTTTCTTGTAGTCAGCTCCCCCCAGTACAATAGGAACAATACCATTTTCTAAGGGGGAGCCCCAGTACTTCTCTGTCACATAATCCAGGCACTCGGTGTTTTCAAAAGCAAGCTGAAACTTGTAAGATTGAAGCAGTTTGGTGCAATCCTCGGTACTGAAACCTCCACGACTACTACATCCATTACTACCACATCCACCGAAAATATCCACTTTTATGAATTGCTTTAGTTTATTGACGTAAGAGAACCGTTTCCCTCCACAGTTACTGACTGTCCACACAACCAACTTGTCTTTCCCAAGAGAATAATCTTTCGATGCTTGTGGTCTTTCATCATCGACCTCTAGAGAAGTATAGAAACCATAAGGATGATAAATATCGGAATCCGTTCGATACGTCATGGTCCAGTTAAATAATCCGGCATATTGGCGCGTATCAGGGGTGTGGGCTGGGCTTTCAATGATATAAAAGACCCACGCTTGATTTGGAGACCGCTTGTTGTGCAGCTCGCGAAGAGAGTTTACGCTAGGCATATTTCGGGCATGAAATATAACTACATCGCTTGAATTAAAGTCTTCCTTTTTGTAACTAACCACACAGTTTTGGACGGCACAGGACTTGCCTTTAAAGTGAGTAAACTTTTGGTTGTCTTCCAAACCTTCCCACGGGTACGACCCAAAAAATCCAGTGTAAATTAGCACCACACGAGGACGATAAGGTTTAATGTTTGGACGCCCTACTCGCAGAGTAAACCTTGCAAGATGGTGAGAAATGGGAATGAGTAGCAAAATCATCATCAAACAAACACACGCAATAATCCAAATGGAGGACAAGTTTTTCCAAAACATTGCTAACTTCCTTGATTCTTCGACGCCGTATCCAGTGTGTTCGATTGCAATCCAGTGCCGCTGTTACATGTATTTTTCGGTACTGAAGACGAGCGTTGATAGCCTACGTGTAGCCGCACCCTCCGTCCGACAAAGGAAAAACGAAGCAGAAATGTGTCACTCAAATGATGAGCCTGACGACAGGTGATAATTCTTACGACATTGCATGAATGTTTTATTTTTTATCCAGTTACGTGACTGTCTGTACATCATACATTCACTGAAAATTGTGCCGCTGCTTATACTGTTTCTATCCCATTATTTTCTCGGCCAAATATAAGCGGTCCATGCTGAATTACTTCGTGGCCGTGATCGTCTGAAAAACCGCCTAGTGGGATTACGAAACTATTGAGGAACGGTGGAACTCTAAAGTGAAAAGAACATTAAGGTTTCTTAAAAAAAGCGTGCCAACCAAAATCCATATTCAGACAATAGATAGAAAAAATTTGGCTACACGGAATAAAAAAACACTTGAATTGAATGATTTACTTCTAAATTTATGCTCGACTCAGAAATGAAACACGAACATTAGATGTAGGCGTATGATTCCTTGAAATCCAGAATTTACTGTGGACTTGCCTCGAATGAAAGCGAAAATTGTCTGAGTTACCGTGACATCTCTACTGTACTGTTTGGCACGAAAAAAGGAAAAGGAATAGCAGGGGCACCCAACGGCAATTTTCGGGAAAATATCTGTTCGGAAGACGATTTGAGATCTAGAATTTTCGGAGCATTTGTTGTAAAATTTCTTGCTTGCCTGCCTCTCCTAGGATTTTCGAACATCTACAAAATGGTATAATTGCCCATTTTAACGGATTTTGACCCTAAAAAAGGCCACCTAGAATTTTCGGGAGCCTTTTCCTGCCTGAAATTTTCGAGAAGGTAAGTTTTTATCCCTATAATTTTCGGATCACTAGACTTCAGCTAGGAAATCCGAACAGATGAAAAGTTTTTAGGGAATAAAAATATGCCTATATGCACCGTTTGAATACTAAAATACGTTCAACAATGCTATGTTAAGTGGCTTTGAACTATATCCTCGTTGGGTGCCCCTGGAATAGGCTGGCGGCGCTGAAAATACATGTTTAAGTATTCAGCAACGTGACACTCAGGGAACGCATCTCAAATAAGTGCCACTAGATGTCAACTGAATAAACAAAGTTTAGATATACCAGCGATAAACCATATCGTTTTAGGAAAGTTTAGTAAACTTTGCTTTCATTCTACCGCCGTTGCCACCGCAACAGACTAGATCTGTGTTTACCATAGTAAAATAAGAAAAGCCGGTCACATTAGAAAACGTGTTTACAGTAGTAAACTCGACTTTACTATAGTAAAAAAAGCCCAAGTGTGACCACAGCCAGTGTCGCTAAAAACTCATTCCCTGTTGCTAAAATCTGTTAGTTCTCGCTGAAACTTATTCGCTATCGCTAAAATCCATTGTCGCTAAAACACATTCGCAATAGCTAAAATCCATTCGCTGTTCCAGAAACTCATTCGGCATCGCTAAAATCCATTCACCTGTTAACTGTTGCTAAAAATTAGTCGCGGCTCATACTAAAATCCATTCGCTATCGCTAAGACTCATTCGCTGGAAAAATAAAAATAACCCGTCGAGGCTTTCGTACAACCAAAGACGCTGCTTTATTCGTGTTGATCAATGATTTTATTTATAGTGATTTTAATGAAATTCATAAATCTTTTGTCCATCACTTTCCTTGCTTGCTGTATTTCTTTTACTGAACAGTTCAGTTTTTTTTTTCAGCTATTTAATTAAGCAGTATTTTTTTTTCTAAGACAGCTATTTTGTCACTATACGTGTATGACCTATATTCCTTCTACTCAGGCGTTCTACTCGTACTTCTCTACGAACTACAGGGGCACCCAATGGATCTGTTCCTCCAAATATATTTTCTTCGGGCAAATTTTTGCTCGGGCCGGGAGACTTGGAAAAAATGCTATGTCCTTGGAAGGAACTTGTTGCTGGGAAATAGTCAATTCAGGGTGTCTGAGGAGATTCAGAAAGGATGTCGCTATGTAGCTACTCCCTCTCAGTCTTACTGCCGAAAAAACTGCTCAAATGCCCCGTCCCCCGAGCAAGTGTTCGAGTTGAAACCTCTCACCAAGAGAATGGATTTCACGTCGAATCCGCGCCTATTGCCAGCACTCCCGCAGGGGTTTATAAAGGTACATAATCACACCGCAGTTTATTCATGAGATTCAGAGAATAATAAAGTCTCTTCCGGAATAGCGAGAGTGGGAAACTCGGGGCGTAGAGTCTGTGGTGCATTACCTACACCACTAGGCCGACAAGCAATGGTTTGATTTGAACCTATATAGCAACAACCCCCAACAACCCTAAACTTAAATTTCGGGGTGTGTATATAAATGCAAAATTTGCAATAAATTTACTCTACAGTTATAGGAAACATTTAGCCATAAAGTCACTTTGTATATTCAACAACCCGAGAATTTAGCCATTAATCAGTGCTTAACCCAAATCACTATTTTCAGGGCTTATCTTCTCTTGCCAGAGCTTAAGTCGTGGTGTTGCACAGGGTTCAATTTTAGGCCCTTTGTTGTTTTTAATTTATATCAATGATCTCCCTGGATGTCTTCTCCATACCAAAGCACACATGTATGCCGATGATACCACGATATATGCGTCCTCTGTATCCACTGCTGAACTATATGCCAAGGTAAATAATGACCTAACTCGCGTTAGAAACTGGCTTCTTGCAAATAAGTTAAGCTTAAATGTCACTAAAACGGAGTATATGTTCTTAACAACTACCTTCAAATTATCTAACTTAGGAAGAGACTTTCCAATTAAGATTGGCAACAATCATGTTAAACGAGTCCAAACAACAAAATATTTAGGAATTCACTTAGATGAAAATCTTAAATGGAACGAGCATGTTGACAAACTTTGTTCAAAAGTCAATCGATCCATAAGTGGTCTAAAACAGGCACGTGATTATGTACCATTAGATGTTCTAAATACTATTTACAAATCTCTTATCCAGCCTGTGTTCGACTACTGCGACGTTGTTTGGGACAATTTAGACCAGGGACTTGCCACTAGGATCCAGAAATTACAAAATCGTGCTGCACGCATAATAACCTTTCAAGGTTATGACGTTCGTTCAGCCAAATACGAAAACAACTAAACTGGGAAGAGCTTGCCTAAAGGCGTCAAAGGCACTAATGTCTATTAATGTATGATACAGTGAATGGAAATATACCTAGTTACTTAAGCGATCTTTTCTCGAATGTCTGTGAGAACAACCCTTATAAGTCTACGCTAAGAAATGCGGAATATAATGTTGTACTGGACCACGTTCCAAAAACAGAATATTACAAGGGGTCTTTCTCATACAGAGGAGGAATGCTGTGGAATTCTTTACCAAATGACATAAAAGTGTCCGAATCTGAAGCTATCTTTAAAAGAAAACTGGCTAGTAGGCAGGCAAACTGTTGACTACATTTTACTATATTTTATTATTTGTACATATTTTTAGTGTAGTTGTACAGTATTTACTTCTGGCTTTCATGTAAAGAAGTTATGTAACTTATGAAATTACCGTATTCAAATAAAAGTGAATCAATCAATCAATCAATCAACCCTAGTCTTCACTCGGCTGTATTGGAGTGGCTTTTGGAATGCTTTGGAATTTTGAGTCTTCACTTTCCTTAAAAATATTTTATTTTCTCTGAAAAAAATTGATTTTCTAGGAAAATGCCCGAATAATGCTTAATGCGTTTGCCTCACTAAAATGCTCGCAAAAATGCATGCATCAGGCTCAAAAGCCTAAACTTGGCTCTACTTTGCGCAACATGTTACCGCAACTTGCAATTTCACGTAAGTTTGTTGCGCGACTAGTTGAGCGCGCGGGTGGTAATACAGCAACAACATAGGGCCGTTTATACGAGAGAAAATAAGCCGCGGCTTACATAAGACGCGAACACCCCGTATAAATGGTACAAAATCTACGTTCACGGATTATTCAACCCACGGCTAGCTCAAGCTGCGGCTTATCCTGGCCGAGGAATTTTGGGTTAGGCTTAACCGAGCCCCAGCTTACCGAAGACGAGAAAGTGCTCGTATAAACACAGGTAGCCCAAGCTCGAAATATGAACATCGGCTCCTGGCATCGGCGAGCATCGGCATTGTTTCGTAACATTCAAAATATAAGGATTTGTATGGGAAAAAAACCTATCTTTTCTGTAACCTACGAAAATGAAAGGATTTCAATAAAAAAACAGCTTACCTTACTTAAAATGTGTGTTACGTCTCTCCTGTGGGGTCCACAGACCGATTTATGGCCGCTTTATGGGTTTTTATGTAAACGGTTTTCTCTTTGCCTGCGTGCAGACGTCTCCTATTTCCTTTGTTGCACGTCTGCACGCAGGCAATTTTCTCTCTGTACAAAGGTAAACAATGCCGATGCTCGCCGATGCTCATATTTCGAGCTTGGGCTACCTGTGGTATAAATCGACTCAAACGTTGTCCGCGGTTTGCTGGGTAGTGAACCATTACTGCGCATGCTCTGTTTTCAATTATATTTCAAATCCCAGACCTTCACGGCTGAGAGACAGGGCTGCAATGGCGGGAAAAGGGACCGTACAAAACTACGACGGCGACGGCAACGTCAAAAAAGCAATAGGTTTAATGAGCAAAACAACAACTCTGCACGTGCATTACGCATTTTTGTAAATTTCGTTGCCGTCTCTGCACAACTACGACTTGAAATGACAAAATTTTAAGTGTACTCGAGGACGGGAACGCCAAGGCGATGAATTCTACCATCTCTGTCTGACCTCGGGCGCGGTCCTCTCTCTTGAGCTCCAACCTAAATTCCCTTCTTTTAAAGAACAGGACGACCTGGAATAATCGCGAAATAGTGTGAAAGGATGAGAAGTGTATTTTTCAGCGACGTTTTAATGGACGTCGCCGTTGTTGGATCGTAAGGTCCATAAAATGACCTGCTGCACGAGAGAGCCGGAAATTTCGTCTTAACTCTACCACTCGATTGATCGCTGACAAACTTTTCGTCGAGGTTTCCGCACAAATTTCGCAACAGCCCAGCACTTATGTTGACCGAAATGTTAATTTGAAACGAAAAAGACAGTAAAATATAGCAATTTTCCCGACCAAAGCCAATCGTTTCGCTTTTCTGCCGCGTACTAAGCGTGAACCATTTATACTAGTAGTTCGCGTCTTATGTAAGCCATAATCGTATAAATGGTTCCCCTCGCTTCTTAAGTAAGCCACAGCAATAGTAAGTCGCGGGTTATTTTCTCTGGTATGAACGGCTCTAATGTTGCGCGACAAGTTCAACGAAAATGTTTCCAGTATTACTTGACCTTTAGTAAAAAGTTCCTCAAAAGATTTGTGGAAATGCATATTTTTACTCAAACGTATAAACATTGACACTATTCCAATAAAAGTTTGCGTATTTTGCAATGCATATCTTGGAAAACTTTCCACGATCATGACGTGGCAGATACCATGTATGATCAGTAACTGTCAGGAGCCTATACTGGTGAAACAAACAATTTACCGTTTCTATAATAACTGCTTGTTTCTTTTCCTATTTCGGATGATATATTATCCTATGAGCAGTGGTTTCTCCAGGCCGGTAGCGTCCGGCACGAAGAAACCACTGGTCGCAGGGTAACGCAATGAGCACTTGCTGAAAAAAAAAAAAGAATATTTTGTCCATTGTTTAAAAAGACCCCAAAATTTTGTTTTAGCCTTCGACATTTTTTCAGATACGCACGTGCGTACAAGCAGCTAAGCCTTGAAATCCCCTTCCCACAAAAAAGGATTACAGGATAAAGTAGCCTGTTCCAGGCGTTCAGATAGTACAGCGCGGGAGAAAAATTCACGAAGAAAAAAAAAAACGAGGGCAGACTAGAGGGGGAAAGGGGGAGGGAACTCTCTCCTCCCCCCCCCGTTTTCCCGCTGTACAATTTAACTTGCTCCCCACTGACCGCTGCGCTCTAGTATCTGAACGCCTGAAACTATAGCCTGCGAAAAGCAGACGTTTCTCCTCGCTCATCGCGAGAAACATCTGCCGTTCGCAGGCTACCCTGGAACTAGCCTATTCCAGGCGTTCGGATAGTAGAGCGCGAGAGAAAAATTCACGAAGAAAAAAAACGAGAGGAGACCAGAGGGGGAAAGGGGGAGAGAACTCTCGATCTCCCCCCCCCCCCCACCGTCCCCCCCCACTCCCCCGTTTTCCCAGTGTACAACTTAACTCGCTCCCCTATCTCTGAACGGCTGGAACAGGCTACCCTAGAACACGCTAAGGATAAAGTTTCACATCGCGCTGTCACGCAAACGATTTTAATAGCGATAACAATATACGATCGGCGGATCGCAAAACGAACGCAAAACAATGTTCCAAAGACGGTTGCTGAAGGTTTGGTCAGTGGTATGTTTAAGTTCATTTTTCCTATTCTTTGCCTTATTTTATTTTGCGGACCATCTAAGCATAAAGTTTTTTCCAAAATCTCAAGTCCTCAACTCAGTCATCTCTCGGTCAGAACTACACAACAATCGAGGCCAAAGAAATTCAACCTCGATGGAGTTTTCGAACACCCGACCGCATCCCTCTGTGTTGAAACATTCCGCCGTCAAACGAGTAGGAAACAAGAAATCGACGGCGACGCATTCTACAGACAGAAGAACTTCCCGTGGATCGAAATCAAACAGGAATCCAAACTTCAATCAAGGAAAAGAGAAGTCCACCAGAAGACGCTACCGAAAAACTTATCGTCCGGTACTGCGACCTACAAAAAAACGCACTCGTTTTAATGTGAAATCCCAAAGTTACGGAAGCTTCAAACAAGAAAAACAAGCAGAAACAGCAACTATAACCTCTGTAAAACCTACAATCATCAGCGCTCTCACAACGCTGCTGGACCCACAAAGGCCTGAAAGAACAGCCTTTTCAACAATTCAGACCCCTCTGAATCCTACTGAAAAAAGCACTTATTTTACATTGAAATCATCGAGCAACCCAAGCTTCATTGAAGAAGCAACAACGACCTCGAAGCGTCTAACAGACACTAGTACTCATCGGCTGACTTATTCGTCTTTGGAATCAACTCAGGCAAGCTTCACAGCAAGAACAAGCAGTGCGACCTCTTTGAATCCTACAGACATTAGCACACATTTTAAGATGAAACCACAAAATAACCTAAGCTTTATCCGAAAGCCAACAACGAACTCGAAGCATCTAGCAGATATCAGCAAGCATCGGCTGATTTCTACTCATTCAGAATCTTTGAAATCGCAAACTCAGCTGAGCTCCACAGCAAGTTCAGCAAGGAATCCTACCTCTTTGGACACTGTAAGCAAAAACACTTATACTGATTTGAAATCAAATAACAATTATCCAAGCTTATCTGATCTACCAGGGAAAATAATTCCAACGACAGAAGCTACGGGCCCCCGTGTTGTATTAATTTACACGGCATTTTTTGGCTCCAACCCATGGAAGGGCTTGGAAAATTCGCAAAGTTGGACACATTTTAAAGGAAAACCTTGTCCCGTCCAAAACTGCGTTGTAAGTTACAAAACAGAAGAGTTTTCTTCAAGCAACGTGGTGATATTCCACGGTAGAGATATGCCACGTATAAATACGCTTCGCAAGCTACACAACAAAAGACCCCTTAATCAAGCCTGGGTCTACTTTATCCTCGAAAGCCCTGCTCACAGCCCTGATGCCAGGCAATATGGTGGATTATTTAACTGGACAATGACTTATCGTAGGGATTCGGATATTTATTTCCCATATGGATTCTTTAAACTTCTACAAGCTGACGATGAGAAGCCACAAGCATTTAGAGATTATTCCGTTGGGAAAGACAAGTTGATTGTGTGGACAGTTAGTAACTGCGCAGGGAAACGGTTGTCTTACGTCAATAAACTAAGGCAGTTTGTACAGGTGGATATTTTTGGAGGATGTGGTAGAGGAGATTGTGCTAGAAATTCAGGTGATTGCACCAAACTGCTTCAATCTTACAAGTTTCAGCTTGCTTTTGAAAACACCGAGTGCCTTGATTATGTGACAGAGAAGTACTGGGGTTCCCCCCTAGAAAATGGTATTGTTCCTATTGTAATGGGGGGAGCTGACTACAAGAAAATTGCTATTCCAGGGTCTTATATCAATGTATTGGACTTCCCTTCTGTTAAAGCACTTGCTGACTATTTATTGTACCTGGACAAGAACAGCACTGCATATAATGAGTACTTTAGCTGGAAGAGAAAGTACAAGTCGGGTGGTGTTCTCCAGAATGGTTTAGACGGAAACTATCATTGGATGTGTGACCTCTGTGCACTTGCAAACAATGCAAGTGTTAAAAACAACGTTTATGAGCATCTGGAACAATTCTGGTCCATGGAACAATGTAATTTGTTTTCTGAAGAATTTAATACAATCATTTCTCGCTAAGTGCAAATACACCTATCTGTTACATTGTACCCCTCATTATTATGAGTTCAAAGGATAATAGGATGAATCAATTACTTTTTGGCTTGATGAGATCAGATGGCAATACCCTTGACTGGAAGATAACAACGTCATCCTTAACATTTTTGATAGAAGTTGTCAAATCTCTCTTGTCAGCTCTGGCTATTACCATTTACTTTTGTACCAAGACCCAAAGGGAGTTTACTTACAAAAACATGCAGTAGTAACAGCAATTTTCCAATTGCGTATGCTCTTATATACCAAAGAAATGACATCAAAATATTCAAAATGCACATGCAAAGTTTTGCAAGTTAAATAAACTGCTGAAGAGGTGAGTGTTCAAGTATCTCTGCAAACACTGCACAGTAAATAAATGTTTTCGTAATAATATTTTTGCCCAAACTTTTCAATTAAATTAATATTATAAAAATAATAAATTGATCAATAATCAATTAATCAACCATTCCACGGTATAGGTCAATATAGAGGGGTCACTTGTCCACCCTTTTCCCTAACCAACATTTCTACAAAATGGCTGAAACTGCACTCCAGCCTCCCTCCAACTTACCTGTAACCTGGTGGAAGGCTATCATGGCAACATTCCACACTGCTTAAAAGGTTTTTTCAATGGTCAGGCCGGAGGCCGGGATTTCCCCTCAATGCATTCCCTGGCTACTTTCAAAGGAAGCAAAAGAAATTTCTAGCTGTTTGATTCCCCGTCTGCTTGTTGTATTTACCTGGCAACTTGAAATCTTAGTGACATCCCTGAATGGTTTTTAAGTCAGTCAAAAAAGGCTTGTCTTAACACAGGACTACTTCTATGAAGATCAATAAACTTCAAATTTCAACTGAAAAAACACTTAAGCCCCTGTGTGAAGACTACCTTTCCCTCAACCTAGTGCGTGCAATGGACTGCATCACGGCTTGGAACAGAAAGCACCAACTTTTGAAATATTTACCCTACCTTGGGTTTAAATTGAACAAAATCATGGGCAGGGCTGCATGATATTTCTCCTTCTAATTTTTCTCTGTGAAGCTCCTGGCAAAGATGAACCTGTGGGAAGAATTTACTTAAAGATGAGGTGCTCAAGTGAAAGATAATGCAAAACTTCAATCAAACAAAGACAGTAGTATTATTATTATTATTAGCTAAAGAGATCAATAAAGTTTAACTACGGAAGTTCTTTGCACGATAAAAAATGTCATTAAACGCATTACATGTACATTTTGTTTAGACTGTTTTCCTACTCATATAACTGTGCTCACATTGTGGGTGGCTCCTTCTAAAATTTTCTGTTATTGGTAAAAGATTTAATGGAGCCAAAACCAATTGACCACTCCAGAAAATACCATAGCATACCATAATGCTCTTTGTTTTTCACCCCAAATTTTGCATAAGCATTGTTTTCAGTTTCTCTTGGGGCCATTTTAACTCCCAAGAGAAACTGAAGACAATGCTTATGCAAAATTTTGGAGTGACAAACTGTTACAAAGAGCATTATGGTATGTTATGGTATTTCTGGAGTGGTCAATTGTGGAGTTGCACACATTTTGGACATTCTACGGAAGAACAGTTAAACCATATAGACATTTTGAGCAACAACAATTTGCTGTTTGTTCCCTTTGAATAGATATAAACAAAGACAGAATAATCTCTCAAGTTACCTGTTCTCGTCTTGCTACAAATGCATTCAAATGCTCTGAGATGACCATGAAAAATTTCTGAAAGAAAAAAATCAATATTCATCAAGTCAGAACAATCGATTAAACATAAAGTGATTAGAAAATTTGAGTTTCCTTGGGATGACATCACTTTCAAGTACTATACTATGAAATAAAACTGTGTAAAAATACTCCAGTACATCTTTCAGGGCAACTTTGTAAAACATTTAGGACTTCCAAATAGGGAGAACCCCCAAAATCCAGACTGCTTGATTGGAGCAAACTCCAGAATATTTTTCTCAGACTCCGATGTTTAAGTAGTCCAACTTCCTGAGCAACAGCCTCTCCTACTTCTAGCTACTTCTTTAATCAACTACTTGTCTGCCCAACACCAAATTTTATCATTTTCCTTTCAATACAACACTAAAATACTTTATCAGAGTAGCCCAGAGCAGTCGTACAGGCTTAGCATTCCCCTTTTCACATGCATTTACTTTATCTAGGCATTTGGCTTGCCGGTCGGAAAACTCATTTTAACACACACCAGCTGGATGGGTTTCTCCACTTGCCCCCGAGTATGGGACAGCACTTTGTCACGCACAATTCACCTACGTTTAACCTACTCAAGAGGCATTTGAATAAAAAAAGCATGACTTAAGTCATATGACCACAAAATGGGAGGATTTCAGAGTTTTATTCTCATGTAAGGAACTTTTTATTTTGTTGTGATGACCATCATGAAGAATCACAAACTGAAGGTAATTATCTCTTTCTGTACAAACCTAACTTGGACAATCACCAATGGTTTGTCAAATTCCTGATACTTTATGTATTTGAGGGAAAAAAACATAATTCAACCAAGTACAAAATACCTTAATATCACTGTTCAAGTACTGTTGACATATCGAGTCAACTGGGATAAAATAGAGTACAGTATGCTTGCAGATCTAAAAAAGGGATGTAAAAAGGATCTTTTAAACATAGAAGAAGCTCTGTAAGTAACCCAGATCAAATAATACTCACTAATTGCTACTAGATGCTCCAATAGAACATGTTTTTTTTTTCATCAGGGCTGTCACTAAGATTTCAGGGTTCCGGGTTCATTCAATAATAGTAGGTGGGTAATTGAACAGCTGTGACACATGCAGAAATTACTTTTGGTTCTATTTTCCTTCATGCTTCCCATGAAAGTAACCAGGGGAAATCCCCCGCCCCTGGCCCTTGGTGACAACCCTGCTTCATTACCTTTCATTGTCATGTATTGCTTCCTATTTAATGCACATCAGTAAGTTACTAATAATTTTACAGCTCAGCCAAACAGAAATTTGCAACCACTAGCAACTGCAGAAAAAAAACAATAGGTGTCTCCTATAGCAGACATCCCTTTTCCTTTTCCTCAACCACCCCTTTTGAAACCTACCACACTGGCTAAGAATTTGAGTGATAACAAGAAATATTACAGTCAAACCAGGTCAAGCGTTCCCGTCGCTAACGAACTAATGAATTCATTCACGGAAAAATGATTTCGTTTGTTGATTCAATAATCCATTCATAAAATGAACAATCCAATAGTCATATTTAGCCTCGATTCCATAATCAAATGTTGATTCGATTACTGTTTTTTGAAAAATTACACTTTCCACAAGTTGACCTCAGAATTTTGTTTTTTCCTCTTTTTTTTTTCTGAGAGTCGAGTGCTGGCGAGTTCTGAAGTTCAAACCCAAACAAACTGTTACATGTACGCCAGTTAACTGCCAATAATCAGTGCAACAGACCTAGGCCTGACCTCTTAGAAAACACGACAGTCAAACTGAGGTCAGTGTATGTGCGGTGATTGGTGGATTTCGATCCTCGGCCTTTTTCAGTTTCTTTGCGTTTGCGGTCTGTCTATTCTAGCTGTTATTTTGATTAAAGGCAATGAAAAACGCAATCGTAAACGGCAAGAAAAGGGAAGCAAATACGATTGAACACAACAGACAAGAATAAAGAACAGGTAGATTTTGTTCATAAACCAAATCAACATTTGATTATTGAATCGAGGTACAATTTGACCGTTGGATTATTCATTTTATGAATGGATTATTGAATCAACAAATGAAATCATTTTTCCATTAATGAATTCATTAGTTTGTTAGCGACGGGAACACTTGACCTGGTTTGACTGTAATATTATTTTATTGGCCCTTACTAGTTGTGATTTCAAGACAAACTATTTTGTTTAACATTTTGCTTATCCCCCGATTGAAGGCCTAAATATATGTACAGGCAGAATCCACTCAATTTTTAAACCCTCACGATTCTACCAGAATATTATAACAAGACATACAGTGTTGTGTCATTGACAACTCACCTTTAAACTGTTGTCCTTTAACTCTACTTCAATATAATATGGTTCACGATATCTTGCTATTGGTTGAAAAAAAAAAGAATTACTTACAACTTGAATTTCAAGTGATCAAAATTGGTGATCTTCTGACTTGTACAACAAGAAAACCAAAATACAAATGTAAAAATAACAACTAAGGGGGTTGGAGGTAAATGGTAATTGTAAAGAAGTGGTCATTAAGGGGAGCTTGAAAAAAGAATGAATGTATGAATATTATGATCTGTTTATCAGGACAAAAAGAGGCTGTTTGATAAAAAGGTGGCCTCTAGGTCAAGCTTGAGGTTTTTTTATATCTGAAAAAAAAAAAAACAGGACATTCGAAGTGTCCAGAGAAACAATGTATAGATAATTATGGAGCAAGAACACTAGAATTATGAGCAAATTGCTAAGAATATGCACCAACTTCATATTTCAACTTACAGTTAAAAAATGTTTCGCATCTAAAACAAGTCCTTTTGGCTTCCTGGGAAGCTATTGAGATGCCTGTCAGTCTGTAGGTGTCACACAGGTCAGTAAGCTGAAAGCAGAAAAACATTACCTCAAAAAATATTTGAGTATAATGATTGTAAAGAATACTGAATATGTCACTCAAATAATTTCCTCTTGATGTATCATTGGCTAAAAGTCAAGTAGCTTAAATTTTCAGTCAGAGAATTCCGGCTGAATAATGGAAGCATCTTAAAGAGAAAGAATAGCTTAAAAATCAGGTAAACTAAAACCTCCAATAGTTATTTTAAATATTGTAAAATGAGATGTTCCTCGTACCTTATGTTTTTGTAACATTCTCACAGCTGTGATGATAGCCTATAAATATACATAGTATTGCGTCAACTGAAGGACACATGGTGGTTTAGTAGTGGTTATTAATAATGTATGCAACTTTGGATTTGGGGGTGATCTGAGTTCAAGCCTTGACCATACATGTACCATTGTGATGTTTAAATACACAAGATGGCTTATTAAGACAGGGTTTTCATTCATTTTTTATTTGTTCAATTCCCCACCTACTAATAGCCATGAACATGCAATCTTGGTGACAGCCCTGCTAAGGTAACTGATATTTACAGAGTTCAATAAAGCAATTTAAAAGAAACTACCCAAATGTAGTACAAATTTCATCAGTACATTAAAAAATTATTATTTATGTCACAGTGAGACCTAATTTTTGCAATTTGATGAGCATTTGCAACACAAAACACAAAATTTAGTTGCCTCAAAATGATAGTATTTTATCCACATCAAAATTTCTGAAATACTTTCAATAACATTTTCCTGTCAATATGATGTTATATCTGTAGATTATAATTTTTACTACCTTAACAAAGCACTGAGGTTTTTCCCTCAGTTATCTGTAAATATTGTCACCACTACACATGAAACACTTTCTCATTACCATTCACAATCAGCTATATAGTACCTTATTACTGGTGCCTGTGACAATGTCCTTCCTTGAAGACTGACCTTCAACAAAGTTAAGGCAAGCACAAAAATAATTGATATAAAAAAACAGAGGGAATAGCACTTTAAGGACAGTCGTTGTTAGACAAATTGACACTCTGACTGTTGAAAATGAATACAAGTGTGGATGAATAATATAATGTATGTTGCTCAGTAGTACTTACTACCTTTTGCTATTACAAGATAACTGTTTCATGTGCAGTCAGTAACATTTATAACTAACCTCACAAAAAAGTTCTGTAAATGTTCAAGCACTGCAAAGCAAATAATTTGGCTTTTGACCACGAACCACCAGTCGACTAATTTGCTTCATGATTTAAATTTTTGAACAGTTGGACCATTTAAAACAACAATATTATATTCCATTACAACTGGGAAAAACAATGGCATTTAATTTTGTTTAATGCACTTCTTACTGCATGTTTAATTGGGAAATAATCTGATTTGCCAGGATGCAGTTTTAGTGCAAGTACTGCAAAACAAAATAATTTATATGTAGGGAACAAACATGCGATTAAGAGAAATAATACTGAGCTTCAGAAAATCTGCCAAATAAACCTACCTTTGCTTTTTTTCAGATACTTCTGTAATATTTCATGGGGACCATTATTCAGCCTTTTGCGGAGTTTATTTCTTCTTTCTTTTAACTGATCAACTGCCAGGTTGAGAAATTCAAAAGACCAAAAATTATGAATAAAATTACAATAAATAATAGAATGTCCAGAACAAGTGGCTTCTAGATCTAAGTACTGAAAACTCCACTGCTTTTTTTGGAGGGATAGGAATTTGTTTTTCCAATAGTGGGAGGAGGCTAAAGCATTTTCAGAAGCAGTGAAAGCCCATCATTCATTCAAATTTAAGATTTGTGAAAGAAAAAAAATAATAAAAACGATAGCCAATGGTGAAACACAAAACACAGGTTTTGTCAAATGTATCTTTCCTTCAAGCTGATGACATGATTCAACATCAATCAAAAGTTGTTGCTCAACATACTTTGGGTGATGCAATTGTTGAATGAGTAGAAACAAAAAGTTCAGTTAGTTTGACCATCGTTATTTCCTAATACCATCTCAAGGGATTCTAGAATTGAGTGTAAATGCTATGATGGACGATTATGATGGACTCGAATGTGTGTTATAATATTGTTCAGAGCATCCCAACCAAAAGGCAGATTGATAATGATGATGATTTCCTAATGCATCAATCAATTTCAACTGCACCATCCATTTGCCCTCCTATTCTTATCTCCTTTGCAGGTGCTTGGCTGTTTAAGCATCCTTGTCCCCAAGAATTTGTCATCTGAGAAGAAAAACTATTTGTCATCTGAGAAGAAAAACTGGGGGCAGTTCACTGGGGATGGGGTATGGAAGGAAATGACTGATACTTTGAAGCAACAACAGTCTGTCAGTCTTACTGAACGTTTTGTTTGTAGTTATTCAAAAAGCAGGAATTGACTGATGCACAAGTTACAACTTGCTGAATGGAATGGAGTCCACCACTTTTCTCTTTACAACAATCAACAAGTTGAATGACCTTTTCCCAGCGTGGCTAATGGAACAAAGCTGAACCAAAAATCAGTCGAACTCAAGTGAACCCAGTCAGTCTGATTGTTGTTCACTTGTTTTGGTAATCGAACATAATCGAACTGGAACTTTTCAGCTAGTTCTATTAAAAGAAATTGTTAGTTCGTTTACCAAACTCGAATCAAACAAACTAAAGTGATTTGTTCGATTTTGCTCGGTAGAAAGACAAAAATGGTATAAAAATCAGTGAGTATTTAGTTTTAAAAAATTACTGAATTGGAAAGAATCCCCTCTTATTCAGTAAATTCCATCTGTTCGATTCCAGAATTGTTAGTTTCATGCAGGCTTTCATGTATTCTGCTCCCTCTGACATCTTGCCTAGTCTGTACTGGTGTTTGAAATTGGACACATAACTTAATTGTTTTGTTAACCACAGCGTCTTGTTTGAAATGAGATGAAACTTGTTAATGTTAGCCTGTGTTGCAGCCTGCCCACACATCATCTATACCATTTAATGGTATAGTCCATCTGACATTCTTTACAGGAGGTTTAGAGTGTCTGCGATGCAGGCTAGTTTTATGCAGTACGATAGCCTGCGAGCAAGCTGTTGGGGCGCTCTGGCAGCAGGAAGTAAAAGCAAGGAGAGCTTGCAACTACATCTCTGGAATTTGAATTCCACCTCCAGTTTCCCAGTCGCTCCCCGTCAACTGAGCTGTCAGATTTCCGCCAATGAGCACGAAGCAGTGAAGAGCACGCATGTAAACAAACATTGCAAAAAACACGCCAAGGGTAATGACATCATTACTAACGTCATCTCCGCCAATAAGCATTTTGCATCAACTTTTTTGATGCAGATATTCAAATTCCAGAGACATTGCTGAAAGCTCTCCTTCCTCTTCCCGTCACGCCACCAGAGCAACCCGGAGAGCTTGCTTGCAGGCTGGAAGTATGATTGATTTTCGAACATTCGCTGATGTTCGATTGTGTTTGATTGGCAAAATTTTGGGGTGAGTTTGATTATGTTCGATCAGCGAACCCAATTGGAGTCAAGCGAACGATTGGAGTTCGATTACCAAATGTTCCATTGACTATGAATTTAACGTCACTAGCCTTAATTGACCATTCAACTGAAAATAACCAATGCTAATGTTAATAACAATTTACTGTTAAAATCATGGCATGCCAGAGGCTGGCGTTTCTGCATGTTGATGTAAGCTTAAGCTTATTATTTTTAGAATTGTGTTTTTGCTTGTTAATCTTCGGCTTTGACCGTTGCTGATAACTGACCTTTAGCTTGCAAATCATCAACCTCAGATTTTTCCTGTTTACCAACTTCAATTACAGCATTTCGTCTGGAACAAGTAATCAATTACAGCAGTAAAGCTTAATTTTGCAAACATAAGAAAAAGCGATCATCATCTGATGAATTTGTGGGCAGCTCAAGTTCAAAATATATCTTAGTTATAAAAAATATTCACTATTCAGAACGTGTTGGAGCTCCTTTGTAGTTTTCCTTTACATTTCGTACCTTTCAGCTTTCTCTTGGAGCCTTTGAAGTTCGTACAACGAACCTTCAACTTCTGCACGTTGCTTTGTTATGGTGGCCGCCATGTTGGACGATTCTATTTGTTCCCAAGTTCGCGCGCTTTTTAAATTCGTCCCCAGTGCGCACTCACAACTGCGCGAGGGTGGGAAGTTTCGGGTCGTCAGCGCGCTTCCCAATGAATAACTTGAATAGTTGCAACATAATACAATGGAGAAAAAATTCCTACCTTTAGGCTCTACTAAATCAGTCTAGTCCAGATCACTGGTTGCATCTATTCCTAGCCTGCGAAAACATCCGTTTCTCCTCGCTCTTCGTCGATGGGGACGTTTCGCGCGAAACGTCCCCCCATCGACGAAGAGCGAGGAGAAACGGATGTTTTCGCAGGCTAACCTATTCTCGGCCCTCTGTCACTCCCACGCCTTCTGAGATCTAGACCAGAGCAGAGTCATGGGCTCCTGGTCTGGAGAAGAGTGCGTAGAACAGAGGTTTTCAGGCGAGTGACGGCAAGCGCTAGCCAGCGTGGATTACCATGCAGACACTCGAGACGGAAGGGAGGAGAAAAATATTTAGTGTCGTGCCCCTCCCGCCGCACATTGCCAAAAGCCGAGGGGTGAAAACGAGCCTAGAACCAAGGTAGCTGCACGTCTCGCTCGCTCGCCTGAAAACGCCTTTTTCCGTCACAAATTCAATCCATAGTAAACAAGGAAAGCTCAGATTTTTTTCTCCAGTGATGGAACAAAAATTGATGATGTTTCAAGCTTAATATTTTTGCAGTTTGGAAGCTGTGATGTTGCCACAAACCCTCTTTGTATACTAGTTAGTATACATCTCCCAAATATTCCCACCCCAGGGGCGGATCAAGGATTTTTTTTAGGAGGGGGTGCACTCGTCTCTTGCTCTACTTCAACACCAATAAACCACATAGTTTTTTTTTTTTTTTTGCAGAATACCAGTTGTATTAGAAAACCGCAGGTCATCTCAGGGGAGGGGGGTGCGCACCTCCTGCTCCCTCCCCCTAGATCCGCCCCTGCACCCCGCCTCCTTAATGATCGCTTGCCCCAACTAATCGCTGCTCACTTGACATCAAACAAAATAAGCCTTTCTAACAGAGGGACGGCCGTTTTAAAATCAATTTGCGATGGCCAAGTTGCCAGAGGTCACTAAATTGCATAAACCGTTCTTAAAATAGAAGGGCTCTTTTAAGTATTTTTCAGGAACGATATAAACCTATTATCTTGAAGCAACAATACACACTGACAATACACCCCAGCTGTAGTACTCATAAGACCCAGCCCAAAGCTGAAAATAATCATCGGAAAATGTCTTACTAAAATTTGCCCATGTTCGACGAAATCCTTATTACAGTCAGACAAGAAGACCGGAAAGATCAAATACTTAAGACTGCAGCCAATTTGTCGATTCGTGAAAGTTATTCAAAGTCAACATACTTTATGTCTGAAAAGTAGCCTGGAATCTTGAATAAGTTATGCGCTTGGGTTGGTGTACGTGAGCAACCCCTGTCACATGCAAGGTGATAGACTTCAGAATCCAGAAAAGCTCTATATTACACAATTAATATACTACACTAATTTTGTTCTCGAAACACATACATAAACCCATCAATAAATTGCTTCAGTTGGGTGGAAAATACTTTATTAAATACAAATTCATCTGTTAAAATAGCCTTTATATATGAAAATGATTACAAATGTACGCATAATTGTCATCTTTGCATTTAGTATTCCCAATCATCTGTTAGAAAAAGTGTCTGAAGAGGTTTCTTTAAATTGAGATATCTCGTTATACTACTAAATTTCTATATTAACAAGAAAAATACTCCACCTGGTCGGTTTCCTCTATGAAAAACGTTTTCAAATTACTCACATGAATTTTCTAAGCAAGCTATGAGACTATTCTGTGCTTTGACTAGCTGCTCGATGCACCGTATTACTATTTGAGGCGTATAGAATACTTCACTCAGAAGCCTTATATTAGTAAACCAGGATATAACTGCATCTAAGAGCCTGGTGATAAGAAAATCAGGGGAAGAAGAATAGTGGAAAAGAATATCGGAAATCTTCGAATTCGTATAATGGAATAATGAACACGCCATAACCCTTCTTCAGCCCCGAAAAAAGCCTGAAGGCAAGGTTTGAACAGCCCTTGTCAAGAGTGGAAAAAATTCTGCGTAGTTTTGGGCTGTCCAAACCTTGTGCCACAGGCTTTCCGTTCCCGCTCTTGCAAGGTTGACAATCTTTAGAGCCGAAAAAAATAATGATTGCTTTTCCCTGACCTTAACACCATAAAAACTATTTCACTGGTCTGTTCCCTGGTAATCTTGGGCGGGAATTTGTGACAAGAGTAACCTCTAAAAACCTGAATCGCAGTTACCGGTCTGTAATCTCGCTAAGTAATGGCCCGCGGTAAAGGGATTACAGGTTCACGGTTAAGCGCATGCTCATTAATTACATGACTTCTTTCCAATTTATTATTAATTCTATCGGTTAATAATCTCACTCACAATGCAAGTATCTCAGCGATCTCAGAGTGTATTTCAAAGTAGAATTGTATTTCAGAGTAACCTGAAGTAGGATGGAGGAGTACTAAGATCGCAGAAAAAATTGGTGGATTATGCCAACACTAACAACGTTGAATTTCTTGTTGACCCGAAGGTTTTATTCCATGGTTGATTAATTTACAGCTATTTGCAAATATTTAAGTTGATCAAGTGCAAGTGACTGCCAGGGGAGTGTGCAGATTGGTCCTTTGACAACATTTTGACATGATCATACTGCTTGCATAGACGATACAGCATGTCCCGGCAGAAAAACAGCATTTGGATTAATGAGCATGAACTGAACCATGAACCTGTCTCTTTTACCCTGCTAGCAGCGTCGCTTCGATCTTTCCTAGATATCGAAGGAGACTCTGTTTGCAGGGTAGTCCTTTTAAGCTCCCATTCCTTGCTGTCTCCTAAACCTTACACCTGTAGTAAGACTGTTTTTAAAGGTGCTTGGGTTTTAGCAAAAAAGCAGAGTTATACTCCTTAAGAATAATGGTGACTCATAAATGTGTTTGTTTGTAATACATTACTGATTTGAATAGTATTGAATACCCTTCTTTTGTAAATGACATAAATTTGGTATTTATAAACAATATCTCTTCTGAGGCAATATTTGAAATTTTACTCTTGAATTAAATTTTAAGTTCGCTGCTACTGGTAATAAATAAATGTCCTTTTCTACGCTATAACTAAACATGATTTTAGGATATGTTCAGTATACGTTCACTTCAATTTATCATTAACTAATAAGGTTAATAGTATTATTAAACCCTTGGAGTTCTATGAGCCCTGCCGAAATACTGAACAAACCTGTTTCCGGCCGATTTCTACCAAAAGTGACGGCCTACGTTTTAACTGACTCAGAACAAAATATATCCAAATAAGAAAGTGTGAGTTACATTCAAGCGATATTTCTACTCACGCGTCAACTTTGTTTCTTTGTACTTCCCAGAATGCTTATGTTACGGTCAGTTTTATGAGTCAAAAAAAGGAATCAGCTGACTTTCCAATATCGCACCATCAATGTCGAGTTTTATGCCAAGCAAGCCTTGCATGCATGTTGCTTGAGTTGCTTCGCTGAATTGCTGAGCCTTTCGTTTCGCAACTTCTTCAACAATGTAAACTTATGTTATCATTCACAGATATTTCAAGTACAAAAAACGTTTATGAGTTCTGCAACAGTCTTTGATAGCGTTACGATGTATAGAACGAAGGATGTCGTGCTGTAAACGTGGTGTCACCGCGTCGCAGCCGTGTTAGAAGATGATAAATTGGGCCGCTCACTCGCTGAATTACCAGACCACATGACTTGATTAACACAAAATGCGAGGCGCCTTTATTCACACTACCTGCGGTCCAAGTAGACCGGTTTCTCTGCTTCATTAGTTTGGATTTTCACTACAGATCTATTAGCTGTGCTGTCTTCAGCCTTTTATCACTAAAGTACAACTTGGATTAAGTCTGAGGGCTCGCGACGAAAAGCCACGTCAATATTCAGCACCATTCCTCCGGCTCACTGCAAAAAAAGGAAAAAGGATTTAATTACTTATTATTTATTTCAAATATCAGCACTGCAGAGTGGCTCACCGATTCTTATCCGCTCTAACAAATTTAGAATCCTCACTTCAAATCAACCCTGCGATTATTGTAAAAACAAAGCACACATATCTACCTCAACTCAGAGCTCAAGTAAAACTGTAGCAAACGAGGAGGAAAAAGGTGCCCTCTTGCGAACGTGCTCGCCCAAATTGTAACCTTTTTACTGCCGCGCGGCTTGTCTTATCGTTTAGACTTACAGTCTGAATCAATTGTTTTCGCTAACCCCCATGAGCTCTTGGTTCGTCCAGTATCGCCCGCTTTTCGACAATTTAGGAAAAGGAAATATATAACTACAGATCCCTTTCTTGTTTTTCCATGGGCCAATGTGACCTAATTTAATAACCAGTACGTACTTTTGCGCAAGTGAGGTGTTGATCACGTGCAAAAGGGTGGGGTCGCGGTCTCTGAGCATACTCAGCAACTGGTTTAGATATATTCTGTTCTGCTCATGTTCCTCAAGTTTAGCCTCCATGTCTTTCACTGCTTCAGTCTGTAAGAAAATGGGAAGAACAACGTTTTTTCGGCGAAGCATTTCTTCAAAAGCAGAATAACTATGCATAAAAATGATAATGACGATAATGATGATGAAGATGATGATGACAATTCAAACTCCATTTGGGCAAACTCAAAGCCAATAGTTTGCATTGTGGCTCAAATGCATAATTTGGTCAAATGTCAGTTAAGTTAATTGCACAAAACACAAAATCGATTTATGCAAGACATAAAAAAAAATGCAACTGTTTTGCTTAGGCTGACTGGCTTACCAAAGTGTTAATCTTGTTTTCAGCCTCTTTTAACTTTTTGTCCTTCTGACGGGCAATGGTCTCGGCAGCGTTCACTTGCTTGCTCAAATACTGCGTAGAAATAATGTACAAGTATGGTCTTTCAGTTATTCTTGTAAAAAAAATAAAAGTCTGCAAAACAAACATAACACTGCCGGGGCCAAAAGGTGCGCGTGAAATCGAGATTGGTCGTGAAATTGAGAAATAAACATTGTGGGCCGAGATAGGGTTTCCAACTCAACACAATGCAAAGTGTCATCGGGGTTGGACCATTATTTTTCAAACTCAATTGCTGAGAGAAAAGTTCTAACTTTTTACAAAGATAGCACAGAAATGGCGTGACGGCGCAACCCCTTTCAGGAAGCACTCAGAGTTGTTGACTGCACTATCCGTTTAACAAAGCTATGCGAGGGAGATGCCCGATTGTTATGATTATTAAACGAACATTCTAACATCGACCGCTGCCGGCCGACTGTTACCATGGTTACTTACACTCTCCACATCTCTCAGTTCTTTATATTTCTGTTTAAAAGACTCATTCTCTTTCGCTTCTGCCGCCATCTTGGCTAAAGCAGACTTCAATTCATTGATTTCTTTCGTCCTTTCCACAAGAAAGATGTTTTCGAGTTTTAAATCTTCCATCTCCTTGTCGCTGTTTTCTGCTTTTGTCTCATTCTCTTCGCGAGCTTCCAGTTCGGCTATTCTCTCCAGCAACTGTTTTTTCTCGGACTCGAACTCTTCAAGTTTTTTATCAAATTTATCAGCTTGCTCTTGACTACGAGTTTCCATATCTCGCATCTGCGCTGTCAACTTTATAATATTCTTTTTCATTTCTTCCGCGTCTTTGCACTGTGTTGCCAAAGCATGGTTTTCCTTTCTTAGCCTTTCGGCTTCCTCCGCGCCAGCTGTTTGTGCTTCTCTTCCCTCGCGCTCAAATACGACAATTTTCTCTCTTAACTCTTTCTTCTCTGCCTCGCTCTTGCCTAATTCCTGTCTTAGAATTTCACCTTCGTCAATCTTTTGACATAGTTCTCGATTAATTTCCTTCAACTTCTCGGCTTGAGCAACTCCGATTAACAGGTCTTCGTTCTTTTCTTGAACCTCTTTCAACTCTGAAGCCATCTCAAGTTGCTTGGTTTTAAATTCTTCATTTACAGCCTTTAATTTCTCCAATTCTTTTTCTTGTGAATCAAGCGCATTGCTTCTTTCTTGTAAGGACTCCAAAACTTTCTCCTTAGTGTAAAGTTCGTTGTTTCGAGTGTAAAGCCGTTCGATTTCGCGATCCCGGAGAGTAATTTCAGAATCAAACTTTCCTTCAATCTCTTGCGCCTTTCTCTGGAGTTGTTTATTCTGCAAACGAAGCTCTTCAATCTCCCGCTCTTTCTCAGCAAGGACATCAACTTTATTATTCAGTTCGCTGTTAGTCCGCTCTTGTATCCTTAACTCCTCGTTTTCACGCCGCAGATTCTCAATCTCAATTTGAAGCTTAACAAGATCTTCACCTCGCCGTTTCAGCTTCTCGTTTTCCTGCAACAAGCTCTCGATTTCGAGCTCCTTCTCACGAAGCGTATCACTTCTTAACCGTAGATCGCGAAGTTGTTCTTCTTTTATCATTAGTTCTTGTTTGACAGTTTCCAGTTCCTGGGAAGCGATAGCTTCGGATTCTTCCTCGATCACGCCATCAAGACGAACCAATCCCTCCATCAAGTCTTCACTGGTTTCTTCGACGATTTCGTTCCTCTCGACTCCACCATGAGTCTCGAGCTCGTCCTCGCCCCCTCGCACCGAAGATGCTTCTGAGTGAACTGCTTGCTCTTGAGAAATATCTTCAGTAGCATCTGTTGTCCTTGAAAAATGAAGCAAGAAAAATTACATTCGCTCTAAAACTGACAACTTTAAGGCACAGACAAGGTCTGTGATATCCCATCTAAACACAATATTCCCTTTGAAAATAAAGAACTTAATGTTAAGGAAACATTCTCTTCTCTTTTCTTCGACTGAGTTGACGTGGGAAATGTTGTTTGGAACAATGCGTCTTTTCTAATATTGATGCCGCAGGTACATTCTGTTTAATTGACTAACAAACAAACTAAATAAATAAATAGAATAAAATTAAAAGACAAGCAGGTTAACATTGAAAGCCAGCTAGGAGAGTTGGGTATAGTTTTAAAACCCAAGGCAGAATTAATTGGAACGAAGCCAATGAGAGACACTTTCTTTTCTGAAAATTCAGTGACCCAAATCTCTTCTAGCATTGACCTTAATCACTGTTTGTAAGAGTATTACTAACCAGCCATCTAATGTATCTTTGCTATCCTCATCCTTGACGTCTTCAGATGCTCTTCTACAAAGTCTGAACACGTGATCAGGGGCGCTCCAAGCCATTTGCAGTCTCAAGGGACACACGTGATCTGCGACCTCTTCTCTGTCATCTGCCACGTTTAAGAAGGTAGGAAAAATATAAGGACAAGACTATAGCGGGGACACTAAACAGTCATTGACAAAACTCATTGCGACGCTTCAGCGAAAGCGTTTTCATCTTCGATGCTTCTTCTATTAGGCCTGACACGAACCAAACTCTAATTTGGGTAGACCTAAGGTAAGCTGAGATTGTCTGCTGGGTCAGACGTCAAAATTAGGACGCGCAAAATCAACTGAAACAGACCAAAACCCAATTTTAATAAATTTTCTTCCGAACGAGGCTAAATATACATTATCATACAAATTTTTAATTTATTAGTTTAGTTCGTCGCATGTGAGGATCGACGTTTGTCCCAGAGACGATCTTCAGACGTTCTATCCGTTTGAAGCAGACGGATGCTGATGGAACGTGTTGGACGATCCAAACTTAACTGAGCCAGACGTCGAACTTTTCATGAATTTATAACTCATTAAGTTTGGTTCGTCTCATGAAAAGTTCGACAATTGGCCTTGGCCTTAGTTTTGGTCAGAACTTAAGTAGAAATGAACACCTCCTTCCCCGCAAGAAAAATTTAAAAAAAACCGCAGTGTTGACCAACAGGGACCAGAGAAGTGGACCCTTAAACAAGGAGTGTCCTAAACTACAGTTTTTATGGTAGCGGACTAAATGAAATCCTATGGACTGAAATTTCTTCCGTAACACCTTTTGCTTTCTTTGTTTTTATCTTTCTTTCCTTTTTTTTTTACCGCGGCAGGATTAGTTCAGTTGGTAGAGCGCTTGACTGCAGAGCCGGGGAGGTCGCGGGTTCGATTCCCGGGCCGGACCAACACTCAAAGTCTTAAAATAACTGAGAAATGAAGGTACTCCCTTTGCCTTGCAAACGGCTAGACCTTCGCGTACCTCGGACGACAACGTGAAATGGCGGTCCCGTCTCCAGTAGGAGACGTAAAAATAGTGTCCCCGATAAGTACTTCCTTGCTAAATACCTTAACACTCAAATAAAGTGCTTTTTTCTTTGTTTTTCAAGGAAACAAATCCATGGCTTTACCTTCGTTTTCTTCGGAAACCTCCACCAAGTAGTATTCACTGACTTTACCAGGCAACTTAAACTTCTTGACTATGATACCCAGAGCTTCTGAACATGGAGTCTTTGGTGACAGGGGAATGGAACGATAGTCAAGATCATCTTCATACCCTTCCAGTTCAAACAGCATCTGTGAGGAAATCGCAGACCAAAGTGAAAAATCTGGTAAAAATAGCGCACAATATCAACTCATAATTGATAAAGAACGCTGTATTTGGCTACGTTTACATAACTGTTATTTTGCTCATCTCTCTTGGTTAGTCTCCTAAAAAGACGAATGCAATTTTAATGAAGTTCTAGACGTAGCATCACAGGTACCCCAAGCTCACGTACGTTACGAGAGTGAAATGTAATTTACATTCCGTGACACGACTGAGTCTGTATTGCGTTACAAGCGCTCGTTGAGACGTTGTATGAGAAATAATATACTGAGGTCTACGAACGATAAATATCGTGATATTTCACAAAAAATAAAGAAGATTTATCTTTGATGTATCTCAATGCGAATTCATCGATTTAGTCGAATTTTGGCTCTACTGCGTTACCCCTGTAACTCCATTCATGAGACGAACGAATTTCACCCTCGTAACGTAAGCTTGGGACGCCTGTGTTAGTATCAAATCTACCTTCGCAAGGATTATTCACAGATTTTCTGGCGCACTTACCTTGATGACTCCGTCGTTTGTACACCGCAATTCAAAGCGATGCTTTTCAGGATCAGACCAGCTGCACTGAAGCAACAGAGGGCAGTCGGAGTCTGACAGATCGCTATAAGAACCTGAGAAAAATACAACATTCCTCATGCGGTAAGATGATGGTCAAACAAAGTATTTGGCATCCTTGGAGTCGACCCAGGGGGAGTCAGTTGGGTCGGGAAAAAAAGCGCGACGAAATTCTTCAAGCACGGGCGAAAAAGCTTGAAAACTTTCCTCGCGCCTTTTCCAGTTCGGACCCTGCAACTGACTGCCCCTGGGTCGACGCCGAGGATGTGTATTTTGTGGCTCATTTACCATGCGTGGATGATGCACATGAACGCAAAATACTAAACGCACATCAAGTTTTATTTGCGTGTACTGGATGCCTCTATAGTATGAATTCAATTCATTTGATAGACCACTGAAGAAGCTACTTTTCACACGATGTAAAAACAAAACTTCTCACTTTGACCATACAAAAGCTTGATCACGGAACAAATTCATCCTTATATGTGACGTCAGCTGAGCTTTGATTTTGGCGCTTTATTTACTTATTTAATAGAGAGGAGGACTATGACGTCACCTTACCATGGTAGCAAACTTTCTACATCTCAACAATCTTTCTTGATATTTGCATTGTCGAACGATGGAAGAAAGTATGGTCTACCGTTTTGCTCTATCATGCACAGGAAAGTCATACACGTCATTTTTTTTCCCGTTTTTTCTGCCATATTTGCAGGACCACGGTTTGTTGAGGTCCAGATATTTTGCTACCATGGCAATGCAACATAGCATAGCGCCTTCTCCTCTGTACTGACGTGTGTTTGGTATTTAGTTAGTTCTTTAACGTATTAAATTTTGTTGCGACTGTGTTTTTCTACACCTTGGCCTTGTCGGGAACTGTGCTTACATTGTGGGTGGCTCCTCCTTAAATGTCCTACAATTGGTATAGGATTTAATGTAGCCGAAACCAATTGTGGAATTGCACACGTTTTAGGCATCCTAATGATACAGTTACGACATAGGGTATTTCAAGCAACAACAGTCTGCTGTCTGTCCCCTTTGAACTATAAATTTAAAGGCGTCGACTGTGAAACACCCCATTATCCGTGATCTAGGCTTCAAGAGAAGCCAGTAAGGAGCGCAACAGATAACAAACAGCACAAAAAAAAAGTATAAACACAGCAAGACTAACCTCCTTTTCCTAGACTTTTTTCAGAGATGTAAAACCGGCGTGGATCGTCCACTACTGCATATTTTCCTAAAACAAGTTTGACCATCTCAGCACACGTGGTAGTCATGTTAATCATGAAGCTACAGTAATTCATTTCTTCAGACAGTGCAGTGGGCCATATCCGTACCAGACCCTGCGGTCCAGCTTCCAGTAGGTATTGCATGGTAGGGTTGAGCTTTTTTGATGGTGACGACGATGATGATGTATGGTGATGCTGGAACAGTTTTGTAAGTTTTGATGAACCGGAACCGATAGAAAGGCTCTCCAGCAGTTTAGAGACACTGTAGTAAGTAAATGCAACAAGTAACTTCAGAATAGAGAGGTTATGCAATCACGACGAACACGGCAGTGAAAACGTCCTTATAAAACTGAACTTGCGATCTCTTTCAGTTTATCGCGTTTATTTAGCCTCGCTTAGTTTTTCAAATATAAACTTTCTCGGGAGTTGAATTCTCAAGGACTGTATTCGACTTCAAAAGGAGATGGGAAATTTTTGTCGTCGTGTGTTCACGCCCTCCATAAAACGTGGCATTGGGTAGTCTCACGTCTTAGTCGAGCAGCAGACGTGATCTACGCGTACAGCTGTTTTATTTTGCTCGTAAGACCTTTTGCTTTTTTTAGGCCTTCGCTGCCCTTATCCTGCTGGTTGCCTAGGCAATAGCCTATTTACTCCAATTTCTCTTGGGTGTTACAGTCACACCAAAAGAAGTTGAAAACAACGCTCGCGTAAAATTTGGAAAACAAGGTGTATTATGAGCAATTCGAAAGCGGTGCATTTGTTTTTCAAATTTCACAAATTTGGAATTTTGTCAATTTTTCAATTTTCGCCACCATTTCTGGAGATGAAAGGGTTTAAACCAGTGTAAAGCACAAAAATTAAACATTTTCATACCCCTTGTGTTTCTTATGCTGCTTTTCACTTTTAGGTTCTTTTTCTCCTAACTTGTCCTTATCTTTAGAGGATTTTCTTTGTTTCTTTCCTTTTTTTCCCTTGTCCTTTGTATCATGCACCTAAAACAAGAACCATCAGTTATATATAAAAAATAGTTTGGGTGATTGGTAATACAAAAGTCATGACTCTACAAGCACCGTGGGAAAGGAAACTTCCCACGGAACCGGGTATTTACCCCGCGGTACTCTACCCAGGTATTTACCCGCTCAAGTTTGTTTACCGGACAGGTCGCCAAGTGCAAAGTATGGCGTACATTTGCGGACAAAAATAATTGAAAATAAAGGACAATTTGAAGTTCAAAAATTAGACTATGCATGTCGAAATCTCGTCATATGAATTTGAATTCGCAATGAACGTAGTCGAAATACCATCATTCGAACTTGAAGTTACTTTGAACAAGTTGAAACTATAAAGGGAAAACTCGACATCGCAGATGTTAAAGTTCAAATCACCATTCCAACTAAAATGCAATTTACATGATTTGAACTTCAAGTTATCTTCTCCACTCTAATAAACCACTTAATCGTCAACAATGCAACCATAATCTTCCACAAAATTCCAAATGAAACCTTTAATTTGAACTTAAAGTCACGTCACATATTCGAATTCGATAGGATCGATTTCCGCAGCTCTCCCTCCCGGTAATCGATCCAAAGAGAAGCGGTCACACCCACAACAGAGGCTCAGTGTAGCCGCAACTAATATCACAAATTTTCTTTTGGAGACTACAACAACAAAAGCATTCATACTTACATTATAGTCCCTGGGCATAGTATCTGACTGTGACCACGAGGGAGGAGGGGGTGGGGGAGGCATGTCCGGATGATGATCATGGCTACCGCCAGACATGCTGCTGGATATTGATCCTGTTTCCGACGCCATCTGATATCCTGTTTCACTGTCACGCGGTGAAGATGATCCGGTGGATGAGCCGATACCAAGCTCGGCTTGAAAAGCTGGTGATCGTAGAGCATTGAGGACAGCCATAATCTTCATCCTCTCCTGTTCCGATGCCGACTGCAGAGCACCTGTGGAAGTTATCAAGCATTATTACATTAACTATGAACAACTGCATCTCAACACAGGTAACTGAAGATAATGATCACTTTTACTTGTGTTTGACATCGCCTAATCATCTATCACTGCAGAGCTCCCTATTTTTCCCCGTCCTAAAAAATCTGAAACGGGTTCTACTATATTGACGTTACTAAAAGTTCCAACTGGAACAACAAGCTGAAACATGTTTCAACATCTTGAAACAGGTTCAACATGCTAAGTCCTGAATTGGTTTTTTGTTAAAAATGTTTCTATATTGACGTTAATAAAAAATCCAACTGAAACGGGTTGAACATGCAGAAACGTGTTTCAACATGGTAAGTCCTGAATTGGCCTTTTGTTAAAACTGTTTCTATATTGACGTTATTAAAAGCTCCAAAAGTTTTTCTGGAGTTATGAAAAGCTCCTGTCATCCAGCTCGTTACACGCCATGACGAAGTGCTAAGCAACTCTTGCTTTCTTATAACTTATTTGGCTTAATTGGCTACATCACTCATTCACGACAAGAAGTGGATTGTAAAACAGCAGATACTACTTCGTCAGTCGACCATGAAGCGACAAAAATCTCGCTTTCGCCAACGACTCTGCTTACACGGCACCATGTTATCATCTTCGCTGGGAAGAGAAAGTTTTTCTCTGCTAGAGTTACACAGACTTTTAATTCAATTTCAAGTTATCAACTACAGCAATTGTTGATGGTTAGCGGAGATTTTGAATGCAACCCTGGGCCTGATAAAGTTAAAGGAAAACGAGTAGTTTGCTCGAGTAGCTCTAGAACGATTACTAGCAGCCAGTTTTAATTTTCCCAGCAAAATAAAAAAATAGATGTAAGAAATTTCGTTATCTGGCGATAAAAGATACGTTTTAAATAGGTATTTGTGTTTTTTGGCTAAAAGCTTCAAAACATGACAGCATCATTACTACCTCACACAGTAAACATGATATATTACCTTGTATTTCCATTTCAAACATGTCCTCTTCTTCAGGATGAAAACGACGATAAATCTCAGACAAGATAACTTCACGTTCATCAGGAGAATCAATCCCAATCTCCTCTGCAAAAAGGAAGAGAAAGTAACATAAACTATTGTAACATGAATAAATGGGTATCAGACGATGTGCAGCAGTTTCTCTAAAGGTGTAGTTCGTTAGCTAATGCCCAGTATAAACTATAGAATTAGTATTACTATAAAATATACAAAATCCGGAGCAAGAGCCGCGATCCTGTCACAATAAAAAGACAACCCATCGACAAACTCTCTGGGCTATGGTGGAAAAGCATTAAATCACAAAAAGTCAAACACCAAACTGATCATATTCTTTGCAAATAACTGTAAATGATGGTACAATAAGACACAAGGTAACAGTCCTACCAAGTAACTGGAAATTGATATTCTTGAGCATCTTTCCATCAACGTGATGCTCTGAATGTAAGAAAAAGAAAAAAAAAGTAATTTATCTCAGGTGATGCTCTTATTGATGTTATAGTAGAATACTTAGTTATCAAGCCTCCCAAATATTCAACCAAAACCGCAGAAATCCCTTTCCCCGTCACACACTGCACGTTTTTGTCAGTTTTCTTGATGGATACTTTGTTGATTTTTTGACGAAAATAAAAATATTAGTAATAGCTAACGATAAGAGTTGTGAGCAGTTAAAAATAATTATTATTATGATCTGTAAGGTCTGCTCCAGCACAAGCAAGTAGAAAATAACTTTATTTTGATAGTAAACGAATGTTTGAGTCACTTTGTTCTTTGTAGAATTAGTTTCAGGCTAGTGGACCTTACCAGCTCATGAGAAGGGACATTACTGATCCCGTTTTGCTTATGGATTTAGTGGATTTATTGGTGAGCCAGTGAGCATATGACCACGATTATAAAGTTATTTTTTTCTGATCCTTCACCCACTCAACAGTGCATGCAGGTCATTGTCTCCAAGACTATACCTTTGAACTCTGCTGTAAAATGTCCCAGCCCAATAAAATCCAGCCAGTCTACACAATCCTCTTCTGTCCACACATCCAAAGCCAGGTTGTGAAACCTCTTCTCATCTCTTGGCTAAAAAATTTGATAAAATACAAACATGCCAAATAATAAACTACATACGGTCTGCTGTATGAAGCCCCTGGAAGCAGTTAAACAATAGGGAACTCAGGCATTGAAGTGCTTGTTTATTGAGGTGGTCCCTTATTAGAAGGGATTAAATCAGGGGACATCACAGACCTTGTCAAGTCACACCCAACCCTACATGTACACTTAGCTCTTAAAATCCCAATATCAGCAAGCATATTCTCTTCACTGTTCTCTGAACGTTTCCTATGTGGTGCTGATTAGAAGAATTTGTTGCTAATCTGAGATCAGGCCAAATGCTAGCATGCAAAATGAAAATACATGTATACCATAGAACCTGATTAAATGTTAATTTGGTACAACAGGCGTTATGTGGGGGCACTCTCACTAAGCATTGAGTGCAGATTTACCAACTTTCACTTTGTTTAAAAAAAGAATATGCCATTCTTGTTTTCTGCTTTGCAATATGGGGTGAAAGATGCAGCAGATTTCCATTGATTTTAACAGCTTGCATCACAAACATCAATTACCACGTATTGTGTGATACAAATCGGCTAAGAGAAAGTTAAGTTCACCAAATCAACATTTGGAAGAAACAGAGCAATGGCCTGTCTACAGGCATCATTTCACATTTTTCCCTTCCTCCCTCTGAAGTGTTTTGCACTAAGCCATTTCTATGGGACTAAATTAAAAGACTGCTTTCATTGATGCTTAATCCTAATGTAAAACTCCCTCTTACAGAAAAGACCCAGATACATACATGTATATTAAAGTTACATGCAACTCAGAGTTAAACAACCCCAAAAAGTGTCGGCCAGAACCTCTTTAGAACCTCTAATTTAAAAAGTTCTTGTTGACCCGAGTTGGGGTTCATTGTTAGTTTTGTTTGGGTTAGGGCTATCTATTGTTTTCTATTAAACCAATCCTGTGAGCCGTTCTTAGAGCTTCCAGCCCACAGGGTTGTCAGAAAGTTTTGAAGTAGATGGCTGAGTTGTCAAAGTAAGCGGCCAGTCCAGGGGTATTTTCTTTAAAAAACGCCATCTGCAAAGAAATGCCAAGCAGAGTAGCTGGCTGATACTAACCAAGTAGGCAGCACTTTTCGCCAGCAGCCGGCTACTTTTGACAACTGTGAGTCCACCCCTCAAAACAGGTTGCAATATGCATACCAGTACAGTCGACTCCCAATGGCTTGAACCCTCAATAACTTGAACCTCCAGCTTACTTGAAGAAATTTCGTTTCACCTCAGAAACTTTCAATAATATATTGTACCTTTAACTCAAACCACAATTTTAAGCACGTGACAAGGTGAAAAAAAGCAGTGAACTGCAGTTCAACTCGTTGAATTTATTTCGAAACAACTATGTATTCTTTTGTTAGTCCAATTTAAATACAATGTTTAGCCCTGTATTGATTAATCAAGCTTTGTTTTTTTTAATCCTTTTCCAAAAAAGAAATATTTATCTTGCCACCCTTGAAGTGAAATCTGCATGATACTTGCATTCCTCCCCTATCCTATTTCCTTAATTCCAGTTATTTGCTTCGATCTCCCAATAAATCGAACTTTTCTTGATTTCTACTGAAGGTTTGAGTTATCGGGAGTCGGCTGTATATGCAATCTGATATGCACATCTGGGACTCAAATATAATGCACCTCAATAACAATTTTCCCAGTCCTTGCATGGTGTTCATTACAGTTTATCGAGGTTTAACAGTATACCTGCTGTTCCAGTAAAGAAGGAGGTATAACAGGAGATGGTGCATGAACTTCATAACCATAATCCATGATGTGTACTTCTCCTGCATCATCTCTGTCTCCCTCATCAGAACTTTAACACAACAAAGAAAGTCTATTAATCTTTTAAATCACCATGAACACCTTTCTTTTGTACCAAAACATGTGTAAGTGGCTATAATATTAACAAAATACTTTTCAAGCAGCCATCTCTCCCCATTGTCACATGTCAGAATAATACGTAATGCTTAATCTTGCAAATTTGTTATTAACATCTGAAGAAATACCACAAGACTGTGCTATAAGAAAAACTGAAAAGAACCATGCTTCTCTGAGGCTGTGAAATAATATAGGGTTTCCAGCATATGATTGCTATGAAAGAAAATATGACTTCTAGTCAAACAGGAACAAAAATGAGGCACCAGGGAACATTAGGCTCTGCTAGAGCACAGTCTTGTACCAGATACTTTTTTTTAAGGGGGTGGGATTCTCATAGAAGCTGCATTGTACATGTATGTATTTGGGAATGTGCTGTTGTCAGCAGTGTGGTATTCACACATGCTGTGCGTTCTTGGCACCTCTTTCTATTTTTTTTTGGCTTATTACACCTGACAAGGGTACTTGGAATTTAGTAAGTTCTTTGTTAGTTAATTCAGTTCAACGGATTTCGTGTATACTGGATTCTGATGTCTTTCCTTACTACTCCTTGGCATGGTATAGGTATTCAGGATGCACCAATGTGAGGGGTAGGACTTTCAAGCAATTTAATCAGGGATAGGGCACAGAAATCAAATATTTTGTTGAGAATAGGATGTCATTTGTGGTAAAATTTTGGACTTCTGGTACAAAGAATTAGAGTTTTTGGTTCAGCTAATCAAGGACAGGTTAGGGTTTTTTTAAAGCCAAGTCAAGAAAAGGGTTCCAAGCTGAGGACAACACTACCCAAAGATTCAGTAGTACCCTTCATCCCGTATCCCAGTATGATAGGAATTCCAACCTAGAACAGGGTGAGTTGCAGGATTGAAGAAAATAAATTCAGAGGTTCAACAAATATGCCATATAACAAACGTGCAGTTTTGTTCTACTTTTGATATTCAGTGAAAGCCAAAGGAGTGAGAAGCATTTTTGCCACACACAACTAGGAGCCACATCATTAAGCCAACAATAGAGTGGGATCAGAACTCCCCTTGCAAACAAGAATCACCACTTCTCACTAATTGATGGGATGATTCACCTCATTCAGATGACTTATTAGGGACATTAAGATCCAGCGACACAGCGGCAAAACAACGTCACTTAAAGCAAATTTGCATTTTTTCAGCCTTTACCATGATTATTCCTACCGACTTACTTTGTCAAATGAAGGCAAACACTCCTGAAGTTGAATTCTAAGGGGTCATATCCAAGTTCAGAAAAAGGAGTAAGATTTCATAATTGCTCCTTTATGTTCTCCATAAAATGTGAAATCAGTCATTTTCACGTCTTAGTCATGCAAAAACGGATAAGAAATGTACAAAAAAGTGTGCTGCATGTGTAAAGTTGTTGTTTTGCTTATTAAACCTATTGCCTTTTAGATGTTCTTGTTCCTGTCGTGTCATTGGATCTTAAAGTTCCTATTTCCTCCAGAATCTTGTCCATCACTTGACCAACCACTCAGCCTTCGGTTGTAAGGCTGAGACCTTTTTACAGCACAAGAGGTAGCAAGTGAACAGTACTATCTTTCGCTATCAAACTAAAAATAAGACGGCCAAGACAAGAAAATCACTTGGGTGAGGCAAAAAAAAAAACTGGTCGGGCAATGGAGAACGCCAACAAAACAGACTGAACTCCTAAACACCTTGTGGCATGAAGACTCCCCACAAACTGGAAACCCAGGCATACTCCCAGATGTGTGTGAGAAAAATTATTTCCACTTTGTTCATTCCTCAACCAGCAGAAAACCACACTTCTGCAATCCTGTGCTTTAGTAGCTGTTACAATCCCTGTACTACAGTCTTACAAAAAAAGAACTTAAGACTACCTTGCAAACATGGGAGGAGGATCAAACAACATTTCATCAATTTCTTCAACTTCTGACTCAGAAAATACAGCAATATCCTGAACAGGGGAGTGTTGATCAAGCATTCCATTCTCCTCATCTCGGTCCAGGTCAGGATCCTCAATTCCTTCACAACAAAAATAATGAAAAAAATTTAATCACAGCTATGCTTAACGATGCAACCTATAGGAGTTTCAAATCTACTGACTATTCAAGCAGTCATTATGTAACCTTTTTTTTCTTCTTTAATTTGTGTTATGGTTATTTACGTAGTCATCAAATAGAATTCTTTTATTCATCAGATGTTTCATGAATATTTGGATAATACAAGCATATCTTTTATGGTGTCATTTACAGCAAAATAACAATGAAGCAAGAACAACAAGACATGTCAATGAACATAGTATAGTTTGCCACTTGCAAGAAAAGGTTGCTCACTTTTAGACACCTCAAAGAGAGTTGCACTCAGTGATTTTGTTACAAATAGTTATGGTGAGTCCTGTAGCCTGCGTAGCAAGCGTCTCCTCGCGAGGTTCGTCTAGAAAGCTGGGACAAGAGCAACAAGAAATGAATGATGGGGGAGGGGGAGGGGAAAGAAGGAACCACTTGCCCGCAAACCCCATGATTTTGAAAAACTGCGTTCGCCCACGAACACAGCTTCTGATTGGCGCGGTGCGGGTAGTGTTGATTACTTAGCATTCGAAACATCAATCAAACCAGCTATGCTTTGTTTTCGTGCATCACAGATCTGGTCTCATCTGATTTGTGGTCGCAGATTACAAATGCTTCGGACTGATATTTCTTTGAATCCTGTTTGCGCCAAGGTTTATGAGATCAGAGTCTTCAAAGTATAATTGGAGATCGAGCAGAGGAGACTAGGGAAGGCCAATTTATTGAGAATGATGGCGTGCGGATCTGACTGGAAAAAATGGACTGTTTGTTGGAGATAACATCAACATAAATCAGAACATCGGTACTCAACACTAGCTAAAGCCGCCATGGACAAGCGATTTGTCAGCTTTTTGAAATGAAAAGATTATTTCTGTTTATTGGAAATTTAGCGGCATCTATTGTAGAGAACGTTTCGACACAGGCTGAAGAGCAGCCGCTCTGCAAAACTTATACCCGGCGGAATAAATTGTTTCGGACAAATCATTTTTGACGTGTCAACAAGGTTTCAGACGAGATAAAGCCACACAATAAAAAACAAAAAATTCCGCAGCAATCGCTCACAGTTTTAACTTTCTTTTATCATAAATCTTTTATATTACAGTTCTTGCAATTGCCTGCAACGTGTTCTATTAGAGAACAAAGTAATTTTACAAATCTGCTAATCCAGGGGTAATCTGTTCGTTATACTTCTATTTTGATGAGCTGTCAATTTACAAATGAACCGAACTGTGAAATATCAAGGGACGTTTTCCAGAATCGTGGGGTTTTTGCGGGCAAGTGTTTCCTCTTCTCCCATCCCCCTCCCCCTTCAACTTTTTTTTGTTTCCTCTCTAACTTTCACGCAATAACTCTATTGGAAACGCTTGCTGCGCAGGCTATGAGTCCTGGGACTCATTTTGTGAAAAATCATGAGTTCCAGTCCAGAACCAATGAAAATTGAAAATTGAAAATGCTCAGGTCTTAACACTGTATGTAACCAGACAGTTAATTTGAAGACAGACTCCAAAACTCTGTATTACAGTGCACTGAAAATAAAATACACACCGTAGTCCTTCTAATATGCATTGTTAAACAACCGTCATAACTGCCACAGTAATTACACGAACTGAATATTATTTTCTACAAAAACACATGTTCAGATCGATCAATCGATCTCTGCTACCTACGGGACGCATGTCATAAATGATTTTGCATCTTTGGGGATTTTTATGCGACAGGGACACAGGACACAGAGGCAACAAAATCACCCATTTTACTTTTCCCATGAGTGTCATATCAGAGACATCCACCTAGAGTTTATCACAGAGCAAAACATGCTTTAGCTTGGTAACACAAATTAAACAGAAAGGCTAGGAAAAATTAATAATAATTTTATAAAAAAAACCATATGACAAAGCCTAATAAAATTAATTTCCAGATATAATTAAATTACACTATAAGGGCGCAAGTTCAAGTAAGTTGTTCTTAGAAAGGAAATAAGGCTATTGGTTTATCCAATCTTTTAACAATTCAACAGTATTTCTCAAATAAAAAAGTAAATAACAAAATGTTTTTGACCCTGAATTAGAGTGTACTTGGTACAAATGTAAACAAAAACTAGAACAAGTTTTACAAGTGTGGACACAACCTTAGAGCTTTCCACAAGGCTACCTAAACTCACTCAAAATAAAGCAGTTCTTGCCGAAGGTAAATGCTAAGAAAATTTCCTGAAATGTTTTATTGAACACAAGGCAATAGTGTAAGCAAATATGCCTTAAAAGAAAAGCATTTGTCCCATAAACTATATAAACTATATGCAATTGTAACACTAAATGTAATAAAAACTGTTTAAAGCAGCCAAGTGACTACTGACTACCAGTAACAACTTTAACTGTTAGCACCACACTGCTCACCTTGTATTACATATATATGCAATTTACTGGAGATCAAAATTACATGTTAAGAATGTAATGAGTATCAACAAATGTCCAATACCTCAATCTACTACAACTCTATGCATGGTAGCAATATTATATCAGCAAAGAGAAGAATTAAGTCTCTAAGGAGGAAACCCAAGGATGTAATCGTGTGCCACAGTTTGTTTGGCTAATATCAATCCTTGGGTGAGTATAAGCTGCCTATGAACACCATCAGAATGTAAGTTATATGTCAAAGAAAAACTCTAAACATTCTTACTATTAATAATGAGTGTCTATTTTCATTATTATTATTATTTTTTTTTTCATTATCATTAAACATCCAAGCTTGGCCGAGAAACAAAAAACGAAAACATGCGGAGTATGTATACGTAGAGTAATGGCAGTAATCTGCTCTTTCTTATGCATGAAGTTCTGTCAGTCTTCTCATCGACACAACTTTGGCAAGCATAAATATTTAAGCGACAATATTATTATTATTGGCAAAATACATTTTAACATCAAGAATCTAGTGCCATTTTATGACACTAAATGGTAAGATCAGTTTACAACAAGGCTTCTACATGAAAACATAACGCGATAAATTTACAAATCCCAATCATAATTTCAAAAATGAAGTCAATATTCCAAGCTGAATTTAAACAACTACTACAGTAATCAAGCACAAGATTGACAAACCTCCAAATGAATCAGTCATTCCTAGCAGAGAAGAGAAAACACAGGCAAAACTGAAAGTTTGCTTCTAAAAAAATTTCACACACTAATATCCCACGTATGAGTGCCTTCCTTTAAGAAAGAGTAAGGAATGAACACCCTCGTAAGCAATACAAAAGGTATAACTTTCATGACAATTTTACTGTCACAATGAAAATCATCGTTAATAGTTATTTATGGCAATTCTGTGGAATTAGGTCCTTTTTTCCTATATTTCACGCTACATTACCTATAAAAAGAATTTTAAAGACTATAATTGTCAAAATAATTTGCACACTAAAATTATCCACTTTTCAACGAACCAGATAACCAACACATTACGTGCATAACTACGGAAAATACTGAACTGTCTACTCTGAGAACAATAGATACTCACCGCCTACTTCTATCTCTATAAGGAAGTGAAGAGGACGTTCCACCACTTCTAATATAAGCATCTTTTAGATAACAAATTTTTCAAAATGTTTTCCTTGCAGCATGCAAATTTTCAAGTACAACGGAAAGAACATCAAGAAAGAATGTGATATTTCAATGAACAAGACAATTTACAATCCTTGAAGAATAACTTTTAAAAATCAGGGAACATACAAGTTATCCCTTTATTGTTGTCCAATATTTAAAATCTTAACATCTCAAACATTCTTTGCAAAACCAAGTGTGAAGTTAACTATAAATCATGATAATCAACCAGAAAATTGAACATTTTACTTTAAATTAATTTGATTTTGAACTGAAATTACCTATGACAAAATTCTATTTTTTTATTTCTTTATTTTCCCGATTGTGTGACTGCATATTAACTATCATTAGAACATGATATTGGGCCAATATCACAACAATGCTAATATCACTGGTAATGAAGATTCAAATTTTCATGGAAGCCTCAATATAATCCAATTGGCTTTCAGGGCTAATATAAGATTGTCATTCATGAATGAATCATTTTTGATATTCCGTGCTCAAAAACTGTCAAAATTAAGTGCTATTGTGATATTGGAAAAGTAATTTAATGCAAAATCATGTCCAATAACATGAAATCAACAACTGTGAAAAGGTGAACGTACACAAGGCATTCTAGTTGAACACATAACAAAGGAAATGAACCCAATGCAACCAGAAAATGGCAAAAATTGAAAGAAATGAATAAACTATGAAGGTAAGTTTTTTACTTTACTAAAACATAGAAAACATGGCATACAAATAACTCTAAAAAATAGAGACTGTGTATATGGTCAATGAGTGAAAAGCTACAGTGTAATTCAACATTTTAGAAAACAAGTGACAGTTTTCATTTTTTCACATGTGAAAATGAGTTCGACCATGACTCATTTTACTGCTAATTGACTGCCCATAAAAAGAACAATTAACAGAAATAGAAGTGAATGACAGTTTTGATAACAATGATGTAAGCATAAAATTGACTTCATTGTAGCCACTGCTTTTTTTGGTATGCCCATTTACAAAATATTTTGTCAGGATAAGGTGAACACTCAAAATGATAATATGCGGTTCCAGAAAATATCCATACCCCTCCTCCTCCCCGCCTCCATAGAAAAAAGGATTAGTTACAATAATTTACCAGATTTTCAGATTGCCTGTGTGGGCAAAAACTGCCTTTGTTTTTACCTTCTCTCAAAAAACCAAAAAACAATCAAATTCTGTGAGATATCAAAGGCATCATGAAAAAAGTAGTGTCTACATGGACTGCATACGGTTATTTCTAAAAGTGCGTAATTAGCCAAATTTGTCACCATTATAGGCTGAAAACAAGCACGGTGTTACACTCTTTTAATTATTTTCTTATCATCCTCTTGAATAGTTATAACAGTGTCCCAAGTTTCATTGAAAACCAACATTGTACTGTATGTCAGGTTATTTTATAAGGGAATTACTTTTATCTTTCTGCTCGTAATATCAATACTGTGGTATGATCCAGGGGTTTCAATAAAAATTGAAGTAGCCAGCGGTTTGGACAGAGTAACCAACTGTATCAACAAGGGGCCGTTGGTCCCCTTTTCTAGTGGGGGTGGGGGGGATTTAAGCACGTTCTGACCCAGAAAATTTTGAAATTTCAAAGTCCTAAAAATGTGATTTTCAGCTTTCTGGGGACTAAATTTGAGGACAAAAGAGTGTGTTTTTCATTCAAGAAAATGTAGCTTTCAAGTTACCAGTCACACAATCAATTCCTACAAGCAATGAACAAATGATGAAAACTAAATTACGTACTTTTACACGTAAACAAATTCTGCGTAAACCTGTAAGAAACTTTTGAAAAAATGACTGACATATAGCGTTCACATGACTAAAGCATAACGTAAAACCAATGGGCCTTTCGCAAAACAAATCAAGATGCTTCTTCTTTCTGTAAAAAAGTGACCGACCTCTATAAGCAAAGTAGCCGACCTGTTTCGTCGGCCGTCGGTGCTTATTGAAACCCTTGATGATCTAATAGAGACCCTATCTCAAATAAATACCCCTTTATAAAAAACTTAAAACTTTAAAGTTTCTAGACGACACCCTTCTCTAATAAATGCCCACTGTCTGATAGACAATTGCCGCAAAACACTAGAAAATAGAAAAATCATTGAATTAAATCATAGTTATTAGAGGAGACTGGTTATGAAAAGCGGCAAACATCAATGATAAAACAACAGTGCTGCAGTTTATGTTCAAAGCACCGTGAAAGTGCACAATCCTTTGTTTTCTGTTGACAAATTGTTACGGAATAAATTAATGCAACGTTTTTATTGGTCAATACAATCAAAATGATAGGAATTCTTTTGAACGTTGTGCACTTTCAGGTCCACAAAAACATATAACAAAGGAGTCTGACGGGTTTCATAACCATTCCACTCAATTAACTATGATTAAATTAACAAGAGTTTTTTCATTTCATCTTGTTCAGTGTCAAGTTCAAAGTAAGGAATCCAACATAAGAAACCACATGGATCTCTAAACAGCCTACACATATCACTGGACTGGATAGCCTGCCTAGTGGGTGGGATTTATCATGCATGACTGCTTCACTGACTGCAGGTGCTCTTGTTGTGTTAAGTCATGAAGAACATGGGGATAAGGCAAGTTCCTTGCAGGTTTCTCACTCACCACCCAAAGCCCACCCCCCCCCCACATGCACTCACTGATCAAAAGGCCAGCTACATGAATGCAGGCTCTTTTCAAGGTGTAAAGAAAGTCACTTTCAGCCAAGCTGTAGCTAACATGTACTAGCCTACGAACCATTTTAACTTGTGCCCAAAACATTTTGATGATCAGGACTGATTAAGTTCTTCTATAATCTGAATAATTTACCCCAATAATTTCCCCTGTTGGGTAAGTTAAGAACAGAATTCACACTGTTGTGAACATGACAATTCTGAATGTTACCTTTTTCATACACCTATTCCAAAAAAGGAAAACTACTTTAAATATCATTTTGTAATCATCCTTCCTAATTTAACTTTCTATGTAACAATTTTTTTTTGAATTTTGAACTTGAGAAAGATATAAGTGAGGCTAATTCTAAATATGTAAAAAATTAAGAAGACACAACTGGCAGCCATTTTTAGAATTGGTCTGTGCTGCATGGATATAACCCAATCTTAAAATAAGTCATTTAAGGATCAGTATATCTGCAAGCCCTAAGATGAGATATTAAATTTCATTACTGACCATCTCTCAAAGAATACATTAAAGGAAACTCAACGTGTTAAGTCGGTCCTTCCGTCTGTCTGTCTGTAGTTATAAATGATTTCTTTGCATTGAGAGATCAGTCTGAGGATGATCTGTAACACAGTCTTATAAAAACAAAGAACATACCTTTACCTTGCTTCATTTTCTGTCTTGCAGAATCCAAGTCTTCAAATGTGAGGTCTTCATCGTCTAAACTAACATCATCCAACACAAGGTCAAGATCTTCTTCCTCATCAGAATAATCACTATACTGTAAATCACCACCATTCTCAACAGGAGAACTGCCATCTGATTCCTGTTCTTTTTGTTGAAGGTTAAATGTGTCTTGTTCGGCCTCAAACGAAGATTTTGACAAATTACCCTCGTCTGAACTATTTTCTGTGTCATAACCATGGAGCATTGAGTCTCTCACGACTTCACCATCATATTCAATAACAACTTTTGGTAACGTAACTTGTGGGCTTCCTTCCTGCATGTCTGGTCTGTCATTTAAACCAGTATCAATAACAGCCCTAGAATCTTTGCTTAATTCCTTTTTCAAATAATCTGCTTTACTTCTGTACATACCTGATATATCTGAGACAACAAATGGAGCTGTTTCATTTGTTTCAACTTCAATAACTTTTTCCTCACTGTTTCTAACATCATATTCCAACAAGACTGTAGGCTCTGGGCTTGTCCTATTCAGGGCAAACTTGTCTGATAAGCTAGGATGTTGCCTGGAATTCTCCTCATTGCTTTGACCTACACTATGTTTTGACGCCAGCAACGATGAGCTGGTTACTGGTTGCACTTTCTTTTCAGGTGCAAACTCATTTCTTTGAAACCTATTTTTTGTGTTACTCCCTGACAAACTCAACCCATCTGTTTGTATTTCTGTTCCATTGGTAAGATGCCTTGGAAAAGCCTGGCCAGGTAGAAATTTGCCAGCTTGAATACCATGCAATCTTTCAGAAATTGGCTGGCTGCGATTTTCATCAACCTTTGATAAAGAATCTGTACTTTGAGTTTCAACAATACTTGCAGTGTTTGTCATTTCTGACTCATCAACTAAAGAAACTGGTTTAAAGCGTCTACGGCGAGATGATGGACTTTTGTCCACAGATTTACGCTGTCTGGAACTGTAAGGTGTATCATATTTGGACAGTCGTGATGCTATGGCAGAATCTAAAGATGTCTGCCTTTCTGACAATGCAACTCCAACTTGGGCCATTCCTGTAGAAGCGTGATTTTCCCCGGACCAAGTTCTTCCATATCCTTGCCACTTTCCTATTCTTGATGACGAACTGGAAATATCTGAAGATGTTGTAGCTCTTCCCTGCTTAGTTCTGCTAAATCCATTTACTTCATCTGAGTTGTCAATAGGGCTACCTAACGTTCTTGACAGATTAGAATTCAAGCTTTTTCCATTCACTGTTTTTATTACCTTTCCAAATGAGGATCCTTGCATTGAATGTTTTGCGTCTCTACGAAGCGTTTCATTTGGGTCAGAAGCTGAGACATCGTCTTCTAAAGGAGGTGGCGATGAAGGTAAAGGCGGAGGTTCCATAGTTGCCGGATTGTTGTGCTCTTCAGATATCTTAGAGTCATGTGTCAAATCTGTAATGTTCCCAACGAAGTCAGATTCCTCGGGGACATGATCTGCGTTCATGCGGTTTAGGTTTCTATTAGGCTTTGGAAGAATTTCTGGGCGATCTACCTGATGTCTATTTCTTATCCTCGGCGATGTTCTTGGCGAAGTTCGCGAAACGGAAAGCTCATCACTCGAAATCGAAAAACCGACATCATTAGTGATCATGAGAGCTGGAGAAAATGCTGTTCTTTCTTTAACTGCGTTTAAACGATCATTTGAAATATTTCTTTGATAGTTAGACTTTTTCGAGTTACCTGCTTCCAAAGATGGCTTAGATAAATGCACAGATTCGCTTCCAAGCGAGTCTGGTTCAAATTTCCTTCGCGCCAAAGGAGAAGGTGATCTTCTGCCGGGATTTCGAGGTCGTGTTTTCGTCAAATTGTCAAGTGTATGTTTTGTTTGTACAGGCAGCAGTGAGCCCTTGTCATCTACCAAACTTGGAGAACTGTTAAAATTATCTTCAACAGGACCGTTTTCATTTTTTGTCGACAGGTTTTTCGAGTGACCAGTTGACCTGGTGTATGAAATTCCGAATGGTTTCTTGGTATCAGGTTTCGACAGCCCAGGCAACGCAAAAGCACTTGAAGGCAAAGGTCTTTTAGCCATTTTGCAATAGTTTTGCTGTAGTTACAACAGTGAAAAACGCCATAAGTAACTGCTGGGGTCAAAAATTGACAACCAAAACAAATTAACAGTGGATGCTCCGGCGCGAGTAACGACACTCAGCTGTGCATTCGATTACGGTGCATAATTTATGCAAATAAATGGAATAGATTAGTCTCACGACATTCCTTTGTCACGACGTTATGATTGACACCTACTCTCTCTTTCTTTCACGTTGCGAGCAGAGGTTCTTAGGGTAACGTGACTCTGTGTCTACGCAGAAGCCTATGTTTTACTGTGGACCAGGAGCCAAATCCACACTTGTACTCCGACCAATCATTTTCCACATTTCTTGATACTGGCCAGGGGCCAGGGGCGCAGTAATCTCGTACCCAGATCTTCCACGGCCAAGGTGTAAAACAGAGTGAGATCTGGGTACGAGATTAGAGGCGTAGCCAGCCATTTTTTCCCTATTTTGAGCCTTGAGCCCGAGTTGTTGTAGAAGTCCAGAATTACGGCGGGGGCGAAGGGCGTGAGGACATAGCAGAAAGCCACGTTAACACTCACCTTACAGCACAGTTTAAGAGTGTTTCTGTTCTATTAATCGGTAATACTTATTGCATATTAAAACCGATAGGAAAATAAGTGAATAAATAAATAAAATAAATATTAGATATACTACGTTACAATATACACCATGTGGCATGTTTCAATAGACAAACAAATTTGTGGGCTGCAAATAACGACTACAAAGTGGAATCAAATTAATATAGTGAAATTAATCAACTAATTAAACTATTTAAGTTAGGCAGACTGGTATGGTGGCCCACAACTGTCACGGCAAAACCAAAAACCTCACGGCAAAAACAAAAACCTCACGGCAAAACCAAAAACCTCTCGACAAAACCGAAAACCTCACGGCAAAACCAAAAACTTCACGGCAAAAACAAAATACCTCACGGCAAAACCAAAAACCTCACGGCAAAACCAAAGACCTCACGGCAAAACCAAATACCTCACAGCAAAAACCAAATACTTCACGGTAAAACCAAATACCCACGGCAAAACCAAAGCTATTTTGTTTTTGCTGTGAAGTTTTTGGTTTTGCCGTGAGGTTTTTGGTTTTGCCGTGAGGTTTTTGGTTTTGCCGTGAGGTTTTTGTTTTTGCCGTGAGGTTTTTGGTTTTGCCGTGACAGTTGTGGGCCAGCGTAGGGTATGGACTAGAGCCGTTGCGCCACGCACTAACCCCTGCGCTAAAGGATGCTGGGCTTGTAGCATGAACTATTTCCTGAGGAAGGCTGTTCCACATTGGAATTGGATTAGTACGTGGAAAAAAGGAAAATTTAAAAATATCCGTTCGCGCAGGGAGGTGATTAAATTTCATATCGTGTGATGGCTGGAACTACGCTAGAGACTGGCCGGGAAGTGGGTGGGCCCGCCCATGCATAGCCTGTGTTCTCGTGCCCTTTAGAAAAAGGCCTATGTCATTACTTATTGCCCCGAGGAACCAAATACAAAGTGCTCCTGTACAGTTTTGAAGAAAAATATTAAATAAATATCATCAGGAAACCACTCTAAGTTTTTGCAGTCATGCATTAAAACTTGAAAAAGTTGGCCCACCTCTTCAAGTTCAATCCATGTCCATCCCCGCAGATCGGAATTTTAATTATAAGTTACTTTTTCTTGGAATGAAAGATTCCGTTGCCACCTCGACTGAAGCGAGGGACCGGGAGGCGAGAAGTTTATAAGTAGGTTACACGTTCGGTCATTATTACTGAGGGCCCTTTCGATTGACATGTACAGTACACCGTTTAGGAGTAAAAGAACATGCAATAATCTCTCAAAATCACTTGTTTTGGCTAATTCGTTGCAGGGCAAAATCCAGAAATCTGGCGGACATTAATCATTGAATGAATGTAGCATTTTAATGGTATTGGTAAATTTGCGTTTGAAGAGATTTCCCAAATTTCATCTCATTCTTACTCCATAATATTATCCATCGAATGCGACCCAATATTCGGCCGAAGAGCAAAGGTATAATCCTATTTTCAAAATATTAAACTAATCAGCCCTGTGGGGTGGTCATGGTCGCTTACAAGAAGTTGTTGAGTCTAAGGGGTTCGGATAGTGAGGATGACGCGTAAGTGAAAGGCACGCGAAAATATGAGCGCTTGATTTGTAGCTCAGCCGCCCTTCCTCTCCCCAGTTTCCTCACGTTTTACTTTCGTGTGCGCGCTTTCTCGACAGGCTATTTCCTAGTTCCCCCGGGCCTCTGTATCAAAACGAGGTTACGCGCTTAGCCTTTGATATGGAAACGATTTTTCATGCAAGTAAAACTCATTTTCACAGGAAAGGTTGTGCATTTGGCCACCTTTTGAAAGTGAGGGTTTTTCGGAACTCGGAAGTGGCCTATTTCCCGACTATCACGGACGGCCTGGAGCAGACTTAAGAGGTTCCAAATATAGTGATTTGACCAGGAAAAGTTTGGAGTTTGAATCGGTGAACAGTTTATCGGTGATAACATACATCGTTTTGACAAATAAATTAAAAGACATACCCTTCATTTGGGTGTTTTAGGATTGTAGGTAGAACTTAAATTCGCTCCTGACCGATTACACAAATGAGTTTCTGGTTTCATATCGTTACACCTTATCAAAACAACATTGATTATTGTTAACAAATAAATAAACACAGACATTCTTTAGGAACGGAGAATTTAGTTGCACACAATGTTAAAGACTCATTACAGAAGTGCAGTTTTGTAGACGGTTCTTATAAAGATTTCCATGAAACACAAGTTTTAAGAAACTATTTCACATTCGTGTTGTGCGGCTACTGTCATCTCTGTGTAAACAAGCCTTGATTTGAGTCGTATTTCAAAGGGAGTCCGCGATCTCTACCCCTACAGAAAAAAAAACACACACACACACACACACCGGGATAGCGTGAGCTTCAGTATTCACTTCAGCTTGAAACAACACTTGTAAGTAAAGAGGCTATCTCGCACTATTTACTTTTTTTCTTAAATTGAATTCCGAAAATAATGGTCCACGTTTATAATACTCGTTTCAAAGCCCCTTTAACGTATCCGCACTCAATTGCTGGATGAGGGTAGAGAGTTTTAGGGATTTTAAGAATTCGCAAAGGGAGACAGCAACACTAGAAGAGCATACAATACAAACAAGAACTGTCTCGAAAATCCCGTAAGTGAGCTAATTGAAGGTGGTCTCACAAGGAGGTTTGGACTTTTATGATGGATAAGAAAAGTTTGCTTCTACATGAGAGTCCACACAGTTTACGCTCATTTCTATGGCGGTTAAATTAAAGACTTACAAAACGTCACGATAAGGCGTCCAACCTTCTTTCCTCTCAGGCCATGTTAAAGCCTGCAAGGATCCATGAATTGCTGCGAGCATGGATGATAATACAGATCATTACCCATGCTGCGAACAAGCTCTGCATTTCGAGTAGCGGGTCAAGCGAGCTGCGAGAGAACATGGCCACGTGGTAAAAATAGACGTTGACTATAAAAGCAATTCTAAATCTTCCTATTATGGACCTTTAACGAGGTGGGGGCGGGGATGGGGCTGAAAGAATAAGGGAGGGGGGTCACGTGAAATATTTTTGAAATACTGATAAAAATGAACGGTCCCTTATCTACACTTACTTTTTGACGCGAAGAAAGAACTTTTCTCGATCGAAAGTTTCAGCACCGTCCACATGGTTTAAACTGCCACTCTCCAAATATATATGAAAACACATCTGAAGGAGAAAACTCACATTAGAAACGCCAGTACTCTAATTTTATTTTCAACATTTTTACTGCTTGTAATATCTTATAAGCCTAAAGAGAGAAGAAATAAAGATTGTTTTTGGTTGACTCGTTATGCCAAGAGCTGATTTTTTTCATTCTGACCGAAATTGGGGCGGTAGTTTCAGCCCAGGGTGTCCAGCAGCATGCTTGGTCAAAAAAATAGGAAAATAGGAAACTCAGGGTTGAGAAAATAGGAAAAATAGGAAACTTTGTATTAAAAATAGGAGAAAAATAGGAAAATCAATAGTACTTTCATTGACAAAGATAGCCTCCCTGCAGCTCATCAGGGTTATAATAAAGGCTACGAGTCCTCAGCTTTCTACGTTTGCAGGATTTAGATCAACTTTCGCGGCTTAGAAGGAGTGAAAATGATCAGAAACGTTTAGTTTATCGGCTCAGTTCAGCTGATAATCAGAATGATATGCTTGACTATAGGTCAAGCGTGGTTCTATAATCAAAGGTGGTCATATGCAAATTCCCTTTAAGTTGGCAGCCAATCTTTGAAAAGCTTTGATAAGTGAAATTTCTTAGGATAGAAATTTCTTACCATTGCGTTGTCATTGAAGGATACCGAACTAGGACTAAAACGTCCCACGGAAAGCTTTCCTTCCATTAATCTGCAATCAGTAGCTGGTTGAGAATATGCTTGTCTGAGTCAAAAGACCGTATAGTTTTAAGTACGAAACCAGGCTTTCCGCAGTGTACGCAAAATGACACTGATCCATTTGGTACCAGATTGTAAGTGCGTCATGGTTAAGTTATAAGAAGAAGGTAACTCTCTGCTTAGCTTTGACTGCAAGACCGGTGTTGCAAGCAAAATATTGGATCCTTCGTCAGTTGCTTAGGTATAGCTGTTAACAAGGGTTAACAAGGCTCACCAAGAGAGGTAGTGCCGTAAACTAAACTTGAGTCTGTTCTTTTCACGTAGCATCCAGAATCCAGCTACTAATTGGTTTTGTAAAAAGGAAGCTGATTGATGATCTATCTGACCTGTGTTATGAGAAGACAACTTGAGTCTGTTTTCAGTTATAAAGATGACCATAAAAGCGAGCAAGACTTATAAAATAAACTCAAATATAACATGTACAGATACTGAAATGCAGTTTCAGTGGGCTATGCACAATATTATTCAGTAGTCATGAGAACTATATTACACTTCATACAATACATGTAAGTGCACTAGAAAATTATACAAAAAGCGGTAACAATATAACAAAGTTGTTAACAGAACTCTAATAAGCAACAGAGGCCGTGGGAAGAACAAATGTAACTATCATTATTGAGACCATTAGTACATCAAAGTCAACATACTACTTGCTTTATGATAAATTTTACTCTGAAACACACACAACTATAATTGTTTCTATTCCATTTTCAAATTTTTGTTCAAAATTTTGGCTTCACCAGCTAAAAAATAGGAAAAATAAGAGGTTTTAGTTTAAAAATAGGAGAAAATAGGAATAGGCTCAATAATAGGAAAAAATAGGAACTGGACACCCTGTCAGCCTTTAATTTATATATATCCTTCCAACAGATGACCAGTTTGAACTATGATTTGGTTTCTATAAAAATAAGGGTGACTTCAACTGTCATAGCATCTCTTGTAACTCCATTTTAGCCAAAGCATGGAAAGAGGCGCACACAAGAAAAAAGATAATATCTTTAACAATGGTGAGCATCGAATCCACGACCTATGGATTAGATCACCTTCTCCAATGTTTATCCATGAGGCCAGGATTTGATTAAATTCAAACAGTGTCTTTTTAACCTCTTGAGGATTGGCTGACTAACTTGCAAATGGCGTAGCTGATTGGTAAAGAGATTGAAGGAAGACTCAATGGCAGTAAGCTCTGGGTAAAAGACATTCACTTCTCCTCCCACAGCCTGTTACAAAGACTGAATCATAAAATGCAACATATTAGCAACAAAATACATGAGATACTGAATAATATATACTCCAATGTAGAACAGAGCTAAAATGAGGAGATGCAAATGACTTGAAGTGTGCACTGCAAAACATCAGGGTTGGGCGGGGTTGGGTGGGGGTCCACCCACCCCTCCGGCAAAAGACTTGATTTTGTCACTATAATTAAATGCGAGAAAATCAAAGCAATTATTTAATTTGGAGCAAAAATGTCGCCTAGCAGTTTTGTCCTCTTGGGCCAATGTCTATAATAGTAGTTCTACTTGCCGCCATTTGCTATATTTATTTTTATTTGATTTTTTTAGCTTTGCCGAAGAAACAAACAAACAAAAAAAAACATACAACGTAATTAAACTACAGAAGGAGGTCAGCAGGGACACTGCAACAGCTGAGACCAATTACAGAGGGCCCGGGTAAAGTAAAAAGAGTATGAAATGCTAAGAATGACAAAATTCAAGAAAAGAGACTACCAGTAACTACATACAGCAAGCGATCGGATGAGGTGCCAGACAGACACACTATTACATCAAAAAAAGTGGCTAACAAGGTCTTGTAATAATTATTAAATAAAACCGATTAAAACCGATTAAAATGAAGTTAAGGACACTAAACTAAAATCAAGTTCGTCAGCGAGACAGTTCCAAATTCTACATGCTCTAACGAGAAAAGATTTCTGGTAAGTAGTGGTCTTGCATTTGCTAGATATTTATTTATTAATATTGGCACTGGTGGATGATCTAGTCCATCTGTACTTGCGAATATCAGGTAAGACAGAGGGGTCTGTCTACCTTGACTAAACTATGTTATTTTGAAAAAGAAGATGAGGTCCAATAGTTATTGCCCGTGGCAAATAGGTAAGAGATTTAAAGTTTGTAGACGAGAATAAAAGTAGCTTATAGTTGAAGAATAAGGCAGGTTTAAAATAAACCTAGTGGTGAGTCTTTGAATGCACTCAAGTTTAGCAGTGAGTTCGATGGACTGGTGTGCCCAGATTTGAGTGGTGTATTCCAAATGAGGACGTACTGAGAACAGCGGTGCCAAGGATGAATCTCGTGTTTCTCTTGATGAACCCAAGTAGTTTGTTGGCACGGGCAGAATGTTCGTATACTTGCTTGTTCCATATGTCAGATCATTAGTAATGCATACACCCAGGTCATTTTCTGCGGCGCACGTTGTTCAGAGCAGAGTGTTGTTGAGTTGTAGGTAGACATTAGGGGCCTTGTTATGCGCTTAGCCTTACACTTTTGGCTTTGCTAAAGGGGACACCAGATGTTTGGGACCAAGTTTCAAGCCTTCCAAGGTTTGTCTGGAGGGAACAGGCATTGCCTATGGTCCTAATCTCCCTGGTTATTTCTGTGTCGTCGATGAACATTAACACTCGACTACTAGAAACAACATTAACGTATAGGAGGAAGAAGCCCGGTCCAAGTAAAGAACCCTGAGGAACTCCAGAGGTAACAGGAAGATCCTTCAAAATGGCGCCGAGTGCTGTGATGCGTTGGCGGCGACCCCATAGGTAGGACTGGAACCAATTGAGCAGCTTGCCGCCAAAGCCGGCTTGACTTAGCTTGTGGACGAGGCATCTATGGCTGACTTTGTCGAAGGCCTTGATGCCATCTTCAAAACACAACGCTTCAAAACCTTAGACACTATTGGCAATTAAGAGATAGGACGGCCATTTTCCACGTGATCTTTTGCGCCCTTTTTATGGACAGTTAAGACATTGGCCAGTTTCCAATCGCTCGGAAGAGACCCTAGTTGGAGTGACTTATTGAAGATCTTACAAAGGGATGGAGCGATTACTGGGGCAGTTCCTTTAAGCAACTTAGCTGGAATTTCGTCCGGCCCTGTGGCTTTACCGACTTCCAGAGCTTCAAGTGCAGTTTGGACCGTGGTCACAGTGAGAGTTAGATCGACCATAACAGTGTTCGAAGGTGCGCACGATATTTCCTCCATTGGACTGTCAACTGTAGATACAGAGGCAAAAAAACGATTAAACAGGGCAGCTATTCCTGCAAGAAAATCAGAACTTTCTCTCAGTGGATCATGCAGTTGGTCATCGGTAGTTTCAGGGGCAGTTGCCATCGAGACAAGGTCTGGAATATGACGTGATTTAGAATTAAGCTTAAAAATAGACCACAGGCGCTTAGGATTCCTCTTTAAAGCACGTATCTATGGAGTCATAAAAGTGCTTACGGCTTTCGCGGAGCAATTTCTTGACTTTCGCATGTAAAGTCTTGAACTTTTCCCTTATAGGCCAGTGCTCGGAGTCGGGTGTGACTTCAGTTTTTTGGAGAACTCAGTTCTTTCTGTTCTTTACATGGGATTTGGAGCAAAAATACAGCCTAGCGGTTTCGTCCTTTTTGGGCCAGCGTCTTCGCATGTGACAAGCCTACTTTTTGTGACTAATGGGCTGAGAACTCGATTATAATTTATCACTGCAACGTGGGCACGTTTGTATGAACACCAGAATCGAATCTGTGTGAGAAACCAAACTTCAAGCGATCTTTTTCAGTGATGTGCTACGGCAGGGTATTTAATACAGGATATTTGGAGAAACTTTACAGGGGTGTTGTGCTTATACATTGTTGCCACAGCAAAAGGTTTATGAAATTCCTTGACTTTTTCCTGACCAGCTGAATTAAATTAGTCTTGTATATATACAATTGCGATCTTAAAAAAACTGATGATAGACAGACATGTTTTGTATGGAAGCTGACTTTGAGCGCGATTTTCCGGAAACGTACCAGCAACAAAATCCAGAAATTTATGGACAGAATAGTGCAGAATACGTTTAACTTTTAAAATTTACGGACAAGAGCCACTATACCTACGAGTTTGAAAAAGTCTGGTAGAAACGTAGCCTACTTAAGACCAGCAAACTATTGTTTTAAGTCTAGTAGGAATGACAATGGCTGTCAAAAATAACAATACGCTATTGAAAACCACTCGGTTGTGAAGTAAGCCATTAGCTGGTGCCGCGAACTTAAAATAACTATAAAACTACTCGACTAAAACTATTAACCCAATAATCCAAGCGGTTGCGCTTCACTACAGAAATGAACAGAACTAGTAAAAGTTTACTTTGCAAGTGAATTGAGAGAAACTATGGAAATGCCTGGGGAGAAGTTTTACTAGCACAAACAGCGTTTGAATCAGTCCAAAAAAGCATTGGGCATTTTGGAAACAATCTAGGAGAGTTTTCACTGATGACCGAGTTGGGCGAGAACAACAAACAAACAAGTTTTATTGGGAATACATCAACAATATACAGCAGAGTTTCATGTTTAATGTTCCCCCGTAAATAGAAAAATCTAATCAAGGCAGGGAAGGCAAAAAACAGAAAGAAATGTTAATGCTATAAGAAACAAAAAACAGAAAAAACTGACAGGGCTGGGCTTAATAGCAGATTTACGGTAAGTATAAGGCATCAAGTGAATTTTTGTGAAACAGCAACATTTCTTAAGAAACCAGACTCTAAGCTTAGCACAGTACTTCTTAAACCATTAGATATGCTCACCAGGACTTCCACAACAAAGTATCATCCAATCTGACAAAGCGGTTGATTGAGATCCTTTAAAAGTGACCCCTTGTCTAAGACACTGAAAAATGCAATAGAACTGATGAGAAGATTCCAAACCAAGTGTACAAATCCTCTGCCAAGGGGAATCAAACTATTATTAGATAAAAACTCATCATTGATGCTACGTGCGACATCTTTCAAACTGGATAAATTATAAGTACTTACAATGCCTAATTTTTTTTTTTTTTTTTTTTTTTTTTTTTTTTATTTATTTACAACACAAGCACTACTTACAAAATGTTACTTAACACAACTTACAGTGCATACACTACTTACAACACCGTACTCATTACTTTTTTTACATAGAAAGAAGAAAAGAAAGTTACAATTACAATTATTGACGACTAATAACTTAAACTAAAGTGATTACTAACATAATTTACAATACTAACACTATAAACACAATGGCAACAGAAAAGTATAAGAGGATTATATATAGATTAAGTATAAGTGTTTTTCTTTTTATTTAGAAGGATAAGTAAAGAGAACTGAACGGCCTAGACTGTAATAATAATAATACTAATAATAATAAAGCGTTACGCGGTGCACAATATCGCCCATTTTTATAAAAGTCACTTAAAGTTCTATTTTTGGTACAAATATATTTTTCTGTTTCAATTTAATATTAATCCTTAACTTAAACCCTGCAATAATTGGACGAGTTTGTGATCTTCTGCAATCCCATATATATAGTTTGGCTATTAGTAGAAAGTAGTTCAGTAAAGGGCATTGTACGGCTATTATACCCAATAGCACATCCTGTAGACTAAGGTTGATCAATTCATTTGACAACGAGTAATAATATAATTCAAAATCCTTCCAGAAAAGTTTTGCATATACACAGTCAAAAAGAAGGTGGATAAGGGTTTCCGGTTTATACATACAAAAGGAGCATTTATCATCGGTAATATATCCTATTTTATATAACTTAGTGTTAGTATATAATATGGAGTTAAGGACCTTGTACTGAAAGGCCTTAACATAGAATTCAGAACATATGATGTGCGGTAAAAAGAAATGCTTTTTCTAGCTGATCTTCCGTCAGATTAAAATCCCGTTTTAAAGCTGAGGTATTTTTAGAAAGCTGTGCCTTTTTACTTATGAGCAATGAATAATAATCTTTTGATTTCTTCTTTAAAATATCAAAGTCGTTATTCTTAATTATCACGGAGGGTGGCATTGTTAAAAAGGTGTGATCAGATGTTCTAGGATTAGCTTTTAAGTGGGACGGTACAGCATATCTGAGACCTGCCCATACTAAGAAATTGGTTTTTTCAATCTTTCTTATAATGATACTATGTGACTCTGCAATACTTAAATCAAATCGAAGATCGGAAACCAGAAGAAAACCATTGTCGAAAAATGTTTTGTAAAAATTGGCTTATTATTTATCCTAATGTCTTTATTATTCCAAATAATATTATACCGCATTTTATCTGTAGAAAAGTCGTCACGAAAATCAGCCCACCATTGAAGCAGCTCGGAGTAAAAAGGTGATTTGATTAGAACGTCTTTTACATCGTAGTTACAATGAAATAGAAAGAGGCCCCGAAACTTTTAAGTTGATAACGCAAGTAATTCTTCCATGTGCTGTCGTTTTCGCTGAAGATTCTCTTTAGCCAGGCAAGTCTTAAAGATTTGACCATCGTTTCTAGGTCAATCATTTTCAAGCCACTTTTTTGGTAGTCATTTATTGTTGACAAACGTGTGACCTTGTCAACACCTCTCCATAGGAATTTAAATATCAATCTGTTCAATTCTTGAACCGCCCACTTTGGAATTGTTAATAATGATGCCACGTAAACAAATTTTGGAACAATCAACGATTTGATAACAGTAACCTTTCCATAAAGGGAAAGACCTCGCGCAGACCATATGTGTACCAATTTTTTCACGCTGTCTAGTCTTTCTATAAAATTTTTCTCGTGTAGTAATTTTTGGTCATAGGTGTAATAGACTCCGAGAGCTTTAATTGGTTCATTTGGCCATTTAATACCAAAAGGTTTTGATTTATTTTCCTTTAATGATCCGATCCACATTGCTTCAGTTTTTGAGGGATTAACGGCTAAACCTGAAATCCTCTTAAAATCGTCTAACAACCTGAAAAGAGTTTGGGCTGAGTCGATGTCTGACAGAACCACAGTTGTGTCATCTGCGTATTGAAGTAATTTTGTTTCCTTCTTGTCAATAGTAATACCTTTTATCATTGGATTTTGTCTTATTGCGATAGCCAAGGTTTCAACAGCTACTACAAAGAGATAAGGAGAAAGAGGATCACCTTGCCTTACTCCTCGTTCGACTGTAAAGTAATCAGAGATTATGCCATTGTTGATAACACAGCTTTGTATATTTTTGTAAAAAGAAGAAACCCATCTAATAAAGCTCTGGCCAAAATTAAAAGATTCTAGACAACTTTGTAAAAAGCTGCGTTCTAAACTATCGAAAGCCTTCTGAAAATCGATAAAGATCAACAAACCAGGAATGTTTTCTTCAACAGTGAAGTTCATTATGTCAAAAATCGATCGTACTGTTTCGCCGATATAGCGGTCTTTTATAAATCCAGTTTGATTGTAATGGATGATGCTTGGTAGAACATTTTGTATTCTAGCAGCTATAACTTTAGCCATAATTTTCGCATCCACATTTACCAAAGATATCGGCCTCCAGTTTTCCAGAAAGGATCGATCTTTTCCTTTCTTTTCGATGAGCGTAATTACTGCTTGCTTTTGAGAGCGCGACATTTCACCTTTTTCGAAGCATTCGTTAGCACAGAGAATGAAAGGCTCACAAAGTAAAGGCCAAAATTTTTTATAGAATTCGATGGGAATTCCATCGAAAATCTAAAATTCGAAGGAATTCCAGAAGTTTCCCAAAACGCTGAAGAAGAGAAAACTGCAAACGAAGATACCAAAGGCGTTCTTGTGAACTTTATAAAAAATACGCTTGGAGTTGAGAACGCCGAACATATTGAATTCCAGAGGGTCCACAGGCTAGGCAAGCCAAAAGATGATACTGGTAACGACGGCCGCACGATTATCGCTCGGTTTCTACGATTTTCAGACAAGGAGCGTGTCTTCAAACAAGGGCGAAAGCTAAAGGGCACAAACTTCAAAATGTTTGAGGACATTCCAAAGGAACTACATCAACTGAGGAAAGCGCAGATGGAGAAATTAAAACAGGCAAGAAAAGAAGGTAGACGGGCCAACTTTAGCAAGTCTGAACCAGACAAACTTTACATCGATGGTAAATATATTAAATTCTGACTCTAAAAGAATCCTTTGAGTTTGAGCTTTATTCATCAGTTTGCCGAACGGCGATTACAATATTTTCTGGCGAAGTTATAAGTTTCTTTTCTTCTCAATATTATGTATGATTTTTAATTATTCGCTCTTTTGTATCAAAACAACATCAGATAAGATCATCATCCTTTTGTTAGATTTTTGCTCCATGGACACCTTTTATTTTGATTATATTGTTTTCTCTTTTTTTTGGCGGAGGAGCTTTCTTCTGTGTAGGATCTAGGTTGTTAGTAGATGGATATTAATCTGGAACATGAGGTAGGTGTATTATCGTGTTTTTCCCTCTTGTTCCATTTTTGTGTAGTGTACGTAAAAGGCAATAGAATCTATTATTCTAATATATATGTACTGATGAAATTTTTCGCGTTAATTTCCTCTAATTTGAGGAAAGGTCTATTCTTATCTAAATATTGCAAAAACCAAGCGGAGCGCTCTTTAATCATATCTCATGTTTTCTTCTGCAATCACAGTTTTACTGGTATTTTACTACTACTGAAATGTGCGCTAGCACGTGCAAATTAGTTTCCTTAAATGTAAGGGGCATTGGAAATTTTAAGAAAAGGAGAACGATATTTACTTGGTGTCGAAAGCAAAAAGCAGATTTCATCTTCTTACAAGAAACCCACTCAAAAATGGACTCAGAGACGTGTTGGAGAAATGAATGGGGGAGTGACATTATTATGGCCCACGGGACCTCCAATTCACGCGGGGTGGCAATTCTTGTTAAAAAGGATGTTGATTGCACAATTCACTCAAAAGTGTTGGACCCCTCAGGACAATATGTTATAATAAAAGCAGAATTTAATGACAAAATGTATGTTCTAATCAACATCTACGCTCCGAATAAAGATTCGAATATCGTGAGCTTTTTCAACAATCTACTTCTGATTTTGCGAAATAATAATTTTGATGAAGAAGAAAACATTATTATGGGAGGGGATTTCAACTGCCCTCTTAATCCACTTATGGATAAGAAAGGAGGCCAATTGAGTCCAAGAAAATCTGTTGTATCAACCATTAGCAACCTACTAGAAGAGTTTGATCTCGTCGATATATGGAGAGTTAAGAATCCTCAGAAAAAGAGCTTTACATGGAGTCAAAATTTGCCTACGATCTTTGTCGTTTAGACTATTGGCTGATCTCAAATTCTTTACATGATCTAGTTAAAGCAGCAGATATAATCCCGGCAATTAGAACAGACCATGCAGCTATTACTCTTGAACTTGTATACAAATCTGATGACATCAAAGGTCCAGGTATCTGGAAAATGAATTGCTCCCTTTTAGATGATGAAGACTACGTTAATGGCATCACGGAGAGGATACCTATCTGGTTAGCTGAAGGTCGTAAGGACCTTTCGAACTGTCGAAGTATTTGGGACTGGTTAAAATACAACATAAGAGCACACACTATACAGTATTCCAAAAGAAAAGCTCGAGAAAGAAGTGAAAGAGAAAAGGAACTCCAAGAACAACTCGCTAATGCAAAGTGTGCTTTCGAAACAGATCCTAGTATTTTGAATGCAAATCTTCTTAACTGTGCTAAAGATATGCTCGAATTGTTTTATGAAGAAAAGGTTAAAGGAATAATTATTCGAGCGCGAGCCCGCTGGCACGAGCATGGCGAGAAAAGCACCAAATACTTTTTAAACCTAGAAAAAAGAAATCATGTCAAAAAACATATGAGAAAATTAAATATCAACGGCTCGTCTACCACGGATCCGTCAAAGATCTTGTCCGAACAACAACGTTTTTTATCAAGAATTGTACTCGAGTAAGAACATGAATAATGAAAATTTGCACGAAATTAAATCCTTTTTAAAAGATTTAAACATTCCTAAACTGTCAGAAGAACAAAAAATGTCTTGTGAAGGTGAAATTACTCCAGAAGAATGCGCACTTATCTTGGATAGTTTCCAAAACAATAAAACTCCAGGGAACGATGGAATTACAATGCCTAATTATCCTCTTAGGGATACTGAAACAAATTCAAATGAAACATAACATGGTTAAGAATCCCAAGTGAAAGGAGGCGAACCAGTTGTCTCTTTTACAAATGAGGTCGAGGCTTTGAACTCAGGAGCACCAAAAACATATCCAGATAGCAGTCAGGGCAGGACTAGAACACAGGGTCTCATGGGCCTCCAGATTACAAGTGCAATGCTCTAACCGCTCAGCCATGCAGGGTAGGGGAATACACAGAAGGTGTATAGTGGCCAAAAACTGCCCATCAAATAACAAAAATAGTAAAAATAATAATAATAATAAACAATAAATTGAATGAGGCTGTCAGCATCCAAGATCTACATAATTCCACAAGTCACAAGAAAGACAAATATTTGTATTTTATTTGTTGAAGATATTTCCTTTTTCTTAATAACCTTACCTCCTTGTAGACTTTCTTCAAAACATTTAACAGTTTCCCAACTTGGTTTCCAGATATAAACAGATTTTTTTTCTTGTAGATACTCCTAAAAAAATTGATAACACCCATAAAGAGACATTTTTAGGTATTTTTGCATTTCTTCTGTTTAGTTTAACTTTTAGTCAGAAAAACAACTATTTCGTCTTTGAAAAGCTATGAACTCTTTCCCCAATCCCTTGAGTTGTTTCAGACATAAACAGCTAGGCTGCCATGCCACTGCCTGTAAATGAGATTGCTACTTTATATTAGGGCAGTAGAGAAGTGAAGTCGTTACACAACGTTGCCATAGTAGCAAAACCGATAAAGTCACTTAAAAGTCTATTCGCACTATTTCAAACTTCACCAATCTTATTCAGTTTCATTTCATTTGGCAAATCTTGGCAAAAATTTCTTTGGGATTGTATATTGTTATCTAAGTTTAGAAAAAAGAAAGCGACAATTTTTGTGTTGTGTTCAACTACTCTATAAAGCGGGCTCGTGAAATTAGGAAGATTCATGTCGTAGTGGTGCAACGACAAAATAGCGTGATGCACATACAAAGTTGTTGTTTGTTAATACAAACATATTATTTTTTGCTGTTCTCCTTGCTGTTGTCGTTGTCGTTGGTTTTGTTGTCATCCAGAAATAGTGCTACCATGGTAACATGACATCACACTTCTCCTCTCTACATACCATTGCATCCTGATTCGTTGCTCGCATGTATTTCAAAATGTGGTAAAATAATAGTAGCTGGTTATATAGAATTAACTGGAGGAATTAGACCAATCAGAAATGGCAAAATATTTTGAGTGAATGATAAATAATAATATAGATAATAGAAGAATAAATAGTTACTGGATTGGCTGTTCTCAGAAACCATAACTGACACCATTGTCCTTTTTTAGTTTTTAATCTACATGTACAGTGTAAATATATTATGCATTTTGATATCTCCATACACTGTCAGCTTGAAGATTTAATTTTTTTATCATCAGCACATCCTTGTTGTAGTAAAGTCAAACCCTGCTTTACAGACACCCACTTAATACAGACACCTCATTATTATGAACTGTTGGCTTTGTCCCTGGGGAAAGAAAGCCCTTATAATTTATCTAAACTAAACTGGCTTAATACGGACACTTTCTATGGTCCCCTCAGTGTCTGTATTAACCAGGTTTGACTGTACTTCTGATGAATTTTGAGAGGAACACCACTGTCGCAATATGTGAGTCGGTTAGTGTGAAACACTATTGTGAGACAAAGAAGAGTATCAAATTAAGAATTATCATTTTTTAATTAATGTATTTTACTAATTATTATAAATAAAATAAAGATATATCAAAAGTACTAATTTTAATTATTAAAATCTGAAACCAACTAGGACACCAGCAGTTAATGCAAATCTTAGAAAAGAAATGTGAAGATATATTTGTCAATGTCTTTTTGTTTCTTCCATATTTTGGGAAAAGAAGTTACCTTCACATTAATTCTCTTTAAGGTTAGATTGTGTTATTTAATTGCTTCATAATTTTGCATAATAAAATAAACCTTTATCAAGACTAGGGTCAATTGCTCTTAATGGAACCCTGGTCTGAATGAGAATTTCATGTTTCCTACAGGACGATAATCTCTACATAGTGACTTCAACAAAGCAATGCAATTAGAAGGAATGTCACAACTACTTAAATACAGTCATTTTGCAGAGTTTAGTTTCTACTAAATTGCTTCTTGTTCACAGTTTTTCTCATGACCCATGCATATGGTGCAAATGAATCCAGCATCCAATGAATTCTGTGTAAACATGTAACTCAAAAATCAACCAATAAATATTCTTCTCACACTTAAAATGTTATCACTGATTTTGAATAAAAGATGAAATTTGCTTACCAATTAACATTTCAGATTAGTCCTGCATGTTCATCATTGTTATATATTTATCCTCCTGAAACAATGCTGACAACAAGCAAATCATGATCACACATTGTGACAGTTTCAGTGCCATCTTCGCTAAAAAAGGGTGTACTTTAAGATCAGATTACTAGTAATGCCAGAGAATAGTTATATTTTCATACCAATAAATTATGAAGGCAACCTGGAGTGGCCCCTAGTACAGGTCCTGGAGAAATGTGACAGAGTGGAAAAATTCTGTACTAGAGTTGTTCTAGCAATTTGTTTTAAGCTCCTCTTCCTTCTTGAACACTGCATGAAGTCAACCTCCCACAATCCATTTCTGTGCTCACGTTGGGCATTTACCAGTATCATTTGTTTCAAGAACCATTAGTACAGTTAGCTTCTATAGAACTCCTACAAAGAATAATTAAACCTATAGGGTTAAAGATTATGACTAAAACATCTACCTCAATGAAATTAACAAGTACATCTGATATACATGTATGCAACTCCTTAAACTCTAAAAAAGTGACCCCTGGAATAAACAAGTGGACACAGAGGGGAAAATAATAGGTTCTTTTTCAACATAGGTTGTTTATTCAACCGCGAGGATCATTTCTACTTTCATGTCTTTATGCACAGTTCAAAATATGAGTCACTTACTATATTTCCACATGTGAAAAATAATCAGTCACCAAGAATCTGTTTTCCTCCTTGTCACTAACCGTGTGCAGGGGTTCACACATTGTTAAACTGGAAAAGCATTACAGTATTTCAAGAGTTTTAGGCACTGTACTACAACATTTCATCAAATCAATCAATCAGACTAGGCAATTTCTTTATACATGTATGTCAATTTATTGTATCTCACTTTAGTAGAAGTAGGATGAAAAGCACTTTATGCATTCAATAATTCCTTCGCTTCACAGCATTATTTACATTGTAGCGCCCTGAAGAACTCTGCATTCAAGCTTCTATTTGTCAGAAAGTGATTGTATCTTTACACTGTACTAAAGACAGCGTGGCATCATTTCTTTATTCTTTTTTTGGGCGGTGGGGAGAGGGGTAATTACAAGAAACACGTGCACTGAGCTGTACAGATGTGTTTTGTATGCTCCAATCTCAATTCATGAATTCCTCTCTTATCCTGAACCTACAAAATCTGAAAACCATTCAGTATGATGGGTAACGACAAGCCACGAAAGGAATAAGATACCATGCTATATAACGGATCTTAGGTATTTTAGGTATTTAGGTATTTTATTCATTTGCCACACAATTACAATAATTACAAAAAGATGCCAAAAAAAAAAAAAAGGAAGGAAGAGATGGCGAGGAGGCCTAAAAGAAACTATAGAGCTTATGTTAATTAGGCCTCCTCAATTACAATTTTTCGAAGATGGGGTAAAAATCACGGCGACGGATACAATATAATATGAGGTGAAAAATTAAACTAATCAATATTACGGAAGTTTACAAATGTTGAATATTAAAAGGCTTTTTCCCAAGATTTTTGTTGGAGTATACTAATAATTATTACAAATAAATGCCTTAAGTGCTCTTTTAAAGGAGAAAGGTGAGGAAGCGTGGATGATGTTGGTGTTTAAGGTGTTGTAAAATTTAGGTCCTTGATAAAAAACGGAAAATTGTTTGGTTCGAGTACGACAGAAAGGCAGACGAAATTTACACGAGTTTCTTGTATTATACGAATGAATTTGACTTTGTAAGGTAAATTTACAATGAAATTTTAAAGGTAGAGTAAGGTTTTGATAGGAGTACATGAATAAGCCTAGTTGTAATAAGTATATATCATGAAATTTTAAGATACCAAGATTTTGAAAGATTGGATCAGTATGTGCATCGAAAGTTGTTTTAGCTATAGTTCTGATCACTCATTTCTGTAAAATCTCAAGATGAATAAGGTTAGTTCTGTAAGTAGAACAAAAAAAGCTTTCAAAAAAAGCTTTCAAAAGAGTTCTCCGCAAATTGCTATTTGATATCTTAGAAAAGGAGGATGACTATATTCAAATCCCCATGATTATTAAAAAAGTAGGTACACAGATACACTTGCTAAACGTTTAAATGTCTGCTTTTCTTTTTCTGTGTTATCATTTAAGAGTCAGTGACTCCTTGTCTTAAAGCATTGTATGTCAGAAAGCGCTGTGTTAATTAGATCACTTAACTTCTGTGGTTTATTTATTTTAAGTTGCAATACTTTCTAATAGTTTAAGGTTTTTGATTTTATTAGATAATTGTGTTATTCATGTACTTGTCTTGCCCATCATGAACAGCTTTCGAGCTATTTGTGGGCAAACTATCCAACTTTTGTATTTTTGTACAAAGAATAAAGTTGTTGTTGTTGAAAAAAACCCTTGGAACAAAACATACCCCCACAAGTTAACCTCTACTTACTAGTTTAGACTGCTCACAGTCCCCTATTTTTCCATAAGACTGTTGAGATCGAGGACTTTGCATTAAGGGCAGCCATCTTAGATGAGTGTCAAATCTACTTAGGGGGCAGGGAACGGTTTGGGAGGAGGAGAGAAAAATTTTTCTTGCCCCCTCCCCAAAGAGCTATAATCCCCAATGCCTGCCCCCTCGGTACATCATAAAATCAAGATGGAAATTTTATATAAATATAAATTTGGCTTCCAAAAGAACTTCCCTACTGAACAAGCCACACTAGAGGTCACTGAAAAATTAAAAGAAGCGATAGATAAAAAGTAAACATCTTTTGGAGTCTTCCTTGATCTATCAAAGGCATTTGATACGGTTAATCATAAAATATTACTCTCAAAACTATATGCTTATGGAATCAGGCATCTCCCCCTTGGCTGGTTTGAAAGCTATTTAAAACATCATACGCAGTACATTAAATTAGCCTTAGGTGATGCAGAATCTAGTTAATTGCCTCTCCTTTGTGGGGTAAGATTCTCGAAAAGCACGTAGCCAACTCCCATTTTAAATTTGTGCAAGATAACAACTTGCTATATGAGCTCCAGTCAGCTTTTAGGTCAGGACATTCTACAGACACAGCCCTTATTAGACTTACAAATCAGATACTAAACAAACATCGACAATAAGGAGTTGACTGGTTTGGTGTTTATAGATTTTCACAAAGCTTTTGTTGTAATAGATCATGAACTTCTTCTAAAAAAGTTGTCTGTCTATGGGGTTCGTTCCTCTTCCACTGCTTTGTTTAAATTGTACCTGTCTGAGAGAAAGCAGTTTATTACTTTAGGGAAAGTTAAATCTGAACAGCTGAGTGTAAAGCAAGGTGTGTCCCAGGGGTCAATTTTAGGTCTGGTGCTTTTCCTTTTGTTCGTCAACGATATGCCTCTTCATGTTCACAAAACAACTGTGGACATTTACGCAGATGATTCCACCTTATCTTCAAGTTCAAATTGGAAAACTATTTCATCACTAAACCAAACATTATCTGATGATCTGGCAGAGACAGAGAGATGGGCTAGAGGTAACAAAATGTACATAAATACATAAAAAACGAAAGCTTTGTTGGTTACGCGAAAGTGTCTACAGAGACATATGGACCAAGATTCAGGAAAGCTGGAAGTTGTAATGGATACCGCTGAAATTGAGCAAGTTGCAAGTTATAAACTTCTTGGCTTGATCATCAATGAAGACCTAACTTACAAAGTATATGTCAATGAACGCTGCAACAAGCTCTCCGAGCGTCTTGGCCTTTTACACCATATCAGCAGTAACATATATTGTTTGACAATTTAAGCTAGCTCCCTTTTTACAATGAAGCATACATCAATTGCTGTGCGCTTGCTTTCAAAAGGATAAATGGAACACTGCCTCATTATTTAAACACATCCTTAAGACAAAACTCAGATAACCATGCACGAATAACAAGAAATTGTAATTTAAATCTACTGTCCCCCTGCCACAAAAACATCTTAGAGGTAGAACACACCTTTGCATTGAGAACTGCTAAGGACTGGAATAACTTACCCCGAACCCTAACAACTAAGAAGACTTTGAAATATTTCAAGTCAGAACTATGGAAAGTAATATTAAATTTCCAAAAGATTAACGGATCTTTTGATATTAATAATAAAAGACTTCACTTCATTCTCATGAGTATTAACCCTCACTGTCCCTAATTTTGAGCTACTTTTATCGTTAGTCGAATACTGTTAAAATTTCATTGTAAATATTCTTATTGTAAATAGTAACCTATTACTAGTTTTTATTTCATTTCATTGTATTTTTTTATTTATTTTTAGAGGGCCACAACTTTATCAGTAATTGTAAATACTCTCATGCGTACCCTCGTTAAATAAAGTCACTTACCTTATCTTACCTCAGGGGTCTACATTAGGCCTTCTACTTTTCCTACCATATATAAAATGATCTCCTTAACTGTTGTGAGGGACCAACATTTAGAATTTTTGCCGATATTTATACAAATATCTTTTTATTAGTGACAATCCAAGAGAATTAGAATTGGTTATGAATTCTGCAGTTGAATCAGTTTTCAGTTACTGTAATACTAATAAGCTGTCTCCAAATTCAAGGAAAACTAATTATTATATGGTTGTAACATCTCCTAAAAAACAAGTTGACATAAAAATTCAAAATATTGAACGCAAAGATCATATTAAGTACTCAGGTGTGTTCATTGATAAGCACCCGAGAGTTGCCAAAAACATTGTATTTACACATAAAATTCTCAATAAAAAGATTAAGACACTCCAGCTATATTCTCTGACTTTATCATCCCAACAGTAGACATACACTCTCATAAAACTCCATATGCTACCCAAGGAAATTTGTATAGAACAAACACTCGCACAGACTACCTTACTACGTGAAATTTTCACAACATCTTTATTTCGCAATTTTGTATAAATTTCATAGTTTGATTCACTTTAATTTCGCGTTTTTGAGTACAACAATTTACATTTCATAGACAAATGTTATTTAACATGTCCTTGAATTAAATGAAATGATTTTATCAAAGGAACAATAACATCAAAATTAAGAAATATGCAAGAGCACCAGTAACAACAAAGCAGTTCTCACAATGTCCACAATAATTCACGTACAAGCATCAATTATTGATGCTTGTACGTGAATTATTGTTCTTGAGTCAATTGGCTACAAGATCCATTTACATTGAAAATTCCTCAGAAAAGTTAAAAAAATTTGATTTTGTAAACGTTTCAGTGGTAATAAACTCGTTCTTTCTTGCAGATTATGGACATAATGTGAGTTAATTAATTTTTGCATCGTGTTATGTTTGCCACACTTATTGTTTGCATCACTTTAATTTGGTGATTTTTTTGTACAGCAAAATTCGTGAAATTAATGTGTCATGAACATTTCATGTAATAAGGTAGCACAAATTTAAGTTTAGATATAAGGCAGTTCAAGCATGGGAAAGTGTCCCATCACATTATTTTAAAGTCCATAACTGAACCTGCTTTTAGAAAGCATAAAACATTTCTTCTTTCCAATCACTACTAAGCAGATGTCAAAGTATGCCCTTTGTTTATTGTGCGTTGGTACATAAATGAACACCCAGGTTAAGATATGCTTCAGTTAGTATAATATTTACCGTAGATTATTATGATACTGTGCCCATTAATCTTAACAAATATAAATCTTGGCTTTTTCTGTCGGATTATATTTCAAACATGACAGTGGCCAACTCTAAAGCCTCGGCTCCTTTGGCCACGGTGCCCATCCTCTCTCGATTTTGTATTTATAAACATTTAAATAGTACAATTCTTAAAGAAAATTATTATTCATTCAAAATGTTTCCGCAATTCTGATTGACTAGACGCACACGCATAATTCACTGTAACCAGTTACTGATGACCAAATTTGGAAGAATTTTGTGTTTAATGAGGAAATGACATCAAAAATGCAGCCTTCTACAGGTTAATGCACCATTAACCGAGAAGACCTAAGGACGAGGTTGAGTTGTTTTGGTTGTGGAAACAAAAATGGCAGACAATTCACTCGTTTCAAGAGTAAGACCAAGGCGAAATAATGGCTAAAAACATGGCAAGAACAGCAAGAATAAAACTCGAAGGGTGACATCTGCTATTTGGAGAATATTTGCGGAGCTGAACAACCCTAAACGTGTACTATTGAAGATGAAGTTAACATCGATGGAGGTAAGCATCTTTTAGCTATGTTTTTAAACTAGGAATTATTTTGAATGAATAATAAAACAATTATTGAATTCGGCTTTCGTATTGTATGAAGAATTATGAAGATCTCGGAGGATGTTATCGATAACACCCTCCTCGATCTCCATAATTCTTCATAAGATACTCAGCCTCATTCATTAATTGTGATTATTATTCATTCAAAATATTTCCCCAATTTTGATCGGCTAAAAGCACACGTATTATTCACCATAACCAGTTACTGATGACCAAATTTGGAAGAATTTTGTGATTAACGAGGAAATGACGTCAAAAATGCAGCCTTCTACAGGTTAATGCACCATTAACCGAGAAGAACTAAGGACGAGGTTGAGTTGTTTTGGTTGTGGAAACAAAAATGGCGGACAATTCACTCGTTTCAAGAGTAAGAACTAGGCAAAATAATGGCTAAAAACATGTCAAGAACAGCAAGAATAAAACTCGAAGGGCGACATCTGCTATTTGGAGAATATTTGCGGAGCTGAACAACCCTAAACGTGCACTATCGAAGATGAAGTTAACATCGATGGAGGTAAGCATGTTTTAGCTATGTTTTTAAACTAGGAATTATTTTGAATGAATAATAAAACAATTATTGAATTCGGCTTTCGTATCGTATGAATTAGAATTGTGAAGATCTCGGAGGATGTTATCGATAACACCCTCCTCAATCTCCATAATTCTTCATAAGATACTCAGCCTCATTCATTAATTGTGATTATTATTCATTCAAAATATTTCCCCAATTCTGATCGGCTAAAAGCACACGTATAATTCACCATAACCAGTTACTGATGACCAAATTCGGAAGAATTTTGTGTTTAACCAGGAAATGACGTCAAAAATACAGCCTGCTACAGGTTAAGGCACAGTTAACCGAGAAGACCTGGGGACAAGATCGAGTTGTTTTCGTTGTAAGAACTAAAATGGTGGACACTTCACTCGTTTCAAGAGTAAGAACTACAGCTGGAACTAGGCGAAATAATGGCTAAAAACATAGCAAAAACAGCACGAAGACAACTCGGAGGGGGACATCTTCTATTTGGAGAATATTTGCGGAGCTGGACAAAACTAAACGTAAACTATCGGAGATAAACTTAACATCGATCCAGGTAAGCTTGTTTTAGCTATGTTTTTAAACTAGGAATTATTTTGAATGAATAATAAAACAATTATTGAATTCGGCTTTCGTATCACATGAAGAATTAAGGAGATCTCGGAGGGTGTTATCCGCCTTAACACCCTCCTCCTCGATCTCCATAATTCTTCATAAGATACTCAGCCTCATTCATTAATGTTAAATTATCATTCTGTTTGTCTAAGATTAATTCATCTAAACAGTGCAAATAAAGTTGCAGTGAACGTTGAAGTTGAAGAAGCCGCCATGGTAAGCGGACGCGCTATATCCCGACGATTATTACTAGTCTATTACCTTTGCTTTTGTCACCAGGTAAATTTGGGTGGACTAAAATCCAACTTCGATACGGTTCACGTGAAGTCCGTCATCTCAAGCGTCAAAAAGGACCTGTCATTATACATTTAGGCGACGTTTAGGCCAAGAGATAGACAAAGAAGCCACTGAGAGCTTCATCATAGTGCTGCTGTTGTTAGTCACGCAACGCACGTGTATGATCCATCCGGAGATCTCCTAATAAGGTCTCAGGCGATGGTGATTGGCCAGCCTTCATATTGGCGGGAACTTCATTATAAAACTGGCAGCGCTCCTCGCTTTATTTCATTCTCATTCTGTTTCTCAAGATGGAAGGAGTCCTCCGAGGCTTTTTAGTGTCCACTTTCATTGTTTATGGCCGGCGAAGGGCCCCCTCGGAGTTACACTGAAAGAAAATTGCATTGGCCTCTTGCACTTTCAACATGTTTTCTGCTGATCTAGAAAGGGTATTTTCGTCGCTGTCTTAGTACGGAGGCGAGAGGAATACAGAAGAAGAAATAACACGATTAAGGTATCAGAGGTACTGAACGTTTTGCTGATTTATTCGAATTCGGGAATCTAGGAACCCTTTGAAACAAATCTAAGTAGTTAGCGTGTTCTAGAGCCAAACTGCTAGGTCTAAAGTGCTCTAGGATTTAATTAATGCACGTAAAGATCTTTCTGTCGACTCCTTCCTCGTTGAACAGTGATTTCTCTACGGTCAGAAGCATTTTCGGTTTTACACTAAGTTTAGCTACAACATCTGCGTTGTCCGGCGCGAAAATTATATCACTAAGCTTACAAAAACAGCGTTCCCCGACGTAAAAGGGGGAATGAATTTGTAGAATGGCATAATTATAAAGAAATACATTAACCGAAAAGCGCGCGCGGCATTGGCGCCAATATTTAGAAGAGAAACCGGTCTGTTTAAAACTTTCTTCGAATTTCTTTCAAACGGGAACCGTTTTCATCAAAAAGTGATTCAAGAGCTTTTGTTGGATGAATCTGATTGATTGGTCTCCGGTCGTTTCGCTGCACAATGAAGTCGATTCGCAGGAAAGTTGTGAAGTCTTTTCCCTGCATCATGAGGACCCCTTTGAAACAAATCTAAGTAGTTAGCATGTTCTAGGGCTAAACTGCTTGGTCTGAAATGCTATCAGATTTAATTAATGCACGTAAAAATCCGTCTGTCGACTCAACAGTGGTTTGTCTACGGTTAAAAGCATTTTCCGTTTTACTTCAAGTTTAGATACAACTAAATGTCTTCGTTGTTTGGCGCCAAAATTACATAAAGAGCGTTTTGCTGATTCATTCGAATTCGGGAATCTAGGAACCCTTTGAAACAAATCTAAGTAGTTAGCGTGTTCTAGAGCCAAACTGCTAGGTCTAAAGTGCTCTAGGATTTAATTAATGCACGTGAACATCTTTCTGTCGACTCCTTCCTCGTTAAACAGTGATTTCTCTACGGTCAGAAGCATTTTCGGTTTTACACTAAGTTTAGCTACATCTGCGTTGTCCGGCTCGAAAATGATATCATTAACCTTACAAAAGCAGCGTTCCCGACGTAAAAGATAGAATCAATTTGAAGAATGGCATAATTATAGAGAAATACATTAACCAAAAAGCGCGCGCGCCTTCATTGGCGCCCATTTAGAAGAGAAACCGGTCCGTTTAAAAGTTTCTTCGAATTTCTTTCAAACAGCAACCGTTTTAATCAAAAAGTGATTCAAAAGCTTTTGTTTGGATGAATCTGATTGATTGGTCTCCAGTCGTTTCGCTGCATCATGAGGACCCCTCTGAAACAAATCTAGTAGTTAGCATCTTCTTGAGCCAAACTGCTTGGTCTGAAGTGCTATAGGATTTAATTAATGTACGTAAAATCTTTCTGTCGACTCAACAGTAGTTTGTCTACGGTTAAAAGCATTTTCGATTTTACTCTAAGTTTAGGTACAACAAAATGTCTTCGTTGTTTGACGCCAAAATGATATCACAGCACTGAACTTACATAAAGAGCGTTGCGCAGCGAGAATAAAACATAGAATGAATTTGTTGAATGGCATAATTATAACGAAATACATTTAATAACGGAGCGCGCGCGCCTTTATTGGCGCCAATTCTGTAAGAGAAAGCTTTCTTGCAACGAGCATGACGTAGCGTCAGGTGATGGTCCCAACAATTGTGATTGGTCAGCCTTTAAATTGGCGGGAACTTCATTATAAAACTGGCATCGCTTGTCGCGCTTTGTCATTCCGTTTCTAAACATGGAAGTTGTTCTACCGGGTTTTCATCGTCTGTTTTCATTCTTTATGGTGGGCGCTGCTTCTGAGTTACACTGAAAGTAACTGCATTGACCTCTTCCACTTTCAACGACTTTTTTGCAGATCTAGAAAGGGTATTTTCGTCCCTGTCTTAGTTTGGAGAGTCTTCGTCTCGCGTGGAGAATTGGAGTTAAACGCTGACTAGAGGAATACAGAAGAAGAAATAATACGATTTAGGTATCAGAGGTACTGAACGTTTTGCTCATTTATTCGAATTCGGGAATCTAGGAACCCTTTGAAACAAATTTAAGTAGTTAGCGTGTTCTAGAGCCAAACTGCTAGGTCTAAAGTGCTCTAGGATTTAATTAATGCACGTAAAGATCTTTCTGTCGACTCCTTCGTCGTTAAACAGTGATTTCTCTACGGTCAGAAGCATTTTCGGTTTTACACTAAGTTTAGCTACATCTGCGTTGTCCGACTCGAAAATGATATCATTAAGCTTACAAAAACAGTGTTCCCGACGTAAAAGAGGGAATGAATTTGTAGAATGGCATAATTATAAAGAAATACATCGCCTTCATTGGCGCCCATTTAGAAGAGAAACCGGTCCGTTTAAAAGTTTCTTCGAATTTCTTTAATCAAAAAGTGATTCAAAAGCTTTTGTTTGGATGAATCTGATTGATTGGTCTCCGGTCGTTTCGCTGCATCATGAGGACCCCTTTGAAACAAATCTAGTAGTTAGCATCTTCTCGAGCCAAACTGCTTGGTCTGAAGTGCTATAGGATTTAAATATGTTGAATGGCATAATTATAACGAAATACATTTAATAACGGAGCGCGCGCGCCCTTATTGGCGCCAATTCTGTAAGAGAACGCTTTCTTGCAACGAGCATGACGTAGCGTCAGGTGATGTCCTCAACAATGGTGATTGGTCAGCCTTTATGTTGGCGGGAACTTCATTATAAAACTGGCATCGCTTATCGCGTTTTGTCATTCCTTTTCCAAACATGGAAGGTGTTCTACCGGGCTTCTCATTGTCCATTTTCATTCTTTATGGTGGGCGCTGCTTCTGAGTTACACTGAAAGTAACTACATTGACCTCTTTCACTTTCAACGATTTTTTTTCTGATCTAGAAAGGGTATTTTCGTCGCTTTCTTAGTACGGAGAGTCTTCGTCTCGCGTAGAGAATTGGAGTTAAACGCTGACTAGAGGAATACAGAAGAAGAAATAATACGATTTAGGTATCAGAGGTACTGTACGTTTTGCTGATTTATTCGAATTCGGGAATCTAGGAACCCTTTGAAACAAATCTAAGTAGTTAGCGTGTTCTAGAGCCAAAATTGCTAGGTCTAAAGTGCTCTAGGATTTAATTAATGTACGTTAACCTCTTTCTTTCGACTCCTTCCTCGTTAAACAGTGATTTCTCTACGGTCAGAAACCTTTTCGGTTTTACATAAAGTTTAGCTATAACATCTCGATGAATTTGTAGAATGGCATAATTATAAAGAAATACATTAACCGAAACGCGCGCGCTCCTTCATTGGCGCCCATTTAGAAGAGAAACCGGTCTGTTTAAAAGTTTCTTCGAATTTCTTTAATCAAAAAGTGATTCAAAAGCTTTTGTTTGGATGAATCTGATTGAATGGTCTCCGGTCGTTTCGCTGCATCATGAGGACCCCTTTGAAACAAATCTAGTAGTTAGCATCTTCTTGAGCCAAACTGCTTGGTCTGAAGTGCTATAGGATTTAAATAATGCGCGTAAAAATGTTTCTGTCGACTCAACAGTGGTTTATCTACGGTTAAAAACATTTTAGGTTTTACTCCAAGTTTAGATGCGCAAAATGTCTTCGTTGTTTGACGCCAAAATAGTATCACTAACCTGACATAGAGAGCGTTGTTGGCGCCAATTTTGCAACGGAAAGCTTTCTTGTAACCTACTTGCATGACGTAGCATCAGGTAATGTCCTCTATAAGGTGCTAAACGACGATGATTGGTCAGCCTTTATATTGACGGGAACTTCATTATTAAACTGGCATCACTGATCGCTTTTTTCATCCCGTTTCTCAAGATGGAAGGAGTTCTATGAGGCTTTCATTACCCATTTGCATTGTTTATGGCGGTTGAAGGGCCGGTTCTGAGTTCCAGTGAAAGAAAATTATTTCATTGGTGTCTTTCACTTTCAATGATTTTTTTGCTGATCTAGAAGGGGTATTTTTGTTGCTGTCTTAGTATGGAATATAATACTCCTTAGTATTGGCGCCAAATTAATTGAGCAACCGGTCTGTTTAAAACTGTCTTCGAAGTTCTTTTAAAGGGGCACCGTTTTAAACAAAATGTAATTCTTACGTTTTTGCACATGTTTCGACCCTTTTTAATTTGAACTAGTGGTGCATGCATAATAGGTATATGTGGCTTCCAGGAAATCATGTAACCAGTTGGTTTTCGTGAATGCAGGAATTGTAGAAGTCAATTAGATTAGACCGACAAATACAAAAATTGATAAAATTCAATTGTTAAATTTGCGGTTCTGCTTCTTAAGTCTTTCTTTCGTATTCATTTGGAACTGAAACGACAAACAGGTTATACCCCCTCGAAAACCTTAGCTACTCTCAGACCAAAAGTGGGCACAATTTATACCCGTTCGCAACGAAAACGGATCAAAAACCTCACCTTTAGAGCGGTACATATTTATATTGCCCTGACAACTGCTTTCGGGGTAATGGAATTTTTTGAATAGAATTAGGGTCGCAGGCGGACATTGGCGTTTGAATTTTGACCGGTTTGGCGATAAAACTAGGGGCTGGAGCCTCTACACCGAGCCCAGATCTTTCGTGGGATAATGCTAGGGGTGACAGGCCGTACATCCAGTACTGGCGTGAAACCTCGTGTTAACCTTTTATATTTTACCTCTAACGAGCATGTCCTTTAGGGATTTTCTTTTCTTGTAGGAAATGATAGGTGGTTCTTTGAAAATTTGACGAATTAACGGTTGGTCTTGTATAAGATTCCATTTTTTCATTAAAGCTTCTTTTAAGTAGACACTGAGGGCTGGTACTGTGTGAGAAAAGGCAATACTTCTTTTTCTTCTTTGTTGTTGTGTTGCAAGAGTGCAGACCCCCTCTCTGTGAACTTTATATCTGATAGAAGGTTTTCTATCAAAGTTTGTGGGAAGCCTCTGTCGATCAAGCGTTTGTGAAATTTGAAATATTTTCCTCCAATGTAGTTTCTTAGGAGTTAGGATTCTCAAGGCTTCTCCTTTGACAAATCGTTTTTTAACACTTAGTGGGTTACAAGAAATGAAATGTGTGTACTGGAAGGTTTCCGTTTTTTTTTAAATGTGTCTTTACAACAGGGATAGATTTTTCGTTGAATCTTGTGCCTTTGTATACAGCCGTGTCTAAAAACACGGTCTCGGTGTCAGATATTTCGGCCGTGAGTTTAATAGTTGAGTGACGTAAGTTTGCTTGTTCGATGAAGGCTTGGATCTCTTGTTTACTTATGTCCCATAGGGAAAACTCAAAAGATATCATGTATGTAGCGTTTCCAAACTGTAAGTTTCAAGACGATTTTGCATAGAATTTTTGTTTCGGTACGTGCCTTGAAAATATTGGTAAAGAAACTGCTGTCCTTCTGGCCATGTTTGTGGGTAGTGTTTTCCATTTAACTGGAAAGAATTTTCTTTGAGGATTAATCCAAGCATTTCTCGCAGATAATGTTTTAGCCTGCGAGAGCATCCGGAAGACCGTCATTATTTTTCGGAGGGAGAGAAGCGACGACCGTAAATACGTCTGAGGGTTCGCAGGCTGGTAATGTGTAGGGAATAGGAGGGTTGTCTTTGTAGAAATTTTTATATGCTTTACAGACAATTTCAATACCCTCGTTCTGTAGTATATTTGTGTTAAGACTTGTGATGTCCATCGAAACAAGCAATGTTCGGTTTTTCATCTTTGTCTTTTCAATAAAATTTTTAACGTCGGTGGTATCTTTAAGGTATGATTTCTGTGCATTGATAGTGGTTGTAGTAGTGTATCAACGAAATAGGAAGTTCTTTCTCTTGGACCATCGCATCCGGAGATTATTGGTCTCCCTGTAATGGTTGGCTTGTGAATTTTAGTTAGTGTAGAACTATAGTATTCTGGGTAGGTTAGGTGTTTGAGATCTAGCAATTTTCTTGTCGCGTCATCAATATGTTTTTCACGGTGAAAATCCGTAACAAGGCGCAAGACCTTGCTGTGCGTTTCTTTCACCTTTAGGTTCAGAGAGAAGTCTGTAAATACGTGCGTCGTCGAGTTATAATTTGACCCTCTCTTATTTTGTCAGTTTTGTTCATGACTGCTGTAATCTGTGTTTGGCTTTATTTCTGTTTATGCCTGGGGTTCCTTGCCTGACAAGTTATATTTAGGCTTTGTTATTTTTGTCTCTGCGAGTTGTGATTTAACCCCTTCCACATACCTCTCGAGGGCTACTGATGGCTGAACCGGTGGGTTCCAGTCGGATTTAACGTATAGAGGGTGAACTACCCTGTTTTTTTTCTTTCGTGAACCATATATTTAAGGCGCATTCGCCTTACAAAATTTTCGAAATCTCGTAGCAACTGTCGTATTTTGTTTTTGTTTGATTTGATTTGAGTCCTCGACAGATTAAATTTGTGCGTCAGCTAATGTTTTGACTGATACTTCCCCTGTGGTCTTTTGAGAGCTCACTTCCTTCTTGGAAGACTTTTTTCTCCTTTCTTTGTGTGTAGCAGTCTTCCTTTGTATTTTTCTAGAGAATGATTTCTCTTTAATTGTGTTCGACCCACCCGCAATGCTGTTCACACATTTAATACACAAATGAGCACTTTTCACTATCACGTTTTGACGTAAGGTAATCGTACTGTTCTTTTAGCTTGGAAGCTAGAGCTTTGATTTAATTTCGATCCTCTGTAGTTGATACGTTTACAGTTTTGCTGTCCTTACGGTTTGCCATGAACACCTGAAGTTTCTTTCTCTGTTTATCAAGCCGACAAAACCGTGCTCGGCTTTCTGTTTGCTGGCCTTAACGTCCTTTTTAAATTGTTCGTCTACCGGTATGTTGGCCCGTGCAGCAGAGTATTTTACAGACTTCGGACAAGTGTTCCCTCGCAAATGACTTCTCAGTACTTTAATGGATTCTTCTGTCTTCTTTATCTTTGCTGTAGTTGTGGTAGGAACTTCGCTTGTTTTCCTTTTCAGATTTTTCTTCTTGTTTCGTTCTCATCAATGCTGGGTAGTGGGTACTTTCTAAAAATCACAAAAATTAATTGCCAGCAAGAAAAACAACTTTCCTAGTCGCAAGAATTAATTGCCGCGAAACACCAAAAATTGCCGATCCCCAAAAATTTCGTGTCACACACGCTCCGATAGCGCCTTGTTCTATTTATTTTACAAGTAGCCTTTTCAACAAAGAAAATATTTACTTTTTAATGAAATTTTACCGGCGAAGAATTTCATTGATGTGATGCCGTGTGATATTTACGCTGAAATTAGACATGTTCACATCTGAAGTACGCGTTAAGTATCCTTGAGGTATACGTACTAAGCTTAGTATGAACCCACCTAGTTGCATGTATGCTCGCATGCTCCATACGACTTATAAATATAACAAAAACAATACTCGGTCATTACCTTTTCTCTTTACAGTCAGAGCCAACAGATGAGTGGAAGTCCTAGCTCCAACAGTGTATATGCTGTCTACGCAGATGACAGTGGTAGGGACAATGATTGGGTGCACTGGTTGGAAAATACGCAACATGAAAGTCTATTGCAACCACTTACATTTGACCTGCTCCCCTTTGTCGATCGTCGAAGTCGTGCGTTGGGCGTTCACGAACGACACTTTCAAACTGTTTTGCGACGGACTGGGCACATGCCTGAACGAGCAAACCTCTGGATGGAGCTTCGTTCTGCGTTGAGACGGGCCATCGACAAAGTGCTGCAAGGGGAAGAAATACACGATAGGGATCGGGTGTTTTTCAATATCCATTCCGATCGCCTCACAAACAGTTATCATGGGTACGCCATGCGGGTGGGGGAGTGGCGCGCGGGAGAAGCCCGCGTGGATGATACTCTCAATCATTTGGCCAAAATGCTTAATTCAAACGAGCAATTTGAGTTGGACGACACATTTCAACTCAGTATAACACACGTGCTAGATGCACCACGGGGTTCCAGACCCCAGTACCGTCGACCAGGTCAACGAAACCAAGCCGCATTTCGAGCATTGAAAGGCAGTATTGTGACAATAAAGAACAAGGACGAAATGTGTTGTGCCAGGGCTCTCGTCACTGCAAGAGCCCGGTTGGAAAATCGTAAGTGGCAATCATTCAAAAGGGGATGCAAAATTCAGAAAGTTGAAGCACAGGATCTTCATTTTGAAGCAGGCGTTCCTTTTGGTCCATGCAGCTACGAAGAGATTAACCGGTTTGCCTTGGCGCCCTCTCTAGTTGATTATCAAGTCTTGTTGGTGGACGCCACACGTCAATACAAAGTCAGTACGTTTGGACCCCCTCGTGACAAGCAGCTCATCTTGTATTACACAGAGGGGCATTACGACGTCATCACCTCACTCCCTGGCTTTTTTGGTACATCATTCGTGTGCGCTTATTGTCACGCGCCGTACGATCACGTAGAGCGTCACCGCTGCAAGGCTTCCAATACCTGTTCATGTTGCTTTCAGCGCAACTGTCAGGATTTCGTGGACAAGGTAAAAAGGGGGGAACGGGCCACCTTGACATGTCCGGACTGTCTTCGCCAATTTTTCGGAGACCTATGTTTGGAGGCCCACAGGACCAAGGGGAGCACTGGAAAATCTGCCGACGGCATGGAAGAAAAATCCATATGTGATATTCGTAAAAGATGTAGTGAATGTCTTTTTACCAAACGCTCTCCGCGCGATTTCCAACGTCATCAGTGTGGACATGCCGATTGTCCCTCGTGTGGGAACTACGTGGACATTGCGTCCCATCGTTGCTTCATCCAGAAAGCCCCCACCGAGGAGGAATTGAAAAAAACAAGATTCAAATATAAACGAAAGCGTCGCGGAGACAAAAATGGTCCACCCATCAAAAGGGGTGCGGCTGCGGGACGTCAAGCAATCCAGGCCAATGCATCTGATATAGAGGAAGAGGAGGACGACAAAGACCAATCACGACCTGTGCACGTTTACTTCGACATCGAGGCCATGCAGCCTGATGGTCATCACGTAGCTAATTTACTCATGGCCGAGTTGGAAGACGATGAAGCTGAAACGGAACTATTTGCAGGAGAGACTTGCATTGAGAAGTTTCTTGACTGGCTGGATGATCTGTCTGAGTATGGTCAGCGACCCGTGACTGTCCTGGCGCACAATTTCAAAGGCTATGACGGTTATTTCATTTTACAAGAATATCACAACCAGAATCGTCAGGTGAAGCAAGTGCGGAATGGTGCCAAGATCTTGCAGCTGACAACGGGATCCATCCGTTTTATCGACTCCTTTTCATTTTGTCCGTTTGCCCTTGCTCGTTTTCCGTCCACGTTTGGACTGGCTGAACAGAAAAAAGGGTATTTTCCCCACCTTTTTAACAAACGGGAAAATCAGGACTATGTTGGCAACCTACCCGCCGAAGATTATTACATACCCGAGAGTATGTCGTTGGAAGAGCGAGAAAAGTTCAAACAGTGGTACGATGAAAGGCAAGCGGAAAATTACCAATTCACATTTAAAAAGGAATTAGTTGAGTATTGCACCTCTGACGTAAAATTGTTAAAGGCGGGTTGCCAGCAATTCAAATCATTGTTCACGAAGATGACGGGATTTAATCCTTTCAACTTCATAACCATCGCTTCGGCATGTAATAGAGACTTTCGAATGAATAGAATGCAAGAAAACCAACTAGCCAGCGAACCTTTACACGGGTGGCGGCTGCAACAGAATCACTCACGAGTAGGTTGCGAATGGCTCCATTGGTGCAACCATCAACGTGTCCAAGCCATCAACAACGCCGGAAGCATAGAAGAATGTGAACAGCTCAACCTCGCTGACAACGCCCATTCCCATGAAGAGCGTCCTCCGCAGATGAAACCCATCCAACACGCTAAAAACAAGGGGGAGTACAGGATTCCCGAAAGCCGCTATACTGTGGACGGTTTCGACCCTTCCAGCAATACTGTATACGAATTTCAAGGGTGCTTTTGGCATGGTTGTCTTCGTTGTTTCAAGCATCGAGACACACGTCACCCACGACACCTGGGCCTGACCATGAAAGAGGTTTACAACAACACTCGGAAAAAAATTCAATTTTTGGAAGAGGAGCGCGGTTACAATGTGGTGGAAATGTGGGAATGTGATTGGGCTCGTCTCAAAGACGAGGACGAAAATGTACGGGCATTTTGTCAAGGATTAGATTTTATGGATCCACTGAACCCGAGAGACGCGTTTTTCGGGGGAAGAACCAACGCCATTAAAATGTACCATCGAGCGGATATCGGCGAGGGAGAGGAGATCCGGTACGTAGACGTGACATCACTCTACCCTTTCGTCAACAAGTACAAACAATATCCTGTTGGTCATCCTCAATTTTTCTCTCAGGTTGACCCTGCCACCCTTTCCAATTACTTTGGACTTGTCAAATGTTGCCTTGTCCCCCCTCGTAAGTTGTATTACCCCGTACTACCCATTCGCCAACAACAAAAGCTGCTCTTCCCCCTGTGTACAAAATGTGCAGCCTTGGCCACTGAGAACCCTCTCATGCATCGTCCATGGACGTGCCCACATGATGACGATGAGCGCGCTTTCGTGGGCACGTGGTGTACACCCGAGGTCGAGAAGGCTGTGAAGATGGGCTACCGGGTGATCCATGTCTACGAGGTTTGGCACTTCCCAGAGACATCTGATAGCTTGTTTAAAGAGTACATCAACGTTTGGCTAAGAGTCAAACAAGAAGCAGAAGGATGGCCAAAAGACTTGGAGGACGATCCAGTCAAGCAAGCTCAATACATTGAGGACTACTTTGGACGTGAAAAGATTCGTCTCCGTCCCGACCACATCAAGAAGAACCCCGGTTTGCGATCGTTGGCTAAACTTATGTTGAACTGTTTTTGGGGAAAGTTTGGACAACAAAGTAATAAGAGCCAGGTCCACGAGTTTGTGGACCCTGAAGAGTTCCACAAGTTCCTCGACAGTGATCTCCGAGACATTCGTTACATAGGTGTAGTAAACGAAAACACAGTAGAAGTTCACTCCCGTTACATTGCAGAAAACTGTCCTGTGCAGCCACACCTGAATATCTTTGTTGCCTGCTTCACCACCTGTTGGGCCCGTTTGCACCTATACGAGTCCCTTCAACTGCTTGGAGAACAAGTTCTGTATTTCGATACAGACTCCATCATTTACAAGTGGCGCCCTGGTCTGCCTGAAATTCCCACCGGCAATTACCTTGGGGAAATGAAAGACGAGTTGAACGGAGACGTCATCGTAGAATTTGTGGCTGCAGGACCCAAGAACTACGGTTATGTCACCAAAGACGGGAAAGTAGTTTGCAAAGTGCGGGGGTTCTGTCTCAACAGTGAGGGGTCGGCGCAGTTGAATTTCGAGGTCATGAGGAAGAATGTCTTGGATGAGGTGAAGGACCCCAAATCAAAACCCCGAGAGATCACCGTCGTTCAGTCAAACCACATTGTACGCAACGCCACTACCTCCGAGCTGTGCACATATCCTCAATACAAACGCTACAGGGTCGTCTTTAACAAACGCGCCCTCGACCCCATCACCTTTCAGTCCTATCCGTACGGGTATGAAGAGAGAAAGGATGAGGATGACGACAATTAACCTCGAAATTTTACCTGACTTTCTGGCTTTTCGATAATGAAGGCGAGTGAGACGAGAAGCTATTATTCAGGATACTCCTCCCTATGTGAAGATACATAGATCTGTTGTCGGATCAAGTACAAGCGAGGGCCGAGTATATCATGTATTAAAACCCAGCACAAGGATACCAGTCTCACAGAGAACATTAGTGATCGGCTCGAAGGAGTCACATGTGCAATTGGATGGTTCTAAGGGACGCTCATAGGACCTGTTTGGCAAAGCTTGTGTTTTTAAATTGTTTATGGGAAAGTTTGGGCAACAAACTAACAACACGAGCAAGCGCTCGAAATTGTTGACCCTGAAGTGTTACAAAACTTCTTCGACAACAATCTCCTGGACATTTATTACACAGCCGTGAGACGTTCCTCCTTTACATTGCGGGAAACTATCCCTTGCAGCCACGCCTGAATATTTTGTTAACTACTTCACCACGTAGACTCGTGCTTACCTATACGAGCCCCTTTCTACTGCTTGGAGAGGAAGTGCTGTATTGCTAAGGGACGCCACGTCTGAAGAGATTGTTTGTATGACTCGTTTTTGCTAAGTTCTAGTTAAGTCGTAGACATTGTGAAACTTAACTTTTCTTCACAATAAAAATGGAATCTCTTGATGCTCCGAACACGTAACCAAGGGGAGTGTTGGTGGGTTGTGTTTAAAAAGTAAATCTCTTTGGAATAATTTAAAGTTCACTTCCTGTTTCTCGGGACTCTAGAAACGATTCTGGAAAGGTTTTTATCAGTGGAGCAGGGTTATGGACTAAATTAGTCAATGTGTCTTAAATATTTTCCAAATAACCCCTTCATTGTGACCAAAAATTTCACAGGTCACCCCTTGGCTTCACTGATAAATTATTACTACAGGGCCTTCCAAAAAGCCGAAGCCAATGTCCCCAGCTAAAGGCCCCTCAGCTTACTTCCGATTTTGCGTAGAAGGTCCTCCTTTCAATTGTAATAATTTAACTTTTGGTTTAAACATTACATTTCCGTTTAAAGAGTGACGTGCAGCGTGATTGTTCCGGTGGTGTTGCGTGACTTGCGAGTAGTAGTGGACGGCTGTTCAGGGCTTTTTTTATCGATTAGTTAAAGAGCCAATTATAAAATAATACAATGAACACGTGACCAATATCGATTTAGTGTCACTACTATCTGTGAACCGGAAGTTGTCAAACCGGAAGTGTCACAGGACAATATGTTGAGCTGATTCCTAAGAAGCTAAAAATAACTAAAGCGAAATCAAAAACTCGGTTCCCATTGGCTGAAATTTGACAATTTCCTGTCAACCTTTCAAGAGTTGACCAATCACAGCCTTTCGGGTGGAAATTGACCAATCACTGTTTGCCCCTTGGAAGGGGCGGAGCGTAGCATTCTTGTCGTTATTAGTAGCTGTCTGACTAGAACGTCCTCATTTTTATCAAGATGGCGGAAGGCTACGATGTTCCATGTCAGAGAGAACGTTAAAGATAATATCGATTTTAGTGACGTCACCAGTTGTTAAACCGGAAGTGCCACAGGACAAGACGTTGAGCTGATTTCTAAGAAGCTAAAAATAACTAAAGCGAAATCAAAAACTCGTGTTCCCATTGGCTGAAATTTGACAATTACCTGTCAACCTTTCAAGAGTTAACCAACCACAGCCTTTCTGGTGGAAATTGACCAATAACTGTTGTCCCGTGGAAAGGGCGGAGCATTCCTGTCGTTATTAGAACTGTCTGACCAGAACGTCCTCATTTTTATCAAGATGGAGGGAAGTGATGCTTCATGTCGGAGAGAACGTCAAAGATGTTACCCTTTGAAATTGCCAAGCAAAGGCTACAAACAGGGGGATGTTTCCGTGGATATTTCCTTAGAGAAGATTGAGGTAATGAAACATATTGCAAGAAACCACATGGCACACAGCCAGCGACGTGATAAAAGTTATTTTGTCAGCAATGACAAGGCTTTTATTTACAAGCAGTTAGTACAAGAGACCATGAAAAGGCCAGACAAGTCAATGCCTCACAGAAAATTACACAATAGAGGAGTGAGACAAAAGACCTTTTCTGAAATAGTTGGAGTGCATGGGTTCTCCAAGGATGCCTGTTATACAGTGACAGTCATATATGACACCACAAACCATAAATTGATTACAGCATTTCCAACCATCTGATGGAAGAAGGCCAAAAGACTGGAAAGGATTGAGGAGTCGTGGGTTCAGTGTTGAAGACGTTTATAATGATAGTTGAATAAGCATTGTAACTAAAAAGGCTTTACATTTTAATTCAAGTTGTTAAAACCTTTTACTATTAAACGTTTAGTAAAAAGAATAACATACTGCGTGCTAATTCCAATTTTGCGTGACGTGACTTTAAGGGTGGGTTATGGCCGACCTGCGGCCTTTCTATCATGGAAGCCAGCAACTCTAAGAATTATTGACACCGATCTTTATCTATTATTTGCGTTGCTGCAGGCTAGTACCGGAGGGCACCTGGGTAAAAATAAAACTTTTCCATAAAGGTATATCGAGTGATTTTTTCCCCCAGTTCCGGTACAGTCTGAGTGCAATTAAAACGCAACTAAATCCTTTAATCAAGAGTGATGATGTCACTAATCGATATTGGTCATGTGTTCCTTATATTGTTTTGTAATTGGTTCGTCAAGTAATCGATAAAAAAAGCCCTGAACAGCCGTCCTCTACTACTTCAAATGCTCGGCACCATCTGCGGTCCTGGGAAACTTGTTGGGGGTCACGTGACCCCTGTCGTGTTATTCTCTTCGTCCGAACCATGTGCTTGTTGACTCGTTGTGTTCCTTGAAAGTATCTAAGAAGTATAGTCGGCCCGATACACAACATTTTTGGCGACGAGGAACCTGTACGGACGCCCACTGCAAGGTAGACAAAGGAAAGGACGTCTACGTGAATCATGCCCACGTTTGGGAAGTTGGACGGGTACAACGAAACTAAAGATTGGCGCTATTACATCGAGCGTGTAAACCATTTCTTCGAAGCGAATCAAATCACAGACCCTGGCAAGAGGAGATCCATTTTTCTGGTTTGTGTGGGAGCGAAAACGTATAAACCTGTGCGAAATTTGGTTGCCCCGGAAGATCCAAAGGATCAAAGCTATGAGGATTTAGCAAAACTCCTCCAAGACCATTTCATACCTAAACCTTCCGCTATTGTTCAACGATTCAAGTTTAACACACGCTCCCAACAACCAGGTGACACCATTACAATGTTTTTAGCTGAATTAAGACACCTGAACACTGAACACTGTGAATTCGGAATTACGCTAGATGAGATGCTTCGTGATCGGCTGGTGAGTGATGTTCGTAATATCAGAATACAGCGCCGATTATATAGCTGAACCCAAATTAACATTGAAGCGGGCACTTGATCCAGCTCTCGCCATTGAAGCAGCAGATAAGGATGCTTCAGAGATAAGGAAGGCAGATGGTCAGGGAGGGGATGCTTCTGTCAACAAAGTAGACGTCAAAGTTCATAAGGGAAGCGAAGTTAAGTGCACTAGATGGGGTGGCAACCACTACCCCAAAAGCTGTCATTTTAAAGATGCCAAATGGTATTGCTGTGGTAAAGTTGGCCATTTAGCTCGATTATGCCCAGCTAGAATGTAAAGGGAAGCAACCGCAGCCAAATAATGAGAAGAAATCCGGCAACTCCGAGCCTACCAAACTTCTTGAAGGTGCCATGCAAACACAAGGGGAGGAACAGGGTGTGGGTGCATATACCTTGTTTAACTTTGGCAGTCAACGCCCATTAGCCTACGAAGTAAAACTAAGTGTTGCTAGGCAACCCCTTGAAACGGAAAATGACACGGGGGCCTCCTTGTCTGTGATTAGCGACGAACTATACAACTCCCTTTTTTCAGCAGGTAAAGCGCTTCAACTTGTACAGTCAGGAATTGTCCTTCGCACATATACCGAGGAAGAGGTCAAACCTAAAGGATCTTGTTCTGTGAGTGTGTGTGTTATGACGGGGTTGAATACTCCTGGCCACTTTTGGTTGTAGGCGGCAAGGGGCCTGCTTTGCTAGGTAGGAACTGGCTTGAGAAAATCAAGCTGAGTTGGCCCATAATCAAACCACTTTCGTCACACAATAAGCAACTGGAGGAGATTTTGCACAAACATGCTCAGCTGTTCGAGGAGGGGCTTGGAACTCTACAAGGGGCAAAGGCCAAATCCATGTTGACCCCACTGCTACCCTTATCTTCCATATAAAGCCAGACCAGTACTGTATGCTCTGAAGGAGAAAAATTGAATAAGACCTAGAAAGACTTGAAAGGGCAGGGACCATTAAGCCAGTCCAGTATTCCGAGGGGGCCACCCCGATTTTCCCTGTCATGAAGAGTGATGGCACTGTAAGAGTCTGTGGAGACTATAAGCTCACAGTTAATAGAGTGTCAAAACTGGATGGCTATCCTATCCCCAAGCTTGATGATCTGTATACGAAATTAGTTGGAGGTCAAACATTTACTGAGCTAGATTTAAGCCATGCTTGTGGATGAGAACTCTAAGGAATTTTTAACGATTAACATACGCAAAGGCCTGTAAAAGGTATAACCGTCTCCCTTACGGGGTAGCCTCAGCACCTGGTATTTTCCAGAGAACCATGGAGGGTTTGCTTCAAGGAATCCCTTCAACGGGAGTTCTGTTAGATAACATCCTTATTACAGGCCCCAATAATGAAGAGCACTTAGCCAACATCAATAAAGCTTTGAGACGCCTCTCGGAAGCTGGTCTACGACTCAAGGCAGTAAAGTGTCATTTCATGAAGCCAGGGGGCACCGAGTTGATGCAGAGGGGTTTCATTCTGTCGAAGCAAAAGTAAAGGCCATTCAAGAGGCCCCAGCACCGAAAAACCCCACTGAGCTGAAGTCGTTCCTTGGTATGCTTAACTTCTATGGGAAGTTCGTACCTAACCTGTCGTCGATTCTGGAACCACTACATAGTTTGCTGAGGAAAGATGTTGTTTGGAAGTGGGAGGTGGAACAGCAAGAAGCATTTGATAAAGCCAAAAACCAGCTTCAGTCATCAGACGTACTAGTGCATTATGATCCCGAGAAAGAGCTGGTGGCATTCTGTGATGCATCACCCTATGGTGTTGGCGCAGTTGTAGCCCATGTTATGGAAGATTGATCAGAGAGACCTGTGGCATACGCCTCGCGTACACTCTCTACGGCCCAGTAGATGCTACTAAGATAAAATTGTGGACAGCCTGCGATCCAGTGCTTTCCCAAGTTCTACAGTTAGTTCTTCAAGGATGGCCTTCAGGGGTAGAAGAAGAAGCCCTGAATCCCTGTTCTATTAGAAGAGAAGAATTGAGTGTACACGCTGGCTGCCTCGTATGGGAAGCTCGAGTCATAGTACCCCCTCAAGGGCGAGAAGAGTTGTTGAACATATTACACGATACTCACCCGATAAGAGTCAAAATGAGGAGTTTAGCCAGGAGCCATGTTTGGTGGCCAAAAATGGACACAAATTTAGAAGAGAAGGTGAAAAGTTGTGCTACTTGTCAGAGTTACCAAAAAGATCTCTCCCTGTTCGCCATTACACCCTTGGGAATGCCCGGCCCGCGCTCGGTCGCGAGTGCACGTAGATTATGCGGGTCCTTTTATGGAAAATATGTTCTTGCTGATCATTGACGCCCATTCCAAGTGGATGTATATCCACTGTGTGAACTCTGCCACCTCCACTGACCATAGACAATATGAGGTCAGCTTTCGCTTCATATTGTTTACCAGAGATTGTAGTGTCTGATTATGGAACTAATTTTGTGAGCAGTGAATTTAAGTCATTTTTGCAAAAAATATGGCATCAAGCACATTACCTCAGTACCTTACCACCCCAGTACAAATGGTCTGGTGGAGCGAGCGGTACAGACCTTTAAGCAAGGAAAAAGAAACAGGGTGATGGTTCTGTTGACACCAAGTTGGCTCGTTTTCTTCTAAGCTACCGGATTACCCCGCAAAACACTACTGGTGAATCTCCAGCTCAGTTACGGTGGGGACGTAGTCTTGGGTCTCTCTCACCTCGATCTGCTACGACCGGATGTAGCGACAAGGGTGTATTTGGCCCAGTCTAGACAAAAGAAACAGCATGATCACCATAGCCGAACGCGCGGAGTGAAGCTTGTCGATGCCGTGAGTGTCCGAAACTACTCCCGGAGGTCGAAGTGGGTCCCTGGAACTATCATCTAGGAAACCGGCTTTCTGTCTGCGCGAGTGGAACTAGAAGATGGAATGGTAGTTCGGAGACATCATGACCAATTAATTTTTTGTACTACAGAGCCTCTTTGCCCCAGTCCAACAGCTCAAAGGGCAGGCCATAGCAAAGAGGGCAGTGTCGTTCTAAAGGTTGCAGTACCCGTTGTGAATAGCCCTGAAGTAACCTGTGGGGAGTTGGAGTGACCCATTACACCCGAAGACCCAAGCTTAGTCCCTGCCACCCCGGTGCGACGATATCTAGTAAGGGACCGAAGACCACCACAACGTTATTACTGATGAACCCCTCCTACCCCCAATGAACATTTAGTTTAAGGCGAGATGCCACATATTGTTTAGGAACTTGAAGGGGAGGAATGTGCGGTCCTGGAAACTCGTGCGTACAGGAAAAGTGTTTTGTTTTGAATTACGATAATTCTCGAATTGGTTTAGCAAATCCATTTCTTTGCGATCTCTATTTTAACAAGGATGTACGCCCCAACTCCTCCTCCACGTATTTTGTAACGTTCGCGAAAGACGCTTTAGAAGCCAGGGATGCTGACGTACTTTAGTAGATGTGGGTTATCCTTTAACCGTGTTTGGCTCATTGTTATATCGAAACGATACTCATTGATGGTGCATAGTACTCCATAGAATGAAGAGACCATGCTTTGAGTATTAAGGTGAACGAGCCTGAGTTGCTTCGATCTGCTAAAATTTTAATTCCTGGGATTTAGTTCCTGCAGATGACAATCAGGAATATATTCATCTGGTGAGGCATGTACATTGGGAAGATCACTTAAAATTTCATTTCATGGAAATTTCGTCACGGCATTAACGTGCTTAATCTTGACAAGAAATTACAATAGTCCCAGAACCTTATCTGCGAAAGTTTTAACTTTGCCTATGGCCGCCGAACCAACCTTGCGTGCTATAAAGCACTTTATATAGCAAGAAACAAACAGTGCCAAAGAGTGAACGTGCCGAAAAGTCGCTACACAACGTGACTGCCTTGAAGAACGTGCAAGCACGTGGCTTTTGTACACACTATTCATTGCAGTAAACTCATGTCCTCTCAGAGGACTGTTTTTTAAAGTATATGAAAGTACACCTCGTAAAGAGTTAAGCGTGGTCCAGCACTTGTCTTTTCTGGAGCTGGCCTCCGTTGTTCAAATGTTGGATAGCACTATCCAACGGATAAATATTACGGAAATCAATTACGCTATCCGCTGGATAGTGATTTCTCCGGTGGATAGCGCTATCCAACGTTTGAACAACCGGGGCCTGCTGCTTGCCACTAGAGAGACTAAGCCTTTTCAGTCCTTCCCTAGCTGCCACAACCTCAACCTCAATGTGTTAGATCTGAGTGGCTTCTGTTTCTTGGCCCTCTGTGGGACAGAGGTTGGCAGCTGCAGCAAGGCCTCAACGACTCTAGTATCAAAGATCTTTATCTTAATCTTCCAAAATACGGAAAAGGTTCCTGACTTGAATGCTATACCGTGCTTGTATCCATAAGACATCAACAACAACAACTGTATAATAAGATATGGGTCGCAATGACAGTCATCCAGAGATCTTTGCTCTCCATAAATTGCCTTTTATACTCTATAGCTTGCTGCTCTGATGTGTTTGAACTCAGCGTCCAGTCACATAAGATGACTTCTGTCAATTAGAAATTTGTGCCCGAAACAAGCACAGCAAAGCGTTAGTGGGCGTGGTCTACAACTTTTAAACTTTTTATCAATCCTTCCTCCTCGCTCAATAACATGGGATGGCGCCCGCTAATCCTGACCGGTGAGGTCAGTATTCACGTGCTCAACCCATCGCAAGTTGGCCGATTGCCCACTCAACTTGACTGTCGGAAAAGAAGGACTACAAAACCTGCTCCGTGTGCACATTCACAGTAACTACACATGGGAGGCGCATGGTGATAAATTAGCTACTTCCTGTTAAGGTTCACTGATATTTTCCTGCACATGCACCACACTTTTTTGTACATTACTTAACCTGAAGGGGTCACTGCCCGACTACAACTCAAGCAGAGTGGTGCCTACATTTAACAAAGTAAGCGACTTGGAATCATCGCGAATAAGATTCAGAAAAGAACGCCAATACACTTTTTAAGAGACGCTTTCCACGTCATGGTATCTTTAACTGCCTCCTTGAGGGCACATTGGCCGTTTCGGGGTTGCGTAGGGAACTGGGGCGAGTTTCAAATGTAAACTCATCGATAAACTGACACCACCATATAAAAGATCATGTTGACACTCGTTATTTGACCAAGTTTGGTGCTCTAAAGTTGAACAGGGATCAAGTTATGACTCTTGAAAGATGGTTAGAGATCCATACAAACGTCTGAAATTTTGCGACAGCGTCCCCCGAAAACCATATAAACTGTTCTTCATCTAATTTCTCAGTGCTCAGGAAATTATAAGGAAGTCATTTTCACTAGTGAGTCAGGCCTGGGGGCCGTTTCTCGAAAGACCCGGAAACTTTTCGGGCCCGAAGGCAAATGTTAAAATCAAAACCTGTTGAATAGTAGCCCAGTTTCTAGTCCAAAAACCAGTCAGTTTTGTTCCTTAACTGATAGTTTCACTGTATTATTTTCAAAATTATTAAAACTTTGATCTTGAATGAAAATACAGCAACACTAAACAGCTTCCCGGGCCCGAAAAGTTACTGGGACCTTTGAGAAACAGGCTCCTGGTAGACTTAGCGGTTCTCCTTGATAGCTACAATCTCGACTCCAAGGGAGTTGGCAAGGTGCGCCCGCTCTACTGCCTTTGACACTTCTGACTGTATATCTGTTGAGCGTGACCATATCGCATGCCCTCCACAATCGCAAAAATAAGACCTGCGAGCCCAGATGAATTTCCATTGTTTAGCCGGCGCTAAGCGACCTGTTGGTTCGACGGCTAGACCTTTTGTTGCGCGCCAAATCTTGCTCACAGACCTATTGCACTTTTGAGAGCAACCGAATAAGGAGATCAATTGGAAGGTTGCGTAAACCTGCGCCCAAGTGATTACGTTAACATGGTCCTGAAACCAACAGAATATGTTCCAAAGCACCGCTTAACTCATCGTCTGTTCTTCCTCCTCTTCAAATTCAACCATATCTATGTTTCAACATGGGTTCCGAAAAGGTCTCTCTAGTGGTACACGAATGGTCTTCCAGAACTTTGCCAAGGCATTCGACTCGGTGGATCACCAGCGGTTGCTTGGCAAAGTTGATTACTGTGGTATCTGTGGTAACGTAAAACTTGTGATTAAAGACTTTCTCACCGATCGCCTTCAGCGTGAAGTCGTTAATGGTTCGTACACCAGCTGCTCTCCGGTAAAAATCTGGCGTACAAGAAACGTTATTGGGCACATTCACATAAACTTACTTGATACTATATCATCATCCAACTGTCTGCTGACGACGCTTTTATTTAAAGGAAAATCGAAACATGTCGAACACCATACGCTTGCGCGCACACATACCAAACCAGTCCTTTAATTCAAATTTCGGTACCGAAACGGTAACTATACTACGCACAACAACCAGTTTCCTGATTCTCCCTCACAAAGGCTTGACGCTCAAAACGTCATCTTCTCATTTCCCCTACGGTGGCCAATCTTCCTCGTCAACTCAGTTGATAAAATTAAATCGTTGTATTTTCAGAAATAAATTAACTAAAGTAAAATGATAAACTACAACCGTATTTTTAAAGATGACGGGTAGCGTTTAATTCCGTTTTTGACTGTGCAACCTCCAACACAGTACATATAATCAAGACAATTCACATTGTTTCTTGTAAACAAACAAATAAGGACACAGATTCCTTAGGAAGGGACAACGTCATTAAGAGCAAATGTTAACACTTGTAACAAAGACGCATTTTTTAAAAAAGTTCATGTAAAGAAATCCAAATGCAAGTTTAAGAAACAGTTCCTAGTTCGGTTGGTGCTAACTGTCATCTCTGCGTAAACAATCCTTGACCTGCGTCATATTTCAAAGGAAGGCCTCGATCTCTGCCCCTAAGGATGAATACAAGCGAACAAAGAAAAAACAGGGATACAGTGAGCTTCAAAAATCATTCACAAGTTAAGGTGTTGGTGGGGAGGTAGGAGGCTGCACCAAACGCGTCGGGACACACTAGGCGACATGTCACCTCAACAAATGACAAATCATCAACAAATCATCGACGACAAATCACTCCTTGATTCCAGGTCGAGCGAGAAGTTACGCGGCACGTTGCAGCGACAAATCGCTTCATGTGAAAATCTTAGTCGCCCGCAACAAGTTGCACGAATTCAATCTGATTTGATTCGTTGACAAAGATTTGCGCAAAAATGCTCCAGACACACGAGGCGATTTATTGCTATGACTTGTCACCGCCATGTGTTGCTGCAACTTGTCGCTCAGCGTGTTCCTGCCTTAATCGTAAGCACATTAGTGTTAGTAGGAGGTCCAGGGAAAAGTTTCCCGGGAAATTTGGACATTTAGGTCTTCTAAGATGGCTAGAAATCGCCTCACAATAAAAATGTGTATTTTTTCACGCACAAGTCGAACAGAGCTTGACGTAAAAGTCAGAATTTGTTTTCACTGTTAGAATAACCACGGGTTCTGCCTGCGCGCAACGCTGGTATTCTCGTAGCCCCCGAGGGCATTGCGGACAATTGTGTGGAAGTTTCGGGGGAGTACTTTTGCCTATTTAAGCCACCCATCCCGTGATTTCAGCGTTTTTTGTCAAGTAACGCCTTTCTAAGCCGGGTTATATTTGTTGAACGAGTTTCTTCTCGCGTCGCCAAGGCCAAGGAAATTTTACTTGCCCGTTTCTGTAGGACTTAATCCGAAGTTTTGGCCAACGACTTGGAAGCTAATGCACTAGAACAAGGGGGGCCTTAAACAACCCCAAGTCCAAGAACAACAACCTCAAGAAGGGGGCGGAAAGGTCGCTGTAGCCCAAGTAACAAGCTGCTGCAGTTTTAGGCTCATTCATCCGGGTTTGGTTCCTGTTTCTTCTCAGGTTATATTCCGCGTTCGTATGCTATTCAGTTATTAGGGAACTTAAGATGGAGACGTTTTCGGGGCGACGGCGACCGGACTGGCAGAGCAAGCCTGGAACAGAGGCTGTCGTCGCTTCCCTCCAAAATTCGAACATTAAGATCGCAGTGAACTCAGGAGGACGGCGCCTTCGAAGACTACCGAAGAGGAAAATATGGCTACGCATAAAAAATTAAGAGAATTAATGCTTATCTGCTTGCATGAAACAACAATAACAGCAACAAAAACAACTTTATTTCAGTATTCCCAGGTTAGTACGTGGTATTACCTTCTATTCTAAACAATTTTCAATACATACGTTTCATTTACACGATACTCTAACCAAAAAAGTGAGCTAAAAACACAATTAAAATATCGGAGTTCATACGTTTTGTCTGGACACTTTCATTTGGCTAATAGGACAATTTTGTCCAAGTAAAGCTCACTTACGGTTTGCTGTTTGCCATATTGGATCAGATTGGATCTTGACTCTGTGACATGAAACATAGAAACATTATAAAGAACAGAGCTTGGAGATCGAGCTTGAATGTGACTCAAAGAAAACAAGGACCTTTTAAACGATAATCTGCAAAATTCTGGTTGCTAAATGCAACAAACCTGATTGAAATGAAAGTTAAATACTCACGTTCTCGCCACAACGCCAAACAGACCAGTTTCACGTCGCCAACGGGAGCAGGACGACAATGTGGTGAGCAAGAGCATGCGCAATATTGCACAAATCATGACGTCACGTCCGGTTGAAGTTGCCGTCGCTCCGAAAACGTCTCCATCTTAAGTTCCCTACTACCTTTGTTTACCGATAACACTTGCTTTGTCTATCTTGCATTTTGTCTCGCCTTTATGTGAGTTAAGTCGTCCGGAATTTTGTTTGTCACCTAATTGTGTTCTTCATTTGCCTGCGTTTTCCCGAAATTTTCTGTCTCTCTTGTATTAATTGCAGCATTCTGTCGCACGTCTTTTTCTTGCAGTTGGTTTGTACGTTTCGACGTGAGAATGATTTGGTGCTGTGTTCGACCCGAGGATAAGCATTTTGAGACTCGTTTGTTCGACTTAATAAACTTTGGTCGTTTGTTCGACCTGAGGAACTGTTGGTGTGTTCGATCCATGAGTTGTGTTTGGTCGTGTGTTCGACCTGAGAAAATGTTGGGGTGTGTTCGATCTGAGAAAGAGTTTGGTCGCGTGTTCGACTTCAGAAAGATTTTGGTCGTGTGTGCGACCGGTGAAAGATTTCTGTCGTGTGTTCGACCTGAGAAAGACTTTGGTGGTGTGTTCGACCCGAGAATGTTTTTGGTCGCGTGTTCGACTTTAGAAAGATTTTGGTCGTGTGTGCGACCGGTGAAAGATTTCTGTCGTGTGTTCGACCTGAGAAAGACTTTAGTCGCGTGTTCGACCTGAGAAAGATTTTGGTCGTGTGTTCGATCTGAGAATGTTTTTGGTCGTATGTGCGAACTGAAAATGATTTTGTTCGTGTGTTCGACCTGAGAAAGATTTTGGTCGCATGTTCTACCTGAGAAAGATATTGGTCGTGTGTTCGAACTGAGAAAGATATTGGTCGTGTGTTCGACCTGAGAATGTGTTTGGTCGTGTGTGCGACCTGAGAAAGATTTTGGTCGTGTGTTCGACCTGATAAAGATTTTTGGTCGTGTCCTCTATCTGAGAATGATTTTTCAAATCGTGTGCTCGACCTTACAATGAAGTTTTGATTGTGTGTTCGACCTTAGAATGATTAGAATGATTCTTTGGTCGTATGTTGACCGCCACAGAAAGACTAACTCTGGTCGTGCGTTCGATTTAAAAAGATTTGGTCTTGTTTCCGACCTTTGACAGATTTTGGCAGTGTGCACGACCTGTGGAAGATTTTCATTCATGTGTCGACCTGGCAAAAATTTAAGTCGTCTGTTCAGTATTAGAAAGAGTCTGGTCAAGTATATGTTCGACCTTGGAAAGAGTTTGGTTGTATGTCACACCTTTTGTTGCTATATTTTTTATTGGGCTTTTTTTCCCTTCCCAACCCTGCCGTGAACAGAAGGGAAATCTAAACCACACCCTATAACCTATCTTAGGACATGGGTTCCTGGTCCAGTCGCGCTAGCGGGCGCTAATCTCGCTTTCCTAATTTGTTTTGTTTTGTCGTTGTTGCTTACGTATGTGAGGCAGGCCTACCCTTATCAGGCTAGTTATTTCAGCCTTTTTTCCTTTTCGTCTACAGGGGCGCACCCTCAGGTCCTTTGGTAGCAAATTGAAAAGGCTCAAGTTGTGAAGTTGTTGGTGTGATTAGGAGGGTAATTTCCCTAGCTGGAACGGACCTCTTTCCTTCTTACCTTTTAGTTTGTTGTCCTAATGTTGTAAAAAGGAATGGCTTCCTTTCTTTTCTGAGGTTTGGAGAGAGCATCATTAAAGCGCCTGTTTGTCATTGCTCAGCTCCTTTTCTCAGTTTCGATTATTTTAGAGCTGATGACGGTGCCAAAATCTCGCTTCTCCAGTTCTCATAACTTAGTTTCGCGAAGGCAATAAGTGGTTGTTCTGACAGTGAAAATGGTTTACTATTTTCACTGTTGGAATAACCACGTATTCTGCCTGCGCACAACGCTGGTATTCTCGTAGCCCACCAGGGCATTGCAGACCTTTTGCCTTTTTAAGCCATCTATCCCGAAATTTCAGTATCTTTTGCCAAGTAACGCCGTTCTTATTTGGGTTATAACTTCTGACTCTCTTACCCCTCGCCTTTGGCGACACGTACCCCCTCTCCTTTCTCTGTCTTACGACTCTTTGCCTTTGCAAAATCTCGTTTCGCGAAGGCAGTAAGAAGTTGTTCTAACAGTGAAAACGGTCTATGATTTTCCTTGTATCGTTTCAAAACTCTTTCAGTTGCAGTTGCTAAGAAGTCTCAATTTATTACGCTACGAGGACCGCAATTATTTGATGCTTGTCTGCGAAGTTTTGTTTCCAGGTCCTCACAACTTCACAAAAACAAGACTGGATTGCTCTTTGAATCCACTTCCATTTGGTTCTTTGCAAATGCTTATGTTATTTCCACTTACTTCTTGACGCGAAGGAAGAACTTTTCCCGATCGAACGTTTCAGCACCCTCCACATGGTTCAAACTGCCACTCTCCAAATAAATATCAAAACACATCTACAAGTGAAAAGTCAAATTAGAAACGCGGCTAAACGAGTAGTTTCCATTGGAAAGTAAAGTGCTGCGGGTAATGCTTATGGGGAAAATTAAATTACATTTCATCGCTTTGAATCGGTTGCAGTTTATTTCGAATATACACTAATAGAGTCAAACAGGTTTCTACAAAAATAAGGGTGACTTCAAGTGTCATAACATCTCTTCAAACTCCATTTTATCCAACGCATGGAAACAGGAGCACACAAGAAGAAAGATAATATTTCTGACAATGGTGAGCATCGAATCCAAGACCTCCTGATTAGATCACCGTTGTTGTGTTTAACAGTTTCCACAGAAACTTAAACACTATGCAGTAATGCCGTGTTCGTAATGACCGTAAGAAAAGGCATCTCTTTTTAATTGTTTGGGGACTGGCTGACTCACTTGCAAACGGCGTAGCTGATTGGTTAGAAGATTGAAAGGAGAGTCAACGGCAGTAAGCTCTGGGTAAAAGACATTCACTTCTCCTTCCACAGCCTGTTATAAAGAATGATTCATGAAAGGCAACATATTAGCAACAAAATACATGAGATGCTGAATGAAATAACAGACCTAAACTGAAGAGATGCAACTGACTTGAAGAGTGAACTGCAAAACATCGGGGTTCGGTGGGGGGTCACCCACCCCTCCTGCAACAGGGTTGATTTCGACACTACAATTAAATGCGAGAAAATCAAGCAATTCATTTTTTACCGTTGTTCTACTTGCGGCCGTTCGCTTTACATGGAATTTGAAGCAAAACGACAGCCTAACAATTTTGTCCTTTTGGGCCAGCGTCTTCGCATTCGACAAGCTTACGTTTTGTGACTAATGAACTGAGAACTCAGTAATAATTTACTGCGCTTTTCACAAACATGCGAATTCTGAAGTTCAAAAGCCAACTGACGATTGCGTTTCTCGCTGCCGTCAATCATCTTGACGGACCTCTTAGGAAACAAAACTTTACTTTAACGGGTTCAAAAGGTCATGGTTTGTGATTTGTGATTGGTGGATTTCGATCCGTTTTGTGTGTTACTGTGTTTCAAGGTTCGTTGCTTGTGGTCGTAATTTTGATTCACGGCAGCGAAAAACGCAATTGTGAAGGCGTCTTTTGAACTTTAGAGTTCGCATGTTTGTGAAAAGCACAGTAACACTGCAACGTGGGCACGTTTGTATAAACACCAGAATCGAATCTATGTGAGAAACCACATTTCAAGCGATCTCTTTCCGTGATGTGCTATGACAGGGTATTTAATACAGAAAATTTGGAGAGGCTTCAGAGCTGTGCTTATACATGGTTGCCACAGCCAGAGGTTTCTGAAATTCCCTGACGTTTCCCTAACAAATGTAAAATTTCCCTGACCAACTGAATTAAATTATTCTTGTATATAATAATAATTTGTAGTTTTTAAAGATTTGGTGATAGACTTATGAAGGTGTTTTTAAATTGAGCCTCTAATGATGACAATGACTTCTATAATTGACTTAGGGGACCTATCCTTTTAAAGTAAAGCCTACATTTGGCCCAATACCTTTGTGAGGCTGTCTCTAATTATGGTCTTTCCACAAGATACTTCAACTGAGAAAAATGGCGGTGCTGTTGGATATTCTTGAGACACGATTACCGAAGCCTTGAGCTGTGCTGAAAAGAAAAGGTAGAAACAGAACTGAACGGCTTAGTCGATCACGCGTACTCGGTCTCTCTTTAATCAATATTCTCACGCATCTAAGTTCCATTCACGAGCCAAAACTTTCTTTCACTCACTATTAAGTAATTAACCCGATCGAGCTTGTTCGGTCAAGATAGCTGGATACAGACCAAGTTCTTTTTCGCGTTTAAATTGACCGAGACGAAGTCTTAGTCAATGAAAAACGCAGAAATAGAACGAGGTGAATGTGCAGCCATCTTTTTCGAACAAGCTTGGTCAATAAAGGATCTATTACATGGCCAAAAAGATAACTTTTTCTTGTGGAGCCAACGCGGGAAATCCCGAGCGGGCCTCCCGCGTAGCCAATCAGAACGCAGGATTCGCTTCATCTTTCCCGCTCGCGGATTCAGCCGTATAATAAGTTTAATTTTCGACTACCAATCTTAGTAGATCCGTTTGGTTCTACAGACTTTCTTTTAGGACCGAAGTCAGACAAAAATGTTTTGGCTTACCAAGCCAATATCCAAAAAAAATTAATATATAGCCGTCTTAGCCGCATACTTTTTTCCGTCACACATACACAAACAACTTTTCAACTTTTTAACGAAGTATCAACTAGCTTAGTTTTGCGTATTGTATTGTATTGTACTTGGCCTAACTTTTTGAAAGCGAGGGTTTATAGCCTGTTCCAAGCGTTCAGATAGTGGAGAGCGGTGTGGAGTAGAGAAAGCGATGAAAGGAATTACTATAGTATGCAACGCATACGAAAAATTTCATGACAAAAACCCTCCTATAGCTACACACCTGCTTAAAGAAATGCTCAGTCTTATCCTTAAAGAGAACTCTTTCCATTTCAATGGGAAAGACTATCTCCAGACTCACGGAACTGCTATGGGCACGAAAATGGCAGTAGCTTTTGCCAACATTTTTATGGCAACAATAGAAAAGGAGATCTTAAAACAAAGCAGAAGGAAACCACTAACGTGGAAAAGGTTTATTGACGACATATTCTCTTTGTGGGACACAAACAAAGAAGATATAGATCTTTTCATTGAGCAAGCCAATTCTTTTCATCCTACAATCAAGTTCACTGCTGAAATATCACAAATTGAAACCACATTCTTGGACACGACAGTCTATAAGGGAGAGAGATTTGAGAAAGAAAGAATTCTCGACGTGCGCACACATTTTAAATCTACTGAAACGTTTCAGTACACTAACTTTAACAGCTGCCACCCACCAGGCGTTAAAAAAGGTTTTGTCAAAGGAGAGGCTCTTAGACTTCTAAGAACTAACTCTTCTAAAGTCATATTTGACAAGAATATTAAAAACTTTAAAACACGCCTTATCTCGAGAGGCTACCCAGAGAGTATGGTAGAAAAGATCCTCTCAGAAGTTAAATATGCAGATAGAGCGACAGCTCTGACACAAAAACAGAAAGCGCAAAAAATACTTTTACCCTTTGTCACGCAATTTCAACCGTCATTACCAGGTTTGAAAAACATACTAATGGAAAAATGGCATTTAATAGAAAACCAGCCACTACTCAGAGAGATATTCAAGGAACCTCCCTTGATCTCTTATAGAAAAGGAAAGTCGCTCAAAGACATGCTTGTTAAAGCAAAACTGTAAAGGCTTATAACAACACAACGGTCACACAGCAGGAGCTGCGCAGGTCTGTCAACCCCATTTCACCTCTCCTCCTCCCTCGCTTTTACTTTTTCGCCCTCCCTTTTACTTTGCACCGCTCCCCACTATCTGAACGCCTGTAACAGGCTAGAGGGTTTAGGGCCGAATACAGCAAGTAAAACCAGTCCCCCTCCCTGCCTACAGTCTAAACTGAATTTAAGCTTGTGACTGTGATTCTGAATTTTCTTGCAAACTTGAGTCAAATTTACATCCGTAACGTGTAGAGGTGTAGTTTATAGCAAAGCGATCCCCTTATCAACAATAAATTCAAAGCCGTTACCTGAATTTTTTGTTAATACTATTTGGACAATAACGATACTGAGACGGAGGAGGAGGATTACGACCAGGAAGACCAAGGGCGCCTACCATATACCCAAACTAACCAAGAGGAAATTTTGTGCATGAACACTAAACTACAAAATTTGATGTGGCGGCAAAACCATTCGCTATAATGTATTGTATCAGGGGCATCCAACGAGAATATAGTTCAAAACCACTTAAACATAGCATTGTTGAACGTATTTTAGTATTTGAACGGTAGATACAGACACATTTTTATCCCCTAAAAATTTTTATCTGTTCGGATTTCCCAGCTGAACGTTTAATGATCAGAAAATTATAGGGATCAAAACTTACCTTTTCGAAAATTTCAGCCAGAAATAAGGCCCCCGAAAATTCTAGGTGACCTTTTTAGGGTAAAAATCCGTTAAAAAATGGGCAATTATACCATTTATTGAGATGTTCGAAAATCCTAGGGGAGGCAGGCAAGCGGCGAAGAAATTTTACAACAAATGTTCCGAAAATTCTAGATCTCAAATCGTCTTCCGAACAGATATTTTCCAAAAATTGTCGTTGGGTGCCCCCGATGTATATCAAAATCAGCTAAATAAACTAACAAGAGTAGAAAAATTGCGTCCCCTCAAATCACAACCCATGTTTCTGAAGCTCTCCAAACAAAATAGCGCAAATCATTTGACTTTCCAAACAGAATTTTCGGTTTTCTCATGTCATGTTAGTGGTAAACATAAGTACTCCAACGACCATTAAGATAGAAGGTCAACACTTTAGAAGACATTTCAACCTGAATACTGTTAAACGTCTTAGTGTTTCATTTACTTATTCTCTTTTTTTTCTATTATTTATTTATAGGCCAAGGATTTTTCACCTTTTCCTCTTTCAAACACGGCTTGATAAAGCATGTCATCTTCTACAATAAACCCATCATCGATAAGGCATCTAAGAACTGGCTGCTCCTGGAAAAATAAACTGCATGTTTCAAACGAGGTCGCTAAAGCGGAGAACCAACACAAAGAATGAGATGAAGGATTAATCTTAACTGTCACTTTCTTTTAACCTCACGTTCGCTCTTAAACCGACTTCTACCCCACGATCATAGAATTGGTGTTTTCTTTACAAATAATCGTAATTCCTACATGAGGAATGGTCAGGAAAGCCCGAAGTCTTTTAGATGTGGTGTTTAAGTTGCAAAACGTGTAAATGAAACGGATTTTTTATTTGTAACATCTTAACCCGACCAAAAGAACCACCATTTTAATCTTGGAAATGGTCAGGAAAGCCCGAAGTCTTTTAGATGTGGTGCTTACCTTACAAAACGTGTAAATGAAACGGATTTTTTATTTGTAACATCTTAACCCGACCAAAAGAACCACCATTTTAATCTTGGAAATTTTCCAAAGGGGAATTCTGAAAAAGGATGTAGTTCCAACTACGTTGCATGTAAAACAAACGAAATCTACAGATTTGATTGATAAACAGTAAACCAACCCGGCAACCACTCGTAAAGATCTCGTGTCTGGCTACATTGCTTTTCCCAGGTTACACACGCAGTCACCGCTGGTAGTTCCGGATAAGTTTATGGACATCGTTCTTACCATGAACTCTTCCAAAGTTGATGGGCGCCAGGAAGTCAGTCCCGATGATATCTTGCTCGGGAACATTTGAAGAGAATTTTTGTTTTGAGGAATCGTCAGACTCTCTAAAAAAAAATCAACATTTCATCTGAATACTAACAAGTGTCTTACTAAAGCTTCCATTCAAAGACGTTTATTAACAGCAACAGAAAAATCTTACGGCAGTCTTTCTTCTAAAGGTATGGTATAACGGGCAACAAAAAAAGGTGCAACTTGTTTTGCAGCATTGCTGCAAAACGAGTTGAATAGCGATGTTACGCGTTTACCAACGAAAAATACTCTTGCAACCTTATTTGTGCCAAGAAAGGTTCGAACGTGGGTGGCAAACGCGCAACATCGCTCTCCAGCCATGTTGCAAAACAAGTTGCACGTTTTTTGTCGCCCGTTTTACTGTAGTTTAAGAGAGTTAGGACCTGGATCTTTTTCGTCCAGTTTTGTATTTCGATGGACAACATGACGTTGCTAAATGTCAAACATTTGCTTATGATGTGAAGTGTTGGATAAAAATGTTTGACCTAGATAAAACATCGAACGAAAGCCATTTAAATGCAACGTTGAGAGGGGTGGCTAAACCGGTAGAACATGCTCTTCCAACGCGATGTTGCACAAAAAGGTTTGATCGTTTAGCAGGTGCTTTAAAAGACATTCTTTTGTCCCGGTCCTGTAAGTATTCCTAAGTCCTTCGGTTTTGATGAAGATCCCCAGTCCCCCCGGTGAGTTGCGCAAGTTCTAATATCAATTTAGACTTCGAAAAGAAACTGATGAAATTTACCAACATTTGAGAAAAAAATCATTGTTATCCATTCTGAGAATTCTCTAATCTCTGTTAAGCTCAACTCGCCCAGATTATTTACTTTAACACACTGACTTCACTCAGAAACCAGTAAAAGGGAATAAGTTGGGAAGGCAAACAACTTCCTGTAGAGCCCCTCACTATCTGGCTTGGGGGCGCAGGGGGGGGGGTGAAAGTTAGCTTTTAACATAGGCCTCCCTTGTGCTACAACGACATTTCGATCTCACAACAAAGAAATCTCCAAGACAGGCCTCCAGACGGTGTTACACAATCGCCAATCGTTTACTCGACGATTGGCGGCAACAAAAACCATTCGATAAGCGTTCCTTCAGAGGAATGTTCCATCACGATACAGAATGAAAAGATAAATTGGATGAAAAATTTTCACGCGAAAAACCACCTTTGAAGAACCTAAGTAGCCGGGGACCGCTTACAGTTAAGAAATATAAGCAGAAAACAATCCGCCGTTTCTACCTAAGGACGTAAGTTGTTGCTGAAGAGCGAGTCTAGCTAGGATTCTTGTCCTGATGGCTTTGATTGTAGCTTCCATGTGTGACAAGCTTACTGATGACTTGGCAACAACGTCCTGTTAAACAAAGAAATATTTATTACTAAAAAAATAATACTATTATTAAAAAAAAGAGTCAAAATACCGGTAAGTGAATAATAAGACACTACTGAAAAATCAGGCAAAACAAGACTCGTGAACTTTCGTTTAATTAAATGTTCACTTTTTTTTACAAAATAATTACTCTTCTTGTATGACTACTTCACATAAAGTATTTTAGAATTTTTTGTGTAAACAGCCCTAATTTTAAGCTATCATATTATCTTTTTTATGTCTTATTTTATATCTGTATTTGTGTCACCAATTAGAGCTTTGCGCTTCAGATGTTAATAAAGTTCACTTCTACCACCGCCGCCACCACAGGAAATAACTGCTCAGGGGATTTCATTCACAAACTCAAAAGGTAGAGCCATGTTTTAAAGTGTAATAGACAACACGACAAGAACTTATTGCTCAGCAGCTTCCGTGAGGAGCTTTTATTTCAATGGCAACACTCTTTGTGCATCCAAAGAATAAAAAAAAGCCACCTTTACAAAAAATTAATAACAATAACCAGCATCACAGGAATAATGCTAGTAGCTTCTGTAAGTATGATCACACTTCTATCCATATACTTAAAGGATAAAAGCCTATGCGCTTGCATCCAAGACATGTAAAAAAGACTTCGGAAAGTATAGTCTGAGAAAACAGCCAACATTTTGCAACAACATCACTGGTTTCCTATGCAAAGTTTGAAAAATGACTGTAGAAAATCCATAATGATCTAGGTAGTGATTCTTATTGGTTGTGCCCCAAGGGAAATTTGCTTCAAACAATCAGAAACACTACCCAGATCTGTGTAGTGACATGTAATAATTATTAGTATGGAATTTCTGCGGTCGTTCCTCAAACAACATTTCAAAGGGAAACCGGTGGGGCTTCGCGAAATGTTGGCTGTTTTCTAGGGCTTGGGAAAGTAGTGCTCAATAAAAGTAACTTTCACTTTGTCTAGGAAGAATCATGAACTGTAGAGATGAATGGTTAAACTTATAACTCAAAATATTTGAAAGACAAATGCAAAAGACATTCCTTTTGTATCATAACAAGAGAATTGGCAAAGTAGTCTATGTATATTAAACAAATCAAAGAAACCTCTTACGTGTATTTCTTCAGGTAAAAAGTCAAGTCCACATATCCTCTGAGCCCACATGTAAGGCTTGCCGACTTGATTAACAAACTCTGCAAAGTCTTTAATTCTGAAAGAACACAATTATTATTTATGACGTGAATTGTTATAAACAAGTAATATTACTGGAATGTGGAAATGGGTGCTTATCATGATTTTGGCTGAAAATATTTCAAAATTGAAGACATTTTATGTCTTTTTTTTGCAATGTCCTTTTAGAATATAAAAGCCTTCTGTTTTTTTTGTATAGATGTGTGCAACTGACCATAAACAAAAAAAGTAAAAGGCACAAGCACGAGTAACAAAGTTTTATGCTTGCATTTTTTGAAATTATTCTTTTGCACCAACATTAGTTGCACCAAAATTTTATGTCTGCCCCTACAGAAGTATGTTACCTTAAGTTTATCACAGGTGGAGAGAAATATCCAGGCCCCAGTTGTTTAAAAGGGGATAATGCTATCCACCAGATAAAACTCTATCCACTGGATTGCACAATTGGTTTCCCCTACTACTTATCCACTGGAGAGTGATTTATCCAGTCGACAGCATTATCACGTGTTTGAACAATTAGGGCCTGGTCTTTATCCGGAGCACATGTTCATGCATGTGTCACTAGTGAGGTCAACCAAGGCTAAAGAGTTTACACACAGACAAGTCCATGACTATAACAGAGGACTTTACTTACCCAACTTTAGCAAGCTGATAGAGACTGGCTGGATTTGGTGCCTTTTTTCCACTGTCATCAGGAAATAAACTTGTCAACAGTGAATCGGGGGACAAAATAGTGCTGAAAACAAAAACAAGATTACTGAAAAAAAGACTTGGCACATTGGCATATTTAAAGAAAGTTGTGCTTATTGCTCCTGTGCACCCTTACTGAAAGAGAGAGGTCTATTTACTTGAAGGAAGACCATTCAGAAGCCTGAGCAACTGCTACATGTATCAGGTGGGGCCTGGAGATTGTTTGAATACATTGTAAATTGTGCAGAGTTTGGGACACCCAAGCAGTTTGTGGAAATGATCAAGGTGTCCTACTTCACAAGTAATGACATCACAATAGCAACCTTCAGACTTGACCACAAATATGAATCGAGTGTGAGTATATCTCTGTTCTTAACAATTGCAAGCTAATGTACTCCCCCCTCCCCCCACAACTATAACTCTTTCCTGTTGCTGACTAACATGTTATTAAATGTTCAGGATAAGATTGGTGCTCAAACTCATACTAAGCCCTAAACTGGTACTAATAGTCAAGTCTTCTTTTAAGGTCCCTAGCAAATGTCATGCCACATCATGTGATGAGCTGGCACTTAGGTTTAAGCATTATATATAAGGTTTAAGCTTTATATAACATTAAGCCTCGTAACTGTTAATTTAACTTAGTTTGCAGATTACTCTCTCTCTCTCTCTATCCTCACAAATTACTTCCTCGGCTGGTTAGAACTCCATTTGCACCAAAATAAAAAATTCTTCAAGAGGACAAGGGATATTGAGAGTTAAACTACATTGAAACCCTTTGAATCGGAATAATAATTTGATTTTGAACTACAACGTCGATTTGCACCAAAAAATTCTATTTCATTTGTCAAGAAGAATAATTTTTTTTTAACCATGGGATCATTAATTGCTCTGAAGTTTCAGCAAGCAGTTATATGTTAACATTTGCAAGAGGAAGTGCCATATCCATCCCCAGCTTTCATGTAATCTTCATCATTTGTCATGAACTCACCTGTTTGCCAATACAGGTTCAGGGAGAGCTTCAGTTAACGACAAAGAAGGTGATACTACAACTGTGCTGAATGTTGGCAAATATGAGAACAACAAGTCTACTGTTGCTTTGTCTACAAAAATAATGAAAATAAACCATTTAGTACAAAAAGAACAGCAAAAACATTGGCACTATTCATTGGACTTTTTCAATAAAACAATGACAATAATATTCTAATGACTATAGATCTAACCTTTACACCGAACTTGCACAAGGATTTGAAGTGGATGTTTCTTAAGCAGCAACTTTCTCTTCTCCTCTAAACGAGATTCTTCTTTTTTTCTCCTGTGTTTTGACTAAAAAGGATTACAAAGTAAGAAAATATACATTAGTTGCCTTGACACTAGTAGGACTTAAGGGCTGCTAAGTTTTATTAACCAAAGATACATGTGTGAAGGCCTAAATTAAATCTCAAGTTATTTTACTTTGCATCTCACTAAAGTTGGAAAGTTGAAACAATTCAAGAAAGTCCCAAGTGACTTGAAAACCATCATTCCTTAAAACTGTGGTTTCTTGAGCTTTGAAAAACGTGAATCACGTCAATCAGTATTAATTGTGTTGTGTGGGAAAATAGCCTTAAGTTAACCTGAAGTAAAAAAGAAACGGTTGTGTGTGAAGCTTCCTTTTGCTTGAAGAATTTAAAATTTACTTGTCTTGAAATATTTCTTAGCTTATTTAGGCTCTAGTGTAAAGACTACCATTGTCTGCAGCAGCACTTAGTTAGGTAACCAGGTTATTATTGAGTAACTTGGACAACTTAGAATGGTTTTTGTTTTGTTTTCATCAACAAGATACACCGTAAAGCTTGAAAAACAAGTCAATACCGATAAAATATAATTATTGCGTTCTCACCCTCTTATGTCCTTCAGCATTTTCTTGGTCTGAATCACTGTCCACATCTACAAGAAAACAAAACATGTATTAGCTTAAAAATACTTTATTGCAACTCAATGTGCTACACTGTATAACAGAAAACTGTAATTTCAGATAGAGAATGTATTTCTGGAATTCAGTATGATCATGTAAAATCTACAACGTCATGACAATAACTCTTTCAAGGAGTTCTGCACATATTTGAAATTATGGTTTGATTTGATTAATGACACTCATATAAAGGTCTATTAATTTTTTTCAACCTCATTGGACTTACTATTCAGAGTACATGACATTTAGATGGGAACAAAGCCCAGCATGTCATACAGACAGCAGATCCATAGTAAGCTCCATGGTCAGCGAGAATTTTATAAAGATTCTCTTCAAATTGTAATTTTGTTTATAGAATGATTACCTTTAAAGAGTCGGCTTTCACAAGTTATTTAAATAACCCTGCATTGGATTGTGCATTAGGGTCCAGAGGCAAGCATTCAAAACTTCAAGGAATGCTCAATATAAGTAAAACAATGTCTTTTACTTCACTTTACCAATTTAAGTCTTCACTCTCAACAGAGTATTGCAGACTTATTCTTCATTCAAAAAACAAACCTCTAGCAGCAGTTTTAGTTTCCATGGCAGCTTTTGCAACGTCCAAATCACCAAGAATCTTCAGTTCTAAATTAGAATCACATGCTTCCTTGTATGCTGTTGCTTGAACATACAAAATGTACAAAGGCTGTGGAAGATACCGTGCAGTTTCATGTTGTACACGCTTGGCATCCAGCGGCATGTTCATGTACTCTTGCACAGGCTGGGTAGCCTAAGGAAAGACAACAGCTTGACAAATTACAGCTGCATGAGAAAAGGTAGCCTGAGAAAACATCTGGCCTTTTTGTGATGCTAGAACTGGTTTCCCCCGCAAAATGACATGTAATGAAAAAGTGCAAAAAATCCATACTGTAGACATTATTTCGCAGGGCAACCAGTGGTGGGATCACAAAATGTTGGTTGTTTCTACATGCAAGAGAAATGGAAGTTGCCGTGATGTGGAGGAGGAGTTATGTGAATGTTTTCTTCAGTGTATTGTTACATTTTCCAAATGCTATAGTCTTTTGCTTAATAATGTTAAAGGAGCTGTGTCACAAAATTTATTGCAATTCTCACGGTAGGAAATGCCACCATATTGAGTGAATCATGAAAATAACTCCTCAAAATATTAAAACAAGGTATAAATAACATAGCATACAAAACAGAAGGCACAGATGGACAAATTTGAAGGAGATTAAACCAGAATGCAATTGCAGATATTGAAAACTTTTCAGCCTTACAGTTTTTCAAAGTTCCTTTTGGTGTTTATAATGTTTGACGTGATGTTTGGGAGATATATTTGTGTGAAAAGAAGCTGTGATTCTGTCATTTGCCAGTTATTTCTTCACTTAAGTTATGAGGTCCATTGCGAATAGAGATATATAATTAGCAATATCAAAAAATAAACTAAAGACAGCCGTGATGCAACCCCTCTAACTTATCCCCTGGTAACTTAAAGTTCTGTTTTTACAGCATGAAACAATTAGCAGCACTACACTGAAGTTACTGCATCTGAGATCACCAGAAGTAATGACCCATTCTGTACAAAAATCCAGCTGAGGTGAGGTGAGGGATATGTCAACAATTCAGGTGACCTGACACTCACCAAATTTGACTTTCCTTTAGATTAAAATAATACCTTAAAATTTTACAACACAGCCTCACTACACTTTACCTTTAATATATTCTCTAATCTTGGTTGCAAACTGTCCAAGAATTCTTTCTTGGTGTGGATCTCTTTTGATAACGATTCCTTTTTTTTCAGAAACTGTTCTTTTTGGGTTGCTAGTCTGCAAAGGCATTTGAAGTGAAAATTGGAACAGAGTTCAAAACAAGTTCAAAAATTAAAACAATTACCAGTAATGCTTTGCTCTAAAAATACCCATCTTTCCACCACAGATGACTTGTTTAAGTGACTAACCTTCAAAAAAATTGGGTATACTGCTTTGCAAAATAAAAAATACCCAGATAGTCAAGGCCCCTCCTTTTCTTGTGTAGCAATAATTTAGAAATAATTGCTAATTATTAGCAATCATTACCTGCCCTGTTTCAGACCTGAACTGCTGTTTGCAAAAGATGAAGAATAAGAAAGGTATGCAATTCCAGACCCTGGTTCCACAAGCTACAAAAACTTACCCTATTCTAAAACCAAACAGTTTATGTGAAACACACAGCAGTTCCAATTTGAGACAAAAAGGGGTCAAGAAACATACACTTTGATACCCCAAATACTCATAGAAAATCATTTCATCAAAGTTTAACTTTGCTTGTTTCTTCGTTTTACTTTCTTACTTCGTTCCATAACAATATAGAATACAGAAAGCTATCTCCTTAACATCCTTCTACAAACCTTAGTCATAAAACACTTTCTAGGTGACAAAATACCTTTTTCTTTGCTCCAGTTCCCAGTCAAGTCTTGCTAACATCAGCTGATGAGCATCTGTCTTGGTAACTTCCTTTACAATTAAAAGTTTTGGAAAATTACCACACTTTTACATCTACACAAGTGCTCTTACCACTTTTAAGCAATATCTAACCTTGACTGTCAATCTTTTTTTTTTCAACACATGCTTAGTGAAAATATTGTAATAATTAAATTTTCTGAGGAAGTATGTAGACATTGTAATTTACAGATCAGCTGAAAAGTTAATATAAAGGTTCAGTTGCTTTTCTTTTAAATCCTTCAACTTCAAAACCATGTTATGGTGAGACTATTTGTCACTATACACTTTTTAAGTCTGGACAAAATCCTGTGGTGTTACTACAGTATCCAATGCTTAGTGAGAAATCTCTTTGAAATGACATGCATCGAAAGTATCTTAAATTCCATAAGTAGAATCCAAGCCATATTTTACAACAAATGAATTTTGCTCCACCTACAACACAAGATCAAAACTGTAGCACCTTTGCAAAGTGCAAACACATTCTTTAGTACTTCTTTCAAACTAGCCCTTAGCACCTGTCATCCTATTGCAAAGGAAGATGGAAAATGTGACTTTTTTCCCCAAAGAAAGTAGCTAAGAAAAGGAATTCTTCCATATTTTTAACTTCAAACACAAATTTCTACTATCAAGGCCGGTGTAAAACACAGTCTGCTTTTTACGTGTTTTATGGAAACTGTTACACACTTTTCCTTGTTTTCTTGCCATGGTCACTATTATAACAGGTCACTTACCGGTTTTGAAATTTCTTTAGGTGCATCCCTAAAAAACTCCTCTTCTGAAACCAGCTCTATTTCTTCATCCTTTGACCTTCATAACAGAGATTCATATAAGTCACATCAAAGCTTAATGACCTTCTCCACCCTTCAATAGTTTTTTCTTTGTGAATTATTTATGGTCTAAGCAACAGATTTCCCAGTAAGGCAAGTAAGTTGCGACTTGAATTGCAATGATCTTCTTTGCATTTAGTTTCTAACTCTTACTGTACACTTTACAGAGCCTATTATAAAAACAAGGCTCCTGACATGTACAAACACAAAATTAAAATTATTCACTTACTTGAATTCAAGACATTTTGTTATTTCTTTTTTCAAATGCATCACTTCATATAGAAGGTTTTGTAACTGCAAGTGAAGACTGTCCACCTTTTGTTTAGCCTGAAAGAAGTGAAATTGTGAAAACGATGTTGAACCGCAATAATGTTGTGCTTCCTAAGAGCTTTGAGAGACTCTAATAATTTGAAGCTGAAGATTTACATAGTTCTTACAGAAAGTTAAGTTAACAAAAAGTATACCCTACAGTGTTTCTGGTTTGTCTGATGAGAAAAGGTGGCATAATAAGGCACATGTTCTTTCCAAAAAGAGACATTATATTGTTGCAGCCCTGACAGATCATTTCAACTCTCTGATTTAAGGAAAGTAGTCAAAATGTTTGTACACAGCCGGGTGCCACCTCTCTGTATTAAGATTAGTGGAGTCTTTCCAACCTATTAGACATGTTCTAGCAGGGATAACCTCCCAACTTTAGTCAAGGTGGTTTTTTCAGGGGTGCACTCACATTTAGACCTGTAAACAATTTCCCTTTTTGGAAAGGAAACATGTTTGACTAGGTCAATGTTTTGCTCAGACAAACCAGAAAAGTTCTTAGAAATACATCGTTGACTTATACGTTTTATTTGTAATTAAGCAAATCTTCAGCTTTAATTTAAAATGACACTGTTTAGTATTTGATTTGTCCAGTTATAATATATCCAATCACAGAAATGATTTCTTCAGACATAAGCCATAGTTACAGTCAAACTGGCAAAAACTTGAAAACTTGAAATATTTGAGGAATGTTTATTGTGTTATGACCAATCACAGCAAAGATCAGGACAGGTGAACTAGCCTCAAAACCTCAAACTAGTTAATGTCCTTGCTTAAAGTTTTGTTTCCCATGTCCAATTGACTTTTTTCTTGCAACACAATAACATCTCAGAAATATTTCTGGTGATCACAGTTTTCCCACTTTGACTTTGTCCAATGACCAAAAGTCATCTGCAGCTCTGAACATGTTCTGACCAGTGAATCACTGAATTATACTATACATCCTTACTATGTATACTTTATTGCATGTTTAGTACTATGGTCATACCTCTTGGGTTCTTTCTCTGGATTTCTTGCATCTCATGTGAGCAAGTCGGTTGAGCTTTTTCAAGATTGTAAACAGCAGTGTACATCTGATTCTGGACTCATTTGTATCAGCATTCTGATTTTTAAAAAAAGGGCAAGTAACCTTGTTTCCACCATGATACATTTCAACATTTTTTTTTTACATTATTAGATCTGGAGTGGTGCAAGACAATTACCAGACAAAGTGACAGATATAGATGGAAGCATGATTTAACATTGCTTGTTGATATCGAGTCCATGGCACCTAGCAACAGATGATACTTACCGCGAATTTTTGCCCCTGAATGTCAGCTACAAGTTTCCTGATCTCCTCCGTTCCTTTCTCGAACGACTTAACATCACTTTCAGCAGTTCTTTTTTCCACTTCCGCTTCTTCCAGGTTGGCGGCATTTTGGGCATCTGAAGATTTAGAAGGACCGTCTTTAATCGAAGAAGAGTTGGAACTGGTTGAAGATTTGACCGTTTTCTTTTCCTGTGGAGGACTACCTGCATCCGAAGGCGTACGCGTTCTCCTTCGCTTCATACTTGACACTGAATATTGGCAATCGAACAGGTAACAGCTGAAAAAGAACCAAGAAATTTCACTTATAAACACACGCTCATTGAAGCCGATTCGGCCGCCATTTTTTCATTAACAAACACGCATAATTTCATTATCGTCACCGCTGACTAGCACTACTTGCTTAGAAGTCCCTTACTGACCATATTTGGTCAAATTGGAGGTGTTGATGCTTATTATGGGATGGCGGGAAAAACATGACATCATTTATTTTCATTTCTTGTTTCTGTTGACGTCCACACCTACCGTTGAAATTTGGACGAGGTACGGCGCGATAGAATAATAATTTACGATTTATTCATGCATGAATCATCCTGAAATTACCGTTCCCATAGAGTCCGAGGCTTAAAGCGTTGTTTTGGTTATTTCTTCGTTGATGCATTTCTCCTTTGCCTGAGTTTGTATTAAGATATTCCAGCTAAGCGGAAGACATCTTGGAGCTGAGTTCGTTCTGCAGCACGCAGACTATAAGTTCTCGAAGCATTTGCCTGGAGTTATAGTTGGAATGGCGACAGTGAGTAAAAAGCTTTAAAACGTGTCAATTGTAGACTAAATTATCAAATCATTTCTGAAGCACTAAAGCAGTACTTGACAATTGTGTAGGAGGTTGATCACGAACAGCCATCCAGTTTGGTGTATGTACAAGCAAGTGAACTCTTCCCAAAGAAGACGCTCGTTTCAGGTTTGTCCAAGATTTCATGCTGTGCCATTATATTCAATGATGCCAACTGCGTTTATCGTAGCTTCAAGTTGACGGTTTTACGAGTTGGGACAACAACAGTAAGCTTATATTTACATCCCACACTTGAGAAATTTGCATTTCAAGAAAGCTAATGATATAAGACGAAAAAGAAAGAAAAATGAAGCTACAGAGGGTAAGACATTATCATTAAGGGATGCCTAGGAACTAAATGAACAGGTGGGTTTGTGTTAGGTCCTACGTAGAGCTTGCGTTTAAATCGAATACCAACTTTTTTATTTAATGCTCTTCAAATCGCACTTGGCATTTCCGTCTAGACTTCCCAATCAACGGGATAAAATTGCGAACTTTCATTTGTAGACCTTTTCTTGGATGTTTAGTAAAGGTATCAATTGGATCTTTGTGCAACGTTCTACTCACCCAGAAGGTTAAAACAGCTGGAAATCGTCAAAAACTTTTTATGAATTTCACGTCGATACATAATCCGGTAGCTCAAATGATCCTCATCTATTATGATTGTTGACAGTAGTTTACAAATTTATGAGAAATCTTGCGATGTATATTTAATCAGCTTTTTCTGTGTCGCATTTCTATCGAAGGTTTTGAAGCAAAATAAATTTTGATGTATATATAATTATATTCTTTTTTATCAGCTGCTTGATTTTTATTTTGTTGTATTTTACTCAGCCTCATGGATTTTAACCAGTTTATGTTTTGATCAAGTTAATGCCAGACGTAAAAATATCATCAATTGGTTTTATGCATTCTGAAGGGCAAGGGCATGATAACAGAGAAATTTAGAGTCACGTTTAGGGAAATGGTACCATGTGTCCCCTTACTTGTCTTTTACTGTTCATTATTATTCATTCCAAATATTTCCCCAATTCTGATTGGCTAAAAAGCACACGCATAATTCACCATAACCAATTTCTGATGACCAAATTTGGAAGACTTTTGTGTTTAACGAGGAAATGACGGCAAAAATGCAGCGTTCGTGCAGGTTAAGGCACAGTTAACCGAGAAGACCTGGGAACGAGGTTGAGTTGTTTTGGTTGTGAAAACAAACCTAAACATGCACTATCGAAGATGAACTTAACATCGATGGATCGATGGAGGTAAGCATGTTAAATGAGGAATTATTTTGAATGAATAATAAAACAATGATTGAATTCGGCTTTTGTATCATATGAAGAATTATGGAGATCTCGGAGGGAAGATACTCAGCCTCTTTCATTAATTGTTAATTAATTCTCCAAAAAAGTTAGTAAAATAATGCTTGTTAGTTTTGTCCGTAGGAATAGTTTTGCTTTTATCTGCTTATTTTCAATTGTGCTAAACTCTCAACTTGAATGTGACATTTGCCATAAACGTAACTCTAAATCTTTCCAATGTGTCTTGCATGTTAACCACTAGCTTTCACTTGAATTGTCCAGTGAGTCCTGAATGTTTATCTTTGTATGATCCTTTTTTTAGATGACAATACTACTCAGGTGCCATTTCCAGAGCTGAATGGAGAAAGTGTTCAATACCTGGAGAGAACATCTGATGCTGTCCTTGCCCTTTCTAATTTCCGTCTTTTTATTCGCTTCAAAGACTCGTTTGTCAATGTGAGTTGGAATTTTGCCGAAATCAAAAAAGCTGTCAGTTACCCTGACTCTGAAATTTAGTGATTTAGAGATTTGAAAATGGAGTAAATCAAGTTCCAGTTCTGTTTGCACTGGTATAACAACCCAAACTAACTGGAACCTTAATTGGTTCAGTTTCCTTATTCTTAATACTGAACTTAAGCATCATTCAGCATTAAGCACAGGGTGGGCATTTTGCAACAAACATTTGCCATTCTTAATGTTTTACTGCAGTTCATATTTTTTTGTTTTAAAATATTTAAACCAGTTTAGTTTTTTCCTTTTCATTTACCTACAAATCTTAGATTATGTTCATGAAGGTGGCCAAGTTAAAGACAAAAAAAAAACTACTTTGATTGTTTTCAATTAGAATGTAATCGTCACCAAAACCCTTTGATTAATGCCTTAGAAAAATTTCGTTCGCCATTTCGAGAAAAGCTGAGAAAGGTGGTGAAAGAGCGTGACAACACATACAGCTCAACACATTCTTCTGGATGACTCAGATAAGGGGTTGATATTGAATATTACTACAAATTGATACATAACAACAGGGGTTTCATTAAGGTTTTGAACAGGAGGCGGAACTGGCTTTGACACCCGGAGAAAGAATAGGCCTTTTGCATTAGTTGATCATGTGATTAACTTTCTGTAAACACAGAAATGGTTCGCTTTTGAAAAATTTTGTTAGCACAAGCTGAAAGAGCAAATTAAAATTAGGTAAATTATAAATTTTCAGTCTTCTATCTCAAGAGTAGCGATTGCAACAGCTGCCGAAATTTAGAAGGATTTGTATGGGAAAAACAACTCTTGCCACTTAGTAAGGCTTTAATGGTTTTTCATACAAATCCTTGTAAATTTTGAAATTTTCAAACTGTTGTTAAATCTTTCCGTAAGCATCATTACTTGGCTCAAATCTCTTTTTTATTCATGACAGGCAATTTGAGCCCTTAAATGCATACGGGAAAGATTTAATGAGAGTTTAAAAATTTCCAAATTTACAAACAAATGTATGGAAAACCACTCAAGCGTAACGCGGTGACAAGAGTTGTTTTCGGCAGCCTTTACAATCACTTCTTTTGAGATATATGGTGGAAAATTTACAGATTACCTAGTTTTAATATGCTCTTTCAGGTCGTGCTAACAAAATTTTCCAAAAGCAAACTATTTTTGTGTTTACAGAAAGTTGATCACGTGACTAACTATTGCAAAAGGCCCATTGGCAAGGCCTGGGGGGCCTTGCCCCCCTAGGGGTGGTCAGGGAGCAGGCTTCCCCAGAAAAGTTTTAAATTCTATAGTTGCAGAAATGTGGTTTCCTGTATTCTGAAACTGCAGACAAAAAAGATAACTATTCTAGTCAATTTAATAGTGATTTGATACCAATATCCACCACACAAATAATTTGGTTCAGACAGGTGCTTGCAACACTGAGACATTTCAGATGGTCTTTTATGGAGCACAGTTCTTTTTGCATTTTTTCAATGCATTATGGGGGACGCAAAGTTGCATTCACAGCCAGTTAATTTGCCTGGTGCCTGGCCCTTAATGAAACCCCTGAACAAAAAATTACTATGTTTTCACAACATTAAGTGCAAAGTCAATGTATTTTTGGAGTTTAATGTCAAGAGGGCAGCAAGTAGTATTTCAAACATATCCTTGAATTATTAGCCTCCTCAGTGATCACAGCAGTATAAACTTTTATCTATTATAATAGGGTTTTCCTGCATTTCTGTGAACAAAGGCACTAACTAGAGTCTTATGTTCACAAAATAGTGTGATTTGTTTGAGGTTGTCCACTGAAATCTCAACCTTGTTTCATCGTGTGTGTTCACTGGAGCGGAATGTGGGAAAGGTCTATTACCCTTGATTGGGGACAGCAGTGAAAGTGACAGTTTGCGACATCACAAATCTATTGCTTTCTAAATAGAAAAGGTCAATTTTGGACTGAATGTATTTTTGATAATGATAGAATAGGTAGAGCGGCAGAAAAACTCCATTAACATTTTTTATCTTGACATTTTTTGCGCAAGTTATTATGTAGGAAAATGCCTAAATAGAATATAAAAACTTCAACATATGATATGCTGTTTCTTTAGATACCTTTGCGTTTGATAGAGTGCGTGGAAATGAAAGATCTTGTTCTGATGGACATTAACTGTAAAGATGCCAGGTCATTTAGGTTAGTAACTGGAAAACTCTTTCTCTGCATTAAGGTCATAATAATAGTAAGATTTTTGCAGAGGATAAAACCTTTTTGCATAGGGGGTTCTTTGCAATAGGCATGAAGAAAAGTATGTATTCATGATATCTTGTCTCAGTTGTAATAATTATTTATAGTTTACATGTAATTTTTTATTACTACTTTGTTGTTGTTCACACTTGGTGCTTCTTTCGTGTCTTTCAGGATTGTATTTGATAACAATGAGCAGTGCCTGAATTGTTCACACCATCTAACCCAGTGCATCTCTCCTTTGTCCCGTATTGAAGATCTTTTTGCCTTTGCATTTTATGCGTGGTGCACAGACGGCAAGCAGTCAAACTCAGCAGAGGAGGAAGAGTTTACTAGCTTCTGTCAGAGAGGTAGATTTATTCTAATAATTGATGTTTTAATAGGTGCACAAACTCTATGCTATGCTAAGTACATTGGTAAAGTGTGATGGCTGTAGAGGGAATATTGTCGAAAGGGGATCAGTTTAATGAGTGGGAGCCAAAGGCATTATCTTTTATAGACATAATTATTAGAAGGCTGTTAACATTCTAATTCAAAGCCAACTGTTTAAACATAAACAGTACATGGCACATACCGGGCTCTGACTTTGTCTAAAAACAGTTAAATTTTTTTTCAGATGCAGAACAGTATTCTTTCATGTCTGAAGTTAGGCGAATGGGTTTCGATAATCTTCGTGATGCCTGGCGTATCACTGACCTCAACAGTAACTTTGAGTATGTACCTTTGCATTATAACTGTGTAACAATATTCGTTATGAAGGCAAGACTGATTTAATGTGATATAAAACGTTTGTGAATTAGATTGTGCTGTACATATCCTAAACTTCACATCGTACCAGCCAAGATTACAGACAAGGAAATGGAGGCTGTTGGTAAATTCAGGACTTCGGGACGATTTCCATCTGTAGTGTGGAGGTAAAGTTTGAATTCAACTGATCTCTTCTGTATATCAGGGTTTGTACAGTTATGGAAAACCTGAAAAGTCATCAATTTATTTTAAGAATATCATTTTTCAGTCCTGGAAAGGGATGGAAAATTTGAGCTATGTTTGGTAGATAAGTTACTGTAGGGTTCAAAGTAAGGGCAATGTCAGATAGAGACGAGTTATTAATCAGTGTGAGTGACTATTAATGACTGTAAATAGTGAACTTACCAGTTGTGATTTTGGTGCAGGCACTTGACCAATGGAGCAGTAATTGCTCGCTGCAGCCAGCCTGAAGTGGGATGGTTTGGCTGGCGAAGTCCAGAAGATGAAGCTCTCCTTCATGCGATAGGAGCAGCATGTGCTATGGACTCTGCAGCATCATCCCTTAAAAAACAACTTCTGAAGGAGCTAGGCAAGACAAACCTTCTGAGCAATGGCATCATAGATGGCATTTGTAATGGAGATATGATTGGCAATGGCGATGATGATTCTGTTACGGACAATAAGGTTACATGTGAGAGTGGAGTTGGCAGAACAACCCAAGGTTCTGATTGTGGATGCCAGGGCGTACTCTGCTGCTGTGGTCAATAGGGCAAAAGGTGGTGGCTGTGAATGTGAGGGTGAGTTGACTTCCTTGGTTTATATTTTTTACTTACTTTACTGACTGACTTATTTTATGACCTTTTACTGACTCTCTTATTGATTAAAAAGTTATGGTTATTTCATTTGAAAGTTAAAGTGAAGATTATCACACGTACTTGATTTTGACTGCAAGTGCTTATATAAATACCTTCCATTTTCGTATCAATCTCATCATCGATAGATGATCTTGGGAGCTGGTGCCTAAAGGTTGGTGTAACCTGACTTGTGTATTAGGCACAGGAAGGAGGTATCCATGGCAACTCTGCTAGTAGCTGCTACCAAGGCCACTGTCTCACTGAACCATTTTCAAGAACACTTACCAATGAAACCTTATACCTTCTTGAGGGAGTGGGGAAATGGAAAGCAGGCTTGAAAATTAGCAGGCAAAATGACCTTGTACAAACAGGCCACCAAGTGAATGCTGCCCCTGAACGGTGTTGAGGGGCAGTTGCTGACCAGCATTGTTTCAATTTAAACCTTACCTAAATTTTATTATGCCATATTTTATGTAAATAGTAATTTATATGTTAAGATTTTACTTTTACTTTATTCTGTTGCTATGGTAACATATAAACTCCAAAATATGTTCACCAACAAATGGCCATTTTATTAATGCAAGTATTGATGCATTAACTGACAAGCAGTTGCAGTATCAATCTTTTAAAGTAGAAGTACGCAAACATTTTGGTAACTGCTGTGAGTCACCTAGTGAACTCGTTGTCCTGACTATTAAATGTTGTGGCTGGATGGTTGAAGTGGCTGTCTGTTTGAGAACACCGTACACAGGGTTCTCAATAGATTTTTAAGTAGGAGGTGATCACTGATAAAGTAGGAGGCTCTTCAGCAAAGCCAGAGGTGTCCAAACAAAGCAAAGAAAAGCGACCTAAACACAAAGTAAGCGGCTATAAATCCCAAAGTAAGCAGCGATCAATCGCCGGGTGCCACCTTCTATTGAGAACCCTGCCGTACAGTACATGTGTTAAGTAAAATTAATATTCCTCATTTTTTAGCACTCTTTCCAGCATTTTGGATCAACATTCTTTTTTGTGACTATTTTTAATGGTTAGCTGATACTAGGTTCTTCTTTTGTTTATCAGAGTATTATCCAGGCTGTGAGGTACTGTTCATGAACTTAGCAAATATTCATACAATAAGGAAAAGTTTCCAGAGTCTGAGAACATTGTGCCTTGGCCCAAGAGATTCTCCCAAGTAAGTGATTTCTATGACACTTGATGCCATAAGGACCAAAACTAAATGCAATTGGGTGATAGTGCAGCTTTTTATGGGATGTATTCCCTGACTATGAAACCTGTATTATGTAGAATAACATGTTAATTATGGGCCAGTTTCTTAAACATCCAGACAACTATTTATGCTCAAAACTTTGTCACGTTTGTGTTGTGTTAAAAATTCTTCACTGGTTGAATTTGTATTTTCTAAGTTTCTCAAGTTTCCATCTGTATCCAAGTAGGCCCCTTTATACAAAATGCATTGATTATTTTAAGGTTTTGCTTCCTAACAACAGTCGAACCTGTACTAAGCGGTCACCCTTGGGGAATGGCTAAGTGACTGTAGGACTTCGCAAATGTTGACTGTGACCACTTAATAGAGGTTAAAAATGCAATACATCAAGGGAAGTAATTTTCGGGACTTTGAAAACTGACCTCTTGATAGAAGGTGACCGCTTAATAGGGTGCTGCTTAATACAGATTTGTCTGTATCACATGCTTTCCTTTGTATTCATGCTAGTTGGTGGTCAAGCTTGGAAAAGACAAACTGGCTTCATCATATTTCTTTGTTGATGAAAGCAACCAACGTTGTGGTAAATGCCATCGACAAGGAACAGAGGCCTGTTGTAGTGCATTGCAGTGATGGCTGGGACAGAACAACCCAGCTAGTTGCTCTGGCAGAGTTGATGCTTGACCCTTACTACAGAACAATTGAGGTGAGAAAGCTTAAACCTTTTCTTCCGGGAATTTGTAACCTATCATTTGGTTGGTAATAATCCGTAGCTCAAATTACTTCAGGAAAGTTGTTATCACAGTGTAAGATGAAAATGAAAAAAACAGCTTGTCCTTCGCTGCTACTTTAGTTCACTAGCTGGGAGCTCTGAGGAGTGGAAACGGCAGATGGCAGAAATTGCCGTTCACGGAAAAAAAACAATTTTCTCAGAATAATTAATAAAATTAATACGGTCATAAATAACAAGATAGATCCTAACTGTTTTTTTTAACATGATACAATGAAAACATACAGTGATTTTAAAGCCCTATAACAGTAGAAGAGTGAGAGCAAATTTACAGCCACTAGCGTTTAATAGTTACTAAAATGCATAATTCAATTCAATTTCTTTAGTTTGCCTTTGATATTTTCTCAGGTGTTTAAAATGTTATTAACATTTTAGCTTACATGTAAAATCATGCCATGGTTGATTGACCACATCATGTGGTGTTTTTGTAAATCTCAGCAGAGAATTGTCCTTGTTTACATACAACATTTGTTCAATTTATTCAGCCATAAAATTAACAACTAAGTTATACAAAAATTAACACAGTACTTTCATTTACTCCTTTGTAAAAGTTCAACTGAATATTTTCATTAGATATGTAATACAAGGCTGTGCTCTAAGAAAAAAATGAAGGGAGCCTAGTGCCCTGAACCTGTGAAATCCAGGGTGCCCAGCATAGAATTTCTGTGAAAAGCTGAGATTTCCTAGTCACCCAAGAGCAAAAGCAAGGTGCCAGGGGCTGAGATTTACAATGTGTTGCCTATGAATGCTATTCTAAATGCCAGCCCACTCAGGTCAGATATACAGTCACTACTGTACAGGTGGTGTAAGGAACAAACAATGCTTCGTACTGTTGTTGTCCTGTTGCTCAACAGTTTCTCTTTTCAGCTATCAAGTACACAAGGAAAAAGCTGATGTAATTGAATTTTATAATAATTTATGAACTTTCACAATATTATTTTAAGTATTCCCAAACTGTTGTAATGTTTTCCTTGTCAGGGATTCCAAGTATTGGTTACTCGTGAATGGTTGGAGTTTGGTCATCGTTTTGCAGACAGGTGTGGTCATGGGCACAATCAAGATGAGAACCAGAGGTGTCCAGTGTTCCTTCAATGGTTGGACTGTGTTCATCAACTCACCAGGCAGTTTCCCTGCTCATTTGAGTTCAATGAATCATTTTTGGTAAGATTTTGAGTTTGTGTATTGTTTCAAGAAAAGGTCACTTGACGTGCACTGGACATTTTGTTTTCAGTTCTTCAAGTGTGAGTGTGTGTTTTCTGCCCTTAGGCAGGTCCTTCCTTCTAGTATTTAAGGGTCACCATCCTTCACTCTATCAAGCATTCCCATTCTAGGTCTTCCAAGTGGCCTCATTCCTATTTTTCTCTTCTCGTTTATAACTGATGGGATTAGATCTCCATTCTGTGGGGTATGACCAAGCCAGACTCTCTGTCTTCTGTTGATAACAGATATGAAGGCCCTCTCCTCACCAAAACACCTCAATACTTCTTCATTCCAACTTTTTGAGATCAAGATATGTTTAAGACCTTCCTCCAAAGCCACATCTCACAACTCTCCAGCCTTCAAACATCCTCGCAATGAAAATAGCTATTATACACCTTAGGAAATTTTTGTGTGACATATTATTGAGGTGCCACAAGATTTTAAGCATTTTCAAAACCATGCAATACCCTTTGAAGACAAATACAGGTGTATAGAGAAATCACAGCACTTGTACTAGTAATATAATTCTGCAAAGTAGATCCAAAGACTTTCCTAAACTCACCCTTCAGTGAGGTAGTCCTCCTGGGAACTGGAAAAGTGTCACCCATCTTCAGGCCTTCCCTATTACTGGTTTCTAAATCTTGACATGACTGCATAAAAGGTCTTTGGGTCTCCTTCCTTGAGTGCAACTTACGAAATGTCTTTGACTTAGATGCCTCAGAGTCTTGCCCATTTTCACTTCTGTTTGAGTCCTCTTGAAAGTTAACTTCTCTTTTTATTGAACAGGTAAAATTGGCACAGCATGCTTATTCCTGTCTCTTTGGTACATTCCTCTGCAACAGTGAAAGTGAGCGTCTGAAGGCAAATATCTTTAAACGTACCTTCTCGCTTTGGTCATTATTGAAGCTGAAAAATAAAGAGTTCAAGAATTTTCTGTACTCTTCTTCTTCTGAGCAGGTAACATTTTGACTCAGTTTATGTAGATACAGTTGTAATCTCATCCTAGTATTGTCTCTGACTTTACAAAAGTTCCTAAATTACTTGATCAGTTTGGTAGGAAATAATGGTTTAAATTCCCACTAGACATCTAGATTATTAACTGGTGGATGTCCGAAGGGCATTTTCAAGTTATCTCTTTGGGGTTGAGATATGCAAAGGAGTCACTCACTGACTCGAGGTAGATGATCATTGGCGGGTTCCAAAGTTACCTGAAATGAAAAACACCATTTTGTTGTTGTTACCAAAGTGTACTTTGGGCAACTTCAGGCGTGCATTCACTCACGCTATCATGTCGTGATCAAGAGAACCCTGGAAATGAGGTTGGAATATGAACTCATGAATTGATAGATTTTCTTCTTTAAGTCATTTCAACTTAAAATAAATATTTTATTTTATCACATTCATGACTTCTCTGTTTTCTAGACAATGCATCCACAAGGTCCCAATAGTTTTTACTTTGATTTTGAACCTCTTGCTGCACTGATAACACAACCAGATTCTAATAATATTACATTTTTATGTTGATATTGAGGTATATATCTTCGGTTTAAGGTTTTACAAGCCTCCTGTCAACCTCGTTGTCTCCAGCTGTGGTCAGCCGTATATCTTGCCTACCCTACTCCTTATTCTGAGACAGTGTTGGAGAATGGAGACACTAGTGATTATGGTGACTCAGTAAGCAGTGCTTGTGTCACTCCTGTCTCTCCTGTTTTCCCAAGTGTTAACAGCAGCATTGAGCAAGAGGAAGAAGCTCTGCAGACGTGCCATGTTACAGCATCTAAATCTGATGGAAATCTGATGTGTAAAGACTGTTTAAAACATCAACAAGCACTTGATGACAATAGGAAACAATTATTTGATAGTTTAGATAGGAATTTGAAATCAAAGAGTTGCCCTGAATGTAGGACTGATATTTCTGATAATGACATACCCCAAAGCACACCCATAGCAAAGGACGCTGTTGCTCTTGAGTCAAAGAGTGTGTATGTTAGTGCTCAATCAGACTCCTGTTTGAGAAGTGTTGGTGATGTAGAAAGCAGTATGTCTAGTAGCACACAAACTGTTATTCTAGATTCAACTGAAGGCGATTCTGCCATTGAAAATGGACTGGAATCTTCTGAAAAGACCTCCTCTGAAAGTTTAACAGAAGAGACTCAACAAATGACTTCTGTGGTGGAAGAACAATCTTCACTGCAAGAGGAAGGTTTGCAAGAAAGTAGTGATGTAGGGCAATGCATGGTTGAAACAGTGCATGGCTCTTCATTTAGTAAAGGCATACCTTCGGATGAAGAGGGAACAGAATGTTCAGAAAACTCTCAAGGGACACCAGCTAAATCTTCAAGCAACCTAACTCTTACAGGCAGTACCCATGAAGCAACGCCAAGTACATCAACATTGAGACCAAGCTCATCAGAACTCTTCACTAGGTACCTAGACATAGATGGATTGACGTATGTTTCTGATCCTGTCCAAGAGAGACTGCGGCAGATTGAAATGGCACACCAAGCTAAAGTGGAGGCACTGCAAAGACAGCTGTTGGATACACAAAGGAGAAGGATGACGTCCACAGAGGGAGGGACAGCTGGAAGAACAAGTGATCTTGCCGATGAAGTGGTATGTAGCATGCGATAGAAAAGGAAGAAGGGTGGAAAATGCATTTGAATACAAAGTCAGTAAATACTACTTGTTAACTGAGAGTCATTACAGGGAAATCTCAAACCAAAGCCTTAATGTATTTACTGAGCGATAGCAACTGAGATTTCCTTGTAATGACTGAACAGACGAGGTTATAAAGTTACTAATTTATTTAGCCTTTTCAGTATAGACCTGAGCCTGTGATCAATATTTATTAAAATCAACAACTGGTCAGCGGATAACTTTAAAAAACGTATCACCTCAATGAGTTCCCCATAGCAAGAAACAGTGATAAGCCTAACTAGTTAGAGGCAAACCAATCAGCTACTGACACCCATGATGACAGGGCCATCAAAAACAATCTTGGCTGATGGCTAAACTACTTGGCGATGCTGTCTTGTGAAACCACTGGGCGAAAAACTGGATTTGCACAAATATGCTCTTTGCAAATATGTCGCAAAAAATGTAAAAACTGAGGGGTAAATAAGGGGCAATGATGGCAAATGCCATGTTTGCATATCAAAAAACGGGGTGTAAATAACTAGGCACCATCTTTGCCCAGATTTACTCCTCAGTTTTCACAATGTTGTGACACATTTGTGTAAATCCATTTTTTCCATCCAGTGAACAAGCAAGAAATAATATTATGTTATTTCGTTGTTTTTCACCACCAGTGTTCATTACCAGAATCAAGTGTAAGTGGAGAACAGCCGCCTCTGTCACTTGGCAGTGGTGATGAAGGGAGCTGGATTCAACTGGAAGAGAGTGAGGCACAGCCTACTCTGTGGGTCCCAGATCATGCTGCAACTAACTGTGCAAAATGTGATACACAGTTCTGGATTGCTAATAGAAAACATCATTGCAGGTAGTTATTGTCCCAATATTAATTGAAGTATTTTGTTATTCACCCGAAAATTACAATAATAATAGTCTCCAATCGTTGTGAGTCATCATTACTTATGACAAGCTCAAAAGGGATCTGAGACTAATAAAATAGCAATTATTGGATGATGCTGAGTATGATTGCAAAGGAGTTATCGGCCGGGGCAGATAACACTCTCTGAGGTCTGCATAATTTTTCATATCATACACGTCAACTACAGCAACAGTACTGCTATCAGTCTGCATGATTATGCTCTGGGCCCAGTTGTTCGAAGGGCGCTTAGCGATAACCCGAGGTTAAATTTTAATCTGTTCAAAAGTCTAATCATCAAATTATAGACAAGAAGGATTACACCGAATTTGCTTTTTATTCTTTCACCTCTGAAATCACATTTCGCACCATCCCTGGGTCATCTTAACCCAGCTTTGTACAACCTGGCCCTGAACGTTATAATTATAGTCATAATATAGTCATAGTAACTCACTAATTCAGAAGGCCTTATACGCTGCGTAACTATTTATATTAGTGACTTTTGTTAAATCTCTGATTACCTTTTTCCAATGATCCCTTCTTGTGTTCATCGGAAACCTGTACCTTTTTACTTTAGCGAGTTTAAAAAGCCGTCACTAATAGGTGCCACCCTTTTTGATGGCTACTTGAACAGGAGCTAACTTGTATTTTTTTTTCCCCACAAATTTTGTCCAGGAATTGTGGGCTGGTTTTCTGTGGAACCTGTTCCGAAAAGAGATTACCGTTGCCTGAAGAACAGCTGTATGATCCAGTTAGAGTTTGCTTAGCGTGCTTTGAAAAACTAGTCACTCTTCAAGAACGTGAGAATGAGAAAACGGTGAATGAAGGCACAATTAAGTAGCAGACTTGTGACCAATTCAAAGGCGCACATCTCCTCGCAGACCACCTTAATCACTTGAATTGCTAGGAATTTATACCAAGTGGTTTGAAAGTATTTTTATATTCTATGCTTCTTCAAAATTGTAAGGCAAAAACAATGTTTTCATCCTGACAAGTCATATATTATTATCAAAGTTGCAGTGGTATTTTTCCAACATATTTTTGTGTCACTTGTATTTTTTCAACCTTTTTATCATTTTTGTTCTGGCATATAAACGTGACTTTCTTGCATTTTTAATTCCTTCCAGCTGCCTTTCAAATGATTAAGGTGGTCTCTGTTTTCATTTGTAGTAGCATTAGGCTATTAGGGCTCCTAGAATGAGGTTAAAATGTTTAGTGTATAATTAGTTACGGTTAAACAAATTTCTACATTGGTCAAGTATTCCCTCGAAATTATGTAAATATGCAAAACATTTTGTTGAAAACTAAACCTAAAAATAATGTTGTTTCTTCTAAGTATTTTTGTTTGTATTTTATTTTGACTTATTGATTTGAATCATCAATTAATTATTAGGTTACCAAACGAAACAACAACAACAAAAAACATTATCTTGACAACGTTTTGGTATTGTGATAAAAAATATAAATCGCATTTTCATCTTTAGGTTGTTATAATTTTGCATGCACAAAAAATACGTTTCTTTCCATTACGCAGAGAGTTAAACTATTAGCGGTGGTAAGTTCGTTTCAACTTCATTTTGTTCAACCTTTGTTTCCAAAACTCATAGTATGTTCTAGCTGAAGAGTTTGTCTATGAGCCAAACCCTGAAGAGTAAATGTGTAGAGAAGGCCCTAGTAGCTGGATAGTTCTTTACACCGAATAAATCATTATCCAGTAGATGTAGATATTATAGAAAACAACTGCGTCATCCTCTGGACAGAGATTTATTCAGTGGATAGTGCCATGCACCTTATGAGCAAGTTGGACCAGTACTTTAATTTAATACTGTTGACTAAGATGTACTTCTCAGTCTGGGGATTAAATCCGTAAGTGTAATCATTGAAATGAAAGCAACTGATCAGCACTTTCCTCTGGTACTGTTTATTGCGCTGTACCAAAGGTTAAAAAAAAACATTAACTTAGAGGTGTTTAACTCCATAATTCTTTTATGCGACAGGAGTTAAGGATGGTTCGTTGAATATAAAATTATGTCAATTTTGGGAGGAAACATACTAGAGAACAGTTACCCAATCAAAACTGGTTTGTCAGGCACTCGCTGGTAACTCCTATAGACACTTGTGCGTGTTTACGCAGTACGCTTTTTGCTGCCTAGCACTTCCTCCTGTCGAGTAACTCATTGTGATCTCCAGCTGATCTCACGTGATGATATTATTTGTACTTCTCAGAGCGACCTTTTAAAATTGGTTTTGACTAGCTTAGCTCATGTCTACTTTATCATGTTTTCCCCAATTAGAATCAGATTCATTTCCATTGCAGATTTGTCGCTGCCAGATGACGCCGGGAAATTTTCCCAGTTTTGATTGGTTTTTGGATTAATGATAAGAGAACCTGGAATTCTCGCATGATAATGAATGGAAAAGCCACGTTCACTTTACTTTTCCAATCGTACATTGTAGAATTAATCAATGTGAATGTTCCCATCTTAGTTGTAATAAAAATTTACGTTCAACGTGTACTGGATTACGTTGTCATTATAGCTGCGAGGTTTTGAAAGTTAGACAAAATGTTTGATTCTGTGTTTCCATGTGTCTGCTGAGCAGAAACGGGTTTGGCTTGTTTCCTGGTTTGCCGGTACGAAGGCCAAAAGAATGAACTACGTGGATATGATGATGCGTTAAAAACAATGAAAAACAGCATACTGATACTCCTTTTAAGAACCGGGTTTTAGTTTTGGTAAAAAATTTTGACAGTGAAGAATATTAAGCGTTGTACGCAGAGAGGAATGCGTTGTAGAGGCAACAAAAATGAGCTCTTAAACCGGCATTTGCAGCTTGGTCGCATGTGTAATATGGTTTTAGAGGATGACTCGATCATTGCAGGGCGGCGTTATGTAAGTTGTATCGGTCATGCGTAGTTTCTGGACACGTTTCAGCTGTGGCTGACCTTGAGGGATATGGTACTCCCTGTCGAATCATACGGCTATAGATAGGAAATGCAGCGAAGATTTTCGGACGGGGGGGGGGGGAAGAGAGAGATTCCGGCTTCACTTAAAAATGCATGCCGTTTATTCAGTTGCTTATTATGAGAACGTGCTGGTGGTGGTAATGTTCGAGAACAAGATGCTCATCTAGTATGAAGTAATAAAAGTCCCCGAGCCCATGGATCCCCATGGCAAGGAGAACATGCAACAACCGTGACAAAAAAACTATTGGCCACTTCCCAGCCACATCTCCCATAATGCACCTTATTTGCCCCCCCAAAATTTTGCATAACCTTTGTTTTTCATTTCTCCTGGGTATTACAGCCGTCCCATGAGAAATTGAAAACAGTGTTTATGGAAAATTTGGGGGGCAAATGAGGTGTATTATGGGAGATGTGTAAGTGGCGAATCAGCGAACAAAATCGCTTAATTGAACATTGAATTTACACATTTAATCCAAACAACGTCAGCTTTTGACCGAATTGCATGCAAAGAACTCAACTCTCAGTCTTGCGTGATCATTAAAATGCTACTTTTGTAACAGTTTATCTTACTATTGAAATCTTTCTCTCACTGTTAGAGTCCCTGCTGCTTGATGGCATTTTGACAAAGAATTCATATTGAAACAACACGGCTTTTTCCATCCAAAGAAAACAGAAATAACCATGACTCGCTCAAGTTTTAATGGTAGATAATTCAACACAGCCACAACATATTGGAACCGCTATTTAACTGAAGTTTCTCATAAAATACACCACTACCTCATTTTTCGTATATAAATGTTCAAAGTTTCGTACTCTCGATGGCACTAAAACTGCTGGTATATCCTAGCAAATTTTGAAACACAAGAACTGTACTGGCGCATAGAGCAGGTGATGCATGTAAATTGGAAATTTAATCCCTACTTTTCTCTAATTAAGGATTCTGGGTTAACAGTTTTTCGAAACATACAGATCAAGGACTAAAACTTTGAAATCAACCACCAGAACTTCAATGCTGTGAAGCTGAATAAAGTTAATTACCAATCCTCAAAAAGTTGATCCCTAGATTGTTTGCTGTTACAAAAAAAAATTAGCCGACATTTCTGCCTTATTGAAGATGCAAATTATACTTCCTTTTCAGCAAAATATAAATAGATTTATTATTCATTTAAAGCAACTAATCAATATCTGTAATTTTATATGGCTTATGGACTCTATTCGGTGTAAAAAACCATTTGCCGCTCCTCAAGGCGAACCTTGATGCTGATAACCGGCTACAAAATGGATGCAAAGACCCCAAACGGTATGTATAATTTTTCTTCAGACGCAAGGGAAACGTTCTTTTCGTAAGGTTAACCGGCCGGTGATGTATAGCTTACATATATTTTTGGAAGACTTTTTAGCTTTATATTTTTGCCTTAAAATAAATATGAGCAAAGATAACAACCGTGCAATAAAAAAGTTACAATCTATGATTCGATTGGAGTTATTATAAATGTCGTCGATCTTTCAATCAAGTGGCTTTGTGAATAGAGAAAATTGACAGAGATTTTTGGGATGAATTTTTATCTACTTTAAATGATTGAGATACATCAAAAGCCTTTTAAAAAAAAAAAATGGAACAACACAAAATTTTCACCTTGGAACCTTGATGACAGAGTTACAAATGGAAGCCAATTTGCCGCGTGGCTTAAATTTAAAACGGACTCTGTTTCAAATTATTTATTGTAAAAAGCTCTCGCCTTTGAGATATGTTTATTGTTATTGTTATTGAATGCTACGGCTTCACGGTTTTGTATTTCAAATTTCCTGCCAGCGCTAACGGGGACTAGGGCTAGTCAAGTTCAGACGGTCCTTCTTCCCTTGTTCTTTGGCCGGAAGCCCGTCCGGCCATTCGTTGAGTTTTCGCTGTTTTTCCCTCCCCCATCTGATCGCAGATTAACACCAATCTTGTTTCCAGAACCCGCGATTGCTTAAGGAGGACGAGTGATGCGGGAGGTGGAGGTTGATGCTAGAATAATGGGACACTGCGAACAGATCAGGCGATGTGAAAAGCCCGGGGGGGGTACTCCCATACATTACCTATACGGGTATGTGCCGCCCAACGGGGTCGTGATTTTAAAGCTCCTGATTTAGAAAGGGGTATCCATTTCAGAGGCGTTTTCTAGAACGGGGTATAATATTTCGAACGCATGAAAGCTCCAGTTTTGTAAGCAACCATTTGAAATTATTCAAGGACAAATTGCTTTTAAAAATACGGCTCAATGCGTTACTGAAGCAAACTGATTTCTAGAACGGGTATCAGTTTTAGGGCGAATTCTAGAACGGGGGTATAAAAATTGGCCCATTTCTAGAACGGGGTATCAATTTTAGGGGAATTTTTTTTTAGAACGGGGTGCCAATTTGGAGTCCCGGGCGGCACATACCCACCCAAAAAATACCCCAGTGCCCCCCCCGGGGTGAAAAGTCGCTTTAAAAAGTACATAGAAAACTGAGGAGATACGAGAAATTGGTTCGCTAAGTGGGAATTATATACTCTTTTATGGATCCACGCCGTAATGCGACCAAAGGAACGAATTACTCGCTTCAGGGTAAACAAGACGTTTGTTAAGATTAGTTCTGATTTTATCCGTTAGTCAATTGCAGCTGTGCCTTTCTTTTCCTGAGAAACTGAGGGGACGGTACGCCTTGTCAGCCTCACGGGTCGGGTGTTCGGCCTTCCCCGAGGCTATCCCGGCTTACTTTAGGCCGTCTGACACACGTGGTTTCGGAAATACAAGCATGGAGGATTTTATAGGAAAGGACTAGCACTTAGACGCAGATTGGCATTTTCCGTCAATTACTGGACGAACTTGGAGAGGTTTTTTTAAGGTAACCTCTGCAGTGTTGATTGGTGACGATTTCTGAGGCCGACAGGAGCTCGTCAGGGGGATCATTTGCATCCCCACCACAGGGTATTTGCAAGCTTAGGTGTCCTTAACCCACTGGAAAAAAAATGACTCGGAGATTAAACTTGGGCAGAAGGTGCACAGTTAAAATTGAACGATGCATTAGGGTGAAAGTTTGTATTTAATAGTCATGTGATAACGGGCCGTCCCTTTACACAGGTGAACAGCATCGACGACGGAGAAGTAGCGGTGCACATCCTGCTTCGGGTAAGTTGGGACACCTGTGCAACAGGAATTAAACTTTTGGAGCCGTTGTCGATTTCCTCGAAAAATCTTGTTTTGGCATCAGAGGCACCCAACGACAATTTTCGGAAAAATATCTGTTCGGAAGACGATTTGAGATCTAGAATTTTCGGAACATTTGTTGTAAAATTTCTTGCTTGCATGCCTCTCCTAGGATTTTCGAACATATAAAAGATGGTATACTTGCCCATTTTTAACTCATTTTTACCTTAAAAAGTTCACCTAGAATTTTCGGGAGCCTATTTATTTTCTGGCTAAAATTTTCGAAAAGGTAAGGTTTGATCCCTATAATTTTCGGATCACTAGACTGTCAGCTAGAAAATCTGAACAGATGAAAAATTTTTAGGGTATAAAGATATGCCTATATCTACCGTTTAAATACTAAAATACATTCAACAATGCTATGTTTAAGTGGTTTTGAACTATACTCTCGTTGGGTGCCCCTGTGGCATTGTCGCTCCGGGTTACTCAGTTAAGTGAACCTATGACCAATCAACGATGTGTCATGCTTGCACGTACGGCTACGAGTTTTTCATTTAGACTGGGTTGGAATTGCAATACAACATGCACAATAAATGACAATAATTTGCGGGATTACTAGTCTACTCTTTCCAAATCCGAGTTTGTCGCGGATTAACCTCCAGAAATCTGACCTTCTGGACTGCAATGAACTGACACTAGTTTTCAGTTTTTACTTTATTGTACTTATATAGTGTATCATTTAATCTAGGTCCGACCGGTCAAGGAGATCAGCGACGTTCATCAGTGAGCACTCGAGGTCAAGACGAGAAACGACGCTCTTCTGTTCTCAATCGAACTCATGAAGAGCAGCGGCGTTCATCAGCTGGCAGCCGACCCGGTCACGAAGATCAGCGACGTTTATCAGCGGTTAGCGCACGTGGTCAAGACGAACAACGTCGCTCGTCCGTGGTCAACCGAACTCAAGAAGATCAACGGCGTCCGTCAGCTGGCAGCCGAATCAGCTACGAAGAACAAACCACGAGACGCAGATCCGAAGGCAAGTGCTACGCGCATGCACGAAACAAGGGGTCTTTGACTCGAATAAACGCGCACTTATAGGTTGGCATTTTATCCTTCTCTTTAATTATGAAAGAGGTATAGCTGTTCTTGTCTTCTCACGTTAATTTAGGTTGGTGATTACCATTTCTAGAAGCAAAAAGCTTTTTTGAAAACACTCACTCGCCTTAAGCGGTGATTAAAAAATGACAGAGGTACTTATTAAAACGCTGATTATTTAACTATGTACCGAGACACGAAAATATTTTTGAAAAAACGAGAAAAGTTAACGTCGTTTCCAGAGCTGAAGCGGTTTTTCTTCATCTTTTTAAAACAAAATTGTACCAAGATCGATAATTTTGTTTTCATGGGGTTTTAGCTCTCTGATTCAAAATCAAACATCATAGTGACAAAGCCTGAAAGCCATCGAATTCTCATTGGCTTTTCAGTAAATCAGGTAAATCTCTTTCAAACAAAACGACAAGTTGTCAGAATAATGTTCCGGAGCAACTGAATTTAAACCTCCGCCGGCGTCTTGCTGCACAGTATTAGATAACAGAAAATGCTTGATTAAATCAAAATAATTTCCTTGATTCGCAAATGTCAAACTTGTGGCACTCATTATGTAAAGAGGTCTTTTTAACCTCGAATACCTAATACTTATTCAAAAAAGCAAACGTATATTAACCAAGCACTCGCCATGTCGGCGGAGCGTAGAGGAAATGTTCCAGCCTCAGCAAAGCATTCTCGGTCATCGCGCAACGAAGGGCGCCATCAAACTAACCGTGAAAAGTCTAAAAAGAAATCTAAGCCTGAAAAATATGCGACGAATGGACGTAAGTATTTAAAAAAAAAACAAGGTTGCAATTTGTACTAAATTGAATCATTGAAACTTTTGGATGGTGATCATTTGTTCCAGGATAGCTACGCCTAGAGGCAAACACGAAGAGAGCTCGATATATCAAAATATAAACATATATTTCACAGAAAATACTTCTAAATATTAATTAAGAAAGAAAGGAGACAAAAAAGCGTAAAAAAACAAATATTATATCGCTTTCCTCTAATAAGTGCAATCCATATGCATTTGATAATGTCTCGCATAACTCTTTTAAAATAGACGGGTTGTCTCATTGTGGTCTTTCTAAAACCTCTTTTACCAACTCGAAAACTATTTACTAACGAATGGGAAGTATTAGCTTTGAAAATCAGATAGATACAGGATGCCACATAATATTACCATTGCTAATGCCAATTCTATGTCAATTTACTTTTGAGGAGATCAAGCATACATTGATCGATTTACAGCTGCCTTCCTCTGTTTCAGTAAAACTTTTCATGGTGCACTCTTTATTCTGTTAACCGTAGACACAATCTTCTTATATTTTTTTTTTAAAGAAATCCCTCTGTTATAAAAGATAAAATTAAATACTTTAGGCTTGTTAAAACAATATGAATCACACACTGAATCCAGAAACGACTGGTGATTCAAACCCTGCGAGTGGAAAATCAGTAATTCATTACAAATAGCGATTGTCTTAAACCAGAAACTCTTAGCGATTGAAACGTGTAACTCGCTTTCAATGCTCGTAAGTATTCATTTTTTCTAAGTAACATATTTGGAAACCCTCGCTGCGGCCTCAAAAAAGCAAGGCTTTATAACAACAACGTTGCAAGTTCATCATCTGGTTCATCACGCAATACGATATGAAAGTGCCGTTTTGTTGGGGATGAAAACACAAGAGGACGACTTTCTTTTTCTTTTCCTGGACTTCAATGTCTTTAGAATTCATTATCCAGAAAAAATTGCTAACATTTTACGAACTGAACGAGATGGAATATAAAGGAGATAAAGTTTGAAGCAGCGCGAATACACCTTTTAAGTGACGTCAGTTGTAGCCGTCGCCACCGTTCCCTCCAGGGAGCGGGGAGTAATATTACGTCACCTCTTTCAGAAAGTTTGATTGGTCCATCTTTTCTTCTCTTTCCAAATACAGTATTTACTTGCGAAAATGAAAATAAACGAGCATTTACCTGATGAGATCAGGCTCAATTTTCGTTTCGCTTGGTAAATAAAATTCTGGCGGGAAAGGCGAAACGAAAACAAAGTTAAGGCCCAGATTTAGCGCGACCACGTAAACGATGATACCCAGTAAAAAAAATACGGCATTACTTCACCCGTAAGCCTAATGAGTAGAAAACTGGCCATGGGTCGGGAAAATAGTAGGAGCGTCGTGTAACTAGTTTAAGAATCTAGACGCAATTCTGGCTGTCGTTTGCTTTGAATGCGATGGTCTGAGAAAGAGTATCGCATTTTCTAAGCTCCGCGACCAGATCAGTTACGGACGTATCTAAACACAAGAGAAGAAATCTTGGTTATATGTTCTATTCTGAGTCCCTCTGTTCTTATCAGCATCTGATTAGGGTTTTTAACGCTAAGCAAAAGGAATTAATGTCATTTCGCGTTTGTTGACGAAACTGTTATCTACCGCAAAACTATTCCCCGCTGCTTTAGTTCTAGTATCTACAATGGATTCAATTAAAGCAATGATCTGACAGGCAATCGCAGGAGTAAAATCTTTCTTCTAGTAGCTAGTGACATAATATGATTTTTCACTTCAATGAGTTCTTTCTTTCAAACATCATTTTCTAATAGTCCCTTCTATACAGCACGGTGATCAGTACGGGCGTCTTCTTCTTAGAGCACGAGGATAGGCTGGGCGCGTAGGCGAACTTTGTGATAAACTGCTGTTCGTGGGTTACCTGTGGCATAGCACTTTTGTCTTGTGGTCTTGATGTTAGATCCTAATTTTTAAGCATAGTATAGGAATAGAAGATAGATTTTCATCCAAGGAAGTTATCATATCAAATAATCTTATATCCAATAATTAAAACCGAACACAAAATATTGATAGATTTTTCCCGATTTCGTCTTGGAAGCGGAAAGAACACAAGACAATTTCATGGTTTGATTGCGGTTTTTTCTTGTCGGTCTAGGTATAATGGCCTGTTATCAGTGATTATAGTCACAGCTCTAGAATGGAATCAGTTATGGCTAGGTGATCAAGTTATTCAACTTATAAAAAATAAGTGCGTGCGACACTTGAAAAAACATTTACAACTTAAGTCTTTTTCTGGACAATTTTCTCTGTTCCTTTTTTTTGCAAGTAACCATGGTAACCATGTTAGCCAGACCCTGACTCTATTTTGGAGGCACTAGTAATTAACCTGGATTAACCGGCGTTTTATTTCAATTGTCGGTTTGCTATTCACAGCCACGGATGGCCGGGACCGAGAATTTGAACACTTTTTACACACGTTTATTACACAACGCTAGACAGTCAACTAAAAGTGACAGAGAAACAACGAGAGACGGGGAGGGGGTTTGAAAGGTAACCGAGGTAACGGGTTAATTATGCGCGTAGCGAATAACAAAGCAGTACAACTACGCGAGCTATGGCGTAGACGGAGTTGTTTTGTTTGGTCATTGTTCGATTGACTAAACTTTTTGGGCTCATGTAAAGAGGATTGTTAATATTTTTTGTGTTTACCCTTGATTTTTGAAGCTTAATGTCGAGACATTTTCACATTTAATTATTAAAAATTTGTTGTTCAATTTGGCCGCTGTGGAGCCAAGGTTTAGTAAAACATCAATATTTAAAAGCTCTATTTCGAACCATCGACGGTCAGTAGAATTCTATTGTTGATGTTCTTGTTCATTAATCAACTGAAGTCATGCCACGAACAACCCTTCAGAGCTCCGTCTTGACAGAACCCGTGGACATTCCTAGGCACTATAGGAAAAGAGGTATCTTAAATACTTTCCTATTTTAACCCTAACCTTTCAATGCAAACTGAATCGAACTCTAATTCAGAACGATGTGAATGCCTTATTATTGTTTTTGTAAAGCGATGCAAGTAGTTTTACTAACTAGGATCAATTTGATACCGCTATTGCGGTCGTTTCCAACAAACAAAACTCGAGTCTAGACTTACACAGTCCGAGCTAAAAAAGTGGAATAAAAACTTTTTCTTTAGTTAGCACATTTTATTTTTAACTTCCCTTAAATTTACCGAAAATTGCAAGCTTTAATTTTAATTTTAATTTTTTTTTGAAAAAAGAGAACAAATGTGACAGGTGTTAGCTCAATTACACGGACCAGACCACGTGATCAGAAGAAGCGACGGGCTCTGGGTACGAGTCACTGGCGCTGATCTATGGATAGTCTCCCTCGCAGCCGTTTTTTGAATGTCACGCAACGCTCCCCGAAAAGAACGGCTGCTGACATCCGATCCGAACTACATTCCTTTCTCATTGTCCTTGCGGTTTGTTTGCGGGGAGCGTTGCGTGACATCCAAAAACGGCTGCGAGGGAGACTAATCTATGGAGTGCGTATACCAAACTTTAAAAACTCAGGGACTTAAAAAAATATAAAGATGAAGGCCCTGCGTTGTTACTGTCTTTCTCGCACTCAGTAGTCCGGAAATACGTCTGTGTTCACGGGCTATAGTCACAACGGCGCGAGTTCCGCTTAGTTGATGGGTGAGGACAAAACAAGGACCAGGGGTCCATGGACCCCCTCTTTGGATCGAGTCCATGGACCCCCTGTCATGGACCGGGTCCATGGACAGTTTTTTTTAATAATGAGAAATGAACAAAAACAGAAATAGTGCAAAAATAAGGTTAAAAACAACGACAACAACAAACAATGCTCGAATGATCAGTAATGTTTAATTGTGCTTACATAGTGTTAAAAAAGGCGTGGGGGGGGATGGCGTCGGTAGCCTAAAACGTGACACTTTGATCTTGTTGGAAAGATTTACTTTTTTTACCAGGCGTTCCTTACACTCGCCCCAATCTTCTCCATTTTTTTCTTTTTCCAGATCGAAGGAAGAAAGAGATCGCTTACCTCGGGATGTTTAAAGCAAAAGTTCTTGTGTTAGGGCCTTGTGAGGTAAATTTCTTAGATTAATCAACTAAATATGTGTTCTAGATCGCTATGGAGAGTTTCAAAAATATGTTAGGGCTGTCAACTTTGAGATGTGGCGAGATGCTATGTTTTTCCATTCGAATGAGTCTGTCTTCTTTACTGTTAATATTTTTTTTGCTTTCCACAGAGCGGGAAAACCGTAATTTCAAATTTCCTCTCTGACGCTACCGAGACTTCAGGAGGAGAGTACCATCCAACACAAGGTGTCAGGTAGTTTTAAGAGATATATTTGATGTAGATGATGCACATTTTAATGCGAAATTTCAATATATGGCAACCGGGAATGTTTATAAGCAGTGGAACTTAGAGACCAAGTATTTTGCAATTTATACTTTGCATTTCTTTATCAACTTAATGAGAAATCAAATTAATCAGGTTTTGTTTACGAATCTGTTGAGATTTGCGGCCTCAAAAATTGATCATGAATCAAAATGTATGAATAAGTTATTTTAGTTAAGTTTACATGTAGCACTATAATGGTTGTATAGCCAGCTGTAAGTTATCTCTTGTCTCTGAACTTGTGACAACCCGTCCTTGAGTGCAGAATAAACTCAGGTTTTTATCGCTGGATTTTCGTGAGGTAATTGTTGATATTGCCAGTCTTCATTATTTGTGTGTCTATAGGCTAAATTGTCAGTGACATTTCATCTGATGTGGTTCAAATAAGCCTCCGACCTACCTGTTGCCAGTAACACTCGGATACCATTACCCTGAACAAGGATCTTAGCCGTGCTTTGCTGATGTTGCTAACTGAGTTTAAATTATGTCTGTGAAGCAGGCTAAACTGGGAGAAGCATACAAATTTTATCCAACTAATGTTGGCTTAAAAGAATAAATCTGTCATGGCAGGAAAGGAGAGGTTTTGGGACAAGTGCCATAATTTGTGTTGCTTATGGTTATATGGGATATGCCCTCACTGGAAATAGCACTTACATAAGCATAAGTATATAAGCAGACAGGAACGCAAGGTTTTGCTATTCTTGTGTTTCCGCTTAAAGTCGCTTTAGCAACAGCTACCTGTTTACTAGCACAATATCATCCGATGCATGTGTTGCTAGAAGGACTGTATTTATTTATTTTGTATCATTATCTTCCCAACAGAATACTAGAATTTGAATGCAATGGGATAGAAATATCACCTGGCAAAACAGCCAATTGTGAAGTGGAGTTATGGGACTGCAGTGGAAATCATAAGTAAGTGTGAACTGACCTTGATGCCATTGCCTGAGTTGTCCAAGTCTAAGTTTGGTGTTAATTGGACCAATATTGAACAAGATCCAGCCATTCAAAGACTTAAAATTTTATTAAGAAATTTATGGATTGTGGGACACATAGTCTAGATATCTTTTTCATTATTAATTTTTGGACTTTTTGATTGGCTGTATCTTCATTCTTGTTAAATAAGCGGCTTCACCTGCAAAATAATATTCCATCCCAATTTCCTGTCCCCAAATTGCCAACGATGCTATTTTTCTAAAGTGTCCTAGATTTTTGTGATGGTTGGTGATCATTACTGCATTACTGTTAAGGATGTTTGCAATCAGTTAGCAATAGTTAAATTGCTTGATACAGATTCTCTAATTGCTTGACTCCAGTCATTCTCCATGAATTAAAGTGACATTTACACTCAAGGTTGTGCTCTAGGAAAGAATGAAGTGAGCGGAATGAAGGGAGCCCAGTACTTCTGAACTTGAGAAATCTAGGGTGCCCAGCATATGATTCATATAAAAAACCCCAGATTTTCTAGTGGCCTTTTTTCAAAGGGCAAAATTAAGACTCCTGGGGTCAACAGGGGCTGTAAAATCACAGCCTTAACACTGTAGGACTAAATGTACTATTTTCATAACATAACCACCGCCTGGTTAGCTCAATTGGATAAGTGACGGTTTGCCAAGCAGGAGGTCACAGGTTCATACCCCAGCCGGGCCAACACCCAGGGTCTTGAAATAACTGACCCCAGTAGTGTGGTACAACCTTTCATGGGCAGGGTGGGTAATGAAGGGGTTGATATCAAATTGGACGCTAGTCCTTTTTCATCCCCTGTTACCATTTTGAGTCACTGTGGCGAATTCAATAAAGTATAAAGTATAAATAAAGTATAAAGTATAAAGTATATGCTGGGAAAACAAAGAATTCCCCAGTCATCTGGGCCCAGTTGTTCGAAGGCTGATTAGCGCTTAACCCAGGTTTCTTTTTCTTTTGTTCAAAAGAATTTTCTCGGACAATTTTGTGTGATTTTCATAGAGCATCGAATCATCAACTTGTTGACAAAAAGAATTAAACTGAATTTACTTTATAAGCTTTCATATTTGAATTCAAATTTTGAACAACCCGGCCATGTGTTTTTGCAAACATTGTAAAACTGTGGCTTGAATCACCTGATCAAATCAAAACTTAGCTAGTAAAAAAATAATATAGAAAATAAATAAAGAGCTCTTTGACTGTGATGTTTTTACCTTTTGTAGATTTTCTACCTGCTGGCCAGCTTTCCAAAAGGATGCAAATGGAGTTGTAATTGTCTACAATCCAGATGAAGCAAACCATGATAAGGAACTGGAAACATGGTATGAAAGACATAAGCTTCTTTCATTTTATCATAAATGTAGTGATTGTTGTCGAGTGATACATGTAATAAATAATAAAGAGGATGTTTCACTGTCTAAAGGTAGATTTGGTTTCCTCTGCATCATTCAATAGAGTTTACTTCAATAAGTAACTCATACAGCCTCATGTTTCACCTGCAAAGTTTACTTATAATCTGCACAAATATACTTCCAAGATAAAAGTGGGGCTTCTAGTAACACAAACCACATGTGTATTTGAATGAAAATCTTCAGATCATTAAAAAGCTGATTCAAATAACTGGTAATTATTACCAGTTATTTGATTCAGCTTTTCTGTGATCTGAAGATCTATGTGATGAAGGAAAATGTTACTAGCTGAGGCAGATAACGCTTATCAAGATCTGCATAATAATTCTTCAGATCATGCAAAAGCCTCATCCAATAATATTGCTAATTTATTGCTCAAATTTGTTCAAAATTAAGGATACAAATTAAGGATACAAAGGGATGTTTGGTCTACAGTGTAGCAGATAATCTTCAAATAGCAGTTGTCATCCGTGTTAGGTGTACTTTTGCTGTTCTTGCTTTGTTTTTAGGCAGAAGTTCCGCAATTTCTTCATACCCAAAGAGTGTGAAATCTTCTTTCATTTTCTCCAGCTCTTAGTCATACTGACAAACCACTAACATTCTGCCAACATTTAACATTTTTCCAGTAAAAGGCAGAATACAATCTGAGTGGATAAAGTATTATGACTCAGTGCTGTTTTCACCTGATTTTTTTTAACTTTCTAGCATATGAATTTAAATAAGTATTTTTGACTTATGGACTTGCGTGCAAGTAAACCAAGGAGAAAAAAAGCTAGAATTTTTATCTTTGGAAAAAATTGTTTATAAATTAATCTTTTCAGTCAGTTTCATTCATTAGTTATTGTACTTCTTTATTGTTTCTAGGTACGGTCAGTTTGTTCAGGGACAAAACCTCAAAGATTCTCAATGTATAGTGTTTGCTCATCATCGACCTTCAGCTGCTGATTTGACCAGAACACAACTTCGTAAGTTTATTATAGTAACTGTATGCAGTGTTGTGCAGGGTGGCAAATAGAGGGTGATCAACAAAAATATAAAATAGCTGCTTGCGCAGTCTCCATGGGTATGTAGAAAAGGCAGCTGCTTGTATCTCGCTCAGCCATCTGTGTTTCTATAAACTCAGTAGCTTTTGTTGGATATGCGATGAATCTTTGCTTGTGTTTTGAGCTCTCTGTTAGCTCGCTTGGAAGGTGTTCGAAAGGGAGGGGAGAGAGGGGAACATTAGATGCACAGGAGAGGGGAAGGTGTGAAGGGACAGATAGGAGGGGTTCTCACATGCCCAATTTTTGAGACTGCACGAAAAAAACTCGTAGTCGTCCTCGTTTCTAATCTAATGCCTTGGTTCTCTCCTCAGCCTCATCGCTATCCAGAGTAACATGTGTTCAGACAAACCTTGATGAAGAACCAGAAGCAGTGAGGGACGAATTTCACAATTTTCTGGCTAAAGTGATCAGTAATTGGACTGATAAACGAGACCAGGAAGAACTGAGTATAATGAACACATGATACGGCTTTGATACAACTGTGATTCACTGTTTGGCCCGGATTGTTGAACTGCATCTCTTATGTACAAGATTTTTACGTTTAGAAAGCAAGCACAGAAATGCAGTGACTTTTCATCATCATCATCACCATCATCGTCGTCGTCGTCATCACTTCTCTCTTGGTACATGGGTAAAGAAAAACTGAGACATAAGGAATAGTCACTGGAAAAGTAGCCTGTGTATGGCTGCATAAACCTCTCGATTAACCCAAACAAAATTAGATTTTCTGTAGTGGGGAGAATGGCTATTGTTCGGCACTTCAATTCTCGTTCGTTGCAACTCTTGTGAAATTAGTGTAAATAATTATTGTAAATATATTTGTTTTGCAAAAGTTTAAATTATTAAACGTTGTTTCTTCGGTGGTGTACGTTTTCATCTACTTTCGTTCATTCGACAATTTTTGCAATATTTAATGTTTGTAAACCCTAGAGAAATAAATCCAGCTAGAGATGAAACCGTGAAAAAAAAATTAACGTGTTTTATGCATCAGTCAATTCCACCTGCGCCCAGCCCCCCCCCCCCTGACCCCGGGCATTAGCGTTTTTTTGGCCTTGGATGGCAAATTCCCGGGGGTGGGGACTCTTGAGCTGTCAAATCCCCCGGGGTGGGGACGAAAAAAGAGGGCAAATGCCCCGTCCTCCGTCAACACTGCAACATTTTTTATTGATCGCACAGTCAAATAGTGCCGTTTTAAGCATTTTAATGTGCGATTTTTTTGATTTAATTAACGGCTTTTTTGTAATAGCGCGAGGATTCTAATTAAGACTTCGCGCCGCGACGACATGCACCAGTTTATGGTTTTAGCATTGGTATAAAATTATTGACATTAAAATTAATAGAGCGCTGTAAAGTTATATGTTATGTATAGTTTTATAAATATGAAAGGATGTTCTTCAAATAATATCAACATAAATTTGATGCAATAACCAAAAAAACGTTGATTCACATCGATAGCTCCAATTTCGCTACGAAATTCTGGCTTGATAAGCAATGAAAAAATGCATACATACATGTAAAATCGAGAACATGCCGTTACAACCCTCTACAATTTATTCCTGTCCTTTACAGACGAGCCAATCTGCTTTTTTTTCCAGTAAAACCTTCTTTGTAGTTATATTCTGAAAGGAAACCGCGTGCGTGTCAAAAGCTCGGGGATTATCCCGGGGGTTGGCAAATGCCCGGCCCCCCACAGTGCAAACGTGATCAAATGAAAATGAAATGCCCCCCACCCCCTCACCTACCTGGGACTGACAAGGCCCTAAAACCTTCTTTGGGCAAATGCCCTGCAGTTGCCTTTGGGGGGGGGGGACTGGGCGCAGGTGGAATTGACTTATGCATTAGGGTCTGTTTTTTTTTTTTTTTTAAGCGGTCGAAGTTGTGTTCTTTGTTATAAAACTCTACAAAAAATATTAGCACAAATATGTAGAGCCTTATAAATGGATATGATCGCGGTGTGATACAATACTGTTGAACAGAGTCTTAATTGGGGTTCTTAGTCTTTAGCTCTGAAAGCGATGCGTATGACAGATCTAGAATGAATGCGTCGTGTCAATACAACTCCCTCATGTTTAAAGGTGACGTACGGCCTATAGGGTCAAATTCGGTCATATTAAAAGAAGACGAAATTATTTTTTTTTTAAATAAAAGACAAACTTAAACTGGATCATTATTTAAGAAAAAACTTATTTTTTCGAAGTCAGGAAATGTAGGAATCGGTAGCAGGAACACTCCGTTGGGAAAACATACAATTTACGGTGAGAGGATAACTTACAGGAATAAAAGATTTAACATTACATGTAGGAAACAAAAAGGTCTTAAAAAAGCGAAGCAAGGGCGTGGTAATAAAAATACTTTTCCCTTCTCCTGCTTTTATCTACATTTAATTATAAAGGAAGCTAGCACTTGGTTTGGCTTTTTCAGCTGCCATTTAAAAAGTTCCTTGCTTCCGCTGAGAAACTTGGGAAATTTGAGGATGATGATGAATTGTTTTAGTTTTGTACACTTCTAGGTCATCTGTTGAGTTAGGTCAGAGTTTTTTACAATGTCCGTCCTCGTTTGAAACTTTACTTCATGAAACAATTGTCAGGCGAAAGCCGCGTTGTTTTTATCACAGAACCGGTAGTAAATTAAGCCTAAAAGTTGATGAATTATTTGCTTGTCAGAGTTAGGCGTTATATTTACTCAGACCCAGAGAGGATAACGAAGCAGCGATTCCGATTGTTAATATGGTAGTTGAAATGATCGGCAACTTTTCTCGACTTAAAGTTTACGGGGATCTGAACATTGCTAATCGCCAATTTAAACGTCCCCTGAAGCGAATAAGTTAGACCCGTCCGCTAAAACGTCGTGCTTTTGTCATGTCGAACTCAATTCATGAATTATAAATACTTAGGATGCATTTTAAAAATTGTCAAAGCCAGGCGTTTTTACATTTATGCTGAAACCAAACGTGGTGCAGTCTTGTTACAGTCGAGCCAGCCGGCTTCAATTTCGGCAGCAGTATTAAACTCGACATTTGAAACGATCGAGCCTAATGAAAGAGTTTTTGTATGGACGCTCAAGCAGTATAACTCAATAAGATGGACGTTAGCCTTTTGAAATGCAATCAATTGTAAATAAAAAAGAGCCTCAGGATAAATGACTCGTTCTTATTAGCAACATATTGGCGCGTTGTAGTCTTTTTTCCAGTACTTTTACATTAAACAAGTTTTACAGGTCTTGATCCTTATTCAACTTATTCCTGTGTAATTTGTTAGGGAGCGCATAGCAAGTGTTCAAAACTTCCAACAGGAAAGTGTCTTTTCCAAAGACATCTTAATTATCACCTTAATTTCACCTGCCGGAATTTTCCTTTCTACTTTAGATGTCAGGTCTTCCTTTAAAAAGTAAATGTAAATTAATTACAGCCTCACAAATGAAGCCGTGGATCGATAGCCAGCAGCTGACTTTTAGTCTACTGTGCAAACAGTTTTCAGTGCTTATGTGCGCACGACTTATGTCCAAAGAAAAACCAAATCTTTTTTGTGTTAAATGTCAATTCAAATACCTACATAAAACTGCAAACTTGTGGTACGTCTTGGCGAGGTAAGGAAAATTACAAAACTAACGTCAATATAGGTAGCACTTCTTAAAACGCAAACGAAATTCTATAGCCCGGCTAGCAATCTATGGTTCAATGTCATTATAAGTACATGAACATACAATGCCCAAATACGAACTTGAAAGAAATTTAATCAATTCAAACAATTTGAGTTTTTGTTTAATGTTTTTGGTAATAAAAGGGCTAGAGGTTTAAATCTATTTTGAGTAGACAAAATTTTGTTTTGAGAGATATTGCACTACGTTTAGAGCACGTATGTGACCGGTTGACTACAAAGTCAAGTGTTTTTATTAAATTTCTTAATATCTGCCCTTAGGGACTGGAGGCGATATTTTTACAAAGAGAAAGCCAAAAGGTGTGGCAGTTGATACCGAAAAAGAAAGAGCAATGCAAGATGCGTTCTTCTGGAGGGACAACTGAACGCTTTAAGAGAAACGCCGCCAGTTAGATAATAAACTCAGGCTGAGTACTTTTCTAAGGAAAGATGATTGCACGTTGCTGGCTAACTGTGGTCGCGATAACCGTGTCTTGGCGGATTCGAGCAAAAACACCTGAAAAACAGTCTCCAAGAATTTTTCTTCCGGGGGATGTAATTTTGGGTGGTTTGTGCCCACTTCATAACCCTCCGGGAACCAGGGAGGAAGATCCAGCTCAGAACTCCTACGAAGAAATTGTTGGTCACTGCGGCGGACCGTTTAATTTTCGGGGACTTCAACACGCTGAGGCCATCCTTTACGCGGTGGATCAGATCAACAATAACGAAACTTTGCTGCCTGGTATAACTATAGGCGTCGACATAAAAGATACTTGCAACAGTGTCGATCATACCATTAGAGAATCGTTGAAATTTGAGTTTGTTCGAGAGGCATATCTGCGCATAGAAGGCGACGAGGGCGTGTGTAGATCGACGCTGAAAACTTCCGCTAAGAGTAGAGGTAGAGTTGTGGCGGTGATTGGAGCCGCATATAGTGGAATATCAATAGCAGCCGCAAACCTCGCCGGATTATTTCATGTTCCTGTTGTAAGTTACGCATCCACGAGTCGCCTTTTAAGCGACCGCAAACGCTTTAAAAACTTCCTTCGCACTGTCCCGTCCGACACCCGCCAGGCTCAAGCGATGGTTGATGTGATGCGCGAATTTGATTGGAACTTTGTCTCTACTATCGCTTCTGATACGGAGTACGGCCGATCAGGAATCGATTCGTTCAAACAGGCTGTGAATAACCAAGCAGACCATCGCGTCTGCATCGCCGTGGACGAAGTCTTCACCGTGCGAACTCCAAAGGCGAGAGTGCGAGAAATTATAAAGAAGATTCGCGAACATCCCGAGGCTAAGGTAATCGTGCTTTTTGCTGAATTAAACGACGCTGACTACTTCATAAATACAGCAAGGGAGCAGAATCTGACTGGATACATTTGGATGGGCTCCGACGCTTTTTCTCATTCATACTCAGTTTTGCGTCCAAACAAAGATGTACTTAAATACTGGATCGCAACAGAACCTAATTCGAACGTTTATGAAGCCTTCAGGGTTTATTTTCAAAACATTACCGAAGAACGCGTGAAACGAAATCCGTGGCTAAGAGTTTATGAGAACTATGTAGCAAAACTGTTGAATACGAGTGATCCGGTTGACTATTCATCTTACACAACAACGGCAGTAGATGCAGTCTACGCTGTTGCGTACGGCTTACATGATATGTACCATTGTTCCAATACGTCTTGCTTTATTGATGTTTCAAACACACTACAAACAGAAGTTTATAACTTTATAAAGAACGTTTCATTTTTGTCCCCTACTGGTCACCATGTTTCGTTTGATGAGACTGGAAGCATGCCTTCTTATTATAACATTCGTTTTCTTAACAATCGACGCGGGAAATATCACTTTGATATCCTTGGTTCTTGGCTTCTTGATAAGGGGTTCAGATTTTCGCCCCAGTACAAGCACTATGAACACCCACTTACCACATTACAGTCCTACGCAAGATGTAGTCCAAAATGTCACCCAGGCTTCTGGAAACAACCTAAAGAACACTACCCAGAATGCTGTTGGAACTGTATTCGTTGTCGTGGAAACAGTGTCTCTAACCACTCAGGCGCCACAACTTGTGTAAGTTGCCCGGATGGATCAAAAGCGAATTATGCCAAGTCCTTTTGTGACGTCATCCCTATAACTGAAATCTACAAAACACCAGCTGGCATAGCGGTCGCAGGTGCCTGCACTGTCGGTGTTGTTGCTGTTTTTCTAACTTTTATATCCTTGTTTAACAAAAGAAAAACTCCAATTGTGAAAGCCTCAAGTCAGGAAATCACCTACGTCTTACTGTTTGGACTTGCTTGGTGTTATATCATTCCCATATCGTTGCTTCTGCAACCGACACACCTCCTCTGTCAAACTCGCCCTTTTGTGTTGAGCAGCGGTATTGCCATGGTGATAGGCTCGCTTCTGACGAAAACCAATCGCATTGCGCGAATTTTCAGTGCAAAAATCATGCGAACTGGAAATACGAACTACCTTAGCAACAAGTGGCAGCGGGTGTTTGTGGGCCTGTGCATTGTCTTGGAAAACTCTTTTGCAGCCTTGTGGATCATGACATCCCCCATAAAGGCGACTCGTGTCTCCCATGGAGGCCGTGAGGTACTGATTGAGTGTATGACAGATTCAATGTTGGGATTCACCATCTGGGCTGCGATTAACGTCGCACTTGTCCTGCTTTGTACCTATCAAGCCTTTCTGGTACGCAAAGTCCCGGAGAATTTCAACGAAGCTAAGTTCATTGCCTTCAGTATGGTGACAGTCTGTGTAAGTGGAGCGGTCTTTGTACCGACATTTTTAGGCACAAAGGGACTCTACAGGATAATTTTAACCTGTTTTCTTGTTATTTTTTGCTCCACTATAGCCCTCGTTAGCCTGTTTGCTCCTAAGGTGTATATTATATATTTCCGTCCAGAGAAGAATAAACCACATCCACAAGAGACCGATCCTAAAATAGGAGCGCCCAGGCCGGAATATCATCGTTCAGTGTCTTCATTGAGTACTATAACTGCATGTGTAACGTTGGATGACTTGGACACTCCAAAGCTTTCCGATGTACTGGATGTTCAAAACTCGCATTTACCACAGGGTATACCCGAGGGTACACCCTCCAAAAGCACGGAAACAAAGTGGAGTTAGTTTCCTTAGCATAAGCCTGGCAAACAGACTGCGCGCGTTTGAGCGTAGAAATTCCCTGTTTAAGTGGTCCTGAATAGGACTGGGTTCAAACCTTTCACAATATAACTTTTTTTTTTGCGCATTTTTAGATTCCAAAATAATGAAATGTAAGTTGAACTGAGTTGATATGTGTTATCAAACGATAGGTCAAAGTGGTTGGATATTTGTCACGTTTTCTTTTGTTGATTAGAGTAGGAACTCGGTTAAAAGGAGAGTCCTTAATCGAATTGGAATTTGGAATGTTGGTTTTGAGAAGAAGGGAAACCGGAGTACTTGGTGGAAAACCTCTCCGAGTGAAGAAGAGAAATGGACTGCGAACAGTCTCCCTTTTTCTCCAGATTTGGTGAAGAAAGTGTTCGCGTACGCGATACCCAAGAAACGAGCGCGGCAGCCTCTTCCGTCTCGCGCCTTCATTCACGCGCGTGGTGAATGTTTCACTCGGCAGCCTGAGAAAAATGAGAGACTAGTCTAACCCTAGGAGAGAACCAACAACAAACTCAGCCGCCATATGGCGTCGACGCGATTTTTAACCCGGGCCACATTGGTGGAGGGAGAATGCTGTCACCACTGCACAACCTTGCTTTGCAGGATGATGTTAGAATCAAAGTACAGTCAAATACCCGTCAATACGGACACTTAGGGGGTCATACAAAAGTGTCGGTATTAAGCGGCTTGGATGTATGTACTTGTACTGTCTAGTGCTGCTAACTTCTTTATATGTGGAGACGAAAACAGTGAACCTAAAACTGATGAATAGCTTTGAAACGGACCGAAAGCCACGGAAATACAAGTAATACACACAAGAGAAGAAATAATTACATTTTTCTCAAATTTCTTTCCAATATATCGATCTGTCATGTACGGCTGTTACATTCCTACACAAATTCTTACACACTGTGACCCGATACTGTATGTTGAAAACATCCAGGGAGGTTAGGAAGGTAAGGCTACCTTTGTCCGCGCGTAAACAAATACAAAATACACTTTGCACATCGTACAAAAACATTTTTATTAAACTCACCCTTTTTCAAGGTTGCACAATTCTCACACAGTAAATGATCCCAGTGAAATGCATTCTTGTGCAATTCAGTAATAAATTAGATTACAAGTAATTGTTAGCCAGTTGTTGGCCCTTTTACAATAACAGCCTATCAAACTATTGCAAACAACTGGTAGTTTGAAATTAAAAAAATGGATAAATTTGTTTTCTTAGTTCACTTTACATACATAAGAGTAGGAAAAGAAATTACTGCCTGGACCAGAGAGCAGGTTTTCAAATCATAACATCACAATAATCAGAACTATCCTTTTAATTTAACTCAGAAATTCACTCCCAAGTATAACAGAAAGAATTCCGTTTTTTTTTTTTCGCAATATGCCTGAAAACCGCTCAATAAGCATATTAGTTAGAGAACTATACACGAATTGCTTTCTTGTGAACTGAAAGGTAGACATTTTATCGCCTTTCTAAATAGTGAAATGCGCGCCAAAACCTACCTAGCTTTCTGATAGGTTAGTCAATTAAGAAACTTAACAGCATTAGGAATTTTTCCCAGAAGTCAAGCAAAGCTTTTCGAGTACTGGTACAAGGAACACACTGAAAAACCGTCTTTCAAGTTCACAGGAATATCACTCGAATACGGCCCTTACATCATTAGTACATGTTTAATTAAAATAAAAAAACAAAGAAGAAATTATCAGTATTTGCCAAGGTTCTCTAATAACTTAAAAATCGAGGAAAATGTTCATTTACCGAGGTTCACCGAAAATTCATTTCGTACAATTACGGTTAACAGGGCTAACTTTCTCCACCAAATCTCATTTTAAATCGCAAGCTTAGGATGCCTTACAAAAATAAATTTACAGAAAAGGAAAGGTGGAATAAACACGGAGTTAACGTGAAGAATTTTGTTCTCAACCAAGGCTCGGCAACAAAATTTTATTTTAAAGTCCGACGAATGTGTAGAATATGGCTAGTTGAATTTCAAACATTGTATAAACCAAAAATAGAGTGAAAACTTCAAACGCATGCGACGAGTGAAGGAATAATATTTCATGCTGAATAAAAAATACTTAAAGAAAAATCATTCCGCCCTATCAAATTGTATCGAATGATTTCGTTTTCGCTTCAAAGGTATCGGCAATTACTGAGCTTAATTCGAGAAAATTCCCCTTACCAGATGAAATAACTTTTTAAAGTAGTCAAGCACAGCTTGAAAATATATATCCTAAACTGTTTATCAGCTTAGAATTCATTTTCGACTGCAACCACTCATTAATTGATTTAGGACGAAGTGCAATCACGTGCTGAAATATCAATCTTAAATAATCCAAATAAAAGTTCGCTATGCCTGTTTAATTTTTCTTCCTTTTTTTAATTTTTTTATTTGCAAAATAAAATTTGACGTTTTTCCTAACTTCGTTCTTGGCCACTTTTGCTAAAATAGTTAAATAGAGTTCAGCTAAGGCACAAAAATCGTCAAAAGAATCTAAGTCACTTCAGAAAAATACTAAAATCTAATGGAAAACAATTAACAAATAAGTTAATAGTGTCTTGATGTTGGCAAGAGCATCAAATGCTCTAACAGAAGAACAGTTGAAATAACCATACGGAAAAATGTTTTTGCTCTATTTTGCCTTCAACAGAAAAGAGAATATACTGTGGAAGAATGAAGACATCACAAGCAGAACTTCACAAACATAATGTAGGCGAAAATTGAAAACCAAAATACCGTTGGCAACAAATAAATAACGATTACATGCTGCCGGACTTTTTTCTTTCGCCTTCCTATGGTCAACGGCAGAAAAAACATATTATCTTGTTTTAGTCATTAACAGTACTGTACTACCAAAAAGTTGAAATTGAGAAGAATTTGCTGAATAGTTAAGCACTGAGAAGCAGAAAAGGAGATACCTTGTACTTTTTATGGCACAAATTGATGCAAAATTACAAATACCTTATAACCTAGCATAAAAAACTACTATTGCTGTGGCAAAATTGATCGTAGCCTTGAAGCGTTTCATGCGCCAAAATTGATCATAGCCTTGAAGCGTTGCATGCACCAAACGCTTTTTTAAAATCACGATCCCTCCTATTTTTTGCTGCAAAAGTACCATGTGCAACAGTTAATCATAAGCAGGTGTCTCTTTAACGATATACACTGGCTGAAAATAATGCGATACAAATTTTCATATCACAATCCAGGAGTTTCTGAAAATATATTTTCTTGCAAAATGGAAAGCAATGAAAGTATAGAAGAGCAAGCTAACTGTCTTGCTTCCATGATAAAAGTAATATAACTAGATGTTTTCAGTTCACTCAAATAAACTCAAGATAGAAAACATTCGCCAAACTGATGTGAAAAACGAATCAGAATGGATCAATATTACACCAATCCACCTTTTTTACACCTTTTTTTCCAATTGAAGTGGATGGTGCTTGTTAGAATGAGGTATTCAAATAAATTAAACGATTAAAACATACAAAAACTCTGAATGATGTTGAACAACCACTTGATAAATTATTAGAAGACTATATGAAAAATAGAGGATTCTTTAGTAGAAATTAGACGTAAGAGCATTTATATGGCAATACAGTAAACCCCGCGACTAAGAACCCTGGTGTTTAAGAATCTGTTGGCCTAAAATTTGCCAGTTAGGACCCCTCTATACAATAACCTGTTTAGCCTAAACTTTGAAACAGGTTCTTATTTTTAAAAAATTCTTTTCAACTGGGTAGGATAAGTCAACTTTCAGGATCCTCTTTGAGGACATAGGTGCATTATCACTCCAACTGCAATGTAATGTATGCAGATTTTACATAACAAATAAGCTGAAATACCACTAAATGCTCTTAGCTACTACAAATTTTTTAATTTTTTTTCTTAAGAAAATATAGCTTGAATTTCAGATGATTACTTCAGGTCGTTTTTACTGAGGGAGTAAAAACAACTTGAAGTAATCGTCTGAAATTCAGGCTAACGAAATTTAATAAGAACCTATTAAAAAACCTAACTACCCAAATTTGTGTTATACCATTTACGTAAGAACCTGTTTAGGCTAACTTGGGAAAATGCATGTTCTTAATTGTGGGTTTTTACTGTATTTAACATAACAAACAAACTGACTGGACATTTGAGTACAAAATTGAAAACTACATGTCAGCATTCCAGTACAACAATAATTTAGGTTAACTTGCATGCTGGAGAGTTTATTTCACACTCAAAATATTATTAATATTTCCTTCCCCAGTAAGACATGGGAGCACAAGCCCCAAACCATGGATTTCCTTCCTATTCACACGCTGCATTTTGCCTATTTGAATGTTGCCTTTTTAGTGCTAATAGTGGTGTTACTTAGCTTTGTATATCTTAGAGGAATTATCAGGTTGGTTACTAGATGCAAGCCGTTTACGTTTTTGTTCAAACAACACAGGATCTGTGTCCACACTGAAATAAACAACTAAACCTGAAAAGAAAGAGAGAAAACAAAATAAAGTTTGCCATCAAGTATTTCATGGCTTGGCCTTAATAAAAACACAACTACTGTACATTGCCTTAACGTCCTGCAAGTGGAAAAAAATAAGGAAACATACAACCCTCTCAGGCCTTTTGAAAACATTGCTGCAGCAAATAAATGCTGTTAACGGTCTGAATTACAGTTAGCTGAAGACTGCCAAAACATATGTAATAAATTATCTTCAAAACTAAAAGGTGTTGTGAGTTTCCTCAACACTGTAAATTACTGTTTCCACCAAGATAAGAGTACCCTTGTTACAACCCAATTTCTATGGATTTCCAAACTATGATGCCCTCCCAAAATGTCTGGATATTTTATATTTGACAGTTGTAGATCTCATAACAGTACACACAAATTATTTATTCCAACATTGATTGTACTTACCTTGCTTGGCATTTGACATAACTTTTTTCCACGCTGAAACAGCAAGAAAAATAAACATGATACATATAAGTTAATCAGGAGTTACTTATTTAATGTTCACTTTACCACAATTTATATTAGCAACTACAAGAACAGATTCACTGTCCCAGACAAATGCAAAAGTCAAATACCAGTTTATCAAGCTACAATGTTATTGATTACCATATGTTCAAAAATGGTTGGTACAGTGGACCCTGCCTTACGGCCACCTTGTTAATACAGCCACTTCTTTTGGGCTGCCTGGTAAAAACTGCCATACATTTTCTTGTAAAACAACCCTAGTTAAAGCTACCCTGTTAATACGACCACTTTTTTTTTTACCCAATGGTGGCCGTATTAACGGGGTTCCACTGTAATATTAAAGATCTATAATAACACCATAAAGTTTTTAAGAAGCTTCATCCCAGTTGTAACATCCTTGGTTTTCAGTAGTACATGTATGTATGAAGAAACAGAATATACAAAACCTACCACTGGTAAAAATGGCTTTGTTTCCCTGAATCCCCCCCCCCCCAACACAAATGCATCTTGTTAGAAGCAAGCTGAAATCAGTGACAGATTGCCCCGTGATGGACCATACATCAAACTGCTGGGAGAGTTTAAATGAGCTGAGATATAAATATTGGCAAAAATGAAAAAGGGTTTGCATTGAGTTGCCCAGGAGTTTTACTCACCATTTCGTAAATATTCAACACATTGCTGTTGGTTAAATGCATTAGTCTGCATTGCAGGCTGAACAATACTAAGGTCACATGAGCTGACACTATTTGCATCCACTCCACTGTCACTACTCTCAGGTCCCTCAACTATTGAAATAAATAGTATTTAAAAAGTAAAAAAAAATTGGTTTTGTAAAAAAATAGACCCACATACATATAAGTAAATAGTTTAGTAGAGACGACTCTATCTTAACGAGCACCTCTATAACACATGTGCACACCTCAGTACAATGGACAATCCCAGAAGAAAGCTTCGTGCCTGTCCCAAAGGTGTCTGTCTTAGAGAGAGTTGACTGTAATTTAACTTCTTATTTTATCCTGGAACTCCATTTGAGGGCTTTAGTTTTTCATGACAGTTTTAATTGTTTGACTGAGTGTTTTTAACAGGTTTAGGGTAATGGTTTAGTGCTGGGAATAACTGAATACCAGATGAGGAAATCTGTCTGGTAATTGAAGAGAGAATGAAAATTATTTAGAGTAGCTTTGTCATCCATTAGAAGTGACCTTTCAAAGTGACTAAAAGACCCAGTCAAATCAGAGGACCTAGAATTCAATTTAAAAACTTGCCACTACTGTACCTAACCTTAACCCCACTGATTTGCATGTTCAAGACAAGGCAGTGGTTCTCAAGGATTAGGCTCAATTTCTGTAGCCTTGTTTGACCATCTGTTAAGTTATAAAAAAAAAAACTTAACAGGAGAGATAGTTCAAGGCAGTTTATTCTTTTGATTGCATTTTATTTATTCTATTACATAACACTGAATGAGAGAGTTTTTCTTTTAGAACATCTTGACCAAAGCTGTGACTAGGTTTTGGTTTACACTCTACTCCTCTGGAAATTTTTTTTGAACTTCATTCATTATTCAATGTTGGCTTTCAGACCAACTCCCTTGGAATTTCTAACAATTTTAGAAAACGTTCATATATAGGCCATGGAGTGGGAACCAAATTTCAAGGAATAAAACAATGTGTGAAGTTTACAAGTAAAAATACCAATTGCTGCATTCACTCAAAAACAGCTTATAATAGTACTGAAAACGGGTGTTGAACATTTTTTGCTTCACTCATAGTATCAACTGTACACTTGGCTTAACTGGTCATCTTGAAAATGAAATAAACTCTTTTCAAGAGTTTTGATTGAAAAATCAACACTGCATTATTATGAAATAGCCTTATTTGGCTGGGCAGTTCAGATTTGCAGTTGTGTTCTCTTTGCAAATGGGCTAATCTGGTCAGCTTGTTCAGATCTATGGTAAGTGTCCAAGATAGCACTGGTTAACGAAAAAATGAAGATTCCCACCGTTTCCCTTTTAACTAATTTTGCTGTAAAACTTTTTATGCATGAATAACGTATAGCACATGTACAGAAACTAGGGTGTAAGCTCTCACTGGGCAGACCTTCTTGGCTTGAGTTATTTTTTTTTTCTGAATCTAAATATCATTAAACACACATTTGAAAACAACAGATGTCAAAATTGGGATTTTTCCTATCCTGATCGCATATTGGTTGGGATTCAAGATTTTCAAGCAAAATCGGGAGAATCCTTACATGATCGCGATGCTTGAGTGGTCTGTAATAAGTACTACACTAATAACAACAATTACTATTATACAGGGATGTCACTAAGTTTACAAGTTTCTAGGCACTATACATTATTAGTAGGTGGAGAATTGAACAGCTAGGAATTACGTTTGGTTGTAAGTTCCTCTTGCTTTTGAACAAAAATAGAAGTGGTCATGCTCATAGTACATGGCTTCAGACATTAGTGAAAGCCCTCATATTATTTGTGGATTTTTTAAAACATAACATCTTACCTTTTCTTTTGGCTTTGAGTAAAGCATCTCGGTAAGACAATACTCTTTGAGTTGTCACATTTTCCTTTTGAGAACTAGTTTTATCACTGGAAGGTTCATTTAGTCCATTTGTGACCCTTGACTCATTGCCTTTTGGAATGTTTTCATGCAAATGGCTCTTGGCACATTCAGGTGAAGATTCAACTATAACATTGTTATTTTTGTTTTCTGTATTCTGCAACATTTTATCTGATGCCTTGCTATGATTCTTTTTATCATCAACAGATTTCCTCCGACGATGGTTTTTCCTAAACTGATTTTCAGGCTGACGCTTATGAAAGTCTTTTCCCTGAAATCTCTCCATGTGATTGCGAGTTTCTTTGCCTGTCCTTGCAGCAAGCTCCTTCTTCTTTCTCCTGTGAGATCTCCTTGTTTGAGACTGCCATCCTCCCTCATCCTCCACTGCAGAGGAACTTGAAACATCACCATCAACAGAATCCCCTTCAATTACAACAAAGTCTTTGCATACCTCTTTGGTGTCTGACACATCACTGACAGGATCATCATCTATGGCAGTAGTATAAATACTACCTCTGTTTTTCAATGAAGTTTTATCAAAATGACCAGCCTTTCCTAAATTGTGGGATTGCTGAAACACATTTTTAACGTTCTCAGAATTTTCTGCAGCAATTGATGGATCGTCCTTTTCAAGTGCCACATTTGGCAACAGTCCTAAAGCAGATTCCAAAAGCTTTTGTGATGAAGGTGGGAATCCAAATGGAGGCTCTTTGGAGAAAACAGGAGAAGTATAAGATCCTGCAAATACACAAAATGTTGCACTTGCTTAATCTTAGTAGAACACTTAAAAATTTATGGTTCTCAAAAAAAAAAAAAAAACAATAACAGCAATGATAATAACTTGATTTTGAAGGAAATACCGTCAGTTACATCTAAGCAAGTACATGTGATGAAAAAACATGTTCTAATTGCGTGATGCACACATGTTTTGCTGACAAACATTTGAAGTTTGGGGTGGCATTAAACATTAATGTTCACATGCAAAGTACGTAGGCAGCTGTTTGTTGACTTGATTTGTTTTCCCTCAACAAAATATTCATCACAAGAATTTTTAGATGTTGAGAAGAGTTTCTGGAGTTTTTAATAATTTTAATATTATTCCAAAGAACAATTCTTAAAAGCAACTGTGTGGTGCTTAAAGAACTGATAAGAAACATAGAAACAACTTAGACCTTTAAACCCTAAGATCAAAATTTGAATTCTCATCTGTTGCCCCAATTTATTTCCTACAGAAGTAGTGGGGAGAAGTTGATAAAATATCAAGCAAATTCATCTTGTGTGATCATGTCCTTAATTCTCATGACAACTCTGTTTTACAAAGCATTGATATTCAGGGTTCTCAATAGAAGGCGGCACCCGGTGATTGATCGCCGCTTACTTTGGGATTTATAGCCGCTTACTTTGTGTTTAAGTCGCTTTTCTTTGCTTTGTTTTGACACCTCTGGCTTTGCTGAAGAGCCTCCTACTTTATCAGTGATCACCTCCTACTTAAAAATCTATTGAGAAACCTGGATATTACAAGGAGAAAATTGATGCTGGTCACTCCTAGGGCTTAAAGGGTTAAACCTTTGGCACGACAGTTTGCTTTAACGGCTGTCAAACTTCAAATGTTTGACAGTAAAACATGTCATGTCTGGCATCCTATTAGAACATGTTGTTTTGTCTTGCGTCCACACTTGGATGCAACCCATGGTATGTGTACCTTAAGACTGAACTGTTGTAATTGAGCATTACCTTATTCACACTTGCTCGATTTGCACTAAACATGTTTAGAACACTGAATGTTTTTCTTTAAGTTTTATGCCTATTCCTTAAATTAATAACATTTATATATTATTATGATGACTCTATAAATGATAACTTAGCTTTAATAATAATATTATGATATTAATTTTGATTTTTGAGTTAAGTAAGAAAGGGAAAAGGATATGGTTGAAATATGAGCCACTTAATAGACCTTTTTACCGATAAGGCGGCCACATTGAATTAGATTTAAGGAGCATTATGAGATGCCTAGGGGACATGAGCACGATCTGATATACTCACTCAGCATTTACACACGCTTTTCAGGCCAATTTTTCTTCAAGTTTTCATAGAAAAAGATTGTTATGGGAAAAAAAGATTGTTGTGCTGTGATTGCCTTTTCCCGAGAAATATACAATGAAGTTCTCTTTTTGCCCGCAAAGCACATGTAAATACTGAGTGAGTGCCTCCTGGGAATCCCATAATACTCCTTAAATCTAATAAATTCAGTATGGCCGCCATATCGGTAAAAAGATCTATTATTTTTGCCTTTCTATCCAGTAATATTTTCAGAACATCATCACATCATTATAAAGAGTAGTAGTGGTAGTAGCAGTAGTATATTATTATGATTATTATTATCATCATAACAACCTTACCCAGTCCAGAATCAACTTCCTTTCCATCATCGCTTACAAACAGTTCTTTAGGTGTCACAATTCCACTGTCATTGGATGAACAGCTCCCACAAGATCCTACATCTGTTCTGTTTGAGCTGAAATGTTGCCCTGACTCAAACTCTTGCCCAGTTGAAATGTCTGCCACTAAATTTGTATTCATACTGATGCAAAGAGGAGCACAATTTCTAGAGCTAGAGACCTTGAACTTCATGTCCACGTCACTACTGCCTGGTTTCCCTGTTTCACTTGTAACAGCACTAGTAAGTGGTTTTCCTGTGCTATTGGCATCAAAATTGACAGCAAGTGGCTCTTCACCATTCACAACAGAACTCACAGCTTTTCCTTTCTTTGACTTCCTTTTCTTCTTACCGTTTGTCTTAGGTTTTTCGTTATTATCTACTTTGTCTGAACCACTACTTGGAATATCCACTATATTTGGAATAACATTTAAATCCTTCTCAACATTACTAATGAAAGTTTTACTGACGAAGCTAGTACTTAATTTGTCCTTGAGAACTTGATTGCTGCCTGTCCGCAGGAAAGAGTGATCACTAGAGAGAATTTTCTTGGTACGATACATCTCAAATTGTTTTTTTGGAAGTGCTGCCAGCTGCCTTGCCATTTCTTTTATTCTGTCAACCTGCAAACAAACGTATAAAGTAAAACAATCTTGAGACAATCCCATAATACAAAAAGATAAACCCTTTCTTAACAATTGACAAGCATCAGTGTACAAGATACAATGTAAGATAAAACCTCTATTTACCCTGCAGAAATGCATCAGCTACACTATAATATTATATGGAGCATAGCTGGTATAAATTCATGCGCAGTAAACTATATGAATTCACATAAACATGTGAGAATCTGATGCTAAGAAAATACGTATTAAAATAAATATCAAGTATAATATAAATAATAAAGATCAGAAACATTGCATGGTAGAAAATGGATATGCAGTTAAGTTGGCGAGTGAATCTTGCAACAGAACACTGATGGTTGTCTCTTTATCGTAGCCATTTCAGTAAAAGGTTCCCGTCACTGAGAGCAGAATATTGAAAGTTTCTTTTGACCCATTGCGGATTTTATGCAAGGAGACTAACAGATCTCCATCCTTAAATGATTTTGAATAGTGACCAAGTCTAGCTGGTAGAAAGATGCTTGGGACAGTTATAATTATGTACAATCTTGAAGACCAGTTGAAAATGCGGGAATCTCCAACAATTCTTTAGCGAGAGTAGACAACACTTTTTGTGCATCCCTTGTGAGCAGAATTTTTGATCTGATACCCGCCATGTTGATATCAATCAACACGGCTGGAAAGAGTGTCTTAAAAATTATTTCATGAATGTAGTAAATTAAAAATACAAAATTTGGAGGCAATGAGTATGTTAGAAACAAGCAAGACACGGCTTTGAAAAGTCAGAAAATCCACAGATGTTTGTCTCCCACCATGTAATGTCTCCAATCTTTTGTATCTTGTTCACACTTTGGAAGGTGTCTAAATTTATGGCAGCAGGAATTGTGACCTTTCTTAGACTATAACTCTGCTAGTTTCATAAGCTGAGAAATCCACATTTCATGTTTCACTTAGACCTGGAAATTTCAAGTGATTTAATCTTATTCTAAATTAGGTGAATGTATGTGGTAATACATGTGTACACTTGACCAGACATATTATTTAAAATTCAAATTATGTTTATAGCAAGGTTTAAAATTTTACTTCTAAGAACATACCACTTCAAAAATAATTGTAGTTGCCTTACATAGGGAAGCTAGAAGGCATTACAGATATTTTTATGACTACAAGTATACATATAATATGAAAAACTCTGACATTATGTTTTTAAAATCAAAATACATGACAACCATCAAATAAACACCAGTTTGCATTATTTGATCGCCCTGTGCTTTAAGCATCACTAAAAAGCTCTTAAATGTATTTTCCCAATGTACAATTAACAATGTACATCTTGACAATTGCTTTTGACAAAACGTTTGTCTTTTTGTCAGTTTGTGGTCTTATCAATCTGTTTCTTGTGGCACCGGCATATGGACAGTTTAAGCTATAAGGATTACCTAGTGATATAATAAGTCTCTTGGAGCTGACAATACAAGCTTGAAGATAAACATGTCACCGTTATATACAATAAAACTAATATTAGTTCTCAATGCCACTTACCAGTGATAAAAAGTAATGTTAAAGACAGAGAGATTTATGATTTTACCGTTGAGTGCATGTCACATGCTGCTGACTGAAGCAATTTTGATGGCTTTATGAGTGCATGTGACCACTGAGATATGTGGCCAGATGTTAATTAAACAGAACACATTAATATAAAGTAGACATTACCGACCGTCTGTGGTCTGTTACCCCTCCTGTAATGTGATTGTGAGCTGGAATTTTTTTGCTCCCTAAAGAAATTATTAATCTTGCTAAAATGCTAACACAAGTTTTTTACGGCCAAATTTGTGTCCAAAATTTTCATGAGTATGTCTTGCTCACTCAGCACCCGCAAATATCCATCAAGGCTAGGACTAGCTTGGAAAAACACTAGTAACACAAAAGAATTATCTTCGTGCTATGTGTGGCTGTTATGTAAATGTCGATTTTTTTCATTTGTGCAGTATGTACAAAATCTCAAACACAGTGTAACTTGACGATTTAATCCTTAGCAGTATTAAGATGTAATAGTTTCAAGAGTTTATATTTTGATATCCCTCTTTACGATGCATGATGCAATCTCTCAAGATATGGCTATTAAAAAGTTATCTGAAAATAACCCTTTACTGATTAAAAGACAAGCCCACCACTACAAGATTAATAGAATAAGTAATTTTGTTGTAAAAAAATTGTCTTCACAATTATATATAAAAACAAACAAAATAGAAATTACTTTAGTACACTGAGCAGAAACATGCAAATATTGAGAAACAATATCAAACCAGCCTAAATGTCGGAGGAACGGGTAATTTGACAAGTAAAACCAGAACGGAAAAACAAAACATTGGCAGTCGTTATGTCGTCGATTTAATCTTTGTTTGACAAACAGATGTAACGAAATACTTATGAAATATAACCAGTTCGTTTCCTTTCGTGCAGTCTACCACGCAACGGGCAAAGTTAATATCTCATTTCCATTTTTTAAAAAGCTAATATTGCAGACCGAATCCCATTGTATTAAAGCAGATTAAAGCAAAGGTAGAAGGCCAAAGAACTATATCAGAGCCACACATGTCGAAAGTAAAGAAATTTACAGCAGACAGTGATTTCTCTTGGAAAGTAACTTCGAAATTGAGATAGATTCACGGAATTACGACACATGTTGGAATTTAAAACAACTTTACCCAAACTCGCCGCGTGTACATTTCCTCAGCAAATGTGGCTAGAGCATGTACATTTTGTGTAAAAATCTCTAGATCTCAGAAAAACTAAGACCAACTCGAGCGCGCGACAAGAGAAGGCAAGAGAAGGAAACATTTAGGAAGAGAAATTATTTTACCTTCAATTCACATTCACCAGGATGCAGGACCAGATCAACGGGGTAGGAAACGATAGGAACTTACGGTGCAGTGACGAACAAACTTGTTGAGTAGAACCACGGCAATGCAATCAAGTCCGGTAATATTAAGCTTACGATATTAGTTTTTATAGAACTTTTTACGCCCGATCGATATGACTGGTTGACTGCAAATTACGAGACCTTGTACGACCTTTGCGTCCACGTTTCTAAATGGGGAAAATATTGGGTAACGATTGCATAATCTCCTCCCTAAAATGGTACGTCACATGGCCTGTATGAATAAATTTCGCCACCAGGGCAACTCGCTTGACAGTGTGAATTTACCTGCTTGACTTGTTGTTTTAGGATATCCGAAACTTTAAATTTTCTCCTTCACAAACAACAACCATTTGTATAAGCAAAATGCAAAACTATAAAGATGATTAACAACCTGAACTTACAAAAATACAAAGAGTAGTTACGTTCGATTGCATAGCAACGGAAAACTCACTCGTTTGATTTCAGTTGAAGATGGGATGCTGTCATAAATCTCGAGAAAAGTTTCAACTTCATCGGCGCGAAGAGCTTCAGCAAGATGTATAGCTAGCACAGTCTCTTCTTCCTCTAATGCAAAGGAGCTACAACTATCCTGGCAGGCCGCCATACTTCCTCAGCCCCATTACCAACGAATTTGTATTTTTTTTTTTGCAATTTGTGCAATAAATTATTGCGCATACTCCATTTTGTTTTTCGACTGTTATCGCGGGCTTCCCTTTTTATTTTACCCACAATCCTTTAGTATTTCTTGTTTCAATATGGCGGAAAATACGAAGATGGAAGTGGAAGCGAACGTGAATGAAACGTTACCCGAGGAGGAAAAGGACGAAATTATGGGCGAAGGTGCCGAAGGAGAAGATGGCAGCTCAGATTCTGAAGATTCTGATGCCGATGAGGCAGTTGTTGACCCGAAAATTCAACAGCTTGAGCTCCAGGTGACCTCATGCTTTTTTTGCTCGCTTCTGATCTTGTTAGTTGTGCCCATGCTAAAAAAAAGGGAAGAAAAAAAAACACTATTTGACAATAGTGTCTCAACAGTCTTGTTACCTATGTACATCACTGCAATGTAACTGAGATTGTTAGGTTCTTGCGTATGCTTGCACATCTGTCGGAATCATACAGCTGTACAGTATCAGTATGCAAAGTAAAATGTGTATTATTATAACAAGGCCCTGTAAGGGAGTGGGGGGGGGGGGGTTACATATGTCCCTAGTCTGAAATTCAAAAAATGCGGTCGTTTCGCATTTTGATGTGTAGGCCATGTCCCTGGTCGTCAGTTTTTAACCAGTCTTTATATGAGCCTCTCTATATGGCAGTGGCGTAGCTTGACCATTTTGTCAAGTACGCACGTGGGTCTATATGGTTTTAAAAACTTCGAAGAAGATAACGTGTTTAATTGGCAGTCTGCAAGCTGTTTTTTCCCTTCGTATTTAGTGCACAAAAAGGCGCTTGTGGTCCCAGGCGTTCCTAGCGGTGATCATGGAAACTGGAAATAAGAATCGATGCGTGACCGAAGCCATGCATGTTTTTTGCAAAGAAAGCTTAGGAAAGATTAAATTTAGAGATTAATTTTTCCACAACAGGTCGGTCCACGAATTCCATAGCTTGAAAGCATTGATTACTTTGGAGCGAGTGAGCTGGCTAAGCAAGCTAAGCCTCTTTTTCATCTGTAAATAGACTGAAAAAATTAAAACAGCTGTCAAAAACTCTGCGGAAAACAAATCAACAATCATTTTGAATTTACCCTTATCAGAGCTACATATAATATACCAGTGGTTGTTTGCCTAAACAGAATAGGTTTTTTAGGTTTCTTTTTGTTGTAAACAGAGTCAGGGTTTAAAACTATCAGTGGTGCTTTATATAATTATGCCTAACTGTGTCGGAAAAGTACCTTTACATTTGCAATTGTTTTTTCAGGTGGAGAGCAATCCTTACCACTATGATTCACATGTGCAACTTATCAAACTGCTCAGAGAGTCTGGTGATCTTGACAGAGTAAGGAATGCTAGAGAGAGTATGAGTAAAATCTTCCCTTTGACACAAGGTAACATTTGTATAGCGGTATTTATGAACTACTTGTAGTAACTGCAAGTGTTGTTTGTTGTTTGTTTTAATGTTTGTTCCACATGTTAAAAAAAATGCATTGTACGCAAGCTGAAGAACATCCTCTCAACTAAAACTCACCTGTTCACTGTATTATTATTGTGTATTATTATTATTCCAGTCAAAATACTCGGCATTTTCTGCTCATTATTATGACTTTCATTACTCCCTTGCCTACTAAGGACATATATATACGTCCTGTGTGAGGTCACTCAGCGACCTAGGACGTTATTATACGTCGTCAGGCAAATGAAATCACCAAAAGTCTGGTTGTTCATGTTGCCTTGAACAATTGAACTCTGGTCGTTGAGAAAGGTCAGCGGTTGCTGGGTGTATTTGGCTCTGGTAGGCAAGCGGTTAATCATGAACGGATTGCGTTACCAGAATAAAAACTCCACTTTCAAATAGATGATTGAAATTGTCCAACAGAAGCTTTATTTATAAAACAAAATTAAAGTTGTTTGGGCCTTCCTGACATATCCTGAACCTTTACACGTGAAATATGAAACCATTGCTGGCTGTTGCTTTCAGTCGGTGTGACGTTGTGGAGAATTTTTCCTCAATATTTAGGAGGGTTATTTTCTTGATCAATTACAACACACTTGCATCCAATACTATTCTTAAATTTCATTTTGTAGATAGTGCTTTTGAAAGCACTAGGGGTAAGATTTGAAAGAGGGCAGCTGGAGTGATTTGTTTCTTGTTGGCTATAAAGAAATTAAAATTAATTGATATTATATCAGTACAACACTGACAACTTTTGCATTGACTTGTTTTTAATTAGAGCTCTGGTCAGAGTGGCTTAAAGATGAAATGCCATTAGCATGTATACCTGAACAGAAAGAGAATCTTATATCATTATTTGAAAGAGCTGTTAAAGACTATCAATGTAAGGTTTTTATTGTTTGTTATGAATAATGTAAATAACTAAATAAACCTTATTTAGCAGTGATTCTTTTAACATGTGGTCCTTAGGATCACTTAGTGATCATCTTCCTGCTTTAGCATCTGTACGTGTATGCATGTGTGCATGCATCCTTCAGTGTGTTGGTCTGTCCTTCCTTTCTTTCTTCCTTCCTTCTTTCTTTCCTCTTCATCTTCTTCTTTTCTTTCCTTGTTTCTGCCGTGGTGAGAAATGTCTAGGTGCAGGATGAAATCTTTCTGGGTCCATAGTTTTGGGTGTATTTGGCACTGTGGTGTACTATCTGAGGGCAACAAACATACCAGAACTTCAAAAATTTTTGATGTGCTGGAAAGTACTTATAACACCATCATAAACAGCACTTTTACGTAATATAGCACAACAACAGCTAATACACCTTAAGAAAGAAAACAGTATTTACCATCACTTTAAAGGTACTTTTAATAATTAATTTTAACTGCTGCAGCTGTACAACTGTGGATTCTGTACTGCCAGTTTATGATGGATACCATGGAAGGTGAAGACAGTCTTCAAGGAGTCAGATCAATCTTTGAAAAAGCTATTATTGCTACTGGTCTCCATGTAACGGAGGTAGGTACTCAATGCGTTGTAGTCCCAAAAATTCCATACTGATGAGACGTAAATCTGTCCAGGATCTTGTTAACATTGAATGTGCAAGGTGCTTAATCTTCCCAGAAACAGCCTTTTCCTCACAGTAAATTATTTGGATCACGAGAGGTATTTTAGTTTTGTTGGCACTAAATTGACAGCAGAACTCAGAATGTAGGATTTCATAATGATGTCGTAAACCACACCCTGATATAATTGGAGACTGGGTTGATTTGTGTTAATTGGAGGGAGCGGGGTTTGGTCATTGATATTTGGGTGGGGGAGGGGGAGAATGCAAAAGAGGGAGTGTCCAGATTTTAGATCTCCAGAGTTTGGCATCTCTGCTCCATACTCCACTATTCTCTTTATGGAATATAAAGTCCTCTTGTAGAGACATGCATTTTCCATAACATTTTTGAGATTATGCAAATTCATTTTTCTGTACTATCTTTATTCCAAAAGCTGCCGGGGAAAAAGTAAAGTTGCATCTTATTTGGTTGATGTACTAATATACATTTGTATATACTAGCACTGCACTGCCGAGGAACATAAGTATGTAAATGTTTTTTTTTTTTTCAGGGATCATCGATTTGGGAAGGGTATAGAGAATTTGAAACAGATATACTAGAATCCCTTGAGGTTAGTATTCAACAAAATGTTAAACCAATGGCTCTTGGTATTTACATTACAGTGTGCAATGTTTGTTAGATTTTATTTCTATGATGGAAATTAGTCATCGAAATTTTGAATTAAAGATGTCCTTTGAAAGCTTTTTGAATCATCACTTAAAGTATTGGTTAAGGCCAGTTTATACAGGCCTACTTCGTACAGCATTATTTTTGTTGGATCAAACAAAGTTGGGTGATGTTGGACTGTGTTGGAAGAGGAATAAGTCTGTAGGACAGTCAAGTTCCACAGGAAATTAAAGTAAAAAAGAATTTCTGGGTCAACTGTATTTCCAGAAATTAAACCCTACATAGAAAGTCAATGTTTTGTGTTTGAGAATACCAGACAAAAAAATAATCTAGACTCAGCTTTCACAAGGATGATGGACAGTGCACTAATTATTGCACGTGATTATATCTAACATTACAATGATTGTGAAGTTCAAACATGGCCAAACATGGTCATTCAAGCATGGCTATTAAGTTGCAACGTGGTTCATTGCTCAGAGAAAACAGGAAATGGTGTGATGATTTTCGATTAAAAGTTTGAACTCATTCAGCTTGGTGTTCAAATGGATCAAATAGTTTTGATTTAAGAAATGTTTTGGCTGATACATTTACTCCAGTTGTGTTAAATGCATTTCCTTATCTGTGTTTTCATGGTTCCATTGGAGAACTGAACTCCATTTCTGTTACATATAACTTTACAGCAAATGGTGACTGAAGAAAACAGAGAAACTATGATGGAGAAAATGTGAGTTATGACTCGTACAGTAGTACATGTACACTAATCTATCCCATGCTATAAAGAATACAGCCAATCAGAAAGCTAGTAACCTGTTGCATATTCTGTGGTATGCAAGGGGTAGTATTTCACAAAAAAAATCCCAGTGAGGCTTGGGACCTCCATATTTTCCCTTCAAACACAGCAGATAGGAACAGGAAAACTTTTCATTGTACAAAAATTGCTGGGAGCAAGTTTGTTTAAACCCTAGTTTAAACTGCTACTATTCAGACCACTTGAAAGTATTGTATACCTAGTATGTATAGATCATACAATGGGGGCAGTGGAGTGTATATGTTAGCCCAATCCGGATCAAAGACAACAGCTAAACGACAAATAATCTGTAAAACTCAACATCTCTACTGCGCTCGACACTCAGTCGTTCCGATTACATTAGATTGTATTGTCCCACGATTCAGGGCTTGGGCCCAGTCCATTTCAGTCCTCTTTACTCTTTATTTTAGCTAAGCCATGGCCAGAATTATTCTTTTGAAATTATTAACTGAAGGAACTACATCTGGGTTGTTGAAAGATAGTTTTATGGGCATGGGTATGGTTTGAAAGATGCTGCTTCTTCTCCCCTGCAGTAGTAAAGTGTCAATGTTTTCTACAACCCTTAAAACTGATGATGATAAGGGGCATTGATCTACATGGGCAGTTACAGGTAGTTGATCTGTGAATGTGTTATAGCAAAGAAACTGTGTAGTTCTGTGGCATGAAAATTGAGGGACAGTAAGAAAAGAGAGAAGTGCATTATGAATGACCATTGACACCCTGATTGACACCAGAGCATAGTCTCCCAGACTGATGTTCTCAGGGCTTTATCATGCCTCCCTGTCCCATAAACGTCTGCTGAAATGAGCTGTTAACACAGCTCACTTTGGTTTCAGCAGATGTTCTTGGGGCAGGAAGGCATGACAAGAGCCCTTTGAATGTCTGCTTGGAAGGCTAACCAGAGCCATGATAAGAATTGCTTACACCACCTTCAACAGTGTGTTTCTGTTTTAAGGATGGTAAACCCCTGGGCAGAGTCGTTCAAAGCTGGGTTAAGATAACCCAGGGTTAGTGCGAAATTTGAATTCAGATTTGAAAAGTTAAAAGGCAAATTGATTTTTATTCTTTTTGTCTCCAATATGATGATTGGGTGATCTTAAAAGAATAGAGAAAACTGCCCGAGAAAATGCTTTCCAATACAAGAAAAAGAATCCCAGATCAAAATTTAACTCAGGTTAGCTCTAATCGGCCTTCAAACAACTGGGCCCAGGGAATTTCCTTTAAAGCCATGTTTATTATTTAATACTTAATTTAGTTAAAAATAATTAATTTGTTCCTCTCTTTCCATAGCTCAGCTCAGAAGGAGAGAGTGTTGTCAGTCTTCAAAAGGCAGCTTGCTGTCCCTCTGCTTGGTAAACACCTACTTATAAGCCAGCCCTACCTGTTAAATTATTTAAGGGTCAGAAGCTTTTTACGCATTCACTTCTTTAAAAGTGGAAGGAAACTGGCCTGAGTTAGTTGCCGCAAAGACATCTGGGATTGTTACTGCGGGTGCTCTCCAGTCAGCTATTGGTCAAGTTGTTTGCCCTGTCCTCACTAACAGTGCCAGAAGTCTTTATGAAAGTTAACCTTGTTCATTTCCTACTCATTTCTAAAGTGGTAAATAGGCACAGCAACAGCAGTGGAAATTTCAGTTACTTGTTTAAAAGGAATTTGCATGCTTTGAAATTTTCAGGCATTGAGGCATCATTGCTCATTAGTCCATTTCTTATTAACGGAACTATAACCAGTGTTGACAATTTTCCCCATAAAGGCCAGAGCAGAGAGGTGACTAGTGTTATTACAAGGGCTAAAATTAATGTAAGAAAAAGAATAATAATTATTAGGCTTCTCAAAGCATATGTGAACATGTTGAATCTACCATAATACTAATTAAGCCCCAAGAAACAGTATGTGGAAAAAAAATATTGTTTATAAGTTTTGTACAATTAACATTTTACATTGTTGCCAGACCTTTTTGGCTGGTCAGCATCTTTAAGATATAATTCAATCTGGAGCTTTTAAAGCCTTTGATGTTATTCACTATAAAGGAAGAGATTGCTCACACCACATACTTTGCCAAAAACAAAAAAAACAACAACAACCACGACAACAAAAATGCCAGTTCTAGAGGTATTATCCTTTGTGAAAGGTACAATGTACATGTATATGTCTAACAGGACAGCCATAATTAACAAATAGTTTATGAATTCTCACTTGATCGATAATGCGGGTTGATTCCTTAATTTTGGTGATCTCTAGGGATGCAGGCCACGTTTAGAGAGTTTGAAGACTGGCTGGAGTACTCCGTCCCTGATGCAGTGAAGATAGCATATGACAAAGCCGTGGCAAAACTGGAGGAATGTCTGGCCCATGAAGATACACTGGTAATGTACATTGTACAGTTACAGCCCTGTTTATAGGATTTATTAAGACCTTTTTAATTAGGACATCTTTATTCAAGAGAATTAGTTATGAGAGTGTTATCATAAACAATTTTTATTATTGAATTTGGCTTTCGTTTGACGCGAAGAATTATGCAGATCGAGGAAGATGTTAACCACCTCGGCCATCAGCCTAGGTGGATATCATCCAAGATCAGCATAATTCTTCACATCATATGAAAGCCAACATCATAGTTGTTTTATTATTCATTCAAAATTTTCTAAGTTCTTAACAAGCTTACCTCTTCATAGACTTTCGTCAGAACTTTGGTCTATTTCTCGGCACAGTTTCAGGATATAAACAGATGTTTTTATTTAAATAATACTGTTATTTATGTTATTTAGGCCTCAGCACAGCCACCAAAGACCACTGAATATAAATCATACTTGGAATATGAACTGAAGAAAGGTGATCCAGCCAGGATACAATGTTTGTATGAAAGAGCCATCAAGGACAATTGCCTTGTAGGGGACATGTGGACTGAATATACCTCCTATTTGGTGAGGCATTTGAATTCAATATTTTGTAGAATCATTTGCATGTATATTTTACAAATTAATGCAGTTTTGTGAAATCTCACACAGTTTACAGCTATTATGATGTGTAAGTTCTCTGTGTAATAACAGGGAAAGATAAATATGAAATAAGGAAAACAAGGTCCCCGAAAAAAGTACTTTACTGTAATTGAGTGGCAGTGTATTCAGCATGAAAGTACTAATAAAATTGAGAACGCTATTTAAATGCATTCTTTGCTGGAGACAAGGCTGCCATTTTATGTTTTTTTCGTAGCTCACAAAGGTCTTGTTGTTTGCTGGACAAAGGCAGTGCCTTCACTTCTGAGTTACCAGTATTTTAAGACCCTGAGTATTGGTCAGGCCCCAGGATTGAATTAGTGACGTCTCGCATTGCAGTCAAGCACTCTTCTGACTGTGCCAGTCCTACTGCAGTAATGTGCTTCCTGCAGCACAACTCTGGAAAACCCAAACTGTACATCTATTTATGACTCTATGTTTCTCCTTAACAAACATTGTATGTAAGCCATCCAGGAAATTCTACCTTGGCTTTCTAGGAATACTTAAGTTGTACCCTGATTTATCCATTTAGAATTAGTGCACTTTAATTTCTTATTTCTTATTAGTACCAACCTTATTTTTTTTCAGGATTCCACTCTAAAGATAGCCACAGTGGTAATTCCTGTGCATGAACGTGCTGTTAGAAACTGCCCTTGGGTATCCCTGCTCTGGCAGAATTATATCAGAGCACTGGTAACAATAATTATGTTGTCCATCCATCCATCCACTGAATTCTATATTTTCTTTGGTCATCTGATCATTCAGTTAGTCACTCATTTTTTGTGTATTTGTGTTCCTCAATAATATATATCCGTCCTTTTAGATAAAGCATTTTGTGCACTTTTTAAATATATATACTTTATTGACACATAAGTTTGATTTTTAGGAATACCGTATTTATTCAACGTATCAGCGTATATTTCAAAATTACGTTTTTAAATCACTGACATCAATGTTTACGATAGATCATTTCGAAATATTGTGTGAAACAGAAAGGTGTTTTTAAAAAAGTTGCAGTGCCTCACCTTTCTTGCGGAGATAGAATCGTAACTGTGTCGATGATTTAATTTTCAAGAATTAGCAAGTTTTTCTTTTCTTATAATCCTTGAATAAATGCACATACTCTTGATTGGGTGCAGCATTAATAATTGGTAATTTTGCTTCCATCTGCGGTGTTTAATCAAGTAAATACAGTACACAAAGAGTTTTTACTCTTTTCTTTATTAGGAGCGCACTGGGCAGGATAATAACAAAGTAAAAGGTATTGCTGATTATTTGCTTTATAGCTGGAAGTGATTCTTTCTTTCCCTCTCTTTTGTCCCTGTAAGTCATGCACTTTTCATCTGATGTAATGTGTTTTGGTGTTTGTTTGTATAGAAACCCTGGACACAGCTCTTGGTTGTGGGTTTAGCACTAGTGATGATTACCTGCAGTTATGGCATTCTTACTGTGATTACATGAGAAGAAAGACTGATGACTGGACTGAAGGTATGCTGCTGCAACAAATGCATATTGCTTTTTAACAATTTTGTTTTCAGTCAGTGACACAGGCATCAATCAAAATATCTGAGTTCTTGCAACAATTCCCAGTGTTGGAACCTATGACTGTGAGTAACTGGACTCCTTGGGTACTTACATTTACAAATATAGGAAAATCAGAAATTCCGGTTGCAAAATCAAAATTTTCGCACCATTCCATTTGGGAGGCTTAAGAAAATATGGGCTGTGATGTGCGGTGATGCCATTTTTCTACGATTTTGAGTCTGATAAAAAGTACTCTCAGCCTGAAAGAATAACTTTATATTCAAAGTGGCTAATGTCACATGGCAATACACTGATTGACTGTGCACACGCATGACATTGACTAAATGTCTCGCTTGGCAAACGTCAGTCTTCAAAATATTGATTATTTCACTTGCTGTCAATTCATTCATTGTGTTTACTAACTACCTCATCATGCAATCAATTTTACAGATGGCCAACAGGTTAAGGAACTCAGAGAGACTTTAAAAACGGCAACGGAATATTTACAAAACTGTGAGTTTAGAATCAAACTATTCCTTGTAATTTATTCTTCGTTTTTTTTTCCCATTTGCACAACTTGCGTGACGTCAGTGGTCCCTGTTTCAGTCTACTATTTATTATTTATTTTATTTGATTAGCGTCAACCACAAAAATTATAATAGCGAACATCTTCAAATTTGAGTCAACACTATGAAATATTAGCCGAGGGGATTTGAACCAATCGTAAACAAGGAACATTTTTTTTATTTGCGTGATAATAGCCATTATAACAACTGAAGGGAGGGTTGGGATGTTCGTTCGTCTCTAGTCCCGACTCATTTTCCCCTTCACTTTCTTTCACCTCGCTCTTAACTCTTTCTTTATGATTGGCCTGCGAACCTAAATACGTACTAAAAAGTTATGTTTTTGACAGTTAAAAATTAAATTTTTCATGCACTTATATAAACTAATACAAATACTTGAAGACATAACTTGTTTACAATAATTTTATTCACTATCTGTTTTTTTTTTCAAACTTCAGCAGCCGCTGTAAGCGTATGCTTGTATGAAACCGGCATTATCAATAGAAACTTGCCGACCTGGCTCATGTTCTAACTTTCTTCTTTCGTAGATTTCGGCAAAGATGGTGATCCTACAAATCTTTTGGACAGATACTGGGCACGAATTGAGGTAAATAAATTGAAGGTATTTTTGTTTGCTTATTTTCTTAGACCCCTTACGAGTTGGTGTTAGTGTATTGGACTTGGCGTTAGTACTGAATACTCTCCTTAAAAGTAGGATTGGAGGCATCATTGTAACTGTCCATTCCTTGAAACTGTCAATTCGTTGGTTTCTTAGCTTATTAGTGAGTAAGGCGACGGTTTAGAAACAAGGATTGACCTAGTCAGTTAATGCTTGGCCTTCTGTGTAAGGAGTTTCGAGTTCGATTCCCAGATGTGATCTCAAGTCCTCGTTTTGACTTCCTTCCTTTCTGTGTAACTTTAGGTAGCTTTAAATTCCCTTAAAACGGAGCAAGGATGGAGAGTAGGGGCTGGGTCGCTAGGCCCATGCAGGTTTGTCAGTCAAATGGTGACTGTTACAAGATACCGACTGAAAAAACTGACCGCGAGATGTGTTAAACTTTTCTTAAGGACCACTTTCTTATCCTTACTGCACAGCATCGGGGTAACAAATGGGTTTCTGTTTTGCGTTCTCAAATATTACGATGAAAGTCATAACTATAATAAAATTCTCAAATCTGATTGGCTATCAACTGTCCTGATTTCAGCACTAACAGGACAGTGTAATAGGACGGTAAGCGTCATGCCTAAGTAATTGGACAGTATGCGCCATTGCGCGCGTGCTCATAAATGTTTTTTTTTTTCACTGCTAGCCAAGAAACTCTTAAAAAACTCTTAGAATTTCTTGTGTTTTAATTTTTTAAAAAGCCTAATTAAAAAATTTTGTTATAATTATGATTAATTGGTAACAGAACTTCGTGTCGTCCAATTTGGTCTGTAATCATACTCGTCATTAATTAAATCGGACTCCCGCTATGCGGTCGTTCGATTTTGTTAATCACTCGTATGATCACAGACAGAATTGGACTCCACTCAGTCCTTCAAGTTTAGCATTATGAACCGTTCCTCTCCGTTATCTTCATCTTAGGTTTCTTTATTCTAAGGTTGTCTCTCGCTGTTTCATTGGTTTTCTTTGTTTTCAATGATAGGCGTTTCACATCAAAAACATTACAGAATGTCAGAGAATTTGGGACAACGTAATCTTGCCAAACCATGGGCGAGAGGCAGAAATCTGGCTTGAGTACGCCAATGTGTTGAGGTCAGTTAAAAGTGATCTATTTATTTACCAGCTTTTCTGGACACAGGCCTGGCCAGAGGGAATGTGCACGAAAGGGACTCAGGCCCTATGCGAGGTGCCATCCCTCACCACCGGGTTCTACGACCCCTAATCTTTTCGAATAATGATATGGGTTCTTTTACGTCCCACAAGAACAAATCAGTGGAATTGCTGTGAGACGGGACCTAGGGTTTTTCGTCCTTATCCGAGAAGACTCAGTAGAAAGTCTAACTATTTGCAGATGTCATTACAAAGGCAGCACTTTCTTCTCAGTTATTTAAAGACCCTGAGTGTTGGTCCGGCTGGGGTTTGAACCCGCGACCTCCCCAGTATTTTTGTAGGTACACCTTCCATCTTTGAATGTCCTATACTTAGACATATTGGTCTTTATTGTAAAAACATTATAATAGATGTATTACACATAGACTAAACTTTATTATGATATCATTTTTTAGGCGATCGGAATAAATATCACGTGACTATAACGTCACAACAGTTAAAGCTCTAAAGCGAATTTCTGCCCTTATCGGCATTTTCTTTGGAAATGCTTTACGCTACGCTGCTGCAATTAATTAGTGTACTATAAAATCCCCGGATTTCGTGTCCATTGAGACCTTTTAAGTTGTCTAACGTAGGCACAAAATTGAGTAAATATTGCAGCAGTGTCATAGATCTGGCTAAGTTTTTGCCATCATTTATTCATAAAATCACAGAAAGCTGTCCTCTATTCTTTCCGCAAACTTGGACACAAAATCACGATTTTCCAACTTGGTACAACGTGGCTTAACTCATTGCCGTAACGCGCGATCTACCAAATAAAAAAACAACGCTCCTAAACTTCCATCATTCCACAATGATTCTTTAAAATGTTATCCAAATCACCTCTAAAACAGCCGAGATATGAGTGTTTTAAAAGATGCAGCACGAAGAAAATTTTGCTCATAGATAGGTGTCTATCTCTAAACGAACGAAAGAGGAAATATAACTCAGTATAAGCAACTTATGGTTACGCTGTTTGGAAATAAACCTCTTGTTTTGTCGCGCTCCTAAGGCCCTATGTCTTTATAGATCCCAGTAGTTTTGCAGCAGTAGTATAGCGCGCGCCGAATTGATTCTTTTTTGCGTAGGAATGCCTTTAACTTGCGGAGGAATACATTAACGTCGATGACTTTGTAGCCTCTTGTCTTTATCTCATGAATAAAATGCGAAGGAATCTCACGCAGTCTTGGGTTAAAAGCATTATAAATGTTTCAGATGATTTTTTTGGATTTGGTTGTAGTTTGTCCCGTGCGTGTTCAATAAACAGTGCCTCATTTCCAGAAAGGCCGATAGCACCATCCGAGATTATGACAAGCGGTTATGGAAGCGAATATTAATAACAAAGTACTGTTATGCACATTGCATTGAATGTACTCCTATATCTTTGGATATCTTGTTCCAACCAGGTCCGTTCGTGACATTAAGAAGTGTCGTAAAATTCTTCAACGAGCTGTGCAATCAGCAAGTGATAACCCTGAAATGGTGATCCAGGCCCTGCTCAGTTTTGAACGAGAGGAAGGTGAGTACAGCCATGCACTATAGTGAAACCTGAATAAACTTAAGTTACAGCTATTTCTAGACTTTGCTAGCACTCGTATTTTACCGAAAACTTGTCCCGCACTAAGCTGAGATCAGGCTCTACTTTCATTTTTCTGGGTAAATAGATTCCAAGCCGGCAAGGCGAATCGAAAAGTCTCTCATTTAGTACAGCACTTTAGTGCTTGCGAATCGACTGTATAACAATGATTGTTGCATCACTTGTAAGTGCATTCATGTGATTACCGTGATATCAGACGGACCTTAAACGCAACACCAGGGCCTTCGAGGCCACATATCATGCATATCAGTTGGTACAACATGGGCATCCTAAGAATGTGAACAGAATCAAGAAAAATCTTGCTATACAGTTAAAAGTGTGCCGCTGACCAAGAATAAGCGGCTTTTGTGGGCCGCATCAAGCGTTTTCATTTTCTTGTATGTTTATTCAAAAGCAAAATATTTCCTGCTCATCGTTTTCTGATGTACAATACACCTGTCTGGTCAGTAAGCGTGCTTCTCTTTCCACGGTTGTCTGTTATTCACAAAGACACTATTGACAAAGTAGCTGTTACTGTCTGAAAAACGTGGTTCTATCAATGTTTGGGCTTATTTCAGGAATCGAATTTTCGAGCAACTGAACCCTAAACTGTGCTTTGTTGGTCCTAGGAACCTTGGAAGACTGGGATGCTGCTTTTTCAAAATGCCGTGTGCAGCTTTTAAGGGTCAACGAACGACGGCAGAAGGTGAGAAAAGCTACACAAATTTGTCCTTTGAAAACAACGCAAGTAAAAATGTAGGGAGTTTTTCTCTGCTCCACGTTATTTCTTTTTGTTAATATCTCACGATTGTCACAATTATTTTTTTCCAGACATGTCACAAAAATCAGGCAGTTAGACGTCGCTACAATTAACCAAGTCTTTTAGCGGGTATATTAGGTGATGTTAGTCAGCCGTAGGAACTTTGTGACTTGTTTTAAAAAACGTCAGTTTGGAACATGTCGGGGACTACCTTTACAGATTACGAAAAATAAAACATGAACCGTTGACATCAGCTCGTAACTAAGTGAAAATTTAAGGAGTTAATTTAAAGTATCGGATACTGTCGGACATTATCATTAGTCGTGATTTTCCTGGTTAAAATTTTGACACCGTGACCTGTTTTATATCTGTTTAATTCTTAAAGGCTGCTGAAAAGCAGGTTGTTCGTGAAAAGGCTGAACAAGAAGCTCAAGAGAAGAGAAGAATTGCAAATGCTGAGAAAAAAGCTGCGAAGAAAGCGGAACAGAAGAAAGCTAAGTTGGAATTGAAAAAAAGAAAGGTGACTGAGATGGTTTAATATGATAACTGAAGAAACTGAGGCGAGCAATCTACATATTGAGATCCAACTTGCGACTTCGTGCTATTTCCCAACTGTTGTCAGAAAATTCTAAAGAGAACTGTTCTAAAACCAAATGCATCACAATGCTTCATGATAACTGTGTTATGGAGTGTTTTCTAAGCAACTTTTTCATTTTTATTGAAAACCAATATATTTCACTGTTTTCAAAGCATTACTCGTCCACGCGTAGCGTTGAGTTGTTGTATCCGTCCATAAGGACAGTTTTCCGTCTGGAAGAAGTTTTTTTCTTTTGTCCAGATTTGACTTCATCTGAAAATTCTTCCTCTAATTCTCAAGAATCACTGTTTGGTCGACATAAAACTCCCACCAAGCCCTTTTGCGCCCTATTGTAACGCAGATCGTACTTACTCATTCATTAGGCTGTTGACCAAGGTGTCACTGGAGAAAAGAATCAGAAATCAAAGCCGAATGACGAAGATTCTGGAGAACCTGCCCCTAAGAAACCTCACGGTAAGATTACAAAGCTCACTATTTTTTATTTATTCATTCTTTATTAAATTTTTTAAAACGCGATTATGACAACTGGTAAAAGTAATATAGTATTTCAGAAAGCTGTTAAAAAAGCCTCACATTCTTTGCAGTGAAAAACATTTTTGGTCGATTTTGTTTGTTATTGAATTTTTGGTGTTGTAATGGAGGGAGAGGGTTGCTATGTCCGTGGCGCCCCAACGGTCACCATGACTACGGGATAGGTGCAAGGTGCATGCACTAAAACACTCAAATAAACTGACGTTAAAGATGTTTGCTCCTTCGTCTGTCAAAAGTATCCCATTTGAGAATATCTAGTGCTGACTCTCTTTACTTCACTGACCTTGACCTCTCGCGCTGTTTCTGCCTGAGTGGATAAGGCGTGAACTCTTTTAATACTTGTAATTTCTACCTTTTGTTTCCTGGTTTGTAAGTTTTTTTTTTTCATTTTAGTTGACATGGAAAGGATCGATTCCTCTACTTCTCAGGAGACAACACATGAGCAGACATCGACCACAACGAAACGCACGCATGACAGGTTAGGATGCACTTTAAACAGTCGAGCAAAAAAAAATGCACTCTACTATTGCTTTGTGTTCTTTTTCCTTTTTAGTTTTGATAGCTTCTTCTTTCTGGTTGCAACCAAGGGATGAGGGTTAACTCAATCTACTGTTTCGTTCCCATTGCACTCTTCCTTTATTGGTTATTCTTCTTTCCAAACCTTTATGAGCTCGCCATCAGTCTCTAATCCAACAGTATTAGTAACAGCGACTAAGAAGAGTAATGTTGAGATCTCTTTAGGTAAAGCCACCTACCAAACTGACTCGCTCAGGTAGCAGCAGATCAGAAGTCCTGAACCATTTAATTACAGTTTTCTTCTTTTTTTCTTGCTTCAACTAACTTTTGCAACCTTTTTTAAAAGTATTCATTAACTGTACTTTTAGTGTCATATATACGCACATGTCCTTTATAAAGTTTTCCATTTTGTTTTTTTTTTTCTTTTTGTAGCACAAAAGATCCCAATACTGTATTTGTCAGTAACCTGCTGTTTTCAGTTGATGAAGAGCGTCTAAAGGATGTTTTCTTACCGGTAAAGATCACGTAGTAAATCTTAAAAACTTCCCCATTCGTTATGTACTCCTGTTTAAAGAACAACGTTTTATCAACTACTGAATAATATTGTAATTAGGTTTTAAGGGTGTTTAACTCTTTTATCAATTTAGCTTTATCTATTACAAGTTTATAGGACAGATCAAAAAATTTTTTTAGTTTCTATAGTAAATAAAATGTGAGTTGTAAATACGCAGTTCAGCCTTTGGGCTTCAAAACTATTTATCTTCTATGTATCTCTCTACTTTTATGTGTCTTTCTCTTGATAATCAAGTTTTCAATCGGAAGCAAATGAATTGGCAAAGTAAATTGGCCATTGCACTGACGTTTCGAGCGATAGTTCTTCGTCAGAGCGCATACATGTCAAAGTATCGTAGGTTGTGTGTGGTTTATAAACCGAAGATTGCAGCTATGGTATTGCTTGAAACATGCTAACGTGTTAAACCAGAACAAATTAGTTGAATGAAAGGTGTTTGTTGATCGCCGTGTGGTGAGTGAGAGTTAGGTCCGTCCGCTCCTCTCAGCTTTAGCGTGGAATTGAACACTTCATTAGACACGGTTTATAGTACGGGAACCGACAGTACTCGTGTTTCACATTTTTTAACTTTTACTAGATTGTAGTCCTGGCTAAGGAAGTAAACATGGAAATATTTATATGATAAGTCTAGCGCAAGAGCTTTATCCTCTCTTGGCCTAGAGTGCATGGTAGTTCTAGTTCTTAGCACTCATTGCCAGGAATTCAAAGATGTTCTAGTCATGTTTACTCTAATTCTTCTACAATGATTATCAAATGGCTAATAGTGACATAAATCGCCTTCCTTAATTATTTACAGCTAGGTGAAGTAGTTGAAGTTCGACTAGTAAGGAATCAGATTGGAAAATCTAAAGGATATGCTTATGTCGAGTTCAAGAATCAGGTAACAGGACACTGGTGTTAAAAGGCCTTTTCCTTTCTTAACCTTTTTTGTCTGAGGACGTATTCGTTTGCAAAAAGTTGTAGCGTAATGCAATTGTATCTTTTACTGCTTCAATCTTCAATCGACTGTATTTTTTTAATTGAAGTCATCAGTGGAAGCTGCTTTATCCATGGACCGAACTAAGTTGGAGGGAAGGCCCATGTTTATCTCTCCTTCAGTGGACAAGTCTACAAACCCTACTCAGTTCAAGGTAGAATATTACTGACACCTGTTGATTGTAGCAGATATATATTATTATTATTATTATTTATCTATTTATATATTTACTTTTGACTTTCATCGTGTTTTTAAACAATCAAAACCTTCATTTTGATTGATTGATTCTAATGTGGCCCGTGTCTTTTTTCTTCATAGTTTCCCACATCACTGAACAAGAAAACACTGTTTGTCTCTAATCTGCCGTTCGACGCTAAAGAGTCAGATCTAGAGGAATTGTTTAAAGGGGTGAGATTTTTGCATACTTTACTGATTTAATTTAGTTGACTATCGGTACACCAAACATAATGTACAGGACAAGTCTGCTGGTGGGGACCGGACCAGTATTCAGGGTCTTAAAATAACTGGAAAATGAAGGTACTCCCTTTGTCTTGCAAGCGGCTGGACTTCGCGTGGCTCCGATGACCACGTAAAATTGCTGGGTCCCGTAAATACATTGACACTCAAATAAAGTTCATTTTTTTTATTACAGCATGGTAAAATTAACGAAATACGACTGGTGACCAACCGAGCTGGAAAACCCAAAGGATTCGGATACATAGAGTATGAACAGGAGGTAAGTGAGACCGCTGGATCCTTGTCATCCACCTCTGTTTTCTCCTCAGTGTGTTTCTCTTTCCGATTCTCAGGTGTTACTTGGGGTGAAGTCCTTTAAATTGTGCAAATTGCTTTATCGTGCCGGATCTGTGTGTGGAAACATCGCATACGAACGGATTTGTGTTTTGCCTCTGATTCGGAGAAACTAAAGACTAATATGTAAATTTTATGAGATAAGAGCGATAACTTAAAACTATCAAACGTAAGAATCTTGTATGTAATTTACAGGGGGCTTTGTTGACACTTCCATCCTTTCAAAGGACTTTCCTCATTTGCACACTTGTTTGCGATGCTATACTAGATACACGTTGAATTGCCTGAGTAATCTAATTTAAGCCAGTCCTGTAAAGAACTTGGATGGAAAAAGTTGTCAAAAGAGGTTAACTCTCTGAAGATTTCAGCATGTAGAAGATTAGGGTTAATTCGCACTGTTACTAATGGAAGTTTGTTAGGCTCGAAACTCGGAGATTTTTTTGTTGGTCCGAAATACCTCGTGTTTTAATCAGACAGGGGCGTCATCCGCCATATTAGCGTTGGATGGAAGTCAAATGGGAGGCAGGCAGATTTCGGTTGCATTATCAAATCCACCAGCTAGAAAACCCAGACAGCCTGGAACCGAACAGCAACAGCCCGGGAAAGAGCAGCCAGGAAGGTAAGAACGGTTCACTATCTATGAATAACTCCATAAGCCTTTAAGAGACCTCATACGTATAGAGCTAGTCCTGTAATTCTGGGAGGGTGGGGAGGGTAGAGTGCTTACAGCAGCAGCTGATAAAACAGCAAGTTCATAACTGATCATGTCCATTTTGTTTTTCAGTCGTGGCCGTTCACGAACCCAGTTGCAGCTCATTCCCAGGTCTCTTCAGAAAGCCACCTCGTCGGTGCCAGGTCCTTCAGCAAAGAGCTCGACTGCAGCAAGTGAGGAAAAGACCGAGGCTAATGGTGCCAGCCAGTCGTCAGAGCCGGCTAAAAAGGGTTTTACCAACGAGTATTTCAGAAACCTCATGCTTAAAAAGAACTGAAAACCAATCTCGAATATTGAAAAAGTATCCATTATCTGTGATTTATACTAGCACCCGCTTGAGTTGTTCGACTACAGCAGCGAAACTCAGAAACTGCTACATGACATGAAGCAAGCAAATCCTGCATTTTCTTTGGACTGACTACATCACGTTAAAAGAGAACTTCTACGGGCTTAAATATCTGACAGAAAGATCGCGGTACAAATTTTGATAAATGGCAGTCTTAGAAATGAACAGAAACTGTCCGTTGACCCTCCTCCTCGTGATTTCTTCAAACTGTAGAGTTGTGTAGGTTTTTAAGTGTAAAGGAAGGAAACTAAGATGGTAAAACGTCTGAAAGTTTTAAGATCCTATGTATCGAAGGGACACTGACCCTGCCATGTTTTTTATAAGCCTTGTGTTGACTTGTGGTAAAATGATTTTAGTAAGAGCTAAATTGAAGAAAATATATAGTTTTTACTGATATAAATGCACAAAAATGAAAGTGTAGTGAAGTGAAAATAAATGAAAAGGCAAGGAATCTGCTTTACACCTTTGACGGCCTGTTCTGGGGATCTCTGACTTACCCATTCCATTGTGCCATGATTGTGCCAAGAGAGATTTCCTACTAGATCAATTTCAATTGGAAGAAGTTCCTTTTTGTCCGGTCTCTCAGTTTGCCTCACGTTGTTAACCGGAACTTTAATTCACCACTTGCCCAGTTTGTGTCCTGTGGACCTTGTTCAGTGCCAGCAGGAGAAGCTGCTTCTGCAAATATTCATATCACTGTTCATGAAAAGTGTGGCATTGTACAAGAAGTATGGTGCACGGAGAAAGAAAGAAAAACAATTAGAACACTCTGAAATATCGTTCCAGCGTTTTTTGAAACCTTTTCTTAATAAATGACAATGCATCTTTTCCTGATATTTCCCGCTGTTCTAAGTTTGGCAAAGAATGGATAAAATGAAATGCACCCCGCATTGAATAATAAGCATGTAGTTTTGAGGATCGATTTTCAAGCTCTCGCTAGTGCCACTCCGGTGTCTCTGCTCTATATGAGCTTCTTCAAATGCTGATGCTATTTGGAACCATGAATCGAGGAACACATAAACAAGCCATCCTGATTTGGATACTGCTGAACTTTGAATGCGGTAAGTGGTGACAGGTCATTTCTTATACAGTTTTTCGCTTATTAGCCGGCAGTGATGAGCCGACGATTGAATTCAGAATTTACATTTTCACTACGTAAACCGACTGTGTTATATTTTCCTTTAGTAACAATATTTTAATGAGTCTTTTGTAGACTATATTTAATGATTTTACATACCCCTCTGCCCAAATTGGTTATTTTGGGGAGACAGGGGCTAGAAACCTGGGAGAATAGGGGGAGGGAGGTGGGAGAGCCGAACGAGCGAGAGAAAGGGGGAGAATTATGCAAGAATGCTTACTATTTCGGCGCAATCGAAAAAGGGCTAAAGGGAGAAAGCCAAGAAAAAAGAAGCAGGAACCGGAAATACAAGGTGTTCTGTTCGAACACCAAAACAACTTCTCCTCTTGATAGCAATAACGAACAAATCTTACAGACTTCTGACTACAATTTTTTCGAGAGCGAAAAGCACATGTTATGACACCCCATAATACTAACTCAACAAAATGTCCCGGGTAGGGTCATAACATTACAGTTCTAGTCTCACTGGGGGTCAAGACGATCTACCGCTGGAGGTTTGGATCGCCTCGGGTAAAGTTTAGCGTGCGAACGGGTTGGACCGGCAGGGTTAGCAGCGGAGTATTTTTACAAGTGTTATGTGATTATCGTCTGCTTTATCACTTACACTAATAATAAAGTAGATGCAGATGTAGTTATACCCGCAACAGTAACATTTTTAATTTAACCCACAGCGCTAATTCCCAATGGTCCAAAAGCGCTTTACATAATAAAAATAACAACAAAATCCTAAACCTACAAAACTGCAAAACTACATTGTCATTCTATAAAAATTCCCAATGGTCCAAAAGCGCTTTACATAATAAAACTAACAACAAAATCCTAAACCTACAAAACTACATTGTCATCCTATAAAAACATCATCATTCTATACGACAACATCATAACCAATTTTAAAAAGCCAAGTCTTGAGCTTAGATTTAAAAGAAGAAAGGGAATTACAAGATCTAAGTTCGAATGGAAGTGCATTCCAAACAGAAGGTGCAGCAATAGTAAAAGACCGGCCACCATAAGTTTTAAGATTAAATTTAGATGTAGAAAGTAAAAATTGATTGGAGGATCTAAGAAGTCTACCAGGTGTGTAAGGCTTGATGAGATCAGTGATATAGCTAGGTGCAGCACCATGAAGTGCCTTAAATGTAATTACTGGAATTTTGAAAGTTATCCTTTGTTCAATTGGTAGCCAATGAAGTTAAAAAAGCATCGGCGTAACATGCTCATATCTACTAGTAAGGTGAATAAGCCTAGCAGCACTATTTAGGACACTCTGTAAACGTTTCAAGATACATTTAGGTTGACCGTAGAGCAATGAGTTACAATAGTCGATCCTTGCAGTAACAAAGGCATGAATTAGAGTTTTACATGTATCGTAAGAAAGAAACTTGCGAATCTTAAAAATATTGCGTAAATGAAAAAACGAAGACTTGCAAACAACAGTTTTCTTCTTTTTTTCTTTAAAACTGGTTAGTGTAAGACACAAAATCTCAGTATACATTGCCTTGTCCATGTGCGGGAGGGTCTGATTACTTGCGAGCTTTTTCCAGTCTCGTGAGATTTAATAGTTATGAGTTATTTATGAGAATGTGGTTTTCGTTTTTTTAGCCTTCACCAGGAGCGATGCCTCCTTTTGCTTCAAAAAAGCGACGCATTATAATGTTGTTCTCGAGGGAAAGCTAAAAGCTGGTATTTACACACCTTGGGAGCCAGACCCCAGTGAAGTGAGTCACATGACCATAGACAGGTGCACAGAGCATTGCTGTAGAAATCCCGATATTGATGTTGTCTTTCTGCTGGATAGGTGAGAGAGAGTGAGCTGTTTCATGCGCATGTCATTTGTAACGTCCTAGTTTGCTTAATTGAAAATAATGTGGGGGATTTTTGTAAGAAAAAATATCGTTCAAGATGACATACCGGTGGCAGTACTTGGCTTTACCGCTGCAGGATTAGCTCAGTCTGTAGAGTACTCGACTGCAGAGCGGGAGGTCGCTGATTCGAATCCCGGGGCCGGACCAATACTGCCTTTTCCCTACAAACAGCTAGACCTTCGCATGACTCGGATGACCACGTAAATTTGCGGTCTCGTCTCCACTTGAGACGTAAAAGTAGTGTCCTTAATTGGCACGTTTTGCTAAATACATTGACACTCGACTAAAGTGCATTTGTTTCACGTAGGGACACAGATATCTTCGTAATACCTTAAGGGCCGGGGCATTGTGGGTTTTTTGGAGGAATGATGTTGACTTGAGAGTAACATAAATGAAGTTAGAAACGATATACACCAACCGTGATGATGGACTATCTGGTATTTGTAAACTAATTATTCACTTCATATTTCAATTTTCAACAAATTTCCAAATCCAAAATTTTATAGACCCTCCCATCCCCTTATTTTTATACATTTAAGACATTCGAAAAATCATCGAAATATTCTCAAAACATTATTGAATTAAGGATCGACTCCAAAATAAAAGGGTCATTTTTGATCGAATGAAATCTCGGCGAGATATTTAACGAAAAGGGCTGAAAGAGACGAAAAATGATGCTTTTACCAAACTTATCCCCCTAATTAACACTTCTAATACTGCACTGTAAATTTCCCGTACGCTTTACGGTTTTGTAGCGAAAGATGCTCACGCGACTCATTTAAAGCCTTTTATTCTTAACAGGTTTTCAGAAAGATACTGCTTCTGTGTTAAGTGTCATTCCGATCATCTGTGCTTCTTAAAGAAGATTACACCTCCGCCATCATTTACACCAATTACTGTCACTCTCACAAAAAGTAAGTTATCCGCTAAACAATTCTTAATATAAATATTTGACGGAAGATCTCCATTAGTTCGAAAATACCTGTTGGAAAGTGACAACAATCTTCCCACCCTGATACAGTAGATTTGTCACCCTGGCATTGAGGAAACTCTGCTACCACACCCTTCCCACAGATATTTTTACTACCCAGAATCCGGGTGGTCACGTGATCAGGTCCGACCAATGGGTCTCTCCACCCGACAATCCGCCTACAAGAAAGGAAAAGGAGAGAGAACCTGGGTACGAGGTTAACTTGAGCTTGCTAAAACGACTTCCAAAACTGATTTCTTGCGTATTTTTCTTGTCGAGGGCAAGTTGACTTAATACTAGAGATTGGTTGACGGCTTCGTCATTTTGTTGCTTTGACTATGAATGTGTAAGTGAATATGTCGAGCACGTCCTCACTGGAAAAAAAAATCGACCCAAGCAAAGCTTAAAAAGTACAAAAGGTTTTTGATATTCTTATGTTGTATGCTTTTGTTTATGCAGGTTTATGCTGCGTGAACTCCAATCTTAATACTTTCTTTTTCAGTATTAATACATACAACATAACGAAAGCAAAGTGTTTTCAAATATTTCATTATTTATGTCAAACGTTTTTGTTCGGTTGACAATGGAAATATTTTTTTCTAAGACAATGCTACATCATGCTTTGTTGTAGTTGTTGTTGTTGATTCTCTTTAAAGTTTTGAAACATCGGAGTAGGCCAAACTATCAACACACTTTGAAGTTCTCAAGTTTTCACCCTTCAACAAAGTTGGTTAAAATTAAATCATTAAATCACTTTGTCTATTGTTTCAATTACGGTGCCTGTTTGTTAAAGTGATAAAGCTTCAACATTTTTTCCTTTTAAAACTAAAATAACAGGTAATGCTTTCATTGAATTTATGGATGCAGGTAATTGTTTATATTGAGTTTAATTGTTTTCTTCGCGTTCTCTCTTTGTCGTCGTCGTAGTTTAAAGATTATTAGTTTGAGTGCATTCTCTTTTATTAAGTTAAACTTTATGGACAATTTTTTTGTACAGACTCTATTTTCTTAAAAATCGATCGTTTGGTCGACTTCTTTCATTAGAATTTTTGCCAGACATCACACATTTCTGTCATTCATTCAATCCGATTCGGACAACTGATAAAAATGTGTTCATATAACTGAGCTATAATGAAGTTGTTTTGAAACTAGGCATCGCATACAAATTATTAATAATGAAAATTTTATTGGCTAGCGATTCAAACACAGTCTTGACGTCGTTTTGCTAGTGATTATATTTTTTAATTACACCACTGTGAACTGACATGTTATAAACTGAACGAAACCTTTACTTCAAGGTTGAAAATAATGAATTGGTTTTAACATTTACTTTACCGTAAATATTTTCAAGGCTTTTATTGTCTAGCTGCTATAACTACATGAAAATAATCTAACGGCGACAATTAGATTTTTCCGTCAGTTGTTTCATTTATCATATTTTGGTTAGAAAAAAAAACACGAAGTCTTCAGAAAGTTCATGAATACAAGTCGTCGAGCTAAAGCTGAGGGCTCAGTAGCCATTACATGGTAAGTTGATGAACTATTTCTTAAAAATTTAGAAAAACAAAAAAAATTAGCGTTTTAGTTTAAATTCCATTACTGAGGTTTAAACTCTTACAGTGTTTATTCGCGGGCCTGGTGGTGAAAATTACCTTTTATCTGATCTGTTTACTAGTGATAGTGCGGAATACTTGTTACTCATTTCCGTTAATCTACAATTTTCCGTTATAATGCACGAGATGTAAGGATATATTAAAAAGCCTTTTGAACTTGTTTTACTGAGAACTTGTCGCAGCAACTTGTCTAGCAGTTTAAAATGTCGGGAATGCCCGATCTGTTTTGTTAGGGACTGTAAGGAGACTAAGATTTAATTGCAAAAGTTTCTATTTATAGATTGCGCCTTGAGTTAAAAGCGCATCCTTACCTAAGCACGCCTAGGCTGTAGCCATGATATGTTTTACTCCAGGTAGCTTCGAACTGACGACAGTCCCACGGGTTTGTCGAGTGTGCGAACAAACTGCAAGCGAATTAAAAGTAATTGGAGCCGTTTGAAAGATGACGACCAGACGGAAAGTAACAGCAAAATCAGGGAGCTTTTAAAAAGCATCCACGACGACGGCGTGGCAGCGAGCTAAAAAAGTGAATTTGCACCCTTTTATTTTTATCGCGTTTATTTAGCCTTGCTTAATTTGCCAGATGCAGGCAATTTTTTCCGGCGTTGATTTTTTAAGGACTGTATATAAGTTGAAAAAAGTAACCATGACAAAATTCGTCTCCCTATGTTCACGTCCTTTATAAAATGTGGCATTAGGAATTTTCATGCACGCCGTCGTCGTGCAGTAGACGTAAAAGAAATACTGTACGTACCAAAAAGTGTTATGCCCTGATGAACTGTCACCGCTTAAGGCCGTCGTTCGAACTATCGCGGTACTGCAAATAAAGAGTATATAGCCAGACTTGAACAGTAACGGAAACTACGTGTTACTCAACTGATTTTTTGGTACCTCTCAGTGGATTTGAACCACGCCCCAAAAAGATACATTCTGATACCTTTTCAGGGATGTTTTCCAAACTTTACGACAAGCCTCCCTGTCATTATTAGGAGCTAGAAGTGTACCCCTTCCTGGGGATCTTCCTTCCTTTTCATCTTCTTGTTTTTCTTTACCAACCTCCCCTAGGCTCGTTTGCTCGCTCCAGTCTCGACATTCTTGACCGCAACTGAAAAACTGCAATTAGTCTACTTTGAGTGTTATCAATAAGCATAAAATTTGGGCTACTTCTCAGCATAGTTCCGCACAGTTACAGACAGATACTTGACCATACTTGTTAACTGGTATTGGTAAACTACTCTTATTAGTTTATTATCATAATCAGCACAACCGGCAAATTCCAAAAGAAAGAAGATAGATTCCGTTTTTGGTTGATACATTTTAGAGTAAGCTGTTATTTGAATGATCACCGAATTGGGATTTCGACGTCCCTAACTGAATTGTGTAGTTAAACCATGTTAGTATTTGGCACAGTATCGTGTCTTTTTTACAGACTGAAAGGTCATACTGAAACTTCTTCCTAACGCGAGTTTTACTTTCAAAGTTTTCACGCACAGTTGGGACAAATCAGATCAAGTTAAGTGTTCTTAAATCTCGAAATTGGACAACATGTTCTATGAAAAAAGAAAGATGTTGAAGTGTAGCAGTATGCGACATTGGTCGCGTGCAGCCACAAGGCCAGTTTTGTTATCTTCACAGCTTCTGATAAGATTTGGTTTGCTGCACCCGTATCTTTTTATATCGACTGTGATGAATTTTCTTATTCGGAGTAACATTTTCAAAAAATGCTATCAACACTTATGGTCAAGCTGTTAATTACAGTATATTCTTATTGTCAGTCAGATAACAGATAAATCAATCAAGAATTTTCCTAACAGTTGACGTTGCAGGGGTTTCCAATCTGCACAAATAAGGATGGTGGAGTAGGAACTCTTCCTTTCGTTTTTCATTTAGATTCTAAGGAAATGCATGCGAAACGCGCCTCTGCGGCAGGTATTTGAAGTAGAATCAGTGCCACGAGTAGAATGCAAGTCTGTTGGTCTGAGAATCAGACTAGGAACTTGATCGAGCTGGTCCCCAATTTACACCTTCTATTTCGCCACCAACCATTATCACAACATGGTAGCCCCTGTTTGAATCCTACGCTAAGCCGCTCACTTGCTGGGATTTCATAAGTGTTGTGTTTGAGTTTATGATGTCCACCTCACTCCTATCTCCACTTTTGAAGGAATTCTTTATTATTATTTAGTGGGATTTTATTCACTGTGCAGCGAAAATAGGTCTATTGTAATAAAACTACTAGTTAATGCAAGTAGCGTATTTCTTTCGTAAGTACTTGAAACTTTCTTCGCAACGCTTTTAGAAATATACCTTAAAAATCAACATTGCCCTTTGTAAACGCTTAGCAACCTTCAATAAAATATGATTAAAAAATCAACAGGATGTCGATTAAGTTTCAAACTCTGAATTGTAACTTCTTTAGTTTCTACATTCTTTCGCTCTCTACTCGACCTCGGACAAATCCACTTCGGTCTGTTAGCACTTAAAAGGAATACTGATTGCCTCGCAATTGAGTGACTCTCCTTTTATTGGAAGGCGAACGTAAGTATAAAATAGCTTTTCTTTGTCGTTTCTTCTCTAAATCTTAAAAATTTTCCTTACAGCAAGAGAGATAAAAGGAAAGAGAAAGGGGCAAAAGACAGCCACAAAACGTTTTTCCTTCGTCCATTAATTTGCTAGTTGTACACCGGTTACTCTCACTTGGTTTCTAGTGTTTTAGGTATCAATGCACAATGTAAATATTTTGTAGAGCAAACCGCTTTTTGTTTGTAGAGTCAATGTCGATTCGCGACCATGTTTTGCTTTTGTGAAATAGACTAAGCTTTCAAAACACTGGGTGTTTACAGCTTGTTACTTAAGGAAAAAAGCTGCTTATTCGTTCATTAAAAGCCATCATAAGTTATTTATGTGCTTTGCGGTAAGTAGACGGAGCAAACAATCCCTACAATTGAACAAATGACGCTCCGTTCTCCTACGCATTCACTTTTCTAGTGAAGACTTTCTTATTTTCTTTTCTCAGGCATTTCTAAGCTTTCTACCACTACGGCGCCTTTTTCGGATACCTGGACTTTCACGAGGACCAAACCTACAAAATCTAGTACCAAAGTAAGTAACTCAGTACATCTTTGCTGACTCAGTGTAATACTCGTACATTTCGTTTACAAACGCGTTATAACAAGTAAAGTAAGAGAGAAAAAACTCTCGAGAATTTTTGTCCTCGTTTAGCCCTAACTATAAGAACTAAATTTTTGCTCTTTAAAGTAATTTATCTTGTAGTGAATTCTTCGATAGTTAACGTGTTGACTGATAAAACTGTGATCGAATGAAAATGATGTGGCGTCAATTATTTTCTTTTTATTGCTGATTCTTGACGCACTTAAAGGCATTGATAACTAAAAAGGATAATACATACTTTGAATACTCACGAAGTTTGAGTTTCTAAAGAAGTAAACGCAATACTCTCGGTTTTTATAATTTTTACTTAAAATAAACTGGGGTCAAGACAATTTTGAAGATGATCGATCGCTGCCTGGGATCATTTTCAGTAAGAAAAGGGAGTGAATAAATAAAGATCGTTTTTGGACTTGATAAGTTTCATGTAATTTCATTTTTTAATCCAATATGACTGTGGAGGTCAACGGCAGACCAAAAGATATATCATATTCCCATTTAGCCACCCTTCCTCCCCCTGATTCTGTCTGTGTGACCCCCCCCCCCCTGCTCAAGAATTGTCGTTTAAGCAGATCACTGCCAGTGATAAGAAGACCAATTGTCGTTCAATATGATGATGGTAGGAAACAATCTTTCTACGTACTCAAAGAATGTATGGCATATTAAGTATCTTTTATTGACCGTTCATTAACAGATAAAGGAAAACGTTCATTTTCTTTTGGTAAAAGCTCGTCTTTTGATTCCGCACAATAAGCATGTTCCCATAAAGAGTCTCTATTTCCATGCCGTTTTCGCTTTCCTAAGTCACTCTAGAGTGTGTTTTATTCGCGGTTCTTTTTGTGCATGAAATGGTTTTTAATTCATTGACCTGGTTGTTAGTGTTCAAGCAGTCTCTTGAAAACGCAGACTGAAACAACAGCGACGGATAAGAATCAACTAAACGACCAAGCCGTGACACTCGAGAATCGCTAATTTACTAATCTGCAAAATCATAAATCAGCTCGAAGTCTATCTGGATGTGAAGTACCGAGTTAATGAGTGAACAGAGGAATATGGCGTATTTTTCAGAAAACTCTCTCACATGAAGTCTGTTTCAGGCTCTCAAAGATTGAGAAGAAGATGAAGTTGAAGGTCTCCTCTCTCTCTGTCCCTCCAGTTCTCACCCTTTTTTAAAATAATATTCCTTTTTCTTCACCTTCTGACACCCTGTAACCAGGCATCATATACGGGATATATAACACTGCTGACTTTTCATTGTCGTTTTTTATCAGTCCTCCACCGTCAAGCGCGAGCAAACAGAAACAAAAAGAACAACGGAAAGAACCGAAGATGTCGCGACAACCTCCGGCAAGACGACGAGTGATCATGGACTCGGACGAAGAACTGGGTCAGAAGGGGAACTCGGGGGACAGCGAAGCAATCCGCGTAAGTTCGTGGTTTACTATAAAATACTTAGTTTTTGTTTCGCTGCTAGAAGTATAAAATGAACAAAAAGCCTTAGTTCTTGAGATTGTGTATTTAGTTACGTCAATATGTAATGTGATGCTGGGTTAGTGAGGTTGGCTATATGGTGAAAAATCAGTGTTGTCAGTTATAAACCAGAGTGATCTGAAAGCTAAAACAGAGCTGGTGATTTGTTTCCTTTCCATATTTAATTATATTTAGTTCGCGGTATTGCTGCTTCCCGAACACAATGAGTAAGTAAGAGTTTTTCGGGGAATTAGTATCCTCTTTCAGTCTTGTATGAACTAAAAATTAATCGTTATCCTTTTCTGTTGCATCCCACATTTAAAGAATCCGGTTAAAGAACAAAGTCCAAGGAAACTGTACTGAATTCCGTCACCGAAAACGAACAATATGTCTCAATTTATTGGCTGATGATTTTCTTCTTCTTCTTTAATTTCCTGTAGAAATTGTTCCGTATGTTCTCTCGAAAGCATAACCCAAACACAGCTCTTCTTCTTCGCTACGCTGTTTGTTTTTTCCTTGGAGGACTAGTTGGCCTTATTCCTTACTTAGTTTTTGTCATTGAACTCTGTAAAGGTTTGTCTCCTAGCTCTGTTTTCTACCTTCTTTACACACTGTCACTTGTTTAAACACGAAAACTGAACATTGCCTTACTGACGTGTTCTAGAGGAAAGCCACAAGGTTTTTCTCCGGATCATTCTTCCCGGTTTTTTCTTGCTGTTTTTCTGTATAATATTCAGTTTGGTTTGAAACATCTTGCCTTCAGTTTCTATCAACAGACCCATCGAGGTCTGTGAGATATGTGTGAGATAACTTTGAGTTATTATTGATAAATAAAGAATGAATGAAATTCTCTAGGTTTTCCTCTAGAAATTATTACTGATCTTTCATGGCTCGCCCAGGAAGTCCCGCGACCACACTAAAATCGGTTTACTGATTTATTTGTTTTCACCTCCACTGCTTATATTCTCAGTCGGTTGAATGCTTACTCTTTACTCCCAATTGCGTAGCACTGAACTGATCTCCAGACATCTCTCATGCATTTTAAAACTGGCGAACGCAAATGGGACGAGACAAAGTGAGGACGATCTATCGATCGTAAAACCTTTCTGTCATTCTTTGCGCTTGTTCCTTATACTCGTAAGTCTTTAAACCCCTTCCAAAAAGAAGTGGTACGAGATGATCCTAACCAACATTCCTTTCCGTGACTTTGCTTTACATTAACACTATGGCTTATATCGAAAAGTAAGTTCTGAAGAGATAGCCGGTACCTTTTCTCTTACATGGTTTCTTGTAATACTCACTCACTGTTTACAGCTAATTTAGAAGTAAGAAACGCTCATCTCCCTGAGCTTAATGGATATTCCCAAGGAAAACAAGAGCCAAGTAACAAGGCAGTCACGCCTTATAATGGAATCAACCGTGTGAGCGAATCGATAACAACAACATCTAATATTGGTATGTTTATCCTGACTTTGGTGTCGACAGTGAATAATCTAAGTTGATCTCTATCTTTCGCAGCTTTTTGTCCCGCAGTACATCGTTTTTTCGTCCGGCAGTTAGTAAAAAATCTCTTTAAATAGGAGTTTAGATCGGTTTTGATAAGCCTTATTATTACTTCATTGTTTTATGTTTTTTTTTTCAATTTTATAGATATTTTACCACTTATTGTTGACATATTGTATCGCATTTTATTGTTCATTGCATTCTTACCTTTTAAACTATCTTTAAGCGTTTGTAATATATTTGTGCAAATTTTATGTTTTACTAGCACTTGAAAATGACCTCGGAGAGGTCGAAACGTTGTGACTTTTTATCGCTAGCTTTTATCACAAAATTTAGTAGGAGGAGCAATATGAGTCTTAAGAAGTTTATGAGAAAATAATTTGCCAGTAAATTTAATGTAACAGATAGGAAATCGCTTATAATAACTCATTTTTTCTCTTTTAAGAGAACAAATTAAAACTGATTATTAGAAATCGACTTTCTTGGCTAAGATATTATCATAGTAAGATACATGGCGCTATTAGAATATTGCCTCAAGCGTCATATCACTCACTGCTTAGAACCCTATTTTTTTCCCTTTCTCTTTTTCAGGAATAAACATTACAACACCCAATGTGAGTTCAACTGGACCCACTACACCGCGCCCAACACGAGTAGTAAAAACGGAAAGAAAAGGTAAACGCAAAAATAGAAAGAAATAGGATTCAAAACTCAGTTTCTTATTTAACAGATCTAGCTCCTTGGTAGCCAACTGGTAGTGGACACAATCTCTTTTTAAGGGGGCAATCTGGTTGTTCTTCCTGGGAAACGGGGTCGATTTCAGAAGGAAATAAAAAAGGGTAAAAAAAAGTTTTCCACGGCACATAAACCAGTACTTAGTCTGCTCAAGTGAGCTCAGGGGCATTTTGTTTTGGTGGTCAACTATCTGTCCACTTATTATTCCCTTCATATCGTAATTTTTGTCAACCGCCACCGTATCCAATATTTTCCAGTTTTGCATGATTTAAACTTTCCCCACTCCATTTTTATTCTATAAATGCTTTTGAAAAATCACACATTTATTGAACCAATCAATGAAATACAGTAGACCAATCTGGCCTTTGAACGGATGCGAGGCCTGGAGGTGACTTTGTATATTTTTCAGCTGTAAACGAATGATTACATTCACTGGCTTGTTAGCTATAGGATGAGAATAATACCAATGGCACATGAAAAGCAGGAAGATTTGTAACAAGACACGAGCATCTACAGCCTTGCTTCTATTCATAGGTCAGGGGACTGCAGAAACAACTATAAAATGGCTTTTTGCATTTGAGAGTCAAGCGGGGTCCCATTCTATTGACGGGAACCGTGGTTAAGCATAAAGGTTGGGTCTAAAAGTACAAACGTTAAGTATAAAAGGTCAGGTTGTAAACAAGCGGATCAGGTATCAGTTTATGGTTGTAATACGGCTTCTGTAAAATATAGCGAGATGTACCCCACGGCTGTCAGGGGCGTAGCCAGCCCAAAGACCCCTTGGCCTGGGGCTACAAATTTTTGGTTTGATCACTCTACCGCTTGTAATAAATTATGCGTTGTTGGGGTGAGCTCTTAAAAGAACTCAAAGGGTTGGTGAGGTCAGTGCGTTACTAGTCATGCGTGCATGCAATTTTCGGGATATGTCGAAATAAAAGTCAACCAGGCCTACAACTAGTCGAAAAGCTGGCTACGCCCCTGGCTGTCAAAAAAGTTAAACAATAAAAAGGCTTTGCACAACAAACACAAGGTGCAAACAAACTACAGGTTTATACAAACGCCGAGTTCACGAGCCCAAATTTTAGAAAAAATGGCGGAGCGTATTATAGGTCCAACTTTTTCGCGCGGGAACTGTGTACGCGCGTCAAGCTCGATCGATTACAAATCCCGCGAAGGCGTAGTCTGCTACACAGCCGTTTGTAGAGTTGTCACGCAACGTTGGGTGTCGACACTAAAAACGGCTGTGTAGCAGACTAGCGAAGGCGGGAACCACCGCCATTTGGAAGGAAAGCAAGACGGTTTGCAAAAATGTACTTTATATTTTCTCCCGAGCCTGATCACTAATTGTCAAGGTAGAAGAATGGCTAAAAGCACTTGATATATTATAATTCGTGTATGAAAAATCACAAGCATAAATCTGTTTTGGTTACTTTGTTTTTCTTTTCAGCCGAAGGAACCGGTAATGACGATATCTCGCTTCAGTGTCCTGGTGCTTTAAAGATCATCCGCGTGGCCGCATTTGGAATTCCCGGCGACAACAATACCGTGAGCGACTTTGACAAGCACTGTCATGCTAATCTTGCACAAGTTGACGAAACAAACGTCTGCATCGTGAGTCTGAAACGAGTTTACAAAACCAGCTATCCTCCATTCATAAAGACAATTGTAACGTACACTTGCTTATACACAGAAGAGGTCAGCTAACAATCATCGAGAAGAGCTGGGTATACCGGGTCAAAAGATCATATTACTGAAAAATGTGTGTCATCAGAAGCTGTTTCCTGGAAATGTGTGGAAATAGTTTGTGAAGAAAGCGCACTTCGATTTTTGTACATACCTAACTTGATGAAGGAGCTAAATTTGATAGTAATAGTCTTAACAGTTATTGGATGGTATTATCAGGCCTTTACAGCTCATTCCCAGTCTCTCTTCTTTTCTTTCCAGTTTCCCCCTTTCCCGTTTAAAACCGGGAAAAACAGAGTAAAACAGAGTAGCCTTCGGAGGAGGCAAGCGCTGCATTTACAGGGGCGGATCCAGGATTTTTTTTAGGAGGGGGTGCACTCGTCTCTTGCTCTACTTCAACACCAATAAACCACATAGTTTTTTTTTTTTGCAGAATACCAGTTATATTAGAAAACCGCAGGTCATCTCAGGGGGAAGGGGGGGCACCCCTGCACCCTCCCCCTAGATCCGCCCCTGATTTAGCTAGGGTACAGATTTGAACATAGGAACATAGAGTGACTGTAGAGATTGGCTTACAGCCAGTTACAGCGAAAATACGTGGTAAGAGTTATAGACATTTCGGTGAAAATTCTAATAAAATAGTCGTTTCTACTGAAAATTTTGGGGAAAGAAAATTCAGGTAAGGATACTTGAGGGTTTGTTTAAATTACCGCAGCAGGATTAGCTCAGTTGGTAGAGCGCTTGATTGTGGAGCGGGGGCCGGGGTCTTGAAATAACTAAGAAATGAAAGTACTTCTATTGCACTGCAAGCGGGTAGGACTTTGCGTTGCCCGGATAACCAAAAATGGCGATCCCGTCCAAGCACGCATTTCGGAGACGGCGACTTCAAAAAAAACTGCACGATTATGGCTAAGCTTCTTTTTAGCCTCCTCTATCAAGACTTAAAACATAAATAAAATCAGATTCTTTCTTCTTAGAATTTACAACAACACCTCGTAGTAATTAAAGGAATTTTTACTTGGTACAGTCCTAGTTACAACTCTTTCTCTCCCGGGAAAAGTGCTGTCTTCTCCGTCCGCTTCCTCTTTCCTGCCAAAAATTCGAAATCTTCATGGAAAGAAGTAATCTTTTAGTTTTTTAGCTCTTAGGCTCGAAAAATGATTTTTCGACAGTTGACGGTTTTGTGCTTATAATGTAAAAAAATACCACTTAGCAACAGTACACATTGTTCTCGATTTTTTAAAGCCTTTCTTGATACAGAATCACACAATAAATGTGATTTATTTATAGCAAACAATCCTACTAGTTGTTTTAGTTTCCAAAGTTTGCCATTTTTCTTTTTTTTTTTTTTTCTCTTTACCTTTTTTTGCGACTTGAAAATGACAATTTTAGAACTCGCTGCCTCCCCTAAAACTGGAATGACTAGAAGCACAAACTACCGTAATTTGCGAATCAACAAAAAAGAGACAATATTTTGATCACTGTAATACTGTATTAAAAGCTAGCAAACTCTTAAACAGCGTCTTACACAATTCCGTGCCCCTAACAGTTGGAGTCCTAGGTCAATTCTACTGGTTTACCTAACCGAAAGCAAACAGGGCACCGGGTAAAACAGCTTGAGCTTGCTTGACACTTCTGACACTTTTGCATTTTTTACCATTTTAACTGGTGATCTGGTGGAAAAAATCAGTTCAATCATTGAAGCAACAAACAATGGCGCTCTTAAAAAGATTGTTGTTAATATGGATCCTACACGTTTCTCTGGATTTCTCCAACGCTGTCTTGGCAGACGATGATCGATCACAGGCTGAGGTGAATGGGAAACTTTCCTCTGATCTCCGTAGAGCTGTTAGTTTACCGCTTCTAGGAGCAGGAAAAAAGAAACTTTGCCAGGAAGGACATGGAAGTGCAATAGACGTGCCAAACCCACCAGAATTCGTTTATCGAACAGATTTTCGCCCTCCGAGCATTGTTTTCAAAAAAGGGATGGAAAGCTTAGGCAAGAATGATGGCTTACTTGATCATATGAAAGGGATATCCACTCACTACGGTCCGAAGAAAAACAGTCTTTTTGTGTCCACATCAGCTGTAGAAGCAAACTGTATAGAATGGGCAAGGGTGCAAATGAAGAAAAACAAGAATGAACGATCTATCTACTTGTACAAAATAAGAGCCAACGAAAATTATTACAGTATGGAGAAGTCACTAATGAACGCTTTTGCTGTGAGCGGTAACGCGGAATTTAAGACCCAAGCAGAGAACGTCGCTAAGTTCTATTCGGAATGGGAAGCTTGCGGAGGAGTCAAACCTGAAGAGGTTGTAAGCGAGACTGAGTATCAACGAGACCCAGCCCAACCGGCAATGTTGAAGCCAGTCCAAACTGAACCTAATCCAAAATTCTCTCAGCAGTCTACCCGTGGAAACCAGCATTCTTTTGTTCCTAAAGCACTCAGGATGAAGGTTGCGTGATTGCAGGAGCCGCGGGTGCGGATTCACGTAGGATATTTCATAGTTAAAATCCTTAGGATGTTTAGACAGTTAGTCTTACGGTCTTAAAAGGCGTTCGTGAATGCTGTCCTAGGCTATTTGGGGCAGCAAGAAGTCAACAGAACTGTTTGACAAACGTACTTTGAATTGCTGTGAGTAGCGGAATATACAGTAAATGCATGAGTATGTACCTTTGCGAACTGAGTATAAAGTAGAGTTATAAGTAGTCAATATCTCCGTCCGACGTCATACATCAGATACAAAAGCCAGTCATTTATGTGTACAATCAACAAAAAGGGATCGCTTACCACTAGAAAGAAGATAAATGGCAAGAAAAAAAGAAGAGATGACTATAGGCTGTTGTCATGTTAAATGTAATAGCTAGATACGAGGCACCCGAAGCCAAATATTGGCTTATAGCAAAACATAACGTGTTCATTCAAGATGAGGAAAATAAAAATTAAAAAACATCTTGAAAAGGAAAACTGGAGGTTGACTCTATGACGTTTGCCTAAATAAAAAGATAAAACAGATATAAGCTATGTACCATATAAAATATATAAAATAAGACATTTAAATTAAAAATTATTTACAAAATATTAATTGGATCACTAATGATCAATGATAACAATAGATGAACAAGACAAAGGGGCTCAGCGCATTTGACTAATCAATTATCACAACAACCCTAAGTTTCTCAATTTTATCATAGTTATTAGAGGAGACTGGTTATGAAAAGCGGCAAACATCAATGATAAAAACAACAGTGCTGCAGTTTATGTTCAAAGCACCGTGAAAGTGCACAATCCTTTGTTTTCTGTTGGCAAATTGTTACGGAATGAATTAATGCAACGTTTTTATTGGTCAATACAATCAAAATGATAGGAATTCTTTTGAACGTTGTGCACTTTCAGGTCCACAAAAACATATAACAAAGGAGTCTGACGGGTTTCATAACCATTCCACTCAATTAACTATGATTTTATGAACTGGTCAGCAATTACTGGATAGAGTGAGCGTTCTGATAAATAATGTAAGACGAGCTCTGCCAGGGTTAAAGAAAGCGGAACGCTCTCCGTCGGTGCCGTGAGTGATTGAGACGGCTCTCAACATATATGGAAAGACGATTTTAATATTAAAAGAGATAGTTACAATTTTCCTTAACTGAGTTTAACCAAAACTGCAAATCTTTATCTCTTTTAATGCTCCAAAGTTCTTATTCATTTTTTGCCAGACATTTTCTCTCGGTTCCTCGTCTTTTCTTCCCTAGTTTCCCTCTTTGTTTTTCTCCTCTCCTACTTCTCTTTTTCTTTCTCAGCGGTTTTACGTCTGCAATTTGATCTTTCTCCTTTCTCCGTTTAATTACAGATTTTTCTACTTTTATGCTCTATCCTTTTCACACTAAAGGTAGAAATTAATTAGAAAAGAAAACTAAGGTCATATCAAGTTGGGTACAAGATGTCCGACCAATAAGGTGATGATTCAGCTGATTCCAGCAAGATAAACTCTTAACATGTAAAATTGTTTTTCCCAACAGCGCGCGCTCGCATTGGTTACTTCGAGGTCACATGACATCTCACAATGAAACTTTTTCCCGCCAAAATCTCTGAGCACCTGTGAGCGGGCAACACTGCAAAATCTATGACGTCAGATGGTAACAGTGCACTGTTACCCGCGAATGTTGACCAACGACCACCGTTACAGCGAGGTTATTCCAGCTTCAAAATTTCCAGCTATGTAACATATCATTTAATGACTGGTCCCTCGGGAAACAGTGAATTTTGTTTCCGTCGAATGTCAATGTTTTTCTCAGCTGCGCCTTGAGAAACATTGAGGAACATTGACATCTGTTTCCCTCGGAACCAGTCATTAGCGAGCTTAAGCGACGACGACGGCGACAACAACGAGCACAGCAACAAAGCAGTAGGTTTAGATAAGCAAAACAACAACTTTGCACGTGTATCACGCATTTTGTACATTTCTTTGTCGTCAATGCACGACTATGACATTTGACTATGACTAGCCTGCGAAGCGCCAGACGTATTTCCGGTCGTCGCTTCTCGGAGGGAGAGAAGCGACGACCGGAAATGCGTCTGGCGCTTCGCAGGCTAGACTATGACGTGAAACTTCCCAATTTCACGTTCTTTGAAGAACGTGGACACAAGAGAGGAAGAGGTTCAAACCCTGTGGTCTGCTGTCGAATAACGTTCGCATTTGTTTAGAGAAAAAACGTCGATCCTTTCTGTACTCTACGTGTTACATGTAAATAAACTAAAAAGTGCCTAATTTTACTTTTTTTTTCCTCGTCTTCTTCTTTCTTGTGTGGTTCTCGAGTCGATTTATGCCCATTTAAGGGGTTTTATTTCCTATATTTAAAGGTTACGCAACAGTGCCGAAGCTGATATTTCACGGTTGCTAGTATCACTTCCTCGGGGTCCCAAGGAATGTCCGAGTTTAAAAATAAGCCGGTTTTCTTTTTTTCTGGCACAAATCGCCCTCAGGTGTCGTCAGGGAGCGCGTAAGATATAACACCA